TCCGGATTGAACCCGGTGTGATGAAACTGATGCTGACTTTTTTTCTTCTTTGCTAGAACCCTTCGAAACACTAACAAGAAATTGGTAAGTGCTGTTGCTTTGCAGTTTCTACCAGCAACCAGACTGACGAGATATCTCAGAACGCAACCGCCAAAGTCGATGCAATTATTGCTGAAAACCCCGGGAAATCCCTCGAGGAGCTTGTAGCTCTCAAGAAAATCAATACAGACCAGAAAGCCCAGGCCCTCAAGAAACCCGCTCTCCAGGAAACTATTGCCCACATCGAAGAGCAGATCGCTCAATACAAACAACTCGAAGCATACTATGAAGAACAGCGTGTCAAAGAAATAGCAAAGATCGAAGCCCAGCACAAAGATGAGATCGAATCGTTGAAGAAGAACCTTGAGACCGAGTCCAAAGAGAGTTCCGAGAAACGCTTTAAGGACCGATTGCTTGTGCTCAGCCGTTTCTTGCGCGCAGCTGCCGCCATGAGGGGAGTTGCTGATGAACACTCTATCCAGGCTCGTGGGTTTGAAGGGGCATTGTACCAGGTTTATGGTGGAACGGAACAAGCGGTCGATGCCATGGTCAAGCTGATTGATGGCACCGATGACAAGGTTCCCAGCGTTGAGTCTGAGATCCTTGACATCACCTGTAAGTTCAGAACTCCCTTCACCGATATTAACCTCTCTCATCCCAGTCCACTGACAGGTTTGTTCTTGTAGACGCACAAATTAAGCGCACTTCTCTTGAAGACTACGCTCAATCCACCGGTGAAGCTGTCTTAACTGAAGAAGAAGCCGCCGCCCCTGCTGCCGATGCCAATGCAGTCCAAACTGACTCAACAATCGCCAATGCCGGCCTTACTGAAGCTGAAGAGCCTACTGTCTCACAAGCTGCAGCCGCAGATAGCTTTCAACCTAAACCCCAGCCAACTGCCGAAGAGGCAGCCCCCCTGAAACCTACCGAGGAGAATGTTGCAGCCAACGAAATTGCGCAGACCGTTGCAGTAGAATGGGATCCAAATCCCTATAAGCCCAGTGCTTCCACAGAGGAATGGCTTAGTGTGCAAGTTCCCCAACCTGGTACTGCTGCCGAGGCCTCTGTTGCTGCTGAAGCTGCTGTTCGTCAACCGCTCACCTCTGAAACTTGGGTAGAAGAGCCACCGGCCAACAAACAAGTCGACGGCTTTGAACGAGTTAACCATCCTCGTGGGCGTGGACGAGGTTATCGCGGCCGTGGCCAAGGCCAGCGTGGTGGCGGAGAGCACCGCGGCCGTGGCGGCTATCACCACCGTGTTGGGAGTGAGTACCGTGGCCGTGGACGTGGCCGTGGTGGTGAATATCGAGGAAACGGAAATGGCCACCGTGGTGGAAGACCCGCTCCCGCTGCTGCTACTGCAGGCGACGCTTAAAGGCTTGTACTGGGCCCGTTATGCTGACTTTACAGCCCTTAACATCCTTATCTTCACGCTGCTTTCTGTTTAAGCTTGGTCATTCGTTGCATCGCGGGCTTAGTTTCGTTCCTCACCCCTTTCACCCTCTATTCCCCGCCCCTACCCTTTCCCTCTCCCATTCAACTCTTTAGTTTCCATACGTTGCTACACTTTACTATGTCATGACGGACGGCACTTACAAAAAACTCAAACCCCACCTACCAACCACAAAAGCCGTAACGACCAAATTATTTCGAAATACTAGCGTGCATATGGGTTTCTTTTTTGTTGCCCTCTTTTTTTTCGTCTTTTCATCTTCATCCTCTTCTTCCATCCATTGATTGGTTGGTCGTTTCTTCTTTATTCCCTACTCTCAATATTCAAACGTCACTATCTACTTTTTGTATTTTATGCTTGCCGGTTTCCTAAGCTCGAGGAGGTATGGAAGGGAAATGGAGATTGGGATGGGATAAGGATAGGGGTATGGATATGGGGTGTTTGTTTCTTCTTTGGTTCTTTCTCCTTTGACGGAAGCTATGTATATGGCAGTCATCTTCTACAGCCAGCAAAGCAAAAGCAGTGATTTGAAGATACCTATGCTTCTTTTATCTAGTAATTATTTGCTTTGCAGATAATAGATACACGCCAGCATTGTTACTTCTGATGGTAGGAGCTACGCATCCGAAAAAGATTGCCTGTATGAAACCATGTTTACCCGGCCATCTCCTCAACGTGTTATCCCATGTAAAGAACAGGGGCTTCTTCTATAGGCAGTGTGCCCGTATAGAATCCTATGATACTCTATTTCAACAATCTCACCCTCTCGCAAGCTACTAAGGTTCTCAGTAAACCCTTGGGCCAGTTAAGAAGTCATTCATATCTTTCTATGTCTTTATTAGGTGATCGCCTCTCCTCCTTAATTAAATTTTAGGGTGTAATATTTCTAGCAATATTGTAGCCTAGTCATCCATCATACTTATAACAATGTATGTCTCAGATTCTCCTCTTAGTCTATGCTCACTACTAGCCAGATCACCAGATGGTTATGGAGCTTCCAGTTATTATTATCTAGAGGAGTAGCTGATATAATCAATGTTCTCGATAATGATTTTTCCACCCTTCCAACACACCAACAAGTAGCACCTCTCTTGACTGTAGTTATATTTACCTGTCACATGTTTTATAAGAAGTCAGAGGCATGTAATGTATTACTTCCTCGTTTCGTTGTCTTTCTACAGGAGGATGGAGACTTATCGGGGTTTGAAAGCCATGTCTCAATTGGTACTAAGGTAAGACTAACATGGCATGGTATATATATTAATTAGATAACTAAGCATACTAAGTCTATACATGTGTTGTATAATATCCTAGCTAGATGTCATCGTCAACATCAATATGCAACAAGGCTGATACAAATAAAGTATTAAGGTTTGCGTAGTTCAAGAGCCCCTTGTTAACAAAGTTAATTAAAGCCCCAGCTATTTTTAGAAACAGGTTGGCACAGACCACACCCAAGCTCAACGCAAAACCAAAGTTCTCCTCCATATTTATTATGAACACGAGGAGATCAGAATAATAATGGCAACAGTCTTATTGAAGATTTAAAAAGTTGACGGTGCTTAACTGCAGAAAAAAAAATATTTTAAAAATGGCAGAGAATACATCCAATATTCAACGACGACGAAAAATCCTCAAGACACTCTTCATCTCCCTCTTACTTGACCTCGTAAGTACACGCTTACAAGCCTCGTTCATTAAGAGCTAATATCACTAACTGAACTACTCCCTTACTAGATATCATTTACCTTTATTCTTCCACTATTTCCGTCGCTTATAAGATTTTATCTTGAAAAAGATCCCTCTCCAAGCTCACTCCTGAATCGTATTCTCCAATACCTGAACGCATACAAGAATGCATTCTCAAAACCGATAGATTCGAAATACGATGTTGTACTTCTCGGCGGTGCTCTGGGATCCCTATTCTCGCTTCTACAGGCTGTTGCGGCACCTGTAATTGGCTCTATATCCGATAAACATGGCCGTCGTGCTGCACTTCTTTGGTCGATGGCGGGGAACATCGCTAGTGTTGCCTTATGGGTCGCTGCCACGGATTTCCGCACTTTCTTGGGGAGTAGGATAATAGGTGGGCTAAGTGAAGGAAACGTTCAGATTGCGAATGCTATTGCGGCGGATATAAGCGACCCTAGCCAACGTGGCTCAACCATGGCGTTGGTGGGAGCTTGCTTCAGTGTCGCGTTTACAATCGGCCCTGCTATCGGTGCAGCACTGAGCAACATTACCACATTTGCAGCGAATCCGTTTGCAACAGCTGCTGCATGCTCCTTATTTTTGATTGTCACGGAAACAATCTACATCTACTTCTGCCTGCCAGAAACACATCCGAGATTGGCATCTAAAACTTACAAACCCGCTACACCGGATGACATCAGCGGGAAGGAACATGACATTAAGCCAGGGCTAAACAGACCATCACTAGAAAAACCTAGGGCATATACCAACAGCCCTTTTCTATTAAACATTACACACTTTTTATTCCTTCTGCCCTTTTCTGGCCTAGAGTTTTCGCTTCCCTTTATTACTGCCAACCTTTACGAAACTTCTCTTGCAGCAAATGCTGGCACAGCAAGCCCTTCCGCTCTTAATGGGCGTCTATTATCAGTGATGGGATTATTGGCCTCAATTCTGCAGGGCGGGGTCACACGTCGACTTCCACCCCTTCTTACCGTCCGCATAGGCGTAGTAGCTTGCGCCATGTCCTTCGCTTTACTCGCTGACATTACAACGATAACCGGCTTGTACGCTGCTGGTTGTCTACTCGCTGTCACTAGTGCAACTGTGGTCACTGGATTGAATAGCCTGGGTAGTTTGGAAGCTCGTGAGGCTGAACGCGGCGCTTCCTTGGGTCGTCTACGAAGCTGGGGTCAAGCTGGCAGAGCTACTGGGCCAGTCCTTTTCTGCTCCCTGTTTTGGTGGGGAGGTAGAGAGGTAGCATATAAAACCGGTGCTCTGGCTATGGTTGGCGTCTGTGCAATTGCATTTGGGTTACTGAAATCACCCATGCTGGCTAAAACAAAGTAAACGGATTCGGATAGAAAAATATTTTGTGGGTAATTTAAATTCAAATGCATGGACGGGCATGGTTTATGGTATTGAGATATGTATATTATCAAGATGCCTGTAGAGCGGCACATTTAGAAGCAGGGTGAGCTGAGATTTTTACTATTTGTCTAATCCTATCCATGTAGATTCAAATTTGGGAATGTGTATCATACAGAAAGAAAAGAGCAAAGATCCCCGACCCCCCGCTATAAAGCCAACAAGAAAATGAAATGTTGTCAATGGCAAAAAGCATTAACATAGGTATCATAAATCATAGAACAGCCGGAGAGCACATAAAAAGCTGACTAGGGCAGGCTTCCCGCTGCTGCAGATCAGACGAAATCTGTAAAAACCAACTCCTCGCATAACATAAATGTCAAAAAGGAAGAAAAGAAATGAGTACTCAGCCAGCAGGATGTTCGTAAGAGTGATTTCCGTTTTAACATCAGATTTCGAACGGGCCGAAGCGATAACGTGGCCGAGAAGTTTCCCTAGCCTTTCCTGCTACAAAGGCAGGCTGAGGAGGAACAATCTGTCCGGAGGCGCTTCCTTTTGCCTTTCCCAGGAGCCAGTCTGTTAGAGTGACCACTTTGGCCGTTCGATCCCACCCGTTGCCTTCATCAGCATGCTCAATAGTATGCGTAGCAATCCGGCCTTCTTCGTCGAAAGTGAAAATGAAAAGCCCGGAAAACTGCTCCTCTTTTCCAAGTTTGAATATAGGCATTTCTCCGCCGAGCAACATGCTGAGTCCCCTATTCGTCCCATTTAGAGCGGAAGATGAGCTCATAGGGTTTTCCTTGTTTGTGCTTTGTTCCCGATGCGCTCGGTCTGGTGCAATGTAATCATCTACCTCTGAGCCGCGGCCGACTTTAGAAGCTGGGCGGTCTGCACCCTCGGTCACCCAGCGTACAACGAGTTTTTCACCACCAGGACTATCATTCCGATCGCCTCCATTAGCAATACCTGTTGGGACTACCCGCTCGCTTACTATTCGTAGGTTGACGTTCCCGATGATAGGAACACTGCCCCATGCCACAGGAGCAGTCCATAATGCAGCTCGATAGGGCACTCGTCCTTTAACGGTAGGAAGATGTGGGTGTGTAGATGGGAATAAATGGAGAGATATACTCGGCGAAAGGATCTCTTGCGGTAGTGCATTCACGAGGATTGTAGGCAGCTGTTTCGAGAGGATGCGAAGAGCTTTCATCATGTCATTAGCATCGAAAATCCTTTCAAGTTATTTACTTATTTTCAGAAACATACTCTTTCCCAGTTTAACTATTCTTTCATCTGGCGGTTTATGATCTCCATCCCCATGTGGCTCGCCATATTGCGCGACTAGATTCGATTGCGAGAAGTGTGTAGAGGAAACATCTGTGATCCACGGCCCATCGGGCTGTATGGGAGACAGCTGCGCTAACGAGCGATTGTGCGAAAGTGGCTCATGGTTCCAGCGAGAGGATCGTTGTGCTATTTGGGCTAGAGAGCCTGTCTGTGATGAGACTCGGGTGATATATCTGTTGAGCTGGCCCGGGTTTGGCTTGAGAGACGGTGGAAAGGCGATTTGATGCGTGAGGTGCTTAGCCATTATCGGCAGGGGGCTGCAGGCATTCCATGTAAGTAGTTATCCTAGAGATGCAGCAAGACTAGATAGATATGTTAGAGAAACAAGATATCATATGCTGCAGAAAGAAGAAGCTGTTGAAGAAGCATGAGAATTTGTGAATGTGGTCAAGCAGTGACAGGCAAGAAGTTGGAGCTACCTGATAAGTAAGGGAGGCCTGTGATTGGCTCGGACCACAATGATGATGGTGGCCACTAAGATACTCTCTCTTCTGCACCTGCTATTTGATAGTCTACAAGCTAATAAAGCCTCTGATCGTCCTCAATATGTAATGCATAAGTGAATATTACAATGTATCTACCTATTCATAGATCATAAGTACAAGGCCAGCTTCGTTATATATCGTTGTTATCCCCGGTGATGTCATTATCATCCTCGCCCATCAGTCTTCGTTCTGCGATGGCCCTGATCTTGTCATCGAGTATAGATCTCTGATAGCGTTGTGCAATCTTGCTAGCAGCATCTAGCATCTTCCCAGAGCGGTCTCGGAGCATGGTAACAAGTTCAAGGGCTTTCATACCCCTTTCCTCACCCTCGCGGCATTCGACAGCAAGCAACTGCAGGAGAATCTTGTCAATATCAAGCGCTCTCCTCCTCAGCTCAGCATCTCCAGCTGCCCCGGTCTCGGACGCCGTGATGCAGTCCTCCAGAAGAGTGTAGTCTAAACTCGCCCTGACAAGAGACTCTTGTAATTTCCTGTTATTGTTCCTCGCAGCTTCTTCAGCGTCTTCCATTTCCATGTCTCCATCTTTGTTGCTCTTTTCCTTGGATGAAATGCAGGATATCGGTATTTGGAAGTCGAATTCGGTGAGCAACGGTCGTGGGAAGTAGGGATACTTATCCCCACCCTTTAGGATTATGCAGTGGAAAACATCCTGTGCAACAGCAACTGGCCAATAGGTTTCTTCCTTGCGGCCACTGGCAACACGTTCAAGCAGCTTCGTGTCAAGGAGCGGGACCCAGCGGGCCTGTCCTGGTTTCCGCCAATGCTGCAACACAAGGAGAACCCCCGAGCTGTCATATATGCAGGGGTCCTGGATCATACACTTTAGTCAATATGGAGTTGGTTTACAGGGGTTCTTGGAGGGATACATACGCCCTTGTCTGAAAAAAATACGCTTTGCAGCCGCGTCCCTCCTGCTAGTGCAACAGCGTCCTCATTTTGGCATATCTCGTCACGTCGGACGTTCTCGATGGAGTACTTCAATTGTGCGACTCCATCACTACCTGCAGGGCCATTCCCGATGGTGATGATATAGTCTCGCCATGCTGCGCAGGTCACTGTTTGACTCTTCTGTCGGAATACCCGATATGGAGTGCCAAAAAGCGTATAAATCCGAACGTAGTCCGTCGAAGTAGTCACCGTAATGTAAGAATTACTTAATGCAATGGCTTAATACAGTTAGAAACACGAGGCCAGATAATGAGTGGCTTGGAAGGAACGTACAAGTAATCTTCTCTCCCGGTGGAAGTTCTGTCCGCCAGTCTGCTCTTGTTGTCCATGTTTCATGTGGCCGGTAAAATACGGTTGCTGGATGGCTGGAGCTAGGTTGGCATGAAAACAAAGTACCCTTCTCGTCTAAGATAGATGGTTAGGCCAATATGCAAAAAGATCTAGACTGAAGGTAATAATGAGTCCACGTACTCAAACAGGCCTTGTCATAGAGATATGGGTCCGTGAAATGAAAGTCACGATAACGTTCCCGGTCGTAGAACTCCACAGTGACAGTATTGTGCGTGTCTTGATCAACAGTCCATACAAACCCAACAAGATTCAACGCTACGGTTTCGTTAGCAAGGACTCTACCGAAGTAAACAATTACAAACTTACCTAGATATCTTCTGTTGCCTCTCCATGGGGTGCTGCCTGGCTGAAAGGGTTCATGAGATATAGTCTTCCAAGGGGCCGTTGGTCTCCGTTTTGTTTCATGACCAAATAACTCATCCATATGTGTGTTAGTCCTCTTTCCAAGGCCATTGACGTTTTCGGTGTAGCCTGCACCATCGTCATCCTCAACAAAATCATCTTCATCATCTGCTGGCCCCAGGATGTCATCAAGAGAGTCCGGGCTTCCTCCTCTCGGCCTGTTTCCAGAAAGATTACTGGTATCATGTCGTTGGGATCTATGAGGGAATGTGATCTCTTCATGGGAACCAATTGAGAGTAACGGTGCCACTTCCAAGGTCTTCGCTAGAAGTGAGTGAAATTCCGACGGGATAAAATCCTCGTAAATAAACAGCTCTCCATCCGAAGTAGTAAATGCAACAATATTCTGGGTGGGATGCCAGCGGAAATTAATAACATTTGGAATATCGTATGTCTTTATGACTTTTTGGGTCCTGGTTTCCCAGAGGAGAATTTTGCGGTCAGCTCCAGCACTTGCAAGCATTGCCCCGTTAGGAGACCAGGCGAGACAGGTAACATCTCCATTATGACCACCAGAGAATTTCCGTTGCTTAGTCCAATCCCTACACGATATTACTGTGATATCTCTTGTGGCCTCTACTGCAGCAAATGCAGTTCCATCTGGGTGCCAAACGGCGCTTGATGTGGCCTCGTTATCTGTTTCAAGTTGTCGAATCACCCCATCAAGTTTATGCAGCAGGGTAGGTTCCGTTTCCGTGAATGAGTAAATGTAGATAATTCCATCAGCGCAAGACACTGTGATAAATCGCCCGCTAGGATCAAATGTCACATGCTTGACTCCTTTTGTTTGGTCTCGCAAATATTTGACCTCTGTAATATCGTTAATATTCACGATCTTGACGGTGAGCTCACTATCCAGATTATAAAGTCAGTTAGATCCAACTTGTAATGATGCAACTAATATTCACCGGCTATTTCGACTTACTCGCTAGCAACAGCAACCCATTCCTCGTCCTTGGAGATCGCCAGGTCTCGAACTGGTAATGCACAACGAGCCAATGGCTTATCCATTGTGGCTTCTTGCAGTTTGTAAAGCCATACTGTGCCATCTTCAGATCCCAGTATCATGGATTCATTCTAGCACTTCATTAGAAAAGCTCGATTTGTAGCAGTGGGCCATTTCGGTTCCTCCTTGGGGGCTCAGTATGGTGGGAGATTCGGACGTACAGTTGCTGCAATTGCCAGATGGCTCTCCATCCCTTCATCGATCGTCTTCGGTTCGCCATGCTCGCCAGTTGAGAACACTCGAATTCCAGAGTTAGACCCGGCAGTAATTAATTGTTTGCCATTGGGAGTATAAGTTAGTACTGTGGTGCCGGGGGTGTCTAGCATTCACATCTATTAGTATTTATAATTAAAGACGAGATTCTGTAAGAAAAACATACGAGCCGGTCTACCCCTCAAGGTACTGCTATCCGGGGCCATGTTGAAGTATTAGCCAAATGCAGTATAATTGGTATATTGCGGGAAGTAGCCACAGGCTATGGAGATCGAGATCTAATTCAAAGCTGTGATGTGCTCTTTGGCAGGTTCAATATCGAAATGGAAGCGCGTCGCGGTCGTGATTATTAGTCATCATGTGCTTTAAAGTTAAGTTATGGAGATAAGATAAGATAGCCGGAGTTAGCGCTAAAGAAAATTATGAGTTAATATTACACTTATCTGGGCTTTAGATAATGATGTACAAAACCAAAGCGCTAGGATTTCATCTTTAGCATAACCTGTATGTCTTTTGGTTCGTCAATCAAGCTTCCGCTCCTCCGGTTAGGAACTTGCCAGTCCTCTCCCCCGGCAGGCTTGATATCCCATGTTACTAATATGGCAGCCAAGGTTCCAATAACTTTTCTCTGCTCTAACTTCCAACAAATGGAAGCTGGGTCATCCCAACCTTCTGAGCAATCTCGCTCATCCTCATTCACAACATCTTGTGAGACTTTCTTGTCTTCCGAGTCATCGGTCTCAGTAGACTTGATAAGGTGTCGTCGTGGGTCAAAGCTGTCTGGAGACTTGTTGTAAAGAGGGTTTCGATTTCGCAAAGAGTGAGGTATCACAACATAATCACCCTCAGATATATGATAAGTATGGACTTCTCGAGAATTGAAAGATGCGTCCTCATCTGACTCGGTGAGGTTGATATTGGAGATAACCTTTCGGTAAGTATAAGGGGTTGAGTAGAGCCGACTGGTCTCCCTTTGCGTAGCCATCAGCAATGGGCAGGACCCAATGAGATTATCTATATCCAGTGACACCTGTGGTGGTTCTGGTAGCCCAAATGTGGCTGAATTTGAGTGTTTAAGCTTTGCATAGGGGCCAATTTCACCCAACACTTCGGAATGTAACTTAGGGTCGGCTAGAATGTGAACGAGATTCCAGAATATTAAGGCGTTCGCCCGCACAGTAACTGCCCATAATAAAGATAAATCTTCAGCGGCCGCATATTCGACTGAGTAACCGTTCTTGATTCGTTCCCGCATTCGGGCCTGAACTGCGGCAGAAACATCATCTAGATCTCGCCAAACAGCCTCGGGTTCTTGTCCATTTTCTATCTGGCTAAATATGGCATTTTGAACCGTCAGGCATATTAGCAGGCGACGGCGAGCGAGATATGCATTGACAAGACCGGGAAATGGAATCCACCGCTGAATTCCAAGCAACATAGCATTGAATTTGCTATTGAAGGCGGAGATGTCGGGTAAAACATTGGGATAGACATCAAGGAGAGTCTTCCCCATTAAAATATTGACCGAGAGGTTCCCCACAAAGCCACTAATCAAAGAGTACAGTTTGGTTATGCATACTCTTTCTCCGCTTGCTTCATTTTGGAGAGCAACACCACTTATCCGTTCCCATGGGTATTGATCTACAACACTCGAGGTGAATGAGACCAAGGATGGAGTGGTTCGTTCAATTTCCTTGACCAGCACGGATGAAAGATCGGTGAGGTAGGGTTCTTCTGCCAAAAGCCTTATCCACTTCGATGATTCACCATGGTAAGTGCCTTCTCGGCCAGGTTTGCGCGCACGACTGTTAGTACCAAAATTGTTGTCCAGCAGGTAGTTGATGCATGGTTCTGCTGAAGTGGATTGGCGCTGCTTAAACAAGCTTCTAACCATCGAGGGAGTTGTAAGGACAACGTGCCTCCTCCCCCAACAATAAAAGCTGAATGCAGCTCCGCGCTCTGGCAGCCTAGATAACAAAGTTAATACCTCTGTCGAAAAGGGGCTCGAACGAACGTCAAGCATAAACTGACCGGGCATTGAATAGCAATCTCTTTCGGAAGAAACCTAACGAGAGCCAATGGCCAACGTAAGGCAACCAGTAGGGAACCTTGCTTGGGGATATTGATCCATCTGGGTATTTTGTTCTAATGCCTGGTAGACTAGTGATTTGTGTCAGGAGTCGGGTGACGAGACATGTCAGAACAAACACTACAACCACCGCCCACCCGCTCAAGTGGGCAAAAAGTTGCCGCAAGGCATCTACAGCGAGCTGAGGGATCGAGGGGGTGTCGTTATCCATTTATCCTTCTTCTTCCTCTCCTCCACCGAGTTTGACCGGAGCCTAGTCTAACAAATTGCCCAAGGAAGCCGTTGAAGCCTTCGGTCTGGATAAGCATATCACATGACGTTGATCTTGCTGATATAATCTCTCCACGTGCCTGGGGAAACCCTAATCAATCCCGCGGAGTGCTTTTTTTAGTTTCAACTAACTATTTTAGGAAGGAAGAGAGATAGAAAAAAAGCGCCAAATATAACGCAAGCGACGCCTCGACAAGAAGCTCCCCTGAATGTGCACCTCTTGATATCCGCCGACATGCCGACTATCAGCCACCAGGGGCAACAAAGAAAAAGAAAAGAAAGGAGAGAAGCGTTGTCGGAGATTCGCAGGTGATATCCAACTGTTTGCATGCAGCAGTCCTGCTGCAAAATGGGCACACGCTAGCGAATCATGGTGCTTACAACTCCACCGCGATGTCTCACCCCTCGTGATTAGAGCCTCATTTTCGCTTACTTGCCAACGTTCAGACATGGAAGATGGGCGAAATGAACTATTGGAGGGTCTGGGGGCCGTCGGCTATGCCCGTGGTTGGCCATTGCAAACTGTTCCTGGGGCCAGTTGAGTCAGGGAATGGAGTCGCCCTCGGAGGATGCGCCCGCAAAAGCCATTTTAGCTGCACTTGGCCGCACCTGGCCAGGATGTCATACAGTCTGCGAGGGGACAAGGTGGCTGTTTTTATCCATAACTTTGATGGGGCACGGAGTACAGAGTAAAATAGCAGAAAATTTATGCTCAAGGGCCCTTGCAGGATGGGCTTCCTGCTGGTCAAAGAGTCAGAGTTAAGGCGTGTACCCACCTCTGAGAAGGGGGTACTTTATCAGCGCCGCATCCCTCAGCTTTTATCTGAGTTCTACTCGTTCATATACCACTATCTCCCACAAACGGTGGCTCCTTTATTTTCTGGACCTTCTTGGGTAGAAGTGCCGTCGCGATGCCGGCCTCTCGTTTTTTGGGTCTTTGTGCCCTCCTCCAAGCGCTCAGGGCCACCCAGGCTTTCGCCCCTGATTGGACTATCACGAAATATTTCGAAGATTCTGTAACGACTTTGCCTGGGAATACAGGCCGCTACGGAACTTATCCGGCTACTGAATATACCAGTACAGTAACTGTTGTGCCAACTGTCACTTCTCCTATCGCCACCGCCACAATTATCGCAACCACCTACCCAGAAGCTATCACCTACGTACTCATAGGTCTTGAACCAGGCCAGGGAACATCGTCGAGTTATGACTACTCCGAAAGCACCAACACCTACTACGTCCCTCTCACGTATACCTACCCAAGATACTGCTCTGTGACCTCTGGCGAAAGCACCATCACGACATCAGCGCGAATTTCCATCCCAACCGAGATCCAGAGTGTTCTCACCCCAACCGTGACATCTGTAACGACCTCTGTCGTGGATTATCTGGAATCAGTCTCTTATTATACCTCTACAGCCTCATTTGTAGATCCAACAGAGCTTCCATCTGGGATTTACAGTAGTATAGAAGCAAGTCATACCCCTAGTGAAATTCAGTACTGCCGATATGAATCTCACTCAGGTTCCGGCGGCTACGGTTCACAACCTAGCTCCAGTTCCAGCTCCAGCGATAACTATGATGGTTATTGTGGCCGGTATTATGGGTGCTATCACTCCTATTGGTCTCCATATCTTGCACTATCCCTTATCATCACCTTTTCTTGGTTCGGCCTTTTTTTCATTGTTGGCCTGATCGAGAGTGCTGTTAGATTCAGAAAACTTATGCGAGGCCGCGGGGCAAGTAGAGGCCTACCCAAGTCCTTTGCTTGTTTGTGCCCAATATTATCGTGTTTGTTTATTATGTGCATGCACCGAGGCTACAGACCGAAACCGAGGGAAGAACAAGAGGAGTTGGAAAGAAATTGGAAATCTATGTCCTTCGCCGCTAAATTCACCCTCTGGTTGAAATATGGATTCAGCAGAAGCTACCCTCCAATGCTTGGAGCAGCACCTCCCCTCGCCACCGATCCGCTGCCAGCCAGTCAGCCTCAGATGGCACAGCAACCTGTGGTCCCTGGAGTCATGCCGCCACTACCTCAACAAACTGGCCCGCAACCTCTGCCTCACCAGACAGGTCAACAGACTGAACGGCAACTGGATAACCAACAGCAAGAACAGCAGCCTGTCCTTCGGTCAGCAGAGCAGAACCCAGAATCCTCACAGAGAGAATACCAACCATTACCGACAGTAGGCCAAAGTGGCAGTACAGGGTTGTTTGAGCATCCAACTCATGCAATTTCGCCAGTTAATGAACAAGGCTCTCCGCTACCGCTCCAATCTGATCTCACTCAGCCATATACTTCGCATGACCAGCATATACATGAAGAACAGCCACAAAATGCTATCACTCAACCTACCGATTTTCATTCTGGAGCACCTAAAAATGCTTAATCGAGTCTACTCCAACCATACATCCAAACTAATGCCGTATCTATAATGATGCTCTCATTCAACCTTGATATGATGACCATTTCATGCATTTATACGTGTTTAATATAATATTTCAATAAAAAAAAAAATTGGTATTCTACATTATTATAGTCTTTGTTTTAGGGGCGGTCTTGGTCAAATTATTGGTTTACTATTTCATGTACGATGAATAACCCATCATACTTCTATCTCCCAAGATCTCAAGATCTCAATTGTATTCATTGGGCTTTACTATTCAGAAACACTACAAATATTCACCTTTCTATTCCCTGTAATACCATATTCAAAACTAGATACAATATTATGTGCAATTGGTAAAACTCAATCTCTGGGCTTAAAACTCGGTTTTCAGAACAAGCTTTAACTGTGCGCTCTCCATCTCATATTGATCAATTTTTGCCTGGTTTAGAGCCAAGTTAGCTAGCAACCATTTAATTCTTCTCCTCGCTTCGCTAGGCTCTTTTGGGAAAGACCCTAGAACTTTTAGCTCTTCTTCAATCTTATTAATTGCCTGGTTCTGTATTGTGATCATTTGGCCGAGAATTCTTAGATCGAGCCTGCTACTAAGAACCTTATCTTCAACTAACTGGCGGAAGGCAGCCGCTAGCACTGGTTTCCCAGGCTTGATAATTGAAGGACGTCCGTTCTTTGAAATGACAGAGATTAGTTCTGCTTTCTCAAGCGCACGAAGGGTAGCCTCGCCATCCTTTTTGAACAGGTCCGACAAAATTATATCGCTGTATCGAATGCTAGCTTCCCCATTTGCATCTGAGTCGCTCTGGTTTCCTGCTTGGGCCTTGGCTGTTCCTAAGTTTTTGATTAAGTACCATGCTTGTTCCGGGGTCCAGCCACGGGAACTTGGATCAACTTCTGTGATAAATATCTTAAGGATTTCCGCAGCAGACTGATGTACTATCTGTTGAACGGCATCTACAGAGCACTTAGCATTATAATTCACTAGTAATGGGGGGTAGCTTACTATTTGGGGTCAGGCCTCTAGCAATCATGCGAGCGAAAAATTCAAGGTCTGTTAAACGGCCTCCGAGCCGTTTGATACATTCGGTGAGCTCCTGGTTAAATTTTTCATCGGAATAGTCCAAGCCTTTAGAATCCTCATTACCGGACACATGGCTTAACACGAACCGTTTAGCCACTTCAGGTTTGCAATCAGTGAATGACACCTGATGGAAAACCTGATTCGGTAAGGCCTGACTTAATGTCTTAGAATAGGAAAGGTCTGACGTGAGGAAGACAACGTGTGCAATATTGGTATATATCAATGCAGCTGCCCATTCTGCAAGTTTGTCGTATACCATCTGGTTGTCTTTGCTTTTATGTAGGAAATTATCAATGATAACAACTGGCCGACGAGCAGGGTTTGCCTCTAACCATTCATCATCACTCAAGTGACCATCTTTATCCCCCTTTTTTCTCCCGTCCAAAGCAACTTTTTTCAGGGCCTTAGCAGTGTTTTGCAATATGTTACCGAGCTGTGTGTCCAGAGTCTCGGACAATCCGGCCTTTGTACCAATGGCGCTTTGAGTTGCAACGTCAATCACACTGCTAATGCTGTTCATCCAGGAGAATACTGGTCTGTACCCAACCTCAGCAGCGGCAGCGGCTATCATGGTACTGTCTCCTGGAGCTTCTTGGATAGGTTTGCAGTCGATGACCAGTTTGTTCTTGTAATTTTTAAGCGCCTCGTCCAAAACAAATTCTTTCTTTCCTAAGCCTCGGGGCCCATGTACAACAATAAAGGTATCGTTCCCTTCCACAAGCCAATTCTGAATTTGCTGGGCGTCTTCTTTCCTTTCTTCCCAGATTTCGTTAAGGCCTTTCGACTCATATTGGCCCCGGTGAAGAGAAAATAGAGAGTTTGCTTTAGTTGCCTGTCTCTGAAGCCACATCCATAGCCTATTATCCTGGAACTGCAGTGGAGGAGATATTTTCAATCTAATGAAGAACGTCCTTATGGGATCAAAAATGGCGACAGTGATCCCAGCTAAGATGGCGACAAGGATGGGAAGCACAATTCGCGGATGGCTAAATAACCAGTCTCTTATCCAATGTGCCTTGATCTTCCGCTCGTAGCTAAACTGCAGGATAGTTCCAGCCTTGCCTCCAATATCGCCTGAAGGAACCTTGAACCCGTGAAGGCAGTTTTTTGCCATCACGGCGCTTACTGGATTAGAAAAGTCAAGCAAAGCATATCTTGGTACGACTTTTGAGTCTGCGGGCTGAGGAATAATGTCGGTCAATTTGCCGTATGTCCTGGCAAGCGAGTAGAGGTTTTCCTGTGTAAGTTCTGCAGCCGGAGCATCCAGCGATACAGGCAGGAATTCAACCTTGACTCTTGAGCTTGGAAACCGGTATGATAGGTCCTCCACCCAAGGACGCCCACGTACAAGGGCAGCGCTGGCAGGGCTGAAGAGGCTAAACCACGGCTTTACAGGATTCTCATATAAATGCTGGGTAATGGCCTTGATAATGTCTGAGCCTGATGTTTCAGGACCATGAGATAGTTTGACAAAGGCACCACCTTCTGTGAGGCGTGGAATGACCTGGGTGATATTTGGATGGAGTTCATCAGGAATAACTTGTTCGACAACAGTAGGGGAGCCCGTGAGCTCAGCACCTCTAACTCCAAGTTTTTCCAGCCGCTGCAAGACCATAGCATTCAAGTTTACATATGGAATGCGCGATAGCCAGCCCAAATGGACAGGAAGAACACCTATAGTATAGTATTAGCTGGTACTGCTATACTCTCGAGGGATAGTGGTGATGTCACACTTACTGCTTATGAAAATAAGAGATTCATTCTGTGACTTGTCTATGTATCCAGCTCTATGCGGCTCTGCAGCCGAGGCCTGGCATATGCTCCGATAGTTCTGACATCGTCTTCTGGCTATGCTCAGGAACCGCCCCCTCCAGGGTATCTGCCCGGGAGGTAGACCACGGACTACTGGGATCATCCTGTGAGGGAGTGGGAGCACTATCAGAGCTCTGCAGGCTCAGTACAAATGTGACTTAAGCGCCAAAAGCAGGATCGGCCATTTCTCGAGCTACCCGGCGGTCTTTTATACGCATCAGTATCATGACGTTTGCTGGTCCAAGTTGGCAGACGTTCTGGGTTGATGCTGGGTGGGAATAAGGTTTGTCACGTGCCCAAGCCTATTCGAACTTCTTCCACTTTATTTCTTGCTGATTGATCGTCGGGTTTGTGGAAGCAGATGAGCAGTTTGGCTTTTTATATTCAACGAGCGGACGCAGGTACGAACGCAGAAGACAACAATGGGTTGGCTGTGGAATAGTAGTAGCCCGGCTACTGCTGAGCAGGCACAGAAACCGGATCCCTCACCTCCAGCAAATGATTCGCATCCTTTACCATCCAATCCTGCCACGGAACAGTCCACGCCTCAGGTGAAGCCGCTTGGCCGTGACGAGATCGCAGAGGCCGAGTTCAACGAGTTGTTGAAGTCGCTAGATAACTCTACGTCATCCACCGAACAGCATGCGCCATCCACGTCTAAATCTAGGACCTCTAAGCCGCTTCCCTCACAATCAATTCACTTCGAATCTCCGTCTACCCAATTTCAGTCCGATTCACTCTACCCCAAAACCATGTCTTGCCGTACCGCTTTCGATTACGCATACTTCTGTCAGTCATTTGGAGGCCAATGGGTGAACGTCTATCGATATGGTGAACTACGGTCGTGCAGCGAGCATTGGTCTGACTTTTGGTTCTGTATGCGCTCAAAGTCGCTTCCTGACGAGGAAAGGGAAAAGGCTATCTCTGATAGATACAGGCGGAAAGCTATCAAGTATAAGACTGGCCCTAGTAGTGAAGATATCTGGGAACTAAGAAAGGAACCAGTTGTGGGGGCATTCCAAGGCGATTATCTCGCTTTTGAGAGAGAGATGGAGCGGCTAAAACAGCGGGAAAATGATGCAAAGGCTAATGAGGCCAATACTATGGAAGCATGAGAGTATGTTGCATCACGGCGTTGGATCATACTGTATACCATACTACTGGGATTGACTTGACAAACGGTTTGGTTTGCCTTTAGAAGTTAAATTTTATATGTATTATTAGAGTGTTGAATACCCCTTTCTTTCTCTGCTCCGTGGCGTTATGGACTAAAAGGATTTTAGGACAAGTTTTGGGTGCATATAGGCATGAGACTGGCTGGATGGCCTTTTGATTAATGGAATTGAAGTCATTGATTCTTGTCATGTTGCCTTCGTGAGCTGAGAGATATATCATTGGGAAGAAGCAAGGTGGGACGGGCTAACTAGTTTAACTATGTTCGGAAAATTCTTCTTCAATGAAAAGTTTTCTCACTAGAGAATGAATAACACAATGATCATACACATATTAGAAGAACAAATGCTGAATGCAACCTGAAACTAGGAGAATGAATAAAATACATATGGATCAGGCGTTGTCGACATTTCCGATGCAATTTTCCTCGTGCTGACAAACTCGGTTTCCTCCAGAAAAGTTGACGAAATAACTAATAATCGCAAAAGAAAGACAAATGGCTACCAAATACGCGAGGACTGCTATTCAGAGGCTTGCGGGCTTGCGGTTTATGCAGCGGCTATTCGGATCTCCTTGGGGACAGCCTCAATTGCTGGACGGCGAACAATTCCGCCAGCGGCTGGAAGATGGGATGTACTTCCCATAAGATATGAGTCGATCTCTCGAGCCGCCTGTCGACCTTCATTGATTCCCCTGGAGTGGACAAACGTGTTAGTGCAGGTTAGATGTTAGCCTCGAATATGGTTTACATACCAGACAATTAGCGACTGTCCACGCCTACAGTCACCAGCAGCAAATACGCCGGGGATGTTAGTTGAGTAGTGGCCAGCGGGAGTCTTGATATTCTTTCGTGCATCTCTCTCGACCTCGTCGCCCAGGAGTCGATCTTCAGGGCCCAGGAAACCCATTGAAAGGAGGACAAGGTCAGCCGGGAAGAATTGCTCACTGCCCTCGACAGTCTTCATATCCCAGCCACCTGAAGGGCTCTTCGTCCACTCAACTCGGACAATGTTGATACCCTTGACATGACCGTTTTCATCTCCAACGAACTCCTTCGACATGACACAGAATTCTCGCGGGTCTTTGCCCATGTGAGTCTTGACTTCGCTGTGACCATAATCTATACGGTAGATTCGGGGCCACTGTGGCCATGGGTTATCGCGAGCACGGTCCTGAGGAGGCTGAGGAAGGAGCTCGAAGTTTGTGACAGATTTTGCTCCATGTCGGACGGATGTTCCGATACAATCGTTGCCAGTATCACCACCACCAATGACAATAACATCTTTGCCTTTTGCTGAGATGTACTCACCATCATTTAGTTCTGAGTCAAGAAGGGATTTGGTGTTACGGTGCAGGAACTCCATGGCAAAATGAATTCCCGCGAGATCACGGTTTGGGATCTTTAGATCTCGCGCGACGGTAGCACCGGTAGCTATGACTACCGCGTTGTTTGACTTCTGTAGAGACTGGAGAGATACCTCCTGGTCTGGACCAACGACCGTGCCAGTAACGAACTTGATACCTTCTGCAGCCATGAAATCAACGCGTCTTTGCACAACCTTCTTGTCCAGCTTCATGTTTGGAATGCCATACATCAGTAAACCGCCAATGCGGTCTGCTCGCTCGTATACGGTCACACTGTGTCCGGCACGATTGAGTTGATCAGCCGCAGCCAAGCCAGCTGGGCCTGAGCCGATAATTGCAACAGATTTTCCTGTACGGGTTGGAGGTTGTTTTGGAACCATCCAGCCCATCTCAAAACCTCGGTCAATAATTGCACATTCGATTGATTTGATACCAACTGGATCATCAACAATTCCAAGGACACAAGCGCCTTCACATGGAGCAGGGCAAACGCGCCCAGTGAATTCGGGGAAATTATTTGTCATGAGCAACCGGTTGAGTGCATCTTGCCATTGGTTCTGGAATACAAGCTCATTCCACTTTGGAATGACATTGGAAATAGGGCAACCGGTGTCAGATTGACAGAATGGAACGCCACAGTCCATACATCTAGCGGATTGATATTTCAGCTCATCCTCTGTAAGTCTGGGTGACAGTTCCTGCCAGTCTCGAGTACGTGTTTTCGAGCTTCTGTACTTTTCATGACGCCGAGCATACTTCATGAAGCCTTTGGTCTTATCTAAGATCAAAGCTGTGCGCTTTTTCTCTGTTTTAGCATCGCCGATACTATCTTCAATATCCAGAACGTCGGCACTAGCTTGATGATCCCCTTGGTGTTTGTGTTCTGCCTTCTCGTGAGGTTTCACCACGGCATTTTGACTAGAACTTGGATGCGCAGTCTCCAGCTTCTTGGCAGCCTCGATTTTAGCCGCTTCCTCCTCAAGCACTCGTTTATAGTCAGTTGGCAGCACCTTCACAATGTGCGATAAGGCCTTGTTGAAATCGATCAAGATTCTGGCGGCAATTTCAGACCCAGTGTAGTGATGATGGTCTTCAATGAGACCACGCAGGAATGCGATTTCAGCCGGATTATCGACACCAGAAAGCTCAACCATCTCCATGTTGACCTTTTGCTCGAAATCCCCAGCTGTATCAAGGACATATGCAATACCACCGGACATACCAGCAGCAAAATTTCTTCCCGTGGATCCAAGGATCAATACACGACCACCTGTCATGTATTCGCAACCATGGTCACCCACTCCTTCAACAACAGCAGTGGCACCAGAGTTACGGACAGCAAACCTCTCAGCGGCAACGCCACGGAAGTAGCAGCTTCCACTGGTGGCACCGTACAAGCAGACATTCCCGATGATGATATTTTCCTCTGCTTTGAAAACAGCACCGCGCGGAGGATAGATGATTAGGCGACCTCCAGATAAGCCCTTGCCCACATAGTCATTCGAGTCGCCTTCAAGCTCAAGGGTAACACCTGGGGCAAGGTAAGCTCCAAATGACTGTCCGGCGGACCCTCTGATATTGGCATGGATTGTGTCCTGCGGCAGCCCAGGCTCACCGTATCGTTTACTGATCTGATATGAGAGCGTGGCGCCCATAGCACGATCAGTGTTGACAATGTCACATTCCACTCTACACGGAAGTCCCTTTTCTAAGGCCAATTCCCCTTCTGCAATAAGTTTATTGTCGAGACGAGTGTGGAGGCGATGATCCTGCTTCCTCACATTGTACGTGGCAACTCCAGGTCTGAGGGAATGTGCAGGGGTGAGGATGAGGGAGAGGTCAATGTTGTGCATGCGAGGAGATGCTAGGTCATCTCTTATCTTGAGAAGTTCAGCTCTTCCGACCATCTCGTTGACACTGCGGAAACCAAGCTTGGCCATGATGGCACGGAGCTCGTTTGCGACATAATAGAAAAAGTTGATGACATGCTCCGGGGTGCCTTGGAACTTCTCTCGGAGAACTGGGTCTTGGGTAGCTATTCCAACGGGACAAGTGTTCAGGTGGCACTTCCTCATCATAACACATCCCATTGCAATCAGTGGAGCAGTTGCGAATCCCCATTCCTCAGCTCCTAGCAAACATGCAATAGCAATATCTCTGCCAGTTCTGAGCTGCCCATCGGTCTGGACTATGACACGCCCACGTAAGTCGTTAAGAACCAAGGTTTGGTGAGTTTCAGCCAACCCAAGCTCCCATGGTAGACCGGCATATTTGATACCAGTCCATCGGGAAGCACCTGTACCTCCATCATGGCCGGCAATGAGGATGTGGTCCGCCTTGGCCTTTGCAACACCAGATGCAACAATACCCACACCAACCTCTGAGACGAGCTTGACAGAAACACGAGCACGAGGATTGGAGCACTTGAGATCATATATGAGTTGCTTTAGGTCCTCAATGGAGTATATGTCATGATGGGGTGGAGGAGATATCAGACCAACTCCAGGGGTGGAGTGTCGGGTATGCGCAATGGGCCCTGTTACTTTGTGGCCAGGCAATTCACCTCCTTCGCCAGGTTTGGCTCCTTGAGCCATCTTGATCTGCAATTCATCTGCATCAGCTAGGTAGCTTGAAGTGACTCCAAATCGCCCAGAGGCAATCTGTTTGATAGCCGATCTCATTGTGTCCCCATTTTCTCCGACTTTGCTGCGACTAGCATCCTCACCACCTTCGCCAGTATTGGATTTACCACCTAGCCTATTCATAGCAATAGCAAGGGTAGAGTGGGATTCGAAGGATATTGAGCCATAAGACATGGCGCCAGTAACAAAACGGCGGACGATATCAGTCCATGGCTCGACTTGATCAACCGGAATGGGAGTTCGTTGCTCAAAGTCAAATTCCAGCATCCCGCGCAGCGTGCAGTTCTTAATCTGCTCAAATTCTGCCTTAGCATATGCTTCGTAAGATTTGTCATTCTTATTGCGGACGGCATCTTGCATGTTGGCAATGCTGACTGGATCGTTGATGTGTGGCTCTCCTCCATCTCGCCAGTGGTATTCTCCTGACTCGGTAAGACCGGGTATTTCAGTGATTTGTCGCGAAGGATATCCCTTTTCGTGGAAAGCAAAGGCGTCCTGAGCGATAGCCTCGAATGTCATTCCCCGAATTCTGCTTGCTGTTCCGACGAAGCATCTGTCAATGACGCTGTCATCAATACCAAGGGCTTCGAAAATCTGAGCTCCTTTATAACTCTGCAAGGTGGAGATACCCATCTTGCTCATGACCTTCAGAATACCACCATCAACTGAATGTTTGTAGTTATTGACGATTTGGTCATCAGTGAGTTTCTTCCGGATGAGGCCTTCGCGGTTCATCTTGAGCATGCACTCAATAGCAAGGTATGGGCATACACCATCCGCACCATAGCCAACGAGAACACACATGTGATGGACTTCACGAGCTTCGCCAGTCTCAACTATGAGGGCCACTAATGAACGCCATTTATTGCGAACAAGGTGGTGGTGGACTAAACCGGTAGCCAGGAGAGCAGATACTGGAACCCGGTCAGCAGCGGTCGCTCTATCAGACAGAATTAATACCCGATCACCGTTCTTGATGCCTGCACTAGCTGCTTCACATATGCTCTCGAGGGCATCAAGATAACCCTGGACCCCCTTTGACTTGTCAAAGGTGATATCAATGATCCTTACGGGCCAGTCTTTGTGCAGGAAGGTGATATTTTTGATGGTATCGAATTCAGTGAGAGAGAGGATAGGGGATGGAAGATGAAGACGATGGCACTGTGTTTCGTTGATTTCGAGCAGGTTTCCCTGAGGGCCGACGTAGCACTCTAGGGACATAACGATGGCCTCACGGATAGGGTCAATAGGCGGATTGGTGACTTGAGCAAACAGTTGACGGAAGTACTCATACATGAGCCGTGGTTGCTGGGCAATGCAGGCAAGAGGAGCATCGTTGCCCATCGAACCAAGAGCTTCCTTGGAATCAGCAGCCATTGGGCCCAAGAGCAAACTCACTTGCTCGAAAGTATACCCAAACGCCTTTAGACGCGGGTCTTGCTGGACAGTTAACTCATCTAGCTTTGGTGTGACTTTGATAACCTTGTCATCTATGTACTTCTGGTGAATTTTAGGCAGGCTTAGAAGCTGTGACTCGACCCATTTGGCGAAGGGTTGGCGGTTGGCAACAGTTTGCTTTAGCTCTGTATCATCGATGATTCTTCCTGCCACGGTATCGACAAGGAGCATCTTGCCAGGCTGCAGACGACCCTTTTCTATGACACGCTCCTGATCGATGACAAGAGCACCGACTTCAGAGGCGCAGATTATTCTGTCGTCATCTGTGATATAGTATCTGCACGGTCTAAGACCGTTACGGTCCAAATTGGCACCGCAGTATCGACCGTCAGAGAATGTGAAGAGAGCTGGGCCATCCCAAGGTTCCATCTGGCATGCTGCCCATTCGTAAAAGGCGGCCTTCTCCGCGTCCATAGAGGGATTATCCTGCCAGGCTTCAGGAACCATCAGCATGACTGCTTCAGGAAGAGACAGGACGCCGTTGATTGTCAACAACTCTAGTACGTTATCAAAAGCCGCGGAGTCGGAGCCACCCTCCTCCACAATGGGATAGAGCAAGTCGAGCTCCTCTCCAAAGATCTCTGATTTGAGTACCCCTTCTCTCGCTCTCATCCAGTTTTTATTCCCACGGAGAGTGTTTATTTCACCATTGTGGGCTGCCCATCGGAGAGGCTGTGCACGGTCCCACGAGGGGAAAGTATTTGTTGAGAAACGAGAGTGAACCAGGGCAAAGTGGCCTTCATAGTCCACTGAAACGAGGTCGTGATAGTACTCATAAACTTGAACTGGAGCCAATTGGCCCTTATAAACGATATTCTTATTACTCAGGGAGCAAAGATAAAACCAGTTGGCAAGGCCAAGGACATGAGTTGCCCGTTTTCTCAGCACATACAGCTGCCTCTCAAAGAGCCTCTCATCAAAGAGTTCAGAGTGGGTTTCAAGAGGAACATTGCCATCCCCATATGCAGAGTGAAGGACAACGATAGGCTGATAAATGAATGGCTCACGGGACAGGGCAGCTGGCCCTAGAATCGTTGAATCGTGGGGCACTTCTCTCCACCCAAGCACTCGCAGGTTCAATTCTCTAGCGAGATCCTCAAAGGTGGACTGTGAGTCCCTAAGGGCGACAGGATCAGGCTTGAAAAAGAGATTTCCCACAGCATATTGTCCCAATGGTGGTAGAACAACATCAATATCCCTGGCAAAGTGCTTTGTGATGAATTTGTGCGGGATACTCGTCATGACACCGGCACCATCGCCGTCTCGAGCGTCGGAGCCAACTGCTCCTCGATGGGTCATGTTGCATAGTAAACCTCGTGCTATGGAGGATTTCAGTCAGCAGTCAGCATTACAGCCCAAGCGAACCTGTGATATTGACTACAAGGCAGAACATACCATCACTGACTATCTTATGGCTTGCCTTTCCCTTGATGTGGCTAGGAAACACGGTTAGTGAGCCATTGTTCTTCCGCGTCCAGGCCGGGCACACTTACGCAGTGAAGCCTACACCACAGGCATCTTTCTCCAGCTCTGGGTCATATAGACCCTGCTTCTTGGGCAGGGCCTCCGCCCAGCCATAGCCGCTGTCAGCCCTGTATGGAGAGTATTCGTTGGGAGTATTGTCTTGCGCTGCTGTGTCCCTGGTTTTCTCCAAGAGGCCCATTCTTCCTGCCTGCGTGGTCGGCAGAGAGAGAACGCGACGCCTGACCTTGTTATAGTAACAATTTGAACTGACAGTGGCTAGATATGACGTTTTTGATCAAATTGGGGATTGAAGCAAGATGAAGACAGAGAAGACGGGCGTGAAGATGGTGTGATGATAGAAGGATGTGAAGTGAAAGAGGGGAAGATGAGAGTGAAAGAAGTTAATGAATAATAACAAGCACACCAGCACAGGGCATCCTCGGAAGTTGGCCATCGTTTGTTCTATGGTTGGGCCGGCTGGTTCCATAGCTCGCCTCGAGCGTCAAACCGAGCGTGGGGGAGGAAGACCTGCACACCAAACCCTACGGCATCTACGCACCTTCGTGGCCAGGCAGCGGCCGCTCGGGAGGGTGGCATCCTCGGGACGTCTGCTACAGCGAGGCCATCCATCCAGCCTGCGTCTTTGACGATCCAGCGCTGGAGGTCCCCCTTCACCCTTCACAGGCCTTTTCCCAGCAAAAACAGTGACGGAGCGATGGACGATAACAGCGGGTCTCGGTGCTAATCGGAGCCTTCTCATTGGTCAATGTCGCTTATCTGCAGACTTAACCTTAAAAAAAGCATCGACCAAGCTGGAACTTGATGCTTTTTTTTTTTTTTTTCTCGAGATGCAAAAGCCGAAGACAAAGAAGAAGAAGAAGAAGAAGAAGGCAAAAGGACAGCAGGGAGACAAGAAAGATGACTAGTTATGCGCATGTCCTGCAGTCTCCAGTCTCGGGCGGGAGAGGAAGAGGCAGCTGCTCTCCCCAGACGCTCTCTGCTCCTCGATAGAACCTGCTTTACTTACGGTTCGTCCGTTATCTCAACCTGGTAGTTAACTCGTTAAAAAGCATGTGCTTCCACTTTTATCTTCCCCCCGCCCCCCACCATTACTCCGTAGTTATGTTTACTCTGCGTTGGCTGAACCACAAAGGAGGGATGTTAATTGGCCAGCTTATTTTCCTTGAAGGCCCGACATCGGCAGCCTGAGAGCCGCACTTTATTTTTGTTGTCGTTTCTGCCGGTGGCCTTGACTCCTTTGGCCCTTTCGAGTTGCTCATGAATCTTTGAAAAAGGGGCATCGACAGAGCAAAACACCAGCCGGACGGGGGTTTTACGTAACCCGATTCTGGTTCTTGGAGAAGATGTACATTGGATACTACGGGCCGCTCGATGCTGTTTATATGACATGCGTGTTATAAGTCTCCCTCCCGGCTGAAGCTGGGCATCGTATCAGACCGAGTGCCGGCTTCACGTTCGTATCTCCTTCGATAATGCCGAATCCTCGGCACAAAAGAAAAACAACAAACGCCCATCTTTTTCCCAGTCGTATTGGAAGCCCCGGAACAGCCCGCGCCCTCCCCCAAAAGCCCCAAAAGCAACGACTGAAAGTGGGAATAGCAACTGGAGAGGGCTGGAGAGAGGATCGGGTCCTTTCGGAAGGAAAGAGTCACGTGGTGCAGGTTGCATGTGCATTCAGCAGTTCACGGCCTCCCTTCAGCTCCTACACCTCCCTATTATTGTGTAGCAAAAGAAGATATAGGGAGCAAAGCAGCTACCCCGTAACTAACTAGTTATGGAGAACGCCTTGGGGACTCTCTGCATATATGATGTCAGATATGCGAGGACAGGTGGCGACGGACTGATGCCGCTCAACGCCATTCATATTCATACATATATATATCCACCATTCTGCAGGGAGGTGAACTCCGTGAATACGAAATTATTTGTCAATCATACATAAAAGACAGTCGGATAGCAACGCTCAACAAGGCTCCGGTGCGGATACAGGATCATGGTCCTCGCGTGACGCATCTTCAACTTCCTGGGTTGCTTTCGGTTTGTGGCCTGGGTGGCATCCTTCCACGAAGGGGGCTTCCACGCCCAGGCCCGGGGGTGGGAAGAGGTATGACAGAACAGTCATCCAGGTGAACCCCATAGCCAAACCAACAAAGAATGTGATATTGAACAATTTGATCCAGCCTTGCATGGCTGGAGATTTGTCTTTATTGACTGATGCGACAAGTCCAGCTGGAAAAAAAAGAAGAAGAAAAAGAAAAAGCTGTTAATATACCATAGTAACCAACAAAGCAAAGATCTCTCAAGAGGGGCATCGACTTACGTATTTGAGACCATATACTGGCGGTAAAGGCGACAGCCCCACGCCAATTGAACCCGTGCCAGTACCAGTATATGGATGATGAGTCTCCCTTATACAGGTCACAGAGCTTGAGTGTCTGGCGCCGGATGACGAGATAGTCTGATAGCATGATACCACTGGTAGGCCGTTAGGTCTCTCTCTGTTTGGATATCAACTGAGGCTGGATCCGTATCTTACATTAAAGGAGCCATAAATATTCCAAATCCAGATAAAACTGACAGAAATTTATCTGCACTGGAAAGAAGTTGCCATGGCCTTGGTTTTGATTAGTTTGTCTTGTCTCTCTGTCGGCATCGTGCAAATCACTATACAACTCACTGAGATGCAAGGCCAATAACGACCATAATATAACTTCCTCTTCTAATGTTTATATATTTCGGTTGTAGACCGGCTAGATCCATTCCTGCTGAGACAGAGTTCAGTACAAGCGATATCTATAACCCAGGTCAGCAAGTTCCCAACTGTTGGAGCCATTGAGGTTGGACCCTACCGCAAGCTGAGTCGAGACAGTGCCTATGGAGGCAAAGAATACGCCAGCTCTGGAACGTGGACTTGAACGATAGTGTTCCTGTATAGCAGCAAGAAGTTGGATGGGGCTCCAGATGATCTCTCCGAGAATGTCATTCACGGCACTGGTTACGATTATCCCAATCATAGCTGTAATTGTGATTGTTATGGGCGCAGCTATAAGCTGAGATAACGTTGGTGCCAGTGGCCGATTCGCATAACGGGTCCAGTCGGATTGGCTTAGGGTACTAGCACCCCATGCACCAAGGATCGCAGTTATCCCAAACATGACACCCCATCCTACAGAGTCTGTTGTTGCTGGCTGATGAAACATTGATCCAGGACCTCCAGCATTTCTCACTGCCCTGTAATATGTTAGCAACGGGACAGGCTTGGAAAAGAACAAAATCAACCAACACATACCAAACCAAAATCCCGATACATGTTGAACTGAATAGTACGAACGAAATACCAAACGGGATTTGGAGTCTTTCAGGGGGGATAAGCAGTAAAGGCAGGAATATAAGATACCACAAGACCATACCAATAAAGTCATTGGTGAGCAGGTGTGAGCTTTCTGAGAATAAATTCTTCATATGCGCAAAACTGGGGATAACTGCTCCTACGAGAACTCTGGTTGCTTGACCTCCCCTGTATTATCAATATTAGTCTTGGGGGGTTTGCCTAATACTTTTGAAGTATAACTTACCAGTATGACTGCATTCCAAACCAGAGGCAACCAAGAAAGCATCGAAGAACAACAGGAACTATTGCCATCGATGAGTCCGAAATGCATACTCACAGGTAGGTATCGTATTAAACCTACAGTATGATCCTCTCATTCCCCACGAGAACCTTGAAGCAACCGGAAAGCCGATATGGTGTCGCTCACCCATCCAACCGCATGCAACAGCAAGTAGACCAGTGAATACTCCACCCACAGCCTGTGTTATCACACTATATCAGCCCCCGAGCACTGATTTCGATAGAAATCAAACCGGTAGGGAGATACACGTACCACGCATCCAATTGCCTGTTGGGGACTTAGCCCGAATGCCAAAAGAGTGCTTCCTATAGTCCATGCTGATATGCATGAACCGGATACCATCCAGTAACCTATCCAACCCATAAGTCCATCCCGTCCACTTTGTCGGCATCATAAAACAATGGCATACCAGTATAACCCCAAATTCCCCAAGTTCGCCTGTCCGGAGGGATTGGTATAAGGTCTCTATTGCACCACACCGTGTTTTCGTATAGCGGGTCTTTGTCTATCGGCCTTTCAGCTCAGATTCATTAGCAGGCAAATCGTCAACTACACTACACAGGTAGTTAGAGGTTGCATTGTCAAAAGCCACTTACACCGCCAACTTCTGCTTAAAACTGGCCCAGTCGACCATCTTGCCGGCTTCCACGGCTGTATAGTTAACAAACGGTGGTTTACAAAGAAATGAAGCCGTAGACCCGTTGAAGCGGAGCTATTGTGGAGATTGATATAATTAAAGGAATCTGGGGTATTTCAGCCGGGGGATGTGGGAAGTGCCAGAGTAGTGATCAAGCCATTTCACCGTACAGCTCATGGCGGTGGTGATCTGCATGGATCAATTATCTCCATGGGCAACATACTTGGTGCAACCATCATGCGCCTTTACAGCTTGTCCTCTGAATTATCGTTCTTAGACCTACATGTAGCGAGTAAGTGTTAATATTTAGTTAGATAACTACTGAACTGGTCGATCTCGGCTGGGGAGCCGTTATATCCAGGGCGAGCCACGTTATCTTCAGGGTAACTAAGTTAATTAAACGATCGTGAGAGCCAAAGACAAGGAAGATCGAAACATCCATGTCCTGGGAAACTGGCTAACGAAGTAGCTCACTAACTAACTAGCTCGTTAGCTAACTACTAGGGGGGAAGCAAAAGACGAAGTCCACATCGGAGTAACTCCTGAGTGTCCAGTCTGCTATATTTAACTCGACGGTGGGCTTTGTTTGACCATGATAATAGTGTAGCCAGGATGACCTCTTTCTTTCAACAAGGAAACTCTTAACTAGCTAGAGCCCCATAGTTAATCGGCAAGCGAGACAGTCCTGGCTTTGTATTAAGGGGATAGTTAGTGGCGATGAAGCCGCAGCAGTCGTCCTTTTGCCTCTTCGGCACGACCCATGCCGGAGCAAAGTTACCATGCTGGCGGGATGAGGCTCGAAGGCGATGATGATATTGGGGTAGTTAGTTAGAGGGTGATTTTTAGCTGATGGCATGCTGGGTCTCATGCAATAGTAACAAATAACTTGGTCATTATCATTCTTTAAACAGTGCAAAACTGGGAAGCAGCTATGTAGTTATGGATGGACACTATCTAGGAGATGGCATTCAGTCTCATGGCGATATAATCCCCTGAAGCAATCGGCTCATACTTCTTGGGTTTGTCCGGACCATAGCAGCCAGGCAGGCAGTCAATCACCTTGTTCTTGTCTGCGACAATGAAGTAGGGAATCGAGTACCTGGCCCGGCTCATTCGTCGACCACCCGAGTCTCCATCCTTCTCCCGCCCGTTCTCATCCACGTTCACCACTGGCGGAGCCCTGACCCGATGCATCGTCGACCGAAGCGTATCGTTACTCCATCTCATAAGGAAATCTGCAATGTTCACCACCATAGTGCCAGGGATGTATGGAACAGGATTGAACACCCCCGTTTGGTGGATATCTTCGACTTCCAGCCCGCCAACGTCGTCCTGGAAAAGTAGAGTCATCGTAGCAAAGTCAGTGTGAGCAGCTACACGCTCTTTTTCGCCCTGACGAAGCATCTCCTCTTCCACGGGAGGGTAGTGAAGCAGTCTGGTCTGGTTGTCTTTCATCGTATGGTACGACTCGAAAAAGTCCCTGTCAAGCCCCATCCCTATCGCCACTGCGCGCAATATTTCCTGCCCAACATCATGGTTGATCTCGAAGAAGTTGTTGAAGAACGCACGGAACCCAGGGATGGTCGACTCTGGCAGCCAGATGTTGGGGGTGGTCTCGTCATCCTCTCGTCCCATCTCGAAGGACTCCTTGACGTCGGGGATCTTGCGGAGCTCGCCGAGGGTGTCGCTGTCAAACACCATCTGGGTCACCTTCTCGCGGCCTATGCCGGAGTAGCCTCGATGCCACCATCCCTCTGGCGGGTGAGGCGCCTTTTCCTTCTCAGACAGTGGAAGGTCGAACAGTTTTTTGCTCTATATCTTAAGCGTCAGCAGATTGATATTTTCAGCTAGCCATGTCCATACCCAGGAAAACGCCTCATCAACAACCTCCTGAGGGACGCCGTGGTTCTTCAAGTAGACGAATCCAACATCTCGAAAGGCCTCGAAGATCTTCTTCCCTGTCGCCTCTGCATCTTCTGGGCTTCCATCACGGAACGGTGCAAAGTCGATGACTGGAATCTGGCTCATGGTTAGCAGGTAGACGTATGTACTCCGTAGTGGCATATGACTAGTTACTGTAGTGGCTATAACGTCCAAGCAATAACCGGTAGGGAAATAATTATGTCTACTGATGCGGGGAGAATTTCAGCTGATATCATCGATCTATCACAGAGTTGTCCTTGGTCATCCTCATGCTTGTCACAGCTACTCGTCAACCCTCAGCCCTGGGTACTGAGAATGACATCGATCGCAATGATCAACTGGTTAACTCACTAGCTAGCTAGCTAGTTAGTTACTAACTAGTTACTAGTTAGCCAGCTGTTGCGATGAAGCAAACAACAGCTTACATTCCCTAGCCGCAGCATCTCCGAACCGTTAACGACAGAGTCGATTGACATCAATCAAACCCGTTTCGGCAAAAGCTTGACCGTGGTTCTTCCTTTCTCCAGTCGCCGGGCCCGGCATAACGCAGTGCGGATTGGTGGAATACCGTCATTCGAGTTTCCGTATTTAGAATGGCGAAGCGCCAGGGTGGAACTCTTGCTCGAGCGTTGACTTCTCGAGCCTTAAATCAAAATTTTAACCACAGCAAGGAGGAAGGAAGGGCTTTTTGACAGTTTGCCCCCAGACGCAGGTGTTTCGGAACCGTCGCTATGCAGACCAGTCTGGTGTCGCATAGGCTTCGTACTCGAGGAAACAAGAAGAACCTGTTCTGCGAAGATCGTTCCCATTGCTTTTCTCTTCGTATACTCCTTGCTAGTGCCCGGAGGTCGGAGATGGGGAGGGGCTGTAGATACCCTATACGGCCTCCAGTTGTCCTCGATCTATCAAAGTTGTGCTCCACCGTCTCACCGGGAATGATCGAGCCTAGCGTGTGGGGAGGCCTTGGACGAAGGGGGGGGAAGAGAGCGAGCGTCCAGGCCTTTCTTTTGGACCGACTCATGATGCCTTGCATTAGGGACCCCGTTGTGCTCGGTCTCTCGCTCGGCTTCGGTGGCTGTAAGGCAATATGTATAGAGCCTGACCCCCGGGTGTCCCTGATTTTCAAGCAGTTAAAAAAAAGATATATCCACAGTCGGGGTGTTGGCCGCCGTACCTTTTCTCTATCCATTCTTTGTTGATACCATATCAATCATATCTGTGTTGACAGTATCTGGAGAGTGATACTGCGGAGCCTTCCCTCTACAGTTCAGTTGATGACCATGGCAGACATAGCTCAAAAGAAACAACCAAAGCAGCGAAAGAGTTTCCAGATAGAAACTCGCTTTGGAGGAGCAAGAGAACTAAAGAGCCGCAAAGATAGACCGTGCGATGCGTGCCGACAGAGGAAGACTGCGTGTGTCATTGTAACCAAACCGCCATGTTCGTATACCGAGTTAAATCATCTCCTTTCCTTCAGTGGTTGTCCTTGCTGACTGACTTGGATAGGCCGTTTCTGTGAAAGCAAATGTGTGACCTGCTCTTTTATATCGACTCCAAAACCACGCCGTCGGTCACCAGCTAAGAGTCAAGAGAAAGATGCCGAGCTTAGCACCTCTCCTCCTGTCAATATGGCAACCAGTTCAAGCGGTCCAATGCAGCATAGCGAAGCCCCGGTCTATCAATCACCACCGGACCATCTGAGCATGGCAGGGGTAGGAGCTCTGAGCCCAATATCGATGCTGAGTGTATCAGATCATGAGCAATACACAACACCAACATCAATTCCTGGATATCCGGCCACCTTAGCAAGTCCCAATCATCCATCAGCCATCCCCGTCTCAGGACAGGTCTACCACCACCTCCCCGAATACTCGTACTTCGCCAATCCAACGCCACCTTCACATCCCATATCGCCGGCCGCAGACAGCTTCAACCACATCGCTGGCCACGCAGCACATTTTATGGACGTCCCAGGGGAACAGCAGGATATAGGCGCTCTCTCATCATTTCGCTCTGGTGCCGTTGATCATCCAGCCCATCATATGGACATCAACTTCAACCACGTCGAACCTGCGGATCCAACACAAAATCTACCTCCTGACAACTTCTCCCTAGCCAGGGCCTGGTTCTGTGGGGTAGATAGAGGGAAACCCACGACTTCACACGAGAATGACGTGGAAGACATTGTAAGCAGTCAAGCTGATAGCCTGGTACGGCTATACTTCGCGAATGTCCATCCTGCATTTCCCGTACTCTCCAAAGGCCAGTTTCTGCGCGAATACGCACAGGATAAATATAGCATCTCTCTCACCCTCCGAGGCGCAGTATATGCTCTTGCGGCCTATTGGTTACCGGTGGATAGCACCTCACTAGTTTTCCGGGAGATGCTTTTCGAACACGTCCATGTCAGCCTGCAAAAGGAGCTAGAGCTAGAATCCCCGCAGCTATCAACGCTTCAGGCCTGTCTTCTGCTTCTGTACCAGCTTCAACCCCCCGAACACGCAACCGCGCAGGGATCCAAGGTTCTCGCCCTTTCAGCGCAGGCAGTTTCGTGTGCCCATGCACTCGGCCTACACCACAATGACACAGCCTGGGATATACCGGTGTGGGAAAAGAAGCTTCGTAGGAAATTATGGTGGGCAACGTACTATATTGACAGATGGACGTCGGTATCTCACGGCAGGCCGCCACATATCCAGAACGGCACCTTTGACACAGGAGACATTGAAGTTGAAGATCTCGTGTATGACGAGGATGTGGCTGGCCATGCGTGCTCATAACTTGTGAGAGAGGAAAATCATCAGTGTGCTGTGTCTTCAGCTGTACGATTCATTGAGCGGATCAAGTTGACCAAGCTACTGGATACTACACTGGGGTGTCCGTCGTAGGATGTCATCCATATAAATGGGACCACAGTAGATAGATGATTTATGTTATAAGTGACGAGAATAACGAATATATCGAATTGCTCTGCCAGTCGAGGGTATCACTTTGTATATAACTGTAGATTCTGGATATTGATGTTGGAGAGCTGTTCAACGTAAATCAATGCCAAGCCAAGGATCTCTACATATCTACAAACACACAAATGAGAAAAGAAAAGAGATGAAATATGAACATGTTATCCATTACTACCTAGGGAACTATTAGTTTTCCACCGAAGACCGCATCTATGATCGAAGTAATGAAGAGAAAAAAAAAGCCTTTGTATTTTGTTTTAGAAAAGGAAAATAGGGATCTGCTTCGAAAGGAATGATTTGAGTAACCGACCCTCCGCCCTATCCTGTGTATGTTTTTTTTCCTCAGTTCGTTCGAAGGTGGAAAGAAAAGGAAATGGTCATCAAAGGACATAGGAAAAAAGGAACATTAGAAAGACACATGGTATGCACTCATTAGAAAAGGAAAAGACATGACATGATTGATGAACCCGGCGCCCCTTGGTATGATGATGTATGTTTTGTTTTTGGCAGGAATTATTGGTATTTTTTTCGTTAAGGTGGGAAGAAGGGTGTCTCTTTTCGCTGGTGTGAGCGAGACATTTAGTCGACTTCCTCGACGGTTGGGCCGTCGTCGTGGGCAGCAGCGCCACCGGCACCACCGGCACCGGGGAAACCGCCAGGGCCGCCAGCACCAGCGCCTGGGAAGCCACCTGGGGCACCACCCTCACCGCCAGCGCCGTAGAACTTCATCATGATGGGGTTGGCAACACTGTAGATAAGAAGTTAGCGTGATGTTTCTTTTCAAAGGATAGGAAGGTGTTGTGAGAATGGATAAACATACCCTTCAAGCTCCTTCTGCTGGGACTCATATTCCTCCTTGGTGGCGGTCTGGTTGTCATCGAGCCAAGCAACGACCTTGTCGATCTCGGACTTGAGTTTCTCCTTGTCGGCAGCGTCGAGCTTCTCGTCGACCTTGGAGTCGCTCAAAGTGTTCTTGAGGGAGTAGGCATAGGACTCGAGACCGTTCTTAGCACCGATACGGGCAGTCTCAGCCTCGTCTTCGGCCTTGTACTTCTCAGCCTCAGCAAGCATACGCTCGATCTCCTCCTTAGACAGACGACCCTTGTCGTTGGTGATGACAATCTTGTTGGTCTTTCCAGTGCCCTTCTCGAGAGCAGAGACGTTCATGATACCGTTGGCATCGACATCGAAGGTGACCTCGATCTGAGGAACACCACGGGGGGCAGGTGGGATACCAGTGAGCTCGAACTTGCCGAGCAAGTTGTTGTCCTTGGTGCGGGCACGCTCACCCTCGAAGACCTGGATCAAGACACCAGGCTGGTTGTCAGAGAAGGTGGAGAAAGTCTCAGACTTCTTGGTAGGAATGGTGGTGTTGCGCTTGATGAGAGGAGTCATGACACCGCCAGCAGTCTCGATACCGAGAGAGAGGGGAGCGACATCGAGCAGGAGGATCTCGTTGGTGGACTTGGAGGAGGTATCACCGGAGAGAATGGCGGCCTGGACGGCAGCACCGTAGGCAACGGCCTCATCGGGGTTGATGGACTTGTTGGGCTCCTTGCCGTTGAAGAAGTCGGAGACCATCTTCTGGATCTTGGGGATACGGGTAGAACCACCGACGAGGACAATCTCGTGGACGGAGGACTTGTCGATCTTGGCGTCACGGAGGACACGCTCGACAGGCTCCATGGTGGAGCGGAAGAGGTCCTGGCAGAGCTCCTCGAAACGGGCACGGGTGATGGAGGTGTAGAAGTCAACACCCTCATAGAGAGAGTCAATCTCAATGGAGGTCTGAGCAGCAGACGAGAGAGTACGCTTAGCACGCTCGCAGGCGGTGCGGAGACGGCGGAGAGCACGAGCATTGGTGGAGAGATCCTGTCAAAAAAAAAGGTTAGTACCTTTATTATATTTCAATTGGAGGAAAGGGGAGAGACGGGGATTGAATATGTTCATACCTTCTTGTTCTTGCGCTTGAATTCGTTGACGAAGTGGTTGACGAGACGGTTGTCAAAGTCCTCACCACCCAAGTGAGTGTCACCGGCAGTGGACTTGACTTCAAAGATACCCTCTTCGATGGTCAGGAGGGAGACATCGAAGGTACCACCACCGAGATCGAAGATGAGAACGTTGCGCTCACCCTCGGTCTTCTTGTCGAGACCGTAGGCAATGGCAGCAGCGGTGGGCTCGTTGATGATACGGAGGACGTTGAGACCGGCAATGAGACCGGCGTCCTTGGTAGCCTGACGCTGGGAGTCGTTGAAGTAGGCAGGGACAGTGATGACAGCGTTGTTGACGGTGCCACCAAGGTAAGCCTCGGCGGTCTCACGCATCTTGGTGAGGACCATGGAGGAGATTTCCTCAGGGGTGAATTGCTTCTCCTCGCCCTTGAACTCGACCTGGACGATGGGCTTGCCGCCCTTCTCGACAACCTTGAAGGGGAAGTGCTTCATGTCGGCCTGGACCTCGGCGTCGTTGAACTTGCGTCCAATGAGACGCTTGGCATCGAAGACGGTGTTGACAGGGTTCATGGCGACCTGGTTCTTTGCGGCATCTCCAATGAGACGCTCGGTGTCTGTGAAGGCAACGAAGGATGGGGTGGTGCGGTTTCCCTGGTCGTTGGCGATGATTTCAATGCGGTCATCACGGAAGATACCCACGCAGGAGTACGTGGTACCCAAATCGATACCTGGGAAAAGATGTTAGCTATCACTGGTCTTTTTTTGAAGCTGCCGGAAAGCTTGATACGCTGTCTCCGGCCTCTTTCGAAGGGTTCGGGTCAGGTACATACCAACTGCGGGAGCCATTTTGGATGTTGTGTATTTCTGTGTGTACGAAGGTGGGTGTGACAAGGTAGTGTACAAGCGAAAGAGGGAGGGGCTTTTTTAAGACGCTTCTTGAGTGCGTGAAGCTGCTATCTCTGATCAAATTCTGATCAAGAAGATGTTTCTTGCGGGAGTGAGAGTGCGAGTGAGTGTGAGAAGAAGAAGAAGAAGAAGAGAGGGAGGAAGAGAAGTTGTGCGAGTTGAAATATGTTTATATGCGGGCGGTGAGGTTTTCGGCCTGCCAGAAGCTTCTAGCAACTTCTTCGCCCGGTCCCACCTCAAAGCCCCTTCGCGCTGCTTCTGCCTCCCTCACGTCACTTCCGGCGGCTTCTTCTGCCTCTTTGTCCGGCCTGGCCGGCCTGTCCTGCTACGCGCCCGTCGTCTACCCTGCTGTCGCCCACTAATTGGCTGTTCTCGCTGCCTCTCCTCGCCGTCGCTGCCGTCTACTCTCTGCTGCCCTGCGAGCCTCTGTTTACCAACAGCGTCGAGGGGGAAAAGTGGCGGGAAATTTCGAGGTGGGCTTATGACGTAATCAAGGTGGGATGCTGGAAAGTTCGCGAACTCTAGGGCTGAGCAGAGGAAGATGTGACAGTACGAGTAGATAGAGTTGAGCAGTGACTGTTACCTTGTCTACTGTTACTTTTATCTACTTCTGCTTTGTCTACTTCACTTCTACTTCGCCTTTACGTCTTCTTTGGCTTCTTCGGCTTCTTCGACGTCTCGCTTCTTCCAATTAAGCGCCGCAAAAAAAAAAAGCCTGCAGAGTCAGTGGGCTGTGTCACGTGATTAATGACTAAGCATCTCGACCTTCCCTTCTTGGGTCGCGAAACTCAACTCCGCGCGTCTTCGCTTCAGCTTCGACTTCAGCTTCAACTTCAACTTCGCGCAGGCAGACCGGCTACCAGGCTTCGAGACATCATTCTTTAGCGATACAGACACGCTCGTTCGACCAGCACAGCACAATGGGTGACAACACTGAAACTACTCTCGCCGGAAACGACGCCGCTATGGACACTTATGTGGACAAGGGCAAGGGCAAGGCCGTTGAGCGCGTGCCTGACGATGTGGAGATGGAGGCAGACGACAGCTCAGAGGACGAAGACGATCTCGTAAGCTCCCTTCTTTATACTAGTTGAAAGCTGTATGGCTAACATGATTGTTGTTTTTGTTGTAGGAGGACGGTAAGCGCTAGCTACATACACCCACTGCATGCGCCAAGTTGATCAAAGCCCAAGAGTTCAAGTTCAGCACTGACTGTCAATATTAGCTGTCGATGAAGATGAGGAGGGTGGGAACGATAACCTCGAGCCCATCTCGACAGACAACATCCTGCCCAGTGGCAGACGCACGCGCGGCAAGGAGGTCAACTACGCGGAGCTTGCTGCTCAGGAGAAGGAGACGGGCGATGTTGCCATGGACGACGACGATGACGAAGACTTCAAAGCCGCTCTTGACGACGACATGGAGCATTAAACCAACTCAATGAACCGGTTTCGTGCTGCATTCGGTCTTCCCTTTAATGGCGCCGGAGTTTGAGCCACTACTCTTTTTTTTTTCCTTTGACTTCTTCACACTTCTTTCAATTTTCTCACTTTTTATTGTGGCCGGATGGGGTGGGCTGACTGGCTTTGGTGGATGGAAACGGTCTCAAAAGGGGAGAATCACTTCTGAGGGAAAAATCACAGACTACGAAGCAGATACAGCAACATTTCGGACGACCTTTTTCTTTTTTTAACCATTATTATTATGATGATCGGAAGGGATGATTCAAAAGATTACTATTTTAACGAACCAAACAGTGACCGGTATTCTCTTATGTCTCCCGTGTCTTATCAGAGGCCCCTTTCGCAATTACGAATCAAGTCACTACCAGTTCAAACCTCCTTACTCGCTCGAGCCAATGATCTAGCTCTCCTCTCCATGTTCCTGCGCCTGCTTTTGCCATCTTCGTCTTCCTGGAGTCCCCAACTAACCAGCCACAACATAATAAGCTCTCCTTTGTTTCGCTGACTAAGCATAATATGAACGCATCTCAATCTTAAAATTAAATCCTTAAGAAACAACAGATCTCCCTTTCTTCATCTCTTGGTCAGATAAAACAATGTCTCATGTCTCTCCCTTCTTTGCTCTCTCAGTCTGAATAAATGGCATCCCGGTAAGACATCGAGCCATCGTCACCATGCGGCCCAACACTGCACAGCAGCGTCTTCTAACACAGCGCCAGATTCACCCACTCAACTCTCCACCAGCGAGATCCCCGGTCTTCCTCCTCGCTCTTCGACTCATATAACGGCGGCGCCAGCAGGTCGCCTGCTCACGCACAAGCCAGCAGTCGATCCCCTTCGCGGCCTGGTGGATATGCGCAGGGGTATTCGAACGGCCATATAGGTGTCGGCGGAGGTGATGGGTCCGCCTACAGGGCCGCTACACCGAATTCAAAGTCAGTCCAATACAGGCCTATTTCTTTTTTGTAGGATATCCCTACTAACAAATCAATGTAGAGGCCAATATTCAGATGCGGTTCTGTCCTCGCTAGAGTCGCAGAATGACTCGGAAATAGCAGGCATCACAGCCAAAGTGAAGATGTTGAAAGATGTGCGCATATCTCGGCATGCTCGCATACGCGCATGCGTAACAGTCTCCTGCTAACTCCTGCTGACTGAGGAATGTCGTATAGATCACAGTAGCTATCGGCGACGAGATACGAGACTCGACCTCCCTCGCAGAGAAAATGAACGATGCCTTCGATTCCTCCCGCGTCAAGCTACGAGGCACCATGAACCGCATGCTCAGAATGGCGGAGCGGACTGGCGTAGGCTGGAAAGTCTGGCTAGGCTTCTTTGTCTTCGTCTTCTTCCTCTTTGCCTACGTTTGGCTGTCATAGTCTTTCTCTCTGCGCCTGCAATTGCCACACCATGCCATGCTCCCACGCCTTTCTTTCGCTTGATGTTGGATACTTCTGCACTTGCTCTTCTGGAATATAACTTTTCACTTTGGGTTTAACTCGTTAGAGGAGTTATGGGATTTTAGCTTGTTTCTTCTGTTCTTCTGGTGGCCATGGGATGCTGACGCTACATACGATGATGCCTGACGTGTATCCTTTTCTCACCCTTCCATTTCTCTGTATATGTCTAGGGGCGCATATTCCCTCTCTTCTTTCTCTTCCTTCCCCTTCTTCTTCTTCTCCTCTTTACTTCTGCTGCTTAACGAAGTGTTATTCTTAGCATGGAATTTACTAATTTGTAATGCCTCATCCGTTCAGCATGTTTCATGTAAAACATATCTGGGTATTGATAATCTAATTCTAAATCTAACGGTACGCCGCTAGCCTTCACATCTCTTCTAGGTCAGAGTCCTCGTCCGCATGTCTCCGGCTTCGTCGTCGAGATATACTCAGCGGGTTCGCCGGCAGCATGTCGCTGGACCCAATGTCTATACTGTCATCATTCCCTCCCCACCGTTCAATGAACAATCGTTCAGCTTCGGTTTCTCGCCGCGGCCCTGAGGGTGTGAGATGGGGTATATATCCTGGAGGTAGGCTGGCCCAGCTTAACCTCGAATGGCCTTCATCCGTGCCTTCATCTTCACCTTCCCCTTCTTCTTCTTCTTCTTCTTCCCCATCTTCGTCATCGTCTTCGTCATAGACATCTTCATCAGAGTCTGTATGTTCCCATTCCTGTTGTTGAGAGGGAGCCTCCTGTGGCGCATCCGGGACGCTGCCGTCTAGATCCCGCTCCATCATCATATTCGACTCACCAGGAGTCCTAGTATTATTATTCGGTGTACGCACCTCACTAGTGTCACCGTATCTATCTTCTTCGTCTTCTTCGTCTTCTTCGTCATCTTCGTCTCCATCCTCGTCTTCATCCTCTTCGTCCGCGTCCGGAGCCTCGGGGACATCGTCATCTAGATCTCTTTCCATCATCCCTTCTTCTTCCTCATCCAGAAACTCTTCCTCTTCATCTTCATATCCTTCTTCGCCTTCCTCTACCAGCCCAAACCCTTCCCCGTCGCCATCGGGTATATCACCGTCCAAATCTCTCTCCATGCCAGCATCCCCTTCTACACCCTCCCCAGCACCATCCAGCCCCAATCCTCCTTCACCGCCTTCAACTCCTTCCATGAACTCTTCTTCTTCTATATCGCCCTCGCCTAACCCCCCGCCGGCACCCTCCTCGCACTCCATCTCTTCTTCTCGCAGGCCCATCATGGTCTTAGGGAAACCAGCGGGCCGAATCCATGAAAATCCAAAGGACGCAATGTTCTGTTTTCGTAATGTAAGGGCACGTTCTTCTGCGAGTAGTGTAGAAAGCGGATCAAATGAAGCCGAGAAGAGAGGGGTGTTTGTTCCTTGAGACCGGCCATTTCGACGGCCAGGTTGTGGGTGCTGCGCGCCGGAAGTTGTGTTTTGGGAGGAGTTGGCTGCAGACCGTCCTGTGTACGAGGATGAGTACCATAGGGTATGGGACTGTAGGAATTATTATCAGTAGGAGCGCTGTCGCAGCTGTCATTGAGTGGTAGCACTCACGTCCCTAGGCTCTATTGGTGGGAGAGGGTTAAACATCGTGCTGCTATAACATAGACGCTTGAATATCGCTGCAGGTAGGAAATGTCTCGGGTATTAGTCTGTGTTCAGACCTTCGAGGACGTCAACGTTGTCTTTGTGCTTAGACGTCGGTGATTACTGCTTGTTGATGAGGCTCAAGAAGAGCTTCAAAGACTGTTTATCTGTAAAAGCTTGGCATAACTATATAGATAAGCTTACATTGGAATGCATCTCTCTTGACAAGGAAAGGCGCAGCAATAAGTTATTGAGAGGAGTTGCTTCTCTTGTTAATATTCAAAAGGATATTTGACGCTCAAATACTGCTAGGACATGGTATGCGTGGGATGGGCAAGACCGAGTCGACATGGTGGCTAAGATGTAATATGGCCACATGCAAAAAATTCCATAAGATTAACACCACGCAACAAATTAGAGGCCCGACATCTAGTACTCTGTACCTTTCCATGGCTAATTCTTATGGCAAGCGGGTTCGCCCAAGTAATTACGCACACAGACGTCGGGATCCTTGCAAACTACTCCTCCCTTGCAGCAGTTATGAGTAAAGAAATTGAAGCAAGTAACTCCGTCACACGTCCATGGTGCGTAGGGAGGGCAGTCTAGAGTAGCAGGAGACCGTCCACGGATTGAGCGAGTGTGGCTTGGAAGGATGGCGTGGTCCGGGTCTCCTGGCTGGATGGGTGGAGAGATAGTACTCAGATCGAGGGTTAATACCTCATCATCGGTAGGAGCGTTGCGTTTGAAGGGCTTGGCTGACATCTTGCCTTGCATCTTTCTTGTGTCGATGACGGTTCCAGGGGTCCTAGTAAACTCGCCGGTCGTGGGTGTCTCTGAAGGTGAACCCGGAGTTGCTTGAGTGTAGGCCACGAAAGCGACAAACCCGGTGAACAGGGCGCTGGCGAGCTTCATGTTTACTTAACAAACTTGATGGGCACGGCCGGACGTGGGTATCAGAGCCAACAAGGGTGTTGCAGCTGTAGCAGAAACAGGAGTCGGGAGTATGATTGTGTAGAGTTGCGAGACTTCAAGAGCAGAACGCAGCAAACATAAAATGGGCAAGCTTTTATACATCTGCCCTGGCCACTGCTTCCAAAGCAAATCCCTGGGTGATTTTCTAGTGACTTGGTATAACCGACCGTGCTTGAGAAAGCCAGTGAAAGGTCGAGTCACGGTGAGCCATGCTTGGGCTACTTTGGGTATTGAGATGGCGCTGCCAACAATAATGCATCATTGGAATATGGAAAGTGTAAAATGCATCATCATTCATGGCATGGCTATGAATAACCAACATCTTCACGTAACTACCAACATAGCCCCAAGAAGTTCACTTGAAGAGACCCCTATATTCAATGGCATGCCAAACGTGTTCGCTGGTATCAGTGCTATTCATCGAAGATAACCGTGGACTGTGGAGCTCGATGCGGGCTGGAAGTTTAAATCTCGGACCCTGGCCGCTCTCACGTGTTATCCAGGCACGCCAAGCCGAAGCTACCGACGGAAGAAATTTTTGGGACTCGAAAAGCGACATCGGCTGCAACGCATCGAACCAGGTTCACACGTCCAGCGGCGTCTTCGATTTCCAAGCTTGTTCTTTTTGTTCTGCCCTGTAGACCGCTCTGTTCATACTTCTATTTACGACCCTCACTTCCCTAGCATTATTTAAAGAGATCACGAACGAGAACCCCCTTCAATATATTAAAAATGTCTCCACCTGCAATGGCTGTTGCTGGAGCTGGCTCAGCGACTAAGGATGTCAAGAGAGAGTCGGGCACTGCTCGTCTGCTGGGATCAGGTACGTCAAGGCTCTAATTGACGTAGATTACAACTGTTGCTGATGCAATTTGCTATAGGATCTGCTGGAATTGCGGAACTGCTCATCTTCCATCCGGTAAATGGCATTGACGCATTGGAATGCATGTGAAGCACAAATGACTGAGAAATCCGATGAATTAGGTCGACACAACAGCTAAGCGTCTCATGAGCAACCAGGGAAAGGTAGGCTTTCTGTTGGATTATGGATGATTATACTCTGTCGCTAACCTTTGTCTTTAGATTACCAATGTTTCCGAATTGAACAAGGTTATCTTCAAGGAATATTCCTCCGCCGGTGTTGTGCGCAAATTCACGTCCCTCTTCCCCGGTCTTGGATACGCTGCTGGATATAAGGTGCGTCCTGTGGTCAGCGGATATACAGCACTAGGCCAATTTCTAATAAGCACTAGGTTCTGCAAAGAATATACAAGTATGGTGGCCAGCCATTTGTGCGTGACTTCCTAGGCACAAACTACGGAAAGGACTTCGACAATGCCTTTGGAAAGGGAACCGGCAAGGCCATCATGCACGCTACTGCTGGAAGGTGTGTAAAAGCGGGACGCCTTTCTTTCAGCTTGCTTTTCTAGTGCTGACAACGCTCTAGTTTAATTGGTATTGGAGAAATTGTCCTCCTGCCACTCGATGTCCTCAAGATTAAGCGACAAACCAACCCAGAGGCTTTCCGTGGCAGAGGCCTCTTCAAAATCATTGCTGATGAGGGCATGGGCCTCTACCGTGGTGCTGGCTGGACTGCTGCTCGTAATGCTCCTGGTTCTTTTGCTGTACGTTTTGCCCTTATATCGCCCACAAAGCCTGGATTATTACTAACATTGTTTCCATTAGCTGTTTGGTGGTTCCGCTTTCACCAAGGAATATCTCTATGGTCTCACTGACTATAACTCGGCAACCTGGTTCCAGAACTTCATTGCCTCGATTGCCGGTGCCAGTGCGTCTCTCATTGTTTCTGCTCCTCTCGATGTGATCAAGACACGCATCCAGAACCGAAACTTCGAGAACCCTGAGTCCGGATTCCGTATCGTCAGCAGCATGGCCAGAAACGAGGGAATGACCGCCTTCTTCAAGGGATTAACTCCCAAGCTTCTCATGACTGGTCCCAAGCTCGTGTTCAGCTTCTGGCTAGCACAGACCCTTATACCCGCCTTTGGGAAGGTTGTCTAAATCGCTAATATGATTGACTCCCCTCCCCCTACCCCTTTACATTCTACGGCAGCGTGCATCCTCATGCACGGGCTCCTGCTCACCTGGGGTGTATTCTATTTATGATAGATTTTAATATCTTCGCCCCCCCTTCTTTTTCGTGTATTTATAGAGGATCTTCTCCCCCTTACGGTTACATGTCAGCCTAGTTCCTGGAGTTAATGCAAAAGATGGTTTATATGTTCTTGGGAATTTTCGTTGTTCAATTTGAGCTTTTCAAGGCTTGCTATATGGGCTATTGTCATCCCTTGTGATGGTGGCTTGGCCGTTTACACTCAGCTCATCGTGCCTTCCGCACCGCCAATAACAATCGGTTGTTGATGTATCAAGTAGTAGGCACGATCAATCGACACCGCTAGACAAGGGCTGAACATCGTCTCTGGCCTGCCTGTCTATCAAATCCGGCTTACAAGAGTGAGGGGTAGCAAGATGAGTTCCTTTCGATATGAATGGGATATTGCTCCGTCTGATGAAGAACGAAGGGTGATTATCCACCAAAGCAGGCTACACTGGGAGTTTTTGCGTGCGATGACAGTAGATGGGTCGTTAAGTTACGTACCAAACATCTGTCAAAGACTCGAGAATGTCCCTGACTATACACACAGTCCTCATATGGAATATATTGACCCCTCCAACCAATATGTATTTGGTAAAGGAGTCGTGAAATGGTCAACAACAGATACATGGGGTTGTGAGGCTCCTGACTCTTTGGGGGAGAGTGAGTGCAATTCATCGCATAGTGAAGACTTCATGCGCCTGCCAGAGAACAAGATGGTGGTACAAGATGTCTTTCTAGGCGTACGAGATGTTATTCCTTGCTACCTCGATGCGCGTCATGGATTGAGAGGCTGGATTGGTAATGGAGATGGAAGGGACTACGTGGCAGTGCTGACCCTGGCATGGGCTTATATCCTTTCCAGCGCCTGGGCGACGTCACAGAACGGGAAGATTAGATATACGGCCGCGGGGGCACCGACTTGCGCCTCAGGCCAGGCTTATGGCCCATATCTAGAAACTTGCACCGAGAATCCAGAAATCGTGAGATGGTGGTCGGCAGTCCTTGCTCCTGGGCAAGGATGGGTAGCCTCAATTCGTCTTGGTGGTGACGTTGAATACCAGTCACCATGGGCAATGCACCTCATCAGTTACCTGAATTTGACTATATGCGGGCCTGCACCTGTAACCCCTATAGAATGTCCGGACACACCTACTAGCTATCAGTATCTCCAACATTTCTGCCTCCAATACGGCCTTATGGAGCAGGCGAAAGCAGCCCTCGTGGCAGCCCTCATGATCCCCACACATGCACACACTCAGACCCCTTTCGTGCTACCGGCGCCGATATCTACGGCTCCTTGGGATCCTCCAACGGTGAGCTCAGGGCCGCAATGTGAAGTCCTCGAAGAGCTAATTTGTCGGATACCACACCTTATGACTATTAGTTCTGCTTGTACTGTGGTTGATTCTCTTCTCTCCAGCGTCTTTTTCGAACCGTCAGTTCCATGCAATCTATGCAGTGATTGGTTAGAGCCCATATTCCCAATCCTTGACTCCGTGGACCTGCGCCGCGCTACAGCTATGTGCATGTTCCAAGGTGCATCAGTTCAAGGTTGGTGGCTGGGGAGTGCGATCACAGGCCTTGATAGGTTTGTTCTGCGGGAGGCTCGACGCGGCACACCCTATGTGAACCTGCAATCCTGGTGGTGGACGCAGACACCTCAATCCTTTATATGCTTTCCATATTCAGACCCAATCGGTAGCAGTGAGACGCTTATTACTCGTGAGAAAGAGACATTTTTACTCTTTCTTTCTCAAAAAAACTGGATCAATACCCCCCCACCTTGGAAACCTCCTGGTAGAACTGCGATTAGTGACTCTCATCTAGCCGTTCAGCAACACGCTCGCTGCACTGGCCATTCTCTCCGTTACATGTCATGGTGCTGGGTCACCAAAAAGGGCGAGTATCTCGCGGACGCAGGCTATACATCTCCGGGAGATAAACTGCCACCGGTAAACTTAGGCAGCCTGGGCGGGCTGGAGTGGTCTGACCCCGACGTGGATATAGCTCTAGAAACTATGGATCAATATGCCTCAAAAATATGTTCTGATACGATATTCGGATGTATTTGGAAGGAAGGCGTCGCGGTTCACGACAGAGATTTACATGAATCTCTGGGAAGGTGGTTATACGGGGACCCGATCCCTCCGAGCTCAACCCAAGAAAATGACCCAACGTTGGATTCTGACGACTTGGACGGTATAGTATCAACGAATGTTGCAGATATTGAGGCCTGGCTTACTCTGGTGGTGGAGGTCGTACCTAGCATCATGGCGTTGCGCGGGTCATATTACCTGTAGCGAGCATAGTCTGTGACGCCTGTAGCCATCACATGCTACTATGTAGTCATTATATTAGCCTTCATCTTTACCATCGAACATGGGACTGTCTGCTTGTTCATCCTCGTCAACTTCTGTTCTTTAATCTGGAGGTTGAGTTGGAAGCTCAGGCAAGCTTTCGCTGAGCCAATAGGATCCCGAGAACTCGGCCAATCATCGGCCAGGGATCCAAGTAGCTCATTAGTTGGCTGACTAACGTACCCGCTTAGAAACCTCGAATTGAGGACGATGACAGTCCATCAGCCTACGTCTCCGTCCATTCCCAATAATAATCATTTTCATCATGGCGTCTCCAGCGGCATATCCCTATCTCATCTCGAAGTAGGTCAAGCACTGTGCCAATATTACTCAAATTAAGTTACCAAAGCCCTACTAACGCCCCTGCAGAGTCGCAGATCCGCTCTTTGCCATGGTAATTGGTAGTTCAGCTGCCTTTATCCGAATAAGGCGCGAGCACCGTGAACGTTTCCCCGACCAACCCTCAGACTTCATCTCGCTACTGAGTCTGGCCCAAGGAAGAGCAAGCCGATGGTGGAATAACTGGCAGTGAAGCACGAAGACCACGAACAGTTGCCTGCCTGCTTATACTCGCGCGCTGTACGTAAGGATTACAACACCTATCGACAATATTGCGAGGGGAAGAAGCCATTACCAGGATAGAGAAACGTCTGAGGATGAAGTGTTCGCTACACTCTTTACCTTTATGATACCCCAAACGGCTTGATGGCGAGGTAGGCCATACTAAGATGGAACGGAATAGCTTGGTAGTAGAAGGTTGATGCTGTATAGGATAAACCTACTACCATAGCTACAGGCTATTCTTCATTGGTCTGCCTTGAAATTTCATACATATTCTTGGAGCTATTGTTTATAAGCATGCTTCTAGCCCCGGCCGTGGTACGTCTACGAGGCTACACATCCCGATGTGATGTAAAGAAAGGATTTTAGCCGGTACGCTTGTATTATTCAAAAATATGAATGAAAAATAAAGTACATCAGCGTAACCAGTATGCAACAACACCGTTGATTATTATCGATGCTGGTAGTGCCAAAGCGTAAGATGAGACCGAGAATAAAATTTCCCTGGGTAAGAGGAGGAGAAGAAGCCAAGTGTCGAATGTTGAACGAACTGGTGTCGATTAGATTTCATTTATGGTGACATCACCATTGGTAGTCTGTCTCCCCGTCCGGCCCCCAGGTACTCAAAACGCCAGCCACATCCTGCCAACAATAAAAAAGGGACCAAAACCAAGTAGTAGAATAGCCGAGGGACGAAGCTAGGCCGGCTCCTTTCCCATATCAAAGCATAGTTGGTCGTTTTGCAAGGGAAGGAAAGATGGGAGAAACGGCCATGTTCTCCTTAGCTGTGGAGAGAACGGATTCTATAATTATCCGGACAAAGATGACATCACGTAACGACATGAAGTATGAACAAAATCCCTTCCGTGAACACCGTTAAACCCAAAACCAAACCGAAGAGAGCAAGTGCATTACTGCAGCTCGGGGAAGCTTCCGAATGTGTTTTCGCCGGAATATCTAAATCAGTCACACGGTCAGCCAACTGAGCGAGATGATAAATAGGCTTCGAGGGATTACACACGTGATGTATAGGAAGCCATCCTCGTCCTTGTGCTCCTCATAGATGCTGCTCATGAGAGCGGCTGTTGGCGGAAGGACTTCGTCGACGAAGATGAAGATGGCCTTCTCTGGAGAGAGCTTGATGCGTTTGCGGATGACGTATACAAACTGTCCGACGGTGAGGTCTGCGGGAACGAGATATTTCTTCTTGTCGATAGTGGCAATATCTGATTTCTCGACCTTCTCGCAGATAACCTGGAGGCCAGAAAGTGGTTGTTAATTTATGTTGAAGCTGGAGGCTATGGCTGGAGCCTAGCAGGAGATACAAAGGAGGCTCTTACGGGGATGCGGTCTGCGTATTTCTGGCGGATGCGCTCAGCTTCTGCCTTGCGCTTCTCAAAGGGGTGCTCGTCCTTGAACTTCGATCGCATGGTTGCTGGTTTTTTGTGTGTAAGTTGCTGGGTGGTAGCAGTGTTGTCGAACAGAGTAGTGGGCTGGCACGAAAGGCAGCGTAGATGCAGGAGGCAGCAGTTGATGATAGCAGGAGAGAGGAAGAGTGAGAAGATAGCGAGAGAGAGCTGGACCCCGCGTACTTAAACGGAAGGCGGTGGGCACGGGACACTAAGGCCGAAAAAGGACTAGCGTCAGCTCCACATGACGTGACTGCCTGACCGCAGGCGGTGAGTCAGCCACGTGATGCATCTGCTGACAAAGACAGCTGAACTCTGATAGCTCATGGACAAAGCTGGCTGTTTTGGTTGGCTGGGACGCAGAGGTCGAAGAGAAGAGCAGGAGAAGCGAAAGCGAAGACGAGAGAAAGTGACTCATGATGGGTATTGAGGACAGCAAGGTGTAAGGGCTGATGCCCCTTGCAGATAAGCAACGGAGTCATGGTTGCAACAAGGGGCACAGACGGGCCTGCAGCTCATCGCGTTTTGCTGATAGGTGATAGGCTTCTGGTAGTTGTCGACATTGTTCGATCAACAGGGACATCAAGGCTGCCCAAATACTTTATGCAGGCAGCCTAACAATGACTCGCATCTCCCTAACACATGATCGCCTTTCTCTCCCCTAGGTTCCAACTATCGGTGTTGCCTTGTTGATGCATTCTCAGAGCCTCTCTTCTGGCCGCGGGTACGGAGGACATGAGCTCACTCAAAGTCGTGGTGAGAAAGAGTTCCAGGGCGGTGGTCCGAGCTTAGAGAGTTGATATCACGTGACACTGACATGGCCTGATCCGGCATACATCAAGCATATAAAGTCCTTCAAATCTACGAGACACACACCATCCTGGAAATTCATTTGTGTTTATGTGCTTTAACGGAGCCTAAGACAGTTGCTTTCTTCAATCAATTCTGTTTGAAAAGTACTTATATTAGGATATCCTCATGACTACTCGCATATCCTCGATCTTTCCCAGGGCGTTACGCCGTCTGCCCTTGGCTCAATGCCAGTGTCTCCAAAACACCCGGCGCCATGCTCATAGCATAGCGAGGAGGAATGTAGGAAGCTCTAGAAGGGCCTTGCCTTTCATTGGCTTTGCGACGGCTCTGACAGCGTTGACGTTATACTCTACGGTTCGGGCTCTTAACAACTGTGTATATTAAACTCAATTGCTAACGAAAGCTGTAGACTTCTACCGCTCCCATCTCCCTCGAAGCTCCATCCATTGCCAAACTTGACGAAAAAACCAGGCGTGAAACAGAAATAACATCTTCTTCTCCTATGCGATTGCGCATGGAGAAACTGATAAAAGAGCAACAGAAGCGCATCATCGACGAACTCTCCAAGATAGACGGCAACGCATTTACAATAGATGAGTGGGACCGCCCCAATGGTGGAGGAGGTATATCGTGCGTCCTGCAGGACGGGAACGTGTTCGAAAAAGCTGGTGTCAACGTCTCAGTCGTATATGGAAAGTTACCTCGTCCCGCAATTGAGAAGATGCGCGCGGACCATAAATCCTTCGTCTCCGCAGATGTCGATTCATTGGATTTCTTTGCCGCTGGACTATCGCTTGTCCTTCATCCAAAGAACCCTATGGCACCTACAGTTCACTTGAATTATCGATTCTTCGAAACATCTGACCCCAAGGATGCTCTCAATGGAAAGACAAACTGGTGGTTTGGCGGTGGCACTGACCTGACCCCATCATACCTCTTCCCCGAGGACTGTGAGCATTTTCATAAAACGATAAAGGACGTCTGTGATACGCATGACCCGTCGTATTATCCAAAATTCAAAGCCTGGTGTGATAAATACTTTTACCTCACGCACAGAAATGAAGCTAGAGGCATTGGCGGAATATTCTTTGATGACCTTGATACAGAATTCATTCGCCAGTCTTCGCCGGCCTCAGCCTCGATATCAGACAAAGAAGCACAGGAACGTCTTTTCTCTTTCGTCACGGATGGTCTATGTTCTTTCCTGCCTGCATATGTCCCCATTGTAAAGAAGCGTAAGGATATGCCATTTACAGAGCAGGAGAAGGATTGGCAGCAGCTTCGCCGGGGGCGATATGTGGAATTCAACCTTGTGCATGATCGGGGAACGAGCTTTGGATTGCGTACTCCCGGCTCTAGGATTGAGAGCATACTGATGAGCTTACCTCGAACTGCGAAATGGGTATATATGGACCCCGTGTCCGGGACAAGGACTGATGGTGTAGAGTCCGAGGATGTTGAGGGTATGGAGAGGGAGAAGGAATTGATGGAGGTACTCAAACATCCAAAGGAGTGGGTGTAATCTCTTTTTTATATATATCTACTTTTGTATTTTGAGAGACACGTCACAACTTAATTGTACGATAGTGTATAAAAAAGAAGGCAATGATAATTCCTATAGAGGAGGTCCAGTTTATATAGATAAATGCTATATTCAACATCTACGATAGTGTGGTAGAGATATAGTATTATAGTGTTCTCAAAGTAAAGACAAAATCCCAAAAAAAACAAATGAAACCGAAACACGCTCGCGGCAATGATGGTATCTAATCCAAAACAAAGGAAATATAAATGGTCAAGTCGCCTTTCTACCCATATAAATCAAATAGAATATGATTGCGTTGTAATGTCTATTACCCGCTTCTCACATCCCCTTCAAAGCAACGTCTGATCCAACCGTGTATGCATAATGTTACAATTCCTCGCATCTTGCCTGAAACATCTACCGGCCACCAGCTTTCGGAACAACCAGAGCTCTCTGTTTTCCTAGCCATGTGCGGTTTGCTTCTGCATGGTGTGCACTTGCACCGGCTGCACCACGGTGACGAGAAAGCACAATATTGCCGTTCTGTAGCCGCGACTGGAAGTCATACCATGCAGAAGAGATAAGGGCAATTTCTCGTGCTTGTCGGTGAATTATTTGCATTAATTCAGTCTGTTGATGCCCGCATTAGGTATTCCTGTTTGTGCTGTTAAGTTGCAAAAGAGACAAGGGGGAAACGCACCTCTTTCTCCTTACTAGCCTTGATCTCCTCCTGATCAGCAGAGAACTGCTCGTAGTGCCTAATCCGCTCTTGCAAAGATTCGATGATATCATTTTGTTGGTTCATATGCTGTTGAGAATGTAATAAAAGGAAAACAAACCCAATTTGTTTGTTGTTTGGTTATCCGATTAGCCACAAGATCCCAACTCGGGGTTCATGAACATGCCGATGTAACATATTAGGGAGGCGCCAGGGTTAACAGCGTCATAGGCATAGATGAGACCTGCGAAGAGGAGGGACCAATGCCAGAGCTCGACGAGGCTCTTGACCTGGTTCGGGTCAACCTCTGTCTCGATTGTGGGATTTTCTTCTTTCTTCTTTCTTTCCATTTATATTTGGATTAAGAGGAGACTTCTCCAGTTCAAGGCAGAGCCCGCTCTGGGATTGGTCCCTAGGGGGTTCTTTGGAATTCGGAATGAAGGTTGGGAAATTAGGTGTAAAGTAGGGAGGTTATTGTGTAGTGGTAAAGGGAAGAAAATAGGGGGTGAGTAAAATAAAAATGTTTAGGACTAACCTCAGCTCTCCTGGCAAGATGTTCTGCACTGCGTTCAGTTGTTTCTGCAAGTCGCTCTAAGAACTCATTGGTCATATCGTCATCTGTAGTGTCGTTCACCCTGACAGCATTAGCCTCTTCGAGGAGCTGTTTCATCTCCTCAAGGGAAGCTTCTCCTTCAGTAGAAAGCTTGGTGTCGGATTGCTTAAATGTGTTTCTCAAGTTGTCTCGCTCACGAGATATTTCGCTCATCTGGAGCTGCCTAACTTCAAGCTGGCTGGTGAGAGTTCGGGCAGTGGCAGCCAGCACGGCACATTTCTCTCGTAGAGCAGTCTGCTCGACCGAATTAACCTCCGTTACTTCCTTCACCATTTCGAGTTTCTCCTTGTTAACAAGGCTCACTGGACGTAGTTAGCTACTGTAGGAAATGGTGTTATCAGGAGAACTGGCTTACACTTCATGTTGGCATCGGAGAGCTCAAGCTTAGTAGCTTCAAGTAAACCTTCAAGTTCGACGATCTTTGTTCGCATGATGGTATAATCAACATGCAACCGCTGATGCGCGTCTTTGAGCTCGGCATCAGTCTGAAGGGAACACTGATAGAAATCATCCTTCCATTTTCTTTCGCCTGGAGCCTCAGATTCATCGTCATCGGGTGTCTCCTGCACCAAAGAGTAAGTCATCAACCAATTAATGAAGTAAAACAACATGATAACGTACGGTAACGGCTTTGTCAACAATTGAGATATTTTCAAGCTTCTTCTTGAGCTCCTCGTTCTCAGCATTACTAGGAAAAGTTAGTAAATGTAAGACCACATTCCACAAGCCAAAAGATAATGGGAGGAAAAGGTGTTTAACTTACAGCTGAGCTTCCCGCTTTCCACTTTCTTCCAGATCACGCTCTAGACTGGAGCCGTGCGGTTTAGGAGTGGATGGTCTGGGGGAGGCTGGACTGCTATCGAGACCCTCTAGCTCTCGTATCCTCTCCTGCAGTCTGCCGATAGTATCTTCATCCCGTGTCCGCTGTTCCTCAGCACCTAGCAACCTCTCCGTAAGAGCATGATTATCGAATTCCAGCTTCTTCTTCAGATCTTGAATCTCATGTCTGTCCTGCTCGACACGCGCAACCAGTCGTCTGTAGTTCTCAACCTCGGTCTCTCGAGCAGCGGAAACTCGCTGAAGTGTATCGCTTTCTTTCAGATGTTGCTGGAGGTCCTTGACCTTGTTCTTCAGAATCTGATTTTCTTTCTCATAGTCCTGACTAGCCTGCAGCTTCTGTCTGTATTTTTCAGCGGCATTGGCTTTTCTAGCCAGCTGGTCCCGCTCAATCTTGATCTCGTCGTATTCGTCCTGCAGAGTCTGGTACTTTTGATTTTTAACACGGAGAGTCTCGAGTGATATCCGCAAGCTGTCGATTTCATCTTGGGCAGCCGTCAGTTTAGTTTCTTGTGCGGCTATTATATCTTGCGTCCGGTGTTCGTAGCCCTTGAAATTCGGTCCAATGTCGGCTTTGCCAGACTTTAGTCTTGCTAGACGGTCTTCTGTGATGTTTAGTTTATCCTGCAGCAGCTCGTTTGCTTCTCGAAGGCGTACATCCTTCCGGTGAAACTCTTCCAGATCTTTCTCCAACTGCTTCTTCTCATTTGATAGCTTATCGTTCTCGACCAGCAATTTGCCAACACGTTCCTCGAACTGCAGCTCTGGGTCCATGGCCAGGTCACGACGTGCCTTGTATTCATCCTGCTCATAATTTATCTGGTCCAGACGGTCCTGTGAGGGGTTCTGTGCTTCTTCTATTATGCCCTTCAAGCCTTCCTGTGTTGCTGTTGAGAGCTGTACCATTCGCTCTATGTACGACTCGGCTCCAGGGGATCTGATGGCGGCCATGAGAAACAGCTTCAACAGCCGGTTGGTCTCCTTTGTCGAGGCCGTTTCGGCAATCGACTTGAGGTCGGGGTCTGTTGAGAGACCGGCAGGTATCTCTCCGTCATATCGGTTCCGTATATAGTTCAGCAGCAGCTTGTGCAAGTGTTTGAGATTCTGCCATCTCAGCACCCAGTGGTCTTCAGGCGAGCTCTCTGGAAGAACACCCAAGAACTCGTGGGGGTCTATGTCTTGCAGGATCTCCCAGAGTATCACCCCGTCGTATAAATCGTCTGAGGACTGGATGGAGGTGCCCAGGGGGAAGCTGTTGATCCATTCAAGGAGCGTTGCGGTTTCGGGTTCGTTTGGCATGGTCACTCGAGGGAATGTGGCGTTTTGAAAAGGGAGGGAGCGTGGAAATCGGGTCGGCAAGAGATCAAGTATGATTATTTAATGATATATGTGCCAGACAGCGGGCTCCATGCTGTCGATGATGCAGGGAGGAAGCGAGAAAAACTATCGGTGTACGTTAGAGACGCCCACTTTGGGGGGGAAAAACGACGGTCAATCAGAAGCCAAAGCCTAGCTGCAGCTAAACGTGTACCATGCACTTAAGAACGAGACAGCCCACCAGCCGCCCTGGCCACTATTATCCAACTGCCGATCAATCGTTGACATTTGGACATGGTTACAGGGAACCGTAATAATAGGATATAAACAGATATCTACATTATGGCGATATCTACAATATGGTTGATTACATTATCCTTGGTTTGCTGCCCATTTATATATAAAGAGCATTATGCAGTCCGGTGCATAGAAAAATTGGGGTTTAGTTCCAATTTCAAGTTGGTGTCTTGGTATAAATGAGACACAATAAAGCGAGTGTATTTATATCCACAGATCAAACAGAAAAACTAAGGCTCTTTGCCCCCTTTAATGGTACTGACACCATGTGGTTGCAACAGGTAAAGGGGAAAGACAGAGAGAGAAATGGAACAAGAACTGCCAGGAAACCAGAGATATTGCAAACAAGCGGAGTATTGTAGTAGTAGTGTAGTAGTATGGCTGTACAAGGATGGAGGTGAGAGGCAGGGCGATCCGTCTAGACGTTGACTGAGACGACCTGGTCTTCCTCGATGGTCGCTGGGTGCTCGGCGTCCAGAGTCTTGACTTGGTCCATCATGGATTCGGGCATCTCGCCAGAGAATCCTCTGCGAATAAAATATCAAGCGTTAGTAGGGCGAAGTAACTAGTTATGGAGCGGAGACGCTGTTCCTCAAAGCCGAGCGGGTTCAAACGTACTTGATCAAGGCTGCAGAGACGGCGCAGGTTAGCGAAAACGATGTTTCTCTCTGCAAGGCATCATAGGGGAAGGAGAGGATCGATAGTCTATGACTTACAGTACTCATGATTGATCTTGCCGCCCTACATTATGAAAAAGAAATATGGTCAGTGGCTTGCATCTAAGGGAGCAGGACCGAGAACGGATGATATATTGATGTCAGGATCGGGTTCTTACAGCGGCGAGGATGGCCTCCTTTGCCTTCTGGACAACGGAATCTGGGGCGTCACTGCCGAAGCTGACGATGACGGACTTCATGTTGGCTGCCATGATAGCGGGCGCGAGAGCAGCGAGAACGAGAGCGAGAGAGACTTTCATTTGAGAAGATAGGCGGACAGCTGTATCGCACTGGCTGGTTGTTCGCAGTCGAGACTGAGCGGTGGCGTGCAGAGCGGTCGAACGATGGGATGTTGGTCGGTCGTCGTTTGGTGTTTCGCGTACGGGGCAGCAACTTGACTAAGATGTTTCGTTTCCCTTCCCGCCTGGTTCGAATATATATAGGGTTTTTCCCACCTGCCCAGCAAGAGTGAAGAATTATGCATCTGCCTAGGCTTGTCTTAGCTCACCTTATATAAGAGCGCTCCTTACGTATATTGGCGGGCGAGGCCTGGTTCTCCATGCCCCGTCCCGTAAGATTATCCTGCGGTTATTTAGCCCTGACGTTGGCTTCCCTCCCTGTGCTGCTGCTTCTTCCCCCTTCTGGCTCTCCCTCTCGCTGCTTTATCGCTCGCTCTTTTCGCCCTGTTAGCCGCGGGTTCTTCTTGGCTTGGCGCTTCACGTCATTGCTTGGCCTTGGCACAAGATGAAAATATAAAAAAAAAAAAAAAAAAAAGGGCGCGGCGGGCGGACGAACCATCACGTGATTCGGGGTTTCTTGCTGTTTTAAGCCCACTTACTCCCGCTTTTGGCCGGTGGTCATGTGACGTCACATGTCATGGGGTATCTGACTAAGCTTGTGTTAGTCACGTGCTGAGGTTTCCTTTCCCCAGCCTCGAAAAAGCGCAAGAAGAACGACGACGGGAAAAGCACGAACGCGGAAGAAGACGACACGACCGACGACGACGGCGCACATCAGGTCGATAGACACGGAGTAACACTCCTTCTATTGAGCCGGAGAGAAGCAGTGAATACAGAGTACACAACAATATCTGGGAGGACAGACGGGGGTTGTACACGCACTTCTTCTTGCTCCATCTTTCGGAGTTTTTTCTCCCTTTGTTTTCTGCGTCTCACCCTGCTTCAAGTTCATCTACCTCCGCCTTTACTGCCTTGCTTGTCTATAACTTGCTCCTCTTCAGATCACATCAGCCCTTTGCTTTTGCTCCTTTTACTACCACCGTTGACCGCACATATCCTCGCCCTCGTTACCGACCGCCTCTCGTTCTATTTTCCCTCGACGAGCTTTCAGCGAACTCCCGCCTTCTTAGTGTGTTTTCCTTTTTGAGGTCACTCTGCTGCCGGGAAGCAAGTGACGGGCACATACAAAACGCAAGAAACCAGAAAAAAAAAAAAAAAAGAAAGAAAGAAAGAAAGCCGAGGGTAGACAGAGCAGGGATTTAGGGCCGTATAAGTGTTGAAGTGGGCGGTTATATTGGCTCCCGATTTTAGGATATTGCGCTGGCATTATTACATGCTCGCCATCCGAGTTTTCTGCAAGGAATAGCTAGCAACCATTCTAATATTTTGTCCTGTGTCTCTACCTATCCTTTCTATCCGCTTGATTATAAGCTACAAAATTACAGCTCAAGGGAAAAAAAAAGAAAGAAAGAAAGAAAAAAGCACAAAGAGCAGCTGAAGAAGGAAAACAAATTTAACAGAGGAGAAAAAAGACCAACTTACCCGACAAAGAGGAAAACGAGTCATAGTCGAAGGCTTACTTTACAACATCTCACCCCTTGGATTTCCTTGCCTTTTCCTTTTCTCTTCTCCTTCTTTTCAGTGTTTGATACCCCGGAGTTGTTCTATTGGAAGAACAACTTCAACCGACACTCCACCCATCATGTCAGGCCTCGTTTCTGACGAAGTTGCGGAGGACTATAAGAACTCCCTGGAAGACCTCACATCGAATGACAAGTTCCAAATAAGCAATCTGACCGTTATTGCAAAGGAGAACACTGAACATGCCATGGCCATCTCCCGAGTGCTGGAGAATCACATACGAAACGTAGGTACCAATTCTCTTTCCCGTCTCTGCTGTTTTCTCTTGTCTTCCCCTTTGCTTTCCATTTCATCTGGGTTTTCAGGCTGCATAAGTACTTTGCGCTGTTGGATAATGCTACTCTCGAATATGGGAAGACGGTGTAGAAAAGAAAAAAAAACCGGAGCGAAGTTATATTCTAATTGATCTCTGTAGACACCACCATCTCAAAAGTTACCAGCTCTCTATGTAGTGGACTCAGTTGTGAAGAATGTAGGGACTCCTTACACGCTGTTCCTGGGCCGCAACTTATATCAAACATTCATGAACGCCTATACTCTCGTTGACTCGCAGACTCGCAAGAAGTTAGACGAGATGCTTAAGACATGGAAAGAACCTGTCCCTGGTTCTTTGGATCCCAGGCCTGTCTTCCCAGCTGAGATTACTCGGAATATCGAGAATGCTCTGATCAAAGCTAGGACAGCAGCCCTTCAGCAACAACAGTCCAGAAGCCAACAGGAAGCCATGAGCCTCGGTAGGGGTATAGGTACACCGCCGCCAATATGGAGAAATACCCCTACACCACCCCAGGGTGGCCCCAGATACCCTCCCGGATACGGTTATAATAACCAACAAATGCCGAGTAACGGCCATGGATATGTAAGTGGCCAGTCATAATCCCATGCAGATATTCTATGCATAGATTGCTAACTTATAGGCAGCCCAATCAACCACTATATAACCAACCACCACAGGAACAAATCAACCTAGCCTCCTTACATCGTGACGTTGACTCGTTGATAATGAGTGTACGGCTCGAGTTCACTGCTAACCCACTTAACACCGCAGTTCAGCAAAAGCTCAAGGCCCTTTTAGATTTACAGAACATTCTACAACAGCAACGGTTACCTGATGCACAGCTAAAACAGATCCGTGACCAGGTGTCTCAGCTTTCTGCCTCCAGCGCAAAGCCAACACCACCGCCCCCTGCACCTGCTGCTTTGCCTGCTCATATCCCACATCCCCCGGTCTCTACACCTCCTATAGGGACAGTACCTGCCCAGACACCGCAACCAAACCTCCAAGCTTTACTGAACCCAAACACTCTTGCAGAACTTATCAAGGCGACCGCACAGAAGCCTACTCCAACCCAGCAAACTCAACCATATACCCAACCGGCTGCTCCTACTCCATCACTTGCAGCAGCTGTACAACCGCCTGTATCCCTAGCCGAAAGTCCCTTGATAGCGTCATTGAGAGCTCGTGGCCTTCTACCTCCTGCTACGGGAACTCCTACAACCACACCACCTAATCTCCCCTTCATCATTCCAGGTCAACCACCTTATACTCCAGTGCCTGCCAACACAAATTCTCAAGGTGTTAAGATTAAAGTTCCAATGACCTCTGCTTCGATACGAATGTAAGTGCCACCAGTATCTTTATCCCTAAATTTTGCTTTGACTAACCGACATATCCCCAGACCTCGCCCAAATTTGATTTCCTGCTTGTACGAAGATAAACCGAACCGCTGCGGAACTTGCGGTCGCCGATTCGTCTCAACCCAGGAAGGGAAGGACAAGAAGGCTAGACATCTAGACTGGCACTTCAAAACAAATCTACGGATAAACGAGGCTGCCAAGAGAAGTCAGAACAGAAGCTGGTATCTCGACGAGCGCGTAAGTTTATGCAGTCAGCTTGGTGTGTTCCACTCTCTAGCGTAACTAACATGCACCCTAGGACTGGATAAAATTCAGAGAATTTGAAGATGACATTGGTGCCGACGATGCGTCTGTCGCTGCTAGAAAATCCAATAACGAAGATGCATCAGGTAAAAAGGCAGAACAGCAAAGATGGATCCACGCTCCTAATGATGCCACGCTTCGCAACACTCCCTGCCCAATATGTCAGGAGAACTTTGAGTCCACTTGGTTTGAAGAAGCGCAAGATTGGATATGGAGAGATGCTATTAAAGTTGGAAATCGCATATATCACGCCAGTTGCTATGCAGAGGTCACAAAAGATGGCAGCACAGGTGCAAATGCCGATATATCGCGGGGCCGAACCAGTACGCCGGATTCCGTTCTCGGCAAACGAAAAGCAGAGGTGAGCATATTCTCTTAATGTCCTGATATGTAGAATATATTACAACGTTTACTAATTTTGTACTCAATCTATAGGATTCGGATTTCTCTACATCTAGCGTCAGAATTAAAACCGAGCCAGCTTCATGACCCTTTCTCTGCGACTTTATCCAAAAAAAAAAGGAATAACAATTTTCATTCCACTGTCCATATGATTTCTCCAGACACCCATCATCATGTCCTTGTGCTTTTCTGGCCCCTGATTACCCCCAATCTACACTTCCGATATCCATATATCCCATCTGCATTGTCATCTTCCCCTTTAAATATTTGTTTCAGTCATGTTTACACACAGCGGGAAATGCCTAAGTCTCTTTCAGTTGCATGGCGAATAGACCTGCTTTTTATTTCGCTATAGGGCCTTCTCCCATACAAAGTACTTTACACTAATATTAATGGGATAGAGATAGTATCCCTAGGTAGTAATAGGAATTACAGAAATAAGATAACTCCTATGGTTTTATATATATATTTAAGCTCTCTTCATCTTTATCTACTTTATTAATCAATTCTGTGAGAGTCAAAATAAGCTAACTAGCGGACGCGGGAGGCTGTAACCTTAATCATCTCTAATGCTAAACTAACCTCACAGAACCATGATAGAACTCTCTAATATTACCTAGAGAGGCATATGACTTTGAATATGTTGAGTAGTGGTAAGAGAAAGTTATTGATTAAAATAATCTAATTCATACTTGTAGTGGCCACTAAAAACAAATCCCCATGAACCTCCCATGTAAGAACACCGGCCAAGCTGCAAATGACATCAAGAAAGTACCCGCCACACAGTCAAATTTCAAAGGTTTTCCACCCCAGAAAGGTACAAGGCACAGATATAACCACACAACTTTGGAATCAAAAACAAGGGGCCGTAGACATTTAGTCAATAACAGGTAGAGTAACATGATACGAAGCGGTCAAGATCGAAAGAAGAATTCTCCTCCGAGCCAATGAAAGGCATGCTTTATGAGGTTACTGGTGGTTTTGAGTGCCAGTGGCAGGAGCCTTTGCAGTGTTGGGGAAGTCAGGATCATTAACGTTGGCAGTGGCAGTATCAGGCTCGTCATCGACAACTGCCTCAGCTCCCTGGTGCGAAGGAGCTGGTTCCGTAACTGCCGCACCCGTCTTAGTGGCAGCACCTGTTGGCGGAGTTGGAACGTCAGGGGAACCCGAGTTTCCAGACCCATAGACGCTGCTATCCGTACGTGCATGGCCGATTACACCCTCTGGGTTGGTATGGATGTTACGCTGTGAAGATATTAGTTGCTTGAGTGTAAGAAGTAGTTAAAGTTCACCACGAAGCGAAAAGCGCGGGATTTTCATGTTGACTTACGCGAGATCTATTCTCGTCGGCGTATCTGGCTGCGGCAGTGATCAACTCCATGTCCAAGGAGTGCTGCATCGGCATGATAAGTGCTGGATGCGAGGCATTATTTGGATCCTCCGGGTGAATCGCTGTAGCCAAACGAACAGTTAGTTAACCCCCAAGAGAAATAACCAAGCAAACGCGAAGTACGCGTGTATTTTGACGTGGAGATTGCTTTACACAGGCTTCGAGAGGGCAAAAATTGGCGTCAAATAGTCGTAGCACAAACGAAAAGGAGCATGGAGGCTTATCCTGGACAGTCCACTGGAGGGGTTTATATCTGTAGTACTTACGCTGCAAGTTTAGCAAGCTGATATCAACAGTAGTAGAAGGGCTAGAAAGCAACTCTTATTAGCCATATTGCATTTATATATATAGGGCGTATGAGGAGGAGCCGTGTCCCTTGAGCCAAATACTTACCAGGTTGGTCTCCCAATCTCGTACTTGTGCGGTTGAGCCTGCTCTCCATGAGAACGGAGACAAGAGCAGGAGAGTACACACCCCATTGCTATTCTCGAAGTGATATGATTGTGAAAGACCTAAAGAAACAAGGGGTAGTCAAAGACTTTGACCAGGAAGAAACTGAAATCTGCAGTGGATGTGATGTTGTGATAAACAAGAGGGGAAGATGAAGTTGATACTGATATGTCTAGCTGCTTAGTCGGCGACCAGATAGACAGTGGATCACTGAGGCCATGAAGAAAAGATGCGATAGAATAATATGCAAGTAGAAAGATAGTAGACCAGAAGACTCCACTGAAGTTGCATTAAAAAGAGCACTGCATGGTGCTTCTGGACAGGAACTTCCCGTTATGGGGAGCAAGGAAAACAAAGGGCGCAGGTAGTGGGAGAGAGAGAGAATACAATGCATTTATATGAATATATTGCTCATAAAAAAGAAGCAATAGAACAGATGCATTGTATTTCTAACAAGTAACATACAGTATACAAGAGCACCAGATCCCGCAGGTCTATACACGTTCAGTAGTTCCTAACCACCAAAGCAACAAAAAGCCTCAAAATAGGGGAATAAATGGTATCCCATGTATAGAGAGTCGTAGACACGTATTCCTGACAACCGAGGAGGCGAATGCGAAACAAAAAGGAGGTAGGGGCCGTGGTTTTGTATGGGGCTTCTCAGAAGAATTACTTGGACAAGCCGATCTTGCTAAGAATTGGAGACTGCTTCTGCTCAAAGACTCCGAGAATGCTCTTCCAGACCTGGCCAGGCTCCTGGCTGGCATCAATTCCACTCCAGATACCGGTCTTCTTGTAGTATCCAACAACTGGCGCGGTTTGAGCGTGGTAAGTGGCCAGCCGCTTCTTCAATGCCTCGGCGTTGTCATCAGAGCGCTGGACAAGCGGCTCCCCAGTGATGTCGTCGGTCATCTCCTTCTTCGGTGGGTTGAAGATTTTGTGGTAAGATCTTCCAGAGCCCGGGTGGATCAGTCGGCCCGTTATCCGAGAAACAAGAAGACTATCATCAATCTGGAGTTCGACAGCATGCTGCAGCGCCTGCTTGCGTTCGCGAAGCATGTCATCCAGTCGTTCAGCTTGAGCAACTGTACGAGGGAATCCATCAAGGATGAAACTGTGAAGGGGCAAGGGGGAAAAAGTGTTGCGTCAGTAAGCTTGGACCATGGTCCCAAAAAAATGGCGGTAAAACGTACCCCTTCTTACACTCCTTGTTCGACTCCAACTCGTTCTTGATCATGCCGACCATAATCTCGTCGGAGACAAGTCCACCTTGGTCCATGATCTTCTTTGCAGCCTTGCCGAGCTCAGTTTGGCGGGAGACTTGTGATCGGAGCATGTCACCGGTAGACTTGTATGTAGTTGTTAGAGCGACAATGGACGATACTAGGGTATAAACAAGTCGGTTGGCAAAGATAAACATACCAAGTGGCACACGCAGTATTTCTCCTTGATCTTGGGCGCCTGGGTTCCCTTGCCTGGGAGCCACGGTGGTCAGTCGAACATTTCGGCAAAGGCGGACATGTATTCAAGATGCTACATACCGGCACCAGGAGGGCCCATCAGGATCATCCGCATCGACTCAGCAGCCGAATTGGAGTCCGAATGACCGCCATTGAGCAATGCCTTCTCCAATCCAACTATCCGGGACTCCAAGCTGTTGATGAGGTCCTTCAGGGCATCGATCGATTCGCCGTTAGCTGGGGCCATTGTGAGCCGAGGACGAAGGTGGTCAAAGAATATGAACAATCCTTTGGAATCAGGAACCGGACGAGAGCGCGTTCACTCTGAGATGGCAATTGGCAAGCAGATGAAGAGCGGAGAGGTTGAGGAGAGGAAAGGAAGAAGAGCGTTCAGCAGATCCGAAGAAGAGAAACGAAGAACGTCGGCGAGGATTAACCTGATGCTTGCTTTTTCTTGCCGCTCTTGGTTGGTTTCAACCTGCAGCGCGACGAGCTTAAAGCCGGCACACGGCAAAGATGACTCAGCAGTCACGGGCTAGAGCAGTATCACGTGAGAGTATTAATCATAGAAGCTTAGTCAATCGTTAGTCATTGATATGCTTACTCATCATGCCGCTCTGTTCCCAAAAGCTTGCGCTTAAGCTCTGGGGCAGCTTCAAGTCAACACGGAAGACGGACAGGCAGACAGACAGACAGACAGAAAACAAGCAGACGAAGGCGAGGAGCTGCAGCTATTTACCACCGTTGGCTGCTTGTCTCCATACCTTTTTCGCTGTGTCCTCTTTTTACCTTTACCTCCTCCCTCCGTCTTTCTAGTGACCTCGTTTTGCCCATTTCATCATGCCTGCTACTACCACCGATACCCTCTCCCTCGTCACCACAACTGTTACCGTTGCTCCCTTAGTTCTTCTCTCGGCAGCAGACCACTATGGACGGTCAGCAAAGGGGACTAGAAAGCGAGTGGTTGGTGTATTGCTCGGCCAGAATGATGGGAAAACGGTCCGCGTGTCCAACAGTTTTGCGGGTACGTGCTATGAATGCGCGGAGTTATTATCATACATTGAAGCAGCGGAGCCCTGTATTCCAGCCCTACTGACAATTCATTCCACAATATAGTACCTTTCGAAGAAGATGACAAGGACCCTTCAGTCTGGTTTTTAGACCACAACTTCGTCGAGTCTATGAATGATATGTTCAAGAAGATTAACGCCCGCGAGAAACTGATTGGATGGTATCACTCCGGCCCGAAGCTGAGAGCGTCGGATCTAGAGATCAACGAGCTGTTTAAACGATACAACCCAAACCCTCTACTTGTCATTATTGACGTGCAGCCGAAGGAAGTCGGGGTGCCTACCGATGCATACTTTGCTGTTGAAGAGATCAAAGATGTGAGATCCAGCGTTCCTCTGTGGCTCGATTGTCCCGAGAACTCGCAAGCTAACATCGATCATGTAGGACGGAACAACAACGTCCAAGACTTTTGTTCATACCCCTTCAATAATAGAAGCTGAAGAGGCCGAGGAAATAGGTGTAGAGCATCTCTTAAGAGATATTAGAGATGTTGCAGTTGGCACCCTCTCCACCAGAATAACCTCACAACTTCAGTCTCTACAAGGCCTTCATCTTAGGCTTCGGGATATTGGCCAGTATCTTGAGAAGGTACTAGACAGAGACCTCCCCGTCAACCACGCCATCCTCGGTCATCTCCAAGATGTATTCAACCTCCTGCCAAACCTCGCTACAGCCAAACCAGGCACTTCCTCCGGTGCCAATGGCGCCGAACAGCAAATCGAGAACACCGAGCTTGCCCGTGCCATGAACATCAAAACAAACGATCAGCTTATGTCCATCTACATCAGCAGTTTGATTCGAGCCATAACTGCGTTCCACGACTTGATAGAAAATAAGATCCAGAATCGTCAGCAGCAGGAGGAAAGAGAGGCAAAGAAGGAAGAGGGAAAGGAAGAGAAGGCCAGTGCCAGTTCAAATAACGAGAATAAGAAATCGGGCTCCGCTTCAGGGACAGATACAAAGGACGAGCCAAGTTCGAATGAGAAGGGGAAGAAGAAATAATGGATTACATCCATACATTTGGAGCTGCCATTTTTCGCTCCTTTTGGTCTTCTTCGACTCCAATTTTCTTCTACTTCCTTCTCAGAGAATAATTGGAACTAGTCAGCGATATGTCAAATATTGCATGTATCTTTCCCCCAATAGAGCTTCTGTGGAATGGGCCGACGCACTGGATCAGAAATATAATGACATTGAATTAACGTTGCTTCCTTAAACCTCTAATTCAAACACCGGAGCCATGCTATATATACTTTTGTAAAATATCCCTTATGGTTGACACCTTTCTTCCTCATGCCGCAAGCTTTCCCGCAAACTCCCAAGAATCTATCTCACATCTCCGTACTTTGCTACCAAATACACTTGGACACTGGGATACAAGTGTACACGCCAGTAAATGCTTGCAAATGGATGGTGAATCATGCATGAAGCAACAGCCCGAAGGAGAAGACTTACAGGGTGTGCTTTGGGTCAGACTCCCACCAAACACCCAGTTTTTGCTCTTTGTAGTGGTATCAACCGGCTCATTCCTCACCAGTAATTCAACATGGTCCTCTGTTTGGTGCGGCGTTTCATCCATCTCCGGATCAGGATCCTGAAAGGTGGCCAGCGTAAACGCAGGACATGTACAGTTCCATGCATCAAGACAAACCTGATATTCGGTCTCTTGTTGCTGACGGTGATTGTCTTCCTCTGCTCCAGGTCTCCTCTTCGCAGCTGTAGACAAGACGAAATATATCTCGCTATCAAAACATTCGCCCTCGTAGTCATCGTCTCTGTTGATATCGCGCCTCTGCTGCCGCTGTGTCCTCGGGTCATCTCCACAGTATACCTCTATCTCTCCTCCATCTTCCCCGTGCTCTGGACGGCATATGGCCTCTCCCGGGGGTCCACTGTTCCGGGGCTTGATAGTGTATCTAGTAATCAGATCCCGGTCGAGGATATCAAGAGCTGGAAGCAACTCGTTTGGGAACAGGCAGTGCAATGTCAGCACCAACGGCTTCACCTTTGCCACAACATCTGCCGGCAGCTGCGATAATGGGTTTCTCAGTGTGTCTCCTTCGTCGTCTTCAACGTCCGGTATTATAGAGATACCATCTAGAGGCTCCTGGGCTCGGCTACAGGCGGCGAGCTGCCTTATAAGGCCCGTGATAAAGACTGACGAACAGGGGAGCGAGCTCTCTGGGCTCCCGGAGCGAAGAGCTGACATCGAACTGGCTTCACCGAGCATCCCTTTTCCCCGGACGCGTTAATTAAAACCCGTGCAGCTGGGAGAACGGGTGGTTGAATGGGAATCTGGGTCTGGGAGAGCTGGAGCCAGGGACGAAACGCAGCCCCTTGCCTGCTCGAGTGGTCGATCCAGTGGAAAGAGAGGGTTCAGAACTTATACGAGCTTGCCAGCATTAACTATGCAGCATCCGTGTAGCAGCAGCGCCTTTGTCCAAGATATGTTCCTTGCAACAGTTTAGTTTATGCATGTCTGTGGCCATAGCCATAACTAGTGAGTTATTATTATAACTGATGCTTGATTTTAGCCAAAATAACTACATACAAAGGCCCCCCCTCACATGCCTATAACAACCAAGATCAACTCTATAAAAATAGATAGGCCGAATCCTCCAGAGACCCAACGTCTTTGCAAAGTTGCAACACAGACCTCCGATCCCCATACGCACCCTATAGCACGCCAGAAATAGCCTGATGGGCAAGGAGAAGAGTTGTCCTAGCGTTGATTTGATGTCCATTCCCGTGTTCCCCAAGCTTCACACTCCCAGTACTTATCCACCTGGGATAAGTCCTCTCCTTGTGCTCGGCCTTGGGACGAGTTGACCGGCTACCTTTGGACTTCTTCTTTACCGGGAGGCACTGCTGCTTCCTCCCATTATTACCCCCTAGAGGCGAAGGGGTGAGTTCACACTACCCTCCTGCATTGCGCCGGCTTCTCTCAAGTCGTCAGGCCTGGGCCGCTTTTGCCCACTTTCAAACAGACCCTGAACGGCCCCTCTGAAGACCCTTCCGCCCATGGTGATTTCGATGTCGACCTTTGCTGGCTGGACCTCCCACCGAAAAATCGAGTCGGGGCTGCCAGAGGGACCAGTATTTGAGCTACGCAAGACTTCAATCAAGTCGGTCGAGCCGTCACCTATTTCCATGGTAGCTTCTTCACCCTGCTGAGTCTGGGGTTGCCCAGGGGTAATAATATGTTTTGAAACCCCACGTTCATCCGAAGGCGTCTCATTCGCATGGGCTGGTAGATAAGGCTCAATTCTTCCAGCGAGCGAATAACTCCCTGCAATGGCTGGGCCGTTGTTAATTGCCCCAGGTGATCCTCTAAAAAGGGGTAGCCTGTTATATATTAGGACATACGGAACGTTATTATCATCCTGGTACCTAAGGATGACGTTAATGTCGGTTTCACAGGAAAATTCGTCATTCAAGCAGGTCCAGGTGCCTCTCGGTCCTTTGACATATGACATATAATGGCCCTCCTTTATTGTGGCACCGCGGTGGACGATAACCGAAGTGAGTTGATAGCGAAGACTATCTCCGAATTCTCTCGCCTGTGGGAGCAGCCTTTCCGTCAGATCTAGGTCCTCGGCGAATTGAACCTCAGCCGTCACTTTAGAAGACTCTCCACTCTCCGATACCTTGAATCTGGTAATCTGGATAACCAACACCTCAGGGGCATCTTTGATAAACATCTCCCGATGAAGAGTCGAGTTGCTATCACAGTTATCACAATGATACCCTGCAATTTCTTCTGGCTTCATATACTCCTGAATGCAGTCCTCGAGTGATCCCAATCTCTGTTCCGGTGGAGAAGCACCCAGCACCCATGAATGGTCTTTTTCGGAATACTTGGTGTACTGACAGGTTTGGCAAGTGCTCCGGTATTTAAAGACATTTTGGAATATATGTTGTATATCCCCCGTATCAGTAGAGTTGTCGATCTGGGAGATCAACCTGGTCAGGAACTCAATGCAATCCTGTTGGTCCGTGGAACGGGTATCCCAGAATTTGCTGCACTCCTTCCATAATCGACAAAGGATTACTTCCAGTTGTAGGGAGGGGTTTGGTGCCCAATATTCGTCAACCAGACGTCCCAGTAAGCAGACGAAACACTTCTCACAATCCTCGGAATGATCTAACCTATGGTTCAGCAAGTGGAGCATCAACCAGTTAACAAAGAGGGGCTGATGTAGTAAGGCAGTCAAAATGCAGTTCCTATAACACAGTACACCTGTTCCGTTCCGAATGCCTCCGGAAACCAGTGCTGGGTTTCTGAAATATAGACCCCAATCGGAGTAGAACAACCTAAGCTAATTGTAGTCAGTAAAAGTGCAAGAAGGGAAACCAAGATTAGAGTATTATGCTCACCCTTCCGCGGCTATTCTCGTTGGAAGTATTGGCGCTATGGCTGCTTGGGCTATTTGCCATGGTAAATTGAGATATTGTCGATGAGACTGGGTTCTAGTAATAAATTGCGTCTAGTTTACGCCAAATCTGAAAATTCAATCTCTCTGCTATTGAATGCATTTAGTAAATGGTGAGCTTAATATATAGCGTCATTGAAGTGGACAGGGTAGTTTTTTCGTGTAGTTACCCTGTTATATACATTTCAAGTATGTGCGTGTTTTTGTTGCTTGTTTGTTTGAATTTGAACAGACAAGTCCATTCATTTTGATATCAAAGCTACACGCAGAGATTATACGACAAAGCTTCGCAGACTTGTGCCTTGATGGTTATCAAAGCCTCGACGTTGTCCTTTGATGGGGACAACTGAAAGACTATATTAAGGGTGCCTTGAGCTGATTTGGTAGTTCTCCGGGAGAAGCAGCCAAAGATGGACGACCAAGTAAAAAGCATCTAAATGCATAATATGCATCGCTGTGCCACTGTATATAAATGCGTTCATGTTATTAGTTATGGCTGGCTGGGAAAATGGTATTGCCATGTTTTTAGGAGAGTGAAGACCCTCCGCTGGATATAGAAAATCAAGGTAAGTTTCATTAGCGTGGGAACTGCTCATATATGAGGACAATCCCCTGAGATCTTTGTTTTGGTTTGTCCTTGTGCATAGTGGTTTGATCTTGGGCTTTGATATATGTTGAATGTCTTCCAACCAAGGCTAACTACCTGGCGATTCCAGCCAACAATTGAACAAAGGGTACTCCGTACAAGGCAGAGATAATACCAGCGCTATTAACAGAAACAGACAGCTACCACGACAACAATCGCGAGCAACGGAAGAAAAGGAGAAGATGCGAATACCCGCAAAAAAGGGGGTCTTGGACGGGGGATCTTAGGCGGTCTTGGTCACATGATGGGGTTCTTGTTTGTTGGCGTTTTTGACAAACAACTCGGACAAACGACAACAACAACAAGCACTCGAACACCGCAGGCATGGATGGGGAACAAGGATCATGCCTCCACGGATCTGGAAGTGCTCCATGGTCAGACGGCCGAGTGCTTCAAGTTTGGTGATGTTGATGTTCCCTTACTCATCAGAGCTCGGCTGTGTTGCTCCATGTTCAGGTAGAGGACGAGGTAAGCTCACAGAACTGCCACTTGACATGAAGCGGTTAGACGCTCTTTGTCTGTGAAAGCCATTCATTTGCTGACCGTCATGAACTCAGGCTCCTCTCACTCCCAATAATGGCGAAAGCATACTGTATTCGATACACGCTGGACCCAACGAAGTACAACACCTTCTGGAATATGACGCTCTCTGCCTGTTCACCATATCCTAGTTCTAACCACCAGCCACCCTAGCCCTACGCCAACAGGCAACACCTGGGTATTAAATTTTTCTCCCTCTCTTAACTAATACGCTCTTCTGCTGCGCCCATGGGATTCACGCGGCCTCTGAAGATCTTCTTAAGGCTTAGACACAGTCCAATCGAATTTCACACCGCCTCATCGGGAAACTAGAAAGTTTACCAACTCATCTAGTTTCCCTTTACGATGCTGCATCGCATGACAATCGCGAATTTAATCCTTTTTTTTCTGCCTTTCTCCGAGAAAGCCCATGGCTCATACCCTTGCCTAACCTGGCAATCGGGACTCTTTGCATGATAAACACGATCAACCGCGCCATGGACATCTTGCGTCTGGGTTTCGGAGTTCATCCTATACTCCATTCCTGTGCATGATAGACCGCTTTCATGTTAACACCTGCATGCAACTCCTATGTTGGTCATTTGATAAAAAAGAAAAAAAAAATCCAGAGCCCATGGTTCATCCAGCTCGCCACACGTATACCTCTGAGGTTTGGTATGCGGTTTTCAAGAAATCCGAGCCTTATTTTGAGTCATTCTCCATGGACCATTCAACTTGCTGTGACACATGGCCTTTCCCAAGTGGGATATTCCTCAACCATAACGTCTGCCCAGGTTGAGATATTATGGCTTTGTGATTATCTGTCCTCCTGTGGAAGGAGAAACCAGAATATAGAAGATTTTGCGGTGGGGCCCGGTAACTTGACAGCCCAACCGCTCGTATACGTAAATATATGAGCTGCGGTGCATCCATCTGGGCAGAGTGATGAGGCTGTGACATCAAACGTGTGTAAAAAGTTCCATTGGCTGGTATGATTCATACCGTCTTGTGTTTGCCGTCCACGTCACTTTCCTGGAAAATGTATCGATCACTCCCAAACAGAAGTGATTACAAGCATTAGATCTATTGATCGATATGCAGCACCAAGTCAACTAATGGGATTCAAAGAGCATCACTCTGTGCCACTGGCACAATTCAGGTTACCCCTGTATATCGCCGAAGGGATTATGCCAGCACGTGAGCTTTCATTTCAACATGGCCTTCGGAATGTGTTACCGCCAGGAACCACAACTGATCTGCTCATACCGAGTAATCTTGCTGATGAGCTGGTGAAGCTACCTATGAGTCCTGATCGAGGACATATCCCGTGTCTGGGTATCCGGAGCACTCCGCGGGAACTTCTATCGATTCTGACTTGATTCCAGCATCAAAAATGGGGTATCCATATTGGCTCAGATGACTGAGATTTACTATGCAGACCTAACCTAGCTCTGTGGTTCAAGAAAAACGACTATCGATTTTTCGTGATTCCTGTACAGAGAAGATATTCTTGCATAAATATTCGCACGACAGCTGCGAGAACCCGCAAAAGATGATAGAATCTCTATTCCGGAGCGACGATCTTAGATCAGACACTCGAGACGGCTGAGGTCACCGCTACTAAGAACGGCTATCATTACTTGTGACGGACGTGTTCGGGCTAAACGCTTGATACCAAGTAGACCTGCAAAAATCGCAACAAGTGAGGCGAAATGACGCTTGCGAAAACACCCAGCCAAAGCTTTCGAGCCATTAAATGAGGGATTGTAGATTTACCTATACATCCCTGTTTGCTAGAGGGGGCCAACGTTTCCCTAGCCGGCTCATTTGCATTGCTGATTTATCTGGGAGCGTTGGGGCCAGAAGAAGAGTGCTGCGTTCTGTGTCTCAAAAAAGGTTTCATGTGGGAGCTTTTGGCTTCCGACTTTACCCAGCTGAGTCGTAAGAGGCAGCACACTCCGTGTCATATGCAATATGAACCTGTTTGCCTATTGGTGAGGATCTGACATGTTTGATATCGACCTATCCCCAAGTCAACTCTCCAAGACAGGACTGATAAAACCAGAGCAACGCTTCTGAGCCCAGAAGATCAACGTACTTTCACCTTGAAGCAAGACGGGTGCTTATTTTGCGCCGACAACTCGCGAGTTATCGTGATGGTTAATTTCAAATATCAGCGCAAGTCGGCCTAGGATTTGGCGCCACATTGTACAGCTTACGGTAAAAATCAGCGAGAGACACCTGTTTTTGGATATTCATCCGGCCAGAGTCAGGATTTACCCCTCAAGGAGTGTTTACCGGCTCAATCAGACCAGATCTTGCTCAATGTATACAGTTTCGCTTAATTAGGATCGTACCGAAGAGGCGCTGGCTGATGACGCGCAGGTAATTGCATTTCTTCAGGCCGAGTAAGGTAGGTTTACTCTCGCTCGTCAAATCCATCTTCCTCAGGCGATCTCGTTCGTCTGTTTGTGCTCTAATACTCAATTATGATCTGCCAACTATAATATCAAGTCGCAACGCAGTAATAATATGGTCGCGATATAGTCATAGATCACAGCTACCGAACTTGAGGGGGAAATCTTAGCTCCAGAGCACAAAGCAGAACGTGAACAGTCAAGGACGAAACAAGGAGTGGGAACAAACGATCCGGGATAAACATGCAGCAATCAGAAAGAAAAAAAAGAAGACATTTTCTTTCTTGCTGTCACCAATATATTATGCGTTCCGCGTAGACGGGCTCGCTCCATCCCGCTCAAGCCTGGACCTGGGCAAGGCATCGCCGACTGGGGTTGGGATTGAGTGGGTGATAGACAACCAGGCAACCAGAGAGAGAGAGAGAGATGCAAAAATAGCACGGTTGACAATCTGTCAAGGAAGACGGACAGCAGATATTGTAGGTACTTCCATTGGCTGGCAAGGAATTTCGAGAGACGAGGAAGCCGGAAGATCCTTCTGCGGTGGCTTTCATGGCTTCCATGTATATGGGGAGACTACTCCGTAGAGAGAGTAGGGGGTTACTTCAAGTTAGCCGATGGGATTGGAGGTCGCCTTTTCTTGAAGATCTAGCCTGTAGAAATCAGGTACGAATATTTTAATCTCCGGGGAGTGTGGAAGTCGCTCAGGGATAGCTTTTGTCAGGCGGAAATCATCTGGGGTCGGGGAGGGGCGGCCTCTTCTTCGAATACCGCCTGCTAGCATGTCCAGTTCGAATTAGAATCTTCAAATGCATGGAGAAGGATGATTCTCGAGTCTAAGAAAAAAGAGGCGCCTTCTCTGGCACCTTTGATTAACGACTGACATCGATCCCATGCTGAAGATAAACCTTGTGAAAAAGGGGAACAACATGGCATGGCACCAGGCATCGTGAGTTACAACGTAATACAGGACCCTTCCACCCGTTGTTCTCTTGCTACCAAGTTTTATGGGCCGCTCCCTGCAAAGCATGGTGATGGGCTGCCGCGGAACTGTGTTTTGACCGGGGGTTTGACATATATTCACACCTGCCAGACCATGGCTATATTAAGCGTCCTATATGCCGGGCCAGGGGCTAGACATCGCCGGGACGGCTTCCCAGAAGTCTGGATCGGATCAGGCTATTTTATCTTCAATCACGCAATTTGAGATCCGCAGAATATTGCGCAGCGCATTAACCTGGTTAGAATATAATGGCTGGGGTTTATATGCTGGCGTTCAGGGGTGTCGGATGTTGACAGAGCAGATTTGTACTACTTATATGGACCAGGAGCTGGGATGGGACGGGCAAGGAGCCGACTCCGTTTTAACGGAGCACTTCTGCGACGAACAGGTGGCCTTGCTGGAGAGGAGAACGGGAGGAAGATCAGATTCTCATATGTATACTTATTCCCTATGGAATACGGAGAACACTACGGAGTACTGTCGATATACTACCGTGTGTACGGAGTACCGAGCTCTCACCTACACGACGGACATGCTGGCCTTCACGCTCTCTCTTCAGCTTCATGCGAAACTATCCGCTCTTGGGGCCCGCATGACTAGTTTTGAGGCGTCGATTGGGTTTCTCTGGCCATGTTCGAGAAGGGGTGGCCAGGCATAATAATAGTAATTCAGCCAGCTTGACCGTGGTTCACCCTCAACACCCCCTAGGTTCGTCCCGGCTACTGAAACCGTTAGCCTTGCAGGATAGATAAGACGTTTTCCCACGAAGTTAACTCCAAAAACAAACAAGAAAAAAAGACAAGGAAGAGAGGAGGAAAAGTCAAGAGACGGAGTTTAATAATAATACCTCGTTTCTGTGGGAGAATTAAAACAAAACAACCCCGTTTTGGTTGTTTGGACCAGCTGAAGGGACCCTCCCAGCAGGCATCTTTGGCGGACGGGATGTACTGATGCGCGCATCCTGGGCTTATGGATTCTTCTCCTTCAGCCCAGACATAGAGGCATATATACAATCTCTGCTATGGCCCCTGACGCCCCGGGCTTTGGAATGTTGCTACGATTGGTGAGACTTGGCCGGCTTATAAAGGACAGGGGTTTTCAATTAATAAATACTTCTACTGGGACGAAGGGAGACTGCGGTACTTTTTTGTCGAGGAGAAGTACTTCCAGAGTTACTTACACACATAGCCTTTTTTTTTTTTTTTGCTCCCATTCTCCGGATACGCAATCTGGGGTTGTTTCTGGTCGTTGTCGGGATTTAGATTAACCAGAGCCTTGGGCCGCCCATGAGAGAGGGTGAAGTTGTGCATCGTATAAATCCGTTCTTTGTCCAGCGTACCGGATTCCTGATATCTTGTTTCTTTTTCTTCCTGTGATGTTTTGGCTTCTGCTATTCTTATTATCTTTCTTTCATGACAGGTTCGTTATACTCATCTCATGCATGGGGATGTATAAGACGGCGTAAGTGATGGTTTCTTCCCCCTCGTCCTTTTGCCAACCTCCCAGCCTCTCCTCTGACCTAGCAAGGCACACTCAGTTAATCTAGAAGCTGTCGGTAGGCAAGGAAAAAGTCCTTTTCTCACCGCCCATTAGGTTTTTGTCTGCGGCCCTTTTCTTTCTCTTGTTCAGGGGTTGGAATCCCGAAAGACAGACTGTTGGATGACCAGGAGGGATGCAGACAGTCCCTTCCTTGGGTCGAAGGATGCCAGTAGACCGGACACATCATAATCTTATTCAGACAGTTGCGGGTAGTCGTTACACCTGTCCGATAGTGGGTTAGATGTATACAATTATTCCGTAGAGCCAACGGCTGTCATCTGTGGCACGATCCATAGTGGCGAAGTAGCCGGTGTGACAAGTATAGAGGCGGCTGCATGGAGTGTTGGAGTGTTGGGTCGCAAGTCGAGCAGGTCAACTCCTCCCTCACACATCCATCCACAGACTCAGACTGTGCCGTAATTTCCCTTACACAAAAGCTGACAGCGTCTTGTCACACGATTATCGTCGACGATGGTAAGAACCCGACAGTTCGGTTGTCCGCGACCCTTTGGGACAGTATATCCTCCAATGAACGCTCTAGGGCTTCGGCTATCTGCATGACATTGCTCACATTTCTCGTCCCCCTTTCAGGCAAAGAAGGGGGGGAGGTGGTCCGTCCTTGTCCGTCAAGGATTGGGCACTTGGCCGTCGACAGGCCTCTCGTTGTCTCTTGGTCCATGAAGCCAGTATTAAGTATGGCTACTTGGTACTCGTGAGCGGCGGCTTGGCCGTAAGGATCCAAAAATATCGTCCTTCACCCGCTCATACGGAAGTATATACATACGAGAAAGACGAACGGATGGACCCGAGCGAGGGCGGACGAGGATGAAGGCAGCGCGAAAAGGAGACCAAGCAAGCCAACCTAGCCAGACAGAGAGGCAGGTAGTGAGCTATAAGGTTCAATCCCAGGGAAGAGAAATTTCAGTTTTCTTCCGAAAACTCTCCCAGATGTTGGGAAGAGCAGGGCAAAGAACCTGTGGAGACGCAGGTGCATGCGCCAAGTGGGAGAGGTGCTGAGTCGAAGGGATATTGTGGATGGCGATGGACGGGATGGGCAGCCTCTTGGTGCTCTTGATGTCCTTCTGCAGTCAGAAACTGAATAATTGTTACATATGTAGGGGATCTTCGTCGTCATCTGGCTGGTGTCGTGTCTGATTGTTTGGAGCCAGTTGTTAGGGATAGGGGAAGGAGAAAAGAAAAGCAGCAGAACAGCGTGACTGTCGAAGGGCCCAGAGAGCTTTCGGGTTTCTCTCGGAAATCTTCTGGCCTGCCTTGCCCTGTCCTGTCTGTCTGTCTGCCAGCCTGTCTTCCATCTCGCAACTCTCTCGAGAATAAGCAAGGTGTCCGTGATAGACGTCAATACGAGCACGAGAAGCCAGCATGATTTAAACTCACGTAGCTGAACAGGACGGCATGGCCACGAAGAACTGCCGGGTCTTCCCTTTGCCTGCCTGCCTGCCTCACTGTCTCTGCTTCTGCCTTGTCCTGGAACTATCAACATTCCCTCGCTCTCTCTTCCCGTCTCTTTTAGCCTTCTTATGGACCTTGGTTCATCTTCCACTTTAATTTAACCTTAACACCTGAACAACCTAATTCTTCACCGCATGATCACTCTTGACATACTTACTCCGTCGATATACCCGTCCATGTGTAAGTATATATATAGAGCAAGATGGTACGGAGTAGTGTGTGCGAGGTTGACGTCAGGATGACATCCTCATCCTCCGTCCAAGACGGGACATGGACAGGGGCACGACCCAGAGGAGGCCGTCGGTGGCTCAAGGAGATGCATGCATGAACGCTGCTGTTGTGTGATGTCTTTTATGTATGTCCACAGGCTGGAAATCTGGGTGTAATGCATGCTCGTATGTGTATCTACCATTTCTCTGGCTGGTACGGAGTACGATTTCATCTGCAACTGGGCTGACTCGTTGGGAGGGTGAGTCTCTGCATAACAGCGTCATCGCCATGGGACTAACGCAAGCCGATCGCGATCTCTCCCTGATTCTGGGGAAGAGAGAGGAGTTGTCCCTGGTGGTTTAGCACACGAGCTAGCAAGTTGGCCAGCTGTTTTAACTAGTGTGAAGTTGGAGAAGCCTCGTCGAGTGAAGACGATTGGAACGGCTTCCACGCAAGCTCCGTATCGTCAACATCACCTCGAACTAACGGAGCATCACAAACCGACCAGCAGGGCCGTCCTCTTCTCTTCCCCACAGTCCAAACACTGAGTTAAAGCCAGTTCGTCCGCGCAGATGTGGATTGGCTCGCGTAATTTGCTCGGGGAAGAGAGGATGCAGTCTCCGGCAGGAAGCATAATATTAAGCATTTGCAAGTCTCCCTTTTCCCACTTCTTTCATTCATTCTTTTTTCCTCATGGCCCCGTTGCTTTTTTCCCCTTCTTCTTTCTTGGAGTAGTTGAATGCGGGCTGGAAAAAGAAACCCTGGGTTCAATAATTACAGACGCTGTGGTCCAGGGATCTCAATGCCGGAGCATACTCCTGTGTTTGGAACACATCACAATTAGCCAGTTGTTTAGCTGGATATTCCCTTTGTATCAGCTTGGAGCCTGTCGTAGATATATCCAGATGGCAGTAGATATAAGTATATAGTAAATCCCATGAACTCTGCAAACTCGTGGATGCCCTTTTGACGCTCTCCTCCCCCCTGAGGCCATGGAGACTCCAGGAAACCCTTCACCGGGTCGTAAGCGAAGTTACCTCGACGTATAAAGATGCTGGTCATCGAGAGATAAGCAGTCTGCTTGACAGGGTACGCTTCCAGCCGCATGCCCTCCTTGCTCGACTGTCGATGTCCATACCCATACATAGGCTATCGGGCACGACCACCGACTGTTCTTCTTGCCGCTTTTCTTTTTGCTTGTTCCAACGGCAGTTCTACAGAAAGCCGGCTGAGTCGACAGAGATCGAACTACCGACCGATAGAACTGCTGCTGCTCCGTAAAAAGCATGCGAGTTAAAACCCAGCGAACGAACTAGCCGGGGAAAGGTAGGAAAAAGGAATACGGCGAAGGCTTAGTTATAGCAAATGCACCCACTGATGTCATCGACGTAACTTCTGTAAGCCTGTATGTCTAAACGGACACGACTCGAGAGGAAACGGAAACCCAATCGTGATACAAAGCGCCAGTCAGACGGACAGGAAGAAGGAAAAGAGCCTTGTATTGGCATGGTTCAGGGGCCAACGGTGTCTGCTGGCATCGTGACCCTCACAGTACTTGGCCATTCCTGGCGCCCAAGCAGAGTTCGCCGGGTACCGGAAAGGTAGTCCGTAAGCCCTTTTTTCGATCCTAAGGGCGCAAGGGGGTCAGGGTCACGTCGAAAAGTTGAAATCGTAACGGTTTTTTTTTAAAAAAGCCATGCCGTCCACATGGGTTCGTTCCTCATTGTTCACCCCCCTTAGTTACGGAGCACGCCCGTCAGACTAGCGAGTTGCAAGAGATAGATGGCCTTCGTTTGTCGCCAGGCATCCTCCGACTACCTGTACTTATATGTGTGTATATAGTCACTTATCTCTACGCTCGGAGCAGAGCAACGGTAGAGCTAGAGAGGGGGAAAGGGAGGCAAAATATCCATGTTCCCGGTAACCAGGCTGACCTCGCGGTTTATTGGTGGAAATGCCCCTTGAAGCGAGTCTGTTCATATAATTAATCCTGATAGTCGAAACAGGATATCCCATCTTCGAACTAGCTAGCTGCTGTTATGTGAGATAGGTAGCTATCCCGCCTGCGATGCTTGAAGGAGTGCGGTCCCCCGGAGAATTCCCATCCTCGTCAGCCGGCAGAGCGGTTGCCTTACTTTTTGATAAGTCGATGTCCGGCTAATTCCCACCTTCGGGTTTGCTTTTGGAGTTTTTCGTTTTGAGCCCGGTGTAAGATGTATATACGTGCATGCAATACACCTATATCGCGAGAGGCAAAGGGGGCCTCCCTTTCCTCCTGACGGGATCGATCCCGATATGATGATAAACTAGTCAGTTGTGGTAAATTTATACGCAATGCCTCACCTGCTAGCTCAAGACTCTCCGCTTCAGCTTACCGGAACCAATGCCGCCCACACCGGTTCTTTTCTTTCCCTGGTCGGTTTGTCTGTTGCTTCTTCCCCGTTCTCCAGATCGGTTAAGCATGCATTCTGTCAGGAAAAACGGAGTTGTGCCTCAAAGGAGGGTGGTGAGCACGGGTGGTAGCTTGGTGGAACTCGCACCTTTCGAGCCCCGTAACCATCAGAGCCACTCGTTCGTTCGTTTGTTCGTTCGTTCGTTTGTTACTTCATATACGTCGCCTTCTTTCTCTTACTCCTCCTGTCGGCTGGCAGTCATAGTAGGTAGTTGGGTGATGTATTTATTATCCATGGGCCTCGAGCCGCAATGTTTGGGCCTCACCACCTGCGGGCTTCAGGCAAGAAAAAAGTAAGAAACTTTGCAGCTGCAGTTGACCATACCATAACTACTTCGGCAACTACTGTCACTCTTCCTGCTGGCCTGTGGTCACAGAATAATTGCAATCGCAGGGAGAGGGGTGGCGGGAATGACCCATATGCCTGCGTTAGGCTGCGCTGTTCCCCTTGTGGTGTCAAAAACAAAAATCACTTAACCACAGGAGACAGGCCAGCAGCAGCTTACGGCTAGGAGAAAGCCAACAACAAGCAACCCATGGAATACGAACGGGGAAAATGCGATATAGCTGCCAGTGTGGGCGTTATCAGCAAGGACCAAGCGTGGGCCGGGGCAGATGCAAGTAAGTATATACCGAGAGTCCTCCATCCTACGACTATAATCTCGTAAGTTTGAGTTTGTAGATCTAGCAACGCCAGCAGCAGGAATATGAAGCCAGCTGCAAAGCCAAACGAGTGGGACGAGCTGGGCCACGCATCTTGCTCCTGGTTTCTTTTCTTTTTTGTCTTCTTTGGGTGGTGTTTTATTTTCTTTCTTTTTTTATACCTGGAGACTAGTTGGTTAGTTATATAGAAAAGAAAAGAAAAGTACAGCAGCAGAGTAAGGGTACAAAAAGACAGTGGAGCCACGCAAGAAGAAGGTAGATGCGGACAAGGATAATAATTTCAATAAGAATAAAAAGAAAATGGCAGAGCAGGAGATGGAATGGCAATGACGGTAGAAGCGAAATGACAGGTTCCTATTTGACTGACCGATTCTTTTTTGACTGGCCTTTTCTTTTTTGTAAAATAAAAATACAAAAAAGAAAAAGTAACAGTCTGAAACCCGTTGGAATGCAGATAATACTTTTGGCGCGATAGTCGATTAAGAATATAATATCTGCGAGTTAGTACGTGCCCTATTATCATCACCATACCCCGTACTGATCACCGGGTAATGCAGGTGGGCTAAAGCTCCAAAAAAAAAAAAAATTGTAAATAGATATTGCAAAAAAAAACAAAAAAGAAAAAGAAAAAGAACGAGAGATGAAAAAGAAAGAAGAAAAAGAAAAGCGAGCGTGACAGGCGGCTAAAGAGGAGACACCAAGATATAGAACGGAGGTTGGTCGAGAGCCGGAGGCAGATGGAGTCGAGATGGGAGAGGCTTTTGGGAAGTGTTTACAAAAAGAAACACATTAAAAATAGAGATATAACAGAAGCATCACCTCCCCCCTTGTTTTTCAACCTCCATTCCACCCGCCCGGTTTCGTCCTTTCTGCACGCCACATACGCACCCGTCAGTCCATAAGTATACCCGGGAGGGAAGCAGAGGACATACATAACCCTCGTGGCGTTAGTTCAACTGCGCACTGCAACTTCAGCACATCTCCAGTCGCTCATCAATCTCCATCCTTTTCTCCCCCCTACCCCCCTTTTTTTTTTTCAGCTGCTTTTAAGACCGGACCCATAGTTCACAGCTCAGCTCTGACTTCCGCTTCTTCCTCCTTCCCCCAACAAAGAGGATACCCTCCAAAGTACAGCACTTTCGCCTCTGGCCTTGTTTTATCGTGCTTATCGTCTGGACTCTTCCTTATTCTGCAGCCGCCTTCGTTGCAATTTCCCTCTGTCGACTAGAGAAGTCGGGATATGCTGTTTGCTCGTTGTCTCAGGCTTGGTTGGGCAAAGAGTTAGATATCCAATAATTGGTCACAGCTTGATCACCGCCCCTTGCTGCTTGCAGTTCTCAGTTCCTCTCTCCCTTATTGGCTTGGTAAGCCCAGCTTCAAAAAGCACGGTCATTCTTCAGCTCCGATTGGGATTTCCCAGGTATCTACCGCTTTTCTCCAAGACAGTGAAATCACATCCGACGAACAGGTCAGGAGAGGAAAAACGAGAGGGAAAAGAAAGAAAAATCCTTGAGGACTACCCTCCCACATTTTCTCCTTTCTGTACACCAATATTGGCTGTCCTCGGGTTCGCGGCTTCTTTCTTTTTCGTTTTGCAAAGTTGGAGGGAATTCTCAATATACTTGACCGACTGTTCGTACTCTGGTCGTTGGCACGGGTTACCCTGTACACAGCTGCAGCCGCATCCTGCTAAACCCGTCATCTTCGCATCAAACTTCATATTTCTGTCGTGGAGATACGTTCTTCTTTTTCACGCCTCAAAAAAATCCCCCCTTTTTCTTTCACAGTTCAGCTTTGGGAAGATTGAAATTTCGACATCCCCACCGCCTCGACGACGCTGTACCGTCTCTCAATAGCTGCAGTTACATCTGCCCGAAAATCAGCACTCGAACAGGTATTCGGATTGAGTCATAGACCATTGTGTGCTACCGAATCCGGAGAGAATACATCGAGTCCCGATAAACTCCTGGGTTGATCCTTGGAACTCCTCGAGGGAGTTGTGGACGTTGCATACATAGCGGTAGGTCTCAATTTTCTTCTGGCAGCCTCCACCAACCCATTACTTCTTTTCTTTCCTCGGCGTTGCCCCTTCCAGTCTTAATCTCCCCTTCACTATAACCCTCTCTCTTTCACTTTCTTCTCGTCCAGAGTTGCACAATACACACGTGCAATCATTCGCGATGAGCGGGACAAAAGACGGGTGTGGGACTATAGCAAAAGGAAAGAGGCCGAACCTCACCCCATCATCCCAGCCACTATTACCCCTATATGCAACCTGGCAAGACGACCGCGCCAGATTTCTCTTATTTCCCCTTTTGTCACCCGTACGCTTTGAAATCGTCGGTGAAGAGCTCAAGCGGAGCTTCGAGGCAGATATATAACCACCATTCTCCCACACCTGGCGCGTTGGATTTCCCAGAAATCATCATTCTTCTTCCTTCGCCATTAGAAGCCCCATCCTCACCAAGAATCTTGAACTTATTCCATTTTCATATCTGAACATTGCGCTGACATTCAAGCCTGTCCACAGCTGCGGCGAGACCTATTATGGTTTTGCGCATTGTTCCATATATTGTCACAGGCAAGGTGGATATTTCAAAGCTTCTGGGATCTCCAGAGGATGAGGAGAAGAGTACAATAAGGCTCCAGGATTCAAGAACATCAGCAAACATCCACACATCAATCAGAAAAGCCCACAGCGAAGGATTCCAGTCACCAGTAATCGAAATGGGCATCCCAAACTCGTCAGTTGAGGAGTGGTCGTACCAGCCAGCTCCACAGGACCAGATCTCCATGCAGCAGCAACAACAACAACAATCGATAGTGCCATCGAAGCGTGGCAAGAGTTCTCCCACAGGAAAGGACCGCATCAAGAAGCAGTCGAAGTGGTCGGCCGATGAAGATGCTCTAATTACCATACTCCGAGGTAAAGGCATGAAGTGGGAGGACATCAGCAAGAGACTCCCAAACAGGAGCCCAATAAGTTGCCGCCTCCATTATCAGAACTACCTCGAGAGGAGGAGTGAATGGGACGAGGATAAAAAGAACAAATTGGCCCGCTTGTATGAACGGTAGGTTTTCCCCTTCATCCTCCACCTCTCTTCGGCCATCACAAAATACTGACCAGGCATAGATTCAAAGCAGATATGTGGGCCAAAATCGCCGAGGAGATGGCTATCCCATGGCGAGCAGCCGAAGCAATGCACTGGCAGATCGGTGAACGCGGTATGGCTCAACGAGCAGGAGTCACTCCGTTCACATTCTCCAACGTCGCCTCATCACCACCCCAGAGAGCCCGAAGGGCCAGCCAGCCAACTATCGGCTCAGGCCGTCCAAACTACCCCCCGCAAGTCACCCAGCTTCCCTCCGTTGCCGAACTCACAGCAGGCATTCCAGCATATGCAACAACACACCCATCTGGTGTAATGCACCACACAACATCACCTCCTCGATCTCCGCCGAGTCCTACCACACTGGAGGCATATCGAACAAACCCCAGACCGCATGAGAGGAGAATATAAAATCGAGTGAATTGCTCATTAGACGTAATCAATACGAACGATTGATGACTGACTGCATAGCGGGTCTGGGCGGACGGTTTGCATCCTGGATATACTTTTCTCTCCTTTTTTTTTTTGTTTGCTGGTACTCGACTTCCGGGGCTTTGTTGGATTAATGTCTCTTCTTTCAGGAACGTGTAGTTCTAATTATTTATGACTGTCTGGTATCTCATGTCTCTCTCTGTCGATGTTTTTGTTTGATGAGCTGCCGTCGTTCTGCGTCTTCGTCTCTTATGAAAAGCGCGTCGTTGATTGGTGCAACTTCCCTCCTTTTTGTCCGCTTATATAACCCACTAATTTGGATGACTCTATAGTTATCACGTGCACTGACATTCCCTTCAATGGCTTGGTAACATCATGTGACCCAACTTCAACCGCCCACCTACTCTTAAGGCTGCCGAAGCTGTTGCGGTTGCCCCTTTTGTAAACAGCTATCTAACCACTGGCATTCGATATCCAACGTCTCTTCATCACAACGTTGCGTCAGGACTCTCTCTATTGTTTACTAGATAGTCTTGAAAAACTTGATACACAACACGGTGAATTCTCCGTCAAATGATACCAGGATTTACAATGGCGGGCAACAAAAGAAGACGCCTCAACCCAGGTGTTGCAGACCCATTTCGGCGATACCCTGACATTCCAGAAAGCCTGCAGGACCTACCAGCCAATAGGCCGTCTACAATGACTCCAGTTGATGGAAACTAGAGCTGCTCTTTTATCTCATGTATCGAAAGTATGTGTGGCAAAGTGTTTTGTTTTATCACATCACAATACACCTGTTAATCCATTCTTCCAACAGAAACAGAATCAACAGAATGGGGTAGCCCGAAAGTTGCAGCTGCAAGAGCCATACTTGAGGACGAGGTAACTGCAGATAACGAGAAACTAGTTCGCACCTATCATCCTGCGCTGTCTGCTAGTAAAGTCGTCTCAGTATACCAGGAAATGTCAGGGAAAATATTCTGGCTGGTAGAGGCATCTGAAAGATTATTGATTATATCCATGCTGCCGGGAGGGAGATTCACATTGAGCGCGGAGTATATGCGCCTCATCCATTGAGGTATATGCTCTCCAGAGATATCCTCATTTCACGGTTCATATACCCCCGTCGAATGTTGACTGCCATGGATATTGCGGAAATCCAACGATTTTACCCCAACTGTATAGGGATCAGAATTTTTGTATCCGGATATGCCGTATTTCTTTTTAGAAATATGGCGGAAATGCAAAGTGCCTGGAGCAACGGAAACCCAGATCATGTAGGCGGTTTATTACCCCGTTTTGACATCGTGGACATAATGCCATGCAGAGAAACAATACCATTACCATCTGGTAATGGTATTGCACTTACTCCAAATTCTTTTACTTCTCAGATATGCCTTGGCTTAAAAATACGGCTTGTGGGCGGTGAAGAAGCAATTACAACTGTTACCCATGGCTTCGTCAAGCTACCCCACTCGGTACCTCGCTTCCCAAGGGTTGCCAGTTGGATGATCCGAGCAAAGCAGCGGTTACAAAGATTCCTGCCGAATAAGCCTCTTATTACGTTACCTGGTGAGGTGGAGTGCCGTCAACGGGGTGTTCTTGGATCTTTGGCCCTTGGGAAGGCTGTATTTCTTTCAAGTGAAGCCACCAATGTAAGGCCACAGTGTTATCTATAATGCTTGCACATTACGTTAACCCTAATGCCGATAACTCTAGATTGGAACCATTACAACTACATATGATAATCCAAGCCCACTTTACCCTTATCCAGCAGGATACACCCATGATTTGTCTTTGTTTACGGACTCTAACCTTCCACGCATCACTAGCCCACCGGGTGTTGGAATGGTCACTGGATGGGCAGACTATATTGATGCCCTCGAAGGAAAGCCCGTTTTTACTACCACATCTGATGTTTCGATAAACCAAGAACGACGAGTGGAAGGGCAAATAGCCACGAATTCAACAAAACAAGCAATGATCGAAGGTGCTGAGTATGTGTGGGAATCTTCTGCCATTACCGCCTCTTTGCTATGGAGAACAATAGGTAAAGATAATCAACCTGTCGACAAATTTTCGGGACCGGTTTTATGTCTTGGAAGACCCACGGATGAGAATGTCAAGGCTGTCGTTTTTCAAAATTACGTTACTCCAGTCAAGGAATGGCAAATAAGAGGGGAAGATCCTCTGTCTAGTACTTTTAATCCAACTATGAAGGCAGGCTTTTTACTCCCCAGCGAAATAAGAGAGAGCGAGATTATTTGTGAACCCAAGCAATCGCAGGAGAGAGGGTTAAATTCTCTCCCCAAGCGTGGAGAGAATCCACCTTGTGGTAGCCATGAAAGGAAATTCTTTACAGGTCCCAAGTAAACTAGCCCTTGTTTCCCAGAGCAATCAACATATCATTATACAGGCTCCCCCTCCTACGTGTTTCCTGTCTTGGGGACTTGAATAATAGCGGAGAAATGTAACCAGCAATCAAAATACCAGCCCTCCTGAATTTTCAATAATATATCTACTCTTGTATATATATACGGCCAACTCTATTCGTAGACACTATGGTAAGTGGACGTCCTCTTCTCAATACCATACTTCCGTCCAACCGCCTAGTGACAACTTCATGTCCGTGGCAATGGGCATGCGATCGCCCACCAATTATCTTTCTCGTATCCAGACTCCAAAACTCTTCCTCCGGCAGCAGCAATATTATTTTCCAATTCTCCTTCTCGGTAAAGATGATAATATCTGAGGTAGGTAGTCGGTTCTGGTTTCTTCTCTGGCTCTGTTGTCTTGCCAGCTTCACCCGCAGAGATTTCAAGCGACTCAGCCTTATTCATGCCTCTAGCTTTTGTATTCTTTGCTTTTCCCTCATTGGTTTTCAAAACCCAGGGTACCATTACATCCTGTTCATGATCTGCATCCCAGCCACGCCGGCTATCCTTTTGCTCTAAGGCCCAGACATAGATAAGCACTTTCCCACCATTTGGATCTTCTAGGGCTGGCGGTTTTAGGGTATTTAAAATGGCAGCTATTGCCCTTATCCTGCGCTCTGGAAGGGATAGATGGTGTATCACCGCGATTGAAATTGCAAAATCAAAGCAACCATCCGGATGAGGCAGACTCAAAGTGTCTGCTATGATCGCTGAGTGTGGTTGATGTTGTCTTGCGAATTTAGTCAAAGCCTCAGATCTACGCTGAAATATCAGTTCAGAGTAGGACAAGAGGGGGATCCTTGGGGGCACAATTTAAAGCTCTCACCTGTCTGAGGCTATGATAAATATATTGGAATTCACTTTCAAATATTTCCCATTGCCACACCCGACATCTAGGCCGATAGAGCCACTGGGAATATCTTTCAAGAACCTCTCGACAATTGGCCACGGCTGACACTCTGTTAGGTATATTTATTTTAATAATCGAGGAACTTAGCGAACATACTTTATATCGAGTTGATGAAAAATGGGGTGCAATTTCCTGGTAGACCTTGTGGACATGCTCTTCTTCGTAGGATTCGCTATTACTGGCCATCGCATTTACCTTCATAGAGCTTGGACCGTCCCATATGCAGAGAAAAATATATTTGCTAAAAAAAGGACCGTTGATTGATTTTGGACAACGGTTAAAGGCAAAGTGGATTGCCATAGTTGATAGCTCTCCATCCGCGCGGCTGCGGCTAACTTAACTAAGTTAACTAGTTAGTTAACTAAGAGGTACATTGCGCTTATTCCGCGTTAAGAACTGAGGGGTGATTTGTTATTTGATAGTACTTCGCACTCATCCAAGTTACTCCAAGGACTCCAGAAGGCAAACCGTCATCCACCCGACTACTCGATTCTTTCCTGTAATTTTCTTATACTCAAGATGGATCCTCTTGTCAGCCCGGCCGACGTGTCAGTACAGGTATCAGTTGCCTCTGACAGTCCGGTTGAGAAACCATCTTTTGCAACTGAGCGTCGAGTAACTCCATCATGGACAGTCACACAGCTCAAAATAAAGCTCGAAACTATGACTGGGATTCCTCCAGGCAGCCAACGGTTAATGTTAAAGTCCCCAGGACGCGAACACCAATGGATGGATGGTGAAGAAAAAGTTATTAGCCAGTGGGGAATTGCAAAGGGCTGTGAGATCGAGGTATATAGAATAACCACACTTGAATTCTGTTTGGCTTGTTTCTGGATACTACCCCCCATGCAAGTTTGGCCTGGACAGGTGTGTTCTAACAGTGTATTAGATCCATGACCAGCGCCCTGTGGCTGCGCGTCCAAACTACTCCGATGTTTCGACGACTGAGAAGTTTGAACTCCCGGATTCTACCTACGAGTCACTACCAAATAGTGTTCTTGCATGGAAGAAAGCTCAAAAACTTGGACGTTTTGATCCAAATGCTGCATCTCCAGAAGACAAAGCGAGACAACAGGTTCAGAAGGATGCCAATGAAATTAAAACCAAAGGTACTCCCCTTCTCTGCTTATTACTATTCAAGTATCTCACCAATTGGTGTTTAAATAAACAGGAATTAGAGTCTCTGAGCGGGCAATAATACTCCCGTCAAGCCCCCCGCATATCCGTAGGGGAACTATCAGATTTGTTGGTCCTGTCCCTGCCATTCCATCGCCCCTTAGCAAAACTTATTCAGGGGAAATACCTGATGATTTGGCACCAATATGGGTAGGTATCGAACTTGACGAGCCTACTGGTAAGAATGATGGTAGTGTGAACGGGGAGAGATATTTCACCTGCCCAAACAACTGCGGTGTTTTTGTCAAACCAGAGAAAGTTGAGGTTGGCGACTACCCGCCACTGGGATTGGATTTGGACGAGGACATGGAAGAGATCTAAACATGAGTTTTCCTTGATAATTTGGTCTAGTCAGGTGATAGATATCTACATTCCTACCACTCTTTAGTACGTATAATCCGTGGTTATTAAATAAAGCAAGGGATTACTACGGGCAGGACCATGCGGTTCGGACGTATATTATGAATGACAATGGCTACAATCAACATAATAATAGATGAGTGTCTCTTAACAAACCATCTACCGGTTCTACATAGTGTTTACGTAGTGCCTCGATGGTATCCGTTAGATATATTCAGAGGGTATAGGTCCATTGTACAGAATCGCTCATGCCTAGAGTATATTGTATAAAAAGTCGTACACGGTAGCGTATACTGTGGGAAATCAAAAAAAGTACGTAAACCGTCATCACCCTCCTTTGGCGCCCTGCTTGGGACGACCTCGCTTTTTACCTCCTTTCTCAGTAGCATTGTTATTTGTTTGAGTTGAAGGAGCCTCTGGCACAGGCGGGGCGGCAACGCCGGTGTCAACATTCCCATCCGCATCCAGGGGTATGCAACCTTGCGTAAAAAATATAGCTGCTGGTTTTTTATATTCATTTGCAAAGCTGTAGTTATTCCCTGAAATGGTTCATTTGGTTAGCTGTCATCCACAATTACTTACACAGGCTTGAATATTTAACTCACCTCTAGGTACCTGGAAGACACACCCCTTGCCAGCGCTGAATTGCAAGCCTGCGATATCGACCCGGATTCTGCCATAGTAAACGAAGAAAACCATATGCATTCGTTTTGAGTTTTTCTGCTTCTTGATCGCATTTGGAGGCATTTCCACAAACCCAGATCCGAGAAATGGTGTACTGAGGATCTTTGCAAAACGGAATGTAGAATCCTTGACTTCATGTGTCTCAATCGCTGAGGGAGCATAAGCAACATCTAGTCGGGAGTTGGTTAATTTTTGCCAGAATAACATAAAAATAGGTAGTATATCTTACCCATCATTTCTTCCTCTTGGGTTCCGGTCTGTTTTTCTGGGTCCCATGTTTTTACAGGGCCGTAAAAAACGCCCTCCTGTGTCTCCCAGGGCTCAGCATTCTCATCTGGCTCATCATCGGATTCACTCCCTCCCTTCTTTTTACCCTTTGATTTTTTCTTTGAGCCCCGTTTCCTCCCTGACTGGTCGATAACAGGATCCTCTGTCCTAATGATCTCCTTGATTGTAGAGAGAGGGAACCTCTGGCCAACTTCTGCCTCACCGGTTCCGTAAACGCACTTCTCATTGCGCCAATAGGCCAACGGCCGGACAGATATTCTGCCAGAGCGTGTATGCCGAACAGTGTCGTCCGATGGAGTCTCCCGTCGTAGAATATATAAGCTGCGTTTCTTATTAAGTGGTCCGTCATTTTTAGTGATATTTTCCACAACGTTTTGCAATTCTTTCTCCTGATCGACAGTCATTTGAAGATTGCTAGATTTAGCAGTCTTTTTTGCCTTCTTTGCCGGCCGTGGGTTCTCGTCTTCATTATTGGGTTCCTGATCTCGGTCTTCCTGCCGGTTTTTCGGCTTTCGTCCACGCCCCTTACCGGTGTGATTTGGTTTGGGCTCATCGTCACCCTTCTCCTCGACATTCTTGTCAGATTCTTTGCGTTTCTTGCCCTTACTTGCAGTATCCAGTACTGGTACTGGAGACTTCCCGGCCTGCTCCTCTTCTGCTTCAGATGACTCCGCATCTACATCACGATGGTCGGCGGCTTCATGGTAATCACCGGGGCCTTCAACAAACCCATTATCCTCCGCCTCATCCTCGATTAAATAGTTGGCGTCATCAGAAAAGTCTGCAGCATCACCCGCTACAGCTTCAGAACCTCCGTCTTCGGCCTCACTCGCCTCTTGTTCTATGTCCTCTTCTTCGCCCGCATGCTCGCCCGCACTCGCCTCTTCCTCTTCCTCTTCCTCTTTTTCGTCTTCATCTTTATTCTGTTCCGCTTCTTCTTCCTCTTCTGAGCCCGGGTGTGACTGAGTTCGAGCTTGCTTCAAAGGAGATTTTGACGCTTGAGGTAGCGGGTGAGTTAGGTTGATTGTTCGTTTTGCAGCCACATGTGTAGAAGTAGGACTTGAGAACTCGCTCTGTGGTAGAGGAGAAGAGCGCAACCCGGGGGTTCGTCGCGGAGATCCGCTCATGAGGGATTTCATCGGAGAGCGCGATCGCGGTGGAGGGATGTAAGCATTTCGGCCTCCCCGTCTGGCGGACAGTACATCTGATGGATCTGGAATACTGCTGCCTGGTAGTTACATGTCCCGTAAGCTATTGTTGTAGAGAAGACTACACACTGAACACCCGTTGGTATAAAAACGGCTTGATGGGAGCAGGCACAGTCACTCACTTCCTCCAGTTTCCATTTCCTCTGAATTCATCAGCCCGTCATTGGCGAACCCGTTTGTTCTCACGGGAGATTTCTCGGGGGAAGAGAACATTCCTTCGAGCTCTTCCATGCCATGTTCATCGCGTTTGCCTTCCTTTAATGTGATTCCAGTTCGTCTTAAAGATGCAATGCGCGTCAGTTATAAAGCTGAACAAATTAGGGGTTGCCAAACTACCTTCCAGCTTTCCCAACATTCGAATAATCGAACTCGCGGCTCTTGACGGGGGGTCTGCGCGCCGCCATTGTCAGAGCTGCTATGTGTATATGATCCAGACAGCCGATGCGAAACCGAGTTGCCGAGCGAGGTGGTCCAGCCAGATAAAGGTATATAATATCTTCAACCAAAATAGCGGCTGTCCTTGTAGTGACCGCCTATGTCTGCGATTCAACGTCCCTCCCTTGAGTAGCTGTCACCAAGCTATGCGGTTTTGATGAATTACTTACCAACTCGCGGTATGGAGTAGAGTAGTTAACTAGTTATTATTATTAACACACGAAAGAATGCGGCGCTAAACCCAAAGACGCGCCAAAACAACCGCGCTTTAGTTAACTATCAATCTTATCTTCGAAGTCAACAACGACCTTGGAGTTTCAGCTTCTCAAAACTCGCTTGTAGCTTATCTTCTAATAATACCTCGGTAGGAAGAGAGAGAAATTGGCCTTGAGATTACGGGATCACCTACCTTGCTTGATGGAAGATTCTCAGAATGAATTGCTGGACGAGCCAGTTCCCGAGACAATCAGCTCCAAGGGCATATATGTCCCCCCATCGGTCGACCATTCGAGGTTGCTAGCAGGGGAATCTTACTCCCATTATTCCTCCTGTCCAGCCAATATCATACCATCAGTGAAATTATCCACCGAAGAGAAGAAAGCAGAGCCTACGCCATGTGTACTTGGGATCGACGAAGCGGGTAGAGGGCCAGTTTTGGGTCCCATGGTCTACAGCGCATTTTATCTCCCCATACATCTTCACAAATCATTACTTGCAGATGAGCACCATTTTGATGACAGTAAGGTGTTGACCCCCGAAGTCCGGTCAAATCTCATGCGTTCTTTGTGCACACAAAGCCACCCATTACACGACTCATGCGGGTGGGCAGTCAAAGTTATGTCCGCCCGAGACATATCCTCGGGGATGCTACGACCTTCTATGGCGGCTGTTTATAATCTCAATGCTCAGGCATTAGATGCGACCATTGAAATAATACGTGGCGTGGTCGAAACTCAAGGCATCAACGTTAAGGAGGTTTATGTTGACACCATCGGAAAGCCAGAAACCCATCAAGCCAGATTGCTACGAGTCTTTCCAGGCTTGAAAATTACTGTAGCCAAAAAGGCTGATTCATTATATCCTTGTGTCAGTGCAGCGAGCGTATGTGCCAAAGTCACAAGAGATGCTGCCCTGGAAGCATGCTACGAAAGTTGGCTGAATCAAAGGGAAAAGCAAAGGACCCTAGTAACAGGAGAAGACGAGGCAACTACCGCTGATGAAATATTAACTTGGGGTAGTGGGTATCCATCTGATGGAAAGTGTGTTGGATGGCTTAAAAAGGACATGAACCGGTTGTTTGGCTGGGGAGTTGAATGTCGATTTAGCTGGGGTACATCGAAGGAGCTTCTGGAGATAAAATCGGGGCTCAAGGTTGACTGGCCTGCTGAAGAAGACGATAGTACAATGCTGGTAACTCAGTACTTCACATCCAAATCAGAGACTGAAGGCCCAGTGAATGAATTGCGGGATTGGTATGGAAATAAACAAGAGGAAATATTTTAGCTGATGAAGCGGATACCAAAATTCAAGGGGGGGGGGGGGGGGGGGGGTGTTATAGAATATATATGTCATTTGAGACATAACAAAGGAAATTAAAATGTTTAGACAAGAAGTGAAATGAACAGTAATAAAAATATTCTAAGCATCTCACCCAAAACCTAGAGCTCCGTATGAAGAAAAAAGAAAAAGAAAAACCGCGCCTCATTTGCTACTCCAGTTGGCCCATTATCGAAACGAGAAGACTGTTCAAAGACAAACAAGAATGGAAATTAGATGTACTTTATCGGCTCTTACATTGTGGCCGTGGAGAAATAGTAGTTGTCCCAAATATACTCATAGTCTTCAACAACACTCCCTACAAGGCCAAGTAGGGGCTTATCGCGTAAGGAGTTTGTAATGGATTTTATCCATGATCTTTCACAGGCGTTAGTTTTCTCAGTCCACTCAGGATAATAGTAGGTAGATACGTACTTCGTAACGTTTTCGTAGAAAGCACCTCTCATAATCCACCATCCCATGCTCCAGCCTCTCTTGCTGAGTTCTTCTCTCTCCAGTTTGGATAAGCCACGAAGGCCTCCTGCTACCCTATCACGGAATTCTTTTTTGGCAAGCTGACGACAAGTAAATTCCAGTCCAAAACCAATAAGCCAAGGAGTCCAGCTCTTCTTCTTTGCTCTATATCTCTGGAGTGCGATCGCATAAATCAGGGGCCGGAGAATATATAAGACCTCTGCTAGATGACCTGTTCCAGAAACCCGGTGCAACAATGTTTGTGGTGACCGAACATCATCCGCTGTTAAAACTTTAGAGGTAAGATAAGCCGAGATATCATTTGCGTCCGGCAGGTTTGGTAGCGACATTCCTGTTCGAGGCATTGACCAGCTTAGATCAATAGCTTCAGATGGTTCGCTTGGTGGTGTTTCCATGCCATTAAAATCACCATTATCATCTCCGTCTGATTGTCTTGGATCAACCTCTCGTTCTGGGAGTGGCGGGCTGACAATAGGCCTAGAGTTCGTTAAGCGCAATAATATTAACCGACAGAAAGCCTTCACTGCTTCTATAAAAACAATGACGCGCCATCGAAGTTTCTCGCCTTTCCTGCGTGCTGCCATTTCCCATAATAGTTCGGTATACTTGACCATCTGAAGCGCCAAAGCAACTTTGTGGTATATGGGTGATTGGGAGGTCCAGTATTTGGTATATCGAGTGTGCGGAGTAGGGGTAGGGCGCGGTTGGGAAAGTGGGAGGCGAGCTATAACACGCGACACAAGAGAGTCATGGTAGAGTGAAAGTAGCTGAACGCCGGAGTGAACTATGTTAGGGTGTCTATTAGTATCGATGCGAAGCCTTGTTTACTGCTGTGAAGTTAAGGAGTAACGCACTGGATTCCGATGCTAGTTCCGCTTCCCTAAACCGACCTGCAGTGAAGTATTAGTACAAAGAGCAGAGTCCAACAGTGGCAACGCAAGTTAAAGCCTATTTACCAGGTATGATATATGTTAAAGAGCGTAATGCCGACTCAACCTGACCAACTGAGCTAGCATTCTTGGTGACAAACTCCTCGTACATCTCTACCAGCTTCGCAGGCTGGAGAACCTCCGGAATCTGATCTCGGAAACTCGTCACCGACCTCATCTTAATCACTTCATTAGATCAACTTCGAAAAGACGGCAGCTTCTCAGCATTCGGTGGAGGGCAAATGCTCGGTTGTACTTTGTATTGTTGCGCTGTTAACAAAAGTTTGGACGAAGTTGCGACATGCCTCGGCATGGGGATGTTAAGACCTTCCACGTGACCAAGATTTTAGTTAACACAAACCTTAATCTAACATCATTAAACCATCAGGGGGGAAAGCACTAGAACTTGATGAGAGCATCTGAACACTCTAGACGTGCCTGGCTTATTCTATCTACGACAAAGATTGCTGATATATTATCATTATTCATCGGCAAACTTCCAATAGCCGTCATCCTTGCATGCCTCCTTATATCTATCAAGGACCTTTTCCCGCTCCAACTTTCGTGCCATCATCCTGTCCCGCTCAATTTCTTGTGTGTTCGGCATGTCGGTTCTCCAATACCCAGGGGGTGACCCTCCAGGGACGTGCGCATTTCGATGTTTGCTGAACTTGTTTGAAAGAACACTAGCCTTTGCTTCAATTAACACATCACGGATCTCAATCGGGGACTTGCCCTCCAAGAATTTTCCGTAGTTACTACCTAAATCTCCTTTTAAGAGATCATGGTCTGCGCGTGACAATGTACCTAATGGACGAGGCTCTTCGCCAATCTCGTCTTTAGCCATGCTCCGGTAGACTGGGCCACAACATTCCTGCCTTAGACACCCACGAAGCTGTTTTCTCATGCTCTTATCTCGAACAACTTCGTCAAAGGCATAATCTAAACCCTGGTTTTTGTTCGGGTTAAGTTTGAAATGTTCTAGACCAAGTTCACTGATTGGTCTATCACGAAAGCAGGATCGTGGCCGTATCTCATCATCGTCCACTTCCTCTGGAAAAGGAATAATATCATGGCTTTCCGGCTGTTGTGAAGCATAAGGTGTCGCCGCACCTTCAGCCTTATTGTTCGGTGTTTGAGGGGCTACAAATTTGTCAGGCTTAGCTATGACGCTCTGAGGAGTTGAAAGCAAAACTGGTCTTGGTGTATGGCTAGTTTCCAAAAGATCTTGGAGACGTGTCTGCCGCATTTTTGTTGATGGCGTACTTTTCTTGGCACTATCAGTCATAGAAGGACGCGACGATCGCCGGCCTGTTAAATATTCTTCAGCTTCGCCGTCCTCAGCAACACTTGGAATGGCGTGAGCTCCTCTTGAGAAATGGGGCTTTCTTCGTTTTGACTGAGGTATTGATGCTTCGTTCAATTTGCACGTAGGAGTCACATTGGTATCAACCGGTCGCAGGACTTGTCTCCCGCGCTTTTTGCTAGGTAGTTCCGTCTGTTTATTCGCAGGAAGGTCCAATGGATCATCCTGGAGCTCAGGCGAGGGGCTACGCCTGTCTGGCAAGACTGTGAACTTGGGTCTAGGGAGTGGTGACTCAATGGGGTCAAGCGTAGGGCTGGAAACAGGGTCATGGTTATGTTTTCCATGGTCTTCATGATGCCGGATATCAGATACCAAGCCAGGCGGGCTGGGTGTTGGCTCACTCTTAATATTAAAAGGTTTTTCAGCGGTACCGATGTCGGTAGGACTCTCTTCCACCTTCACAGCACAATACGTAGGGCTTGGAACTTGCTGCTTGCGGACTGGTCTTTCTTTCACGACTACTGGGGTATCTGGTGATTCAATGGTTTGAGGTAGCCGGCGCTCATCATACCTTAGGTCTTGCGATTGGGTAGATGCGAGGTCTGAATGATGTTCTCTGACCTGTGAACGAGTGGGAGTCTTGTTCTGATAGTCGGTATCTTGGGCAATATAGCTCCGAAGGGGAGGGAGGACTGGAGACTCGGCGATGAGCATTTCCCCCACGTGCTCTGGACTGACTCTTTTGAAAATCACCGCCTCCCCATTAACAGTGGTTTCGAAACTGTCCTTCTCCAGCAGTCGATTCCAGAGAACTAGCTTTTCTTTGGAAGCCTTGTGGTTTCGACGCAGTTTACAAAATGACTTTATCAAATTGATATTCTCTGCGTAAAGCTCGCCATAAAAGCCGGCAACGCGAGAGTAGAGATCATAGTCCACAATTCCTGGAGAAGACTCAAAGTGGTATATAATAACTTCAGGGTCATGCTTTTTCGCCTTATCAAGGAGATTCTTCTCAAATGCGGAGTCATCCTCGTGTAGATGAGCGCTATCTCTATCCCGGAGTTCTTGCTTGAGATCATCAACGGCGGCCTTAAGAGCACAATTTTCTTTGGATAGGGTTTCGATCTGTTCCTTATTCCGTGTTTGAGTGTTATCATATTCTTTCAGCCTCTGAGAAACCGCCTCGAACTCCTGTTTTGTGGACTCATACTCCTTTGACGTCTCCCGCATAAGCCTGAGAGCCTCGTTGTAGTGATGTTGGCATTGTGAGAGGTTTTCTGTTAATCGTGCTAGTGAGTCCATGTATATTTGGAATGCAATCCCGTGGGTGTTGACTGAACGCAGGACGTTGATGTCGTTTCTGTCTTCGTCTTTGACTGCATTCTGTGCAACAACGCGTCGGCCGCGAACGCGTGGTCACGTGAATCAGAGTTTAGTCACGTAATCGTAGATAAGATAAGATCGGGAACCTGCTATCAAGGCCCGAAAGTCGAGACTGACAGGAAAAGGGCTTCGAGGATGGAATAGGTATTCACACTAGGACCCGAGCATGGATGATCGCTACTCCCAGCGCAGCCGCGGAATGTTTTAAGCGATGGCGAAACGTAGCGAACGCGACGATTCTCTGGAGGAGCCGCCGTTAAAACGCACAAAGCAACCAGACCGCCTCTCAGCTCTTAGTGATGAACTACTTCTCCACGTCCTAAGTTTCCTCTCCATCCCAGCTCTGATAACGTGCCAGAGGTAAGTATATCGATATCAACTGTCTAATACACCCTTGATCCTTATCTAACCGGTGCTCGAAACAGGGTGTCTCACAGATTTGCGGCGCTCGCAGGAGACTCGGAGCTATGGAAGCGCAAATACTACTCCCGCTGGGTATGGCCGAGAGCTAGACGGATACGGCAAGTCAGGCAGGGTAGCACTGTCAAAGGCTCGTTTGACTACTCGCCTCAGGTGTCAAACTGGTTTAGCCATGGCCCTCTGACCCAAGTGGGTGAGGACAGGAATTGGAAAGGCCAGTATCGACTTCAGCACAATTGGTCAAGAGGGTCATGTCGAGTTACAGAGGTAGAAGTGGCTCAGCACCCGATCAGTCCTGTGGTGGTGAGATTGGAGCATGGGATTGTTTTTACGGCGGATATGGAAAATGGACTTCGAGCGTGGTCGATAAAGGATACCAAAACGTGTCTCGCAACTATACCGTGTTCAGGTATTGGGACCGCTTACACTGACCCTGGAGCGCCTACCGCGATGGCAGTAACTGCAAATGATCTAGAACAAAGCTATTTTGACGTTACAATAGGGTTTAGAAATGGTGGCATGGCCGTGCATTCCTTTGAATTGGTACCTGACGGAGAATCGACCTTTGAACTTCAGCTATGGCACTCAGGCTCGGCGACGGAAGGGGCAGCCGTAACGGCTCTGGCATCCCACAAGGACTTTCTACTTGCGATATCAGAAGACAATGTCCTTTACCTTTATCAACTGTTCTCTGATGATTCCCAACAGTTAGGACTGGACAGAAATGAGACGACAAAGAGGAGACATTCCATACGGCTGATTGCCTCGCTTGTCGCGAATAACATACAGTCACCATTTTCTCTTTCTGTCCGGACAACGTCTACCCATGCCATTGCATCTGTGAGCTATGCCTTCCCACGCATTGGCTGTGGCTGGTCTGTCGGAATCCAGGAGCTCTACTGGAGTAAAGATGGCGGAGATCTGACGTCTCGACTTGCAACGACCGTGGACTCCCAGTATCTCAGCAGCACACTGACACAACCGGCTCCAGGTCCACAGATAAAAGGATCCAGGCAGATGACGTCGACCCTTGGCTCCTCTGGACATGTTTCCTCCTCCACCCCGTCGCTCTCTTACACCCAACCACCAACATCACTTTCATATTCCCACCCTTATCTTCTTGCGTCCCACGCCGACAATACACTGACGATGTACCTAGTTGTATCGACGGTCGATAACTTATCCATCAAGACCGGTCGACGGCTCTGGGGCCATACATCGGCTGTGTCTGGCGTGCAGGTGAGCTCGCGAGGGAAAGCAGTATCTGTGAGCACAAAGGGAGACGAAATCCGCATCTGGGAACTTGAAGAGATGATATCGTCTCGCCCAGCATCAAAGGCGGCTTTGGTAGGGGATAGAAGCGTCCAACTGAGTCCCGAACCTAGGCGATCAAGAACCAACCCGTTCAGCGTCTTATCCCGGGCGGTGAAGAGGCAGGTTGCAGCCATGGAAGGGGTCAAAGGCATTTCCTCCGAGGTCACGCTCTCCTGCATCAAGGGGCCGGTCGAGTTCGACGACAAACAAGTAGTAGTTCTCCGTGAGCAGAGTCTAGGCACACAGTTACTCGGCTGCTACGACTTTACATAGTCGTCGAAGCCAAACACTACTCTAATCTTACTTACTTTCTTGTACATACAATTGGACAACATCTAGGGATGACGGTGCTCCCCCAGGCTACATTTAAATGAGAGTCATTTTCCTCTCTCCTCCTTCACCCCTTGAAGACCTATCCTTGCAATCTTGCCGGCTTCACGCGGGCATTGGGCTGCTTGTAAGTATTCATATATCCGGAATACATGACCCATTCTACTATAGCTGGCAATCGACCACCGAGGGCCCCTAGCCGGCCATGGACCCTCAGGCACATTTTGACGTTCATTCGATCCATGATTCGCGGCAATCGGAACCTGAGGACCTTGTACGAATAACTAGCCAACGACCTTGATAGAAAAAAAAAGAAGAAGCAGGGATAGCCAGAGCAAGCCACCAAAGAAGAAAAGAAAAAGGAATACGTATAAGAAGCAACGGATCGTCCAGAAATTCTCCGAACGGCTCGATCGATCATACAGCCCGTTGAGATCGCACACACTTACTTACACTACAGAGGAAGAGAGACCTGCCTGCGTTTGCACCTGCAACCCAACCAGGCAGAAGAGAAATGGAAAAGGGCCGCTGGCCACGCCTCCCATTATGACCTGTCACTCACCAGCTGGCGTCCACTGCAAGGCAATGGCTTTCCCCCCCCCGTCCCTCCTGCCAACCACTGTCCGCTAGGATGAAAACAGAAGGCCGTTTTGCCTCTCTCTTCTCGGTTGGACAAACAGGCGTCAATCAGAGGAGAGGAAGAGAGGGAAACCCGGCCTCCTAAGCCCTTCTTCTGCCTCCCCGTCTCTCGCGCAGGGGTCAAGCCATGACAGCTCGTTCCACCTCTTACCCTCTCCGTCTCCCTCCCGCTCCCTCCGTTTCTGTCCGTGGCCTCTAGGGGAAGATAATGCAAGCCGTGTTTGCCACCTACTCGCCTTGCCCTTGAGCATACTCCATTACAGATATATCTATAAGATAGGCGCGGGCAGGGATTGGAGATATGATGGCGAGAGGAGAAAGAAGAAAAGAAACACGAAAATAAAAAAACGAGTGCCTCTTCCCGGTTTTCAGTGGCTTTACCGGTGGAGAAGAGAGGACAGACAGCTGGCGTCTCCTCCTCGCTCTCTTCGGTCTCCAATGCCTGTGCTCGCGGTGATGCTTGAGATGGCTCGAAGGCGAGTTATCTATGTATCACGCGTTTTCTAGGAGAGAAGCCGTATGTCTGCAGCACCCTTCTCGCCTTTTCTCTGACCTTTCTTTCTTCCGTCCTTGTCAAGTATATATTCTTCTTCTCTTCTTCTTCTTCTTCTTCTTCTCGACCCCCTTTATATATATATATATATATTTATATTTATATATTTTTATATATATATAAACTGCCCGGCCAGACCGCTTTCGCCTTGTTGACCCAAAACGGAACTGGAGGCAAAAATCAGCTAAAAAGGGCAACTTTTTTTCCCTTCACCATTTTTTAAAAGAAAAAAAAAAAAAAAAAAAAAACTACCCCTACCTTTTCCTTTTTTTCTCGACCTCCTCGTCTTCTATCGCCGCCATCCCCAGCATCTACCAGGTAAGTAGACTGACCGCTGCTGCTTGTCTGTTGGCTTTTCCTCCGTCCCCGTTTTGGTGTGTCTATTGAACCCGGTTCCTTTTTTTTGCCTCCCCCTCTTTTTTTTTTTTTTTTCTCCCTTCTTAGGGCCGCCTGGGAGAAAAGCCGCCTTCGACCTGTTCCTCTGCCGTCTAGTTTCTCGCACGCACAAACAACACACAAACCAGAAGGAATATATTCATTTCTCTCCTCTTCGTGTTTTCCTCTCTTCTTCTATCTCAGACTGATCATCATCTTCTTCTTTTTCTTGTTCTAGAAAAAGAATCTCTCTCGACTTTTCTTCTCTTGAACAAAGGAAGCCACAGAAAGCAAAGGGAAAAGACCACATCCCTCCGTCAGGTCCGGATAAGAACAAAAAGGAAGCAAGGAAAGGGGATCAAAAGGAAGAGCCAGCCTTGATACAAGATGGAATATCAATCCAGCGGTCGTGGATGCTTCAACTGTGGGTTGCGCCTCTGAATTCTGCCTCTACTCTCCCCCGTGGACTGCCAGGATGGATGGGTGATGGACTGGTATACCACGACATCTCAATTGCCTCTGCGCGTGAGATTATACTGTTATGCTGCCCTTCTTCCTTCTATCCTGCCTCTCGTTGGGCCGCTTTTCACTTTTGTTTCTCTTCTTCACCGTATCTTGTTTATTTCGTCTGTGTCTACTGTGCACTTTTGCTAACGGAGCTGTTCAGGTGGCGAATCCTCTCATCAGGTTAATATGCCACGTTCTTCGTCTCTCCGTGGGATAACATTAATTCGTCCCTGATAGGCACGAGATTGCCCCAAGAAGGGAACTCCCACATGGTATGCTCAGAGAAATGTCACTCTTCCATTCATTTCCCGAAGGAACCCCAGAAAGACATGAAAAAAAATTAAAAAATAAAAAATAAAAATAAAAAAATTTAAAAATTGGAACGCTCGCTAAAATCTAGATTCTTGATCCTATACAGTTACAACTGCGGTGGTATGTCATGAGGAATATGCAACTCGCGAATTTTTTTCAACTACTATGGAAGTATGCAGATCTTAATTTTTTTCTTCTACGTTTTTAGGACAGGGACACGTCAGTGAGTTTTTGACATTGCACTCGGAGAGCAGATGTAGACGTCAAGGGGGAAGAGAGGCTTTGGAGAGAGCAGGAGAGTGTGGAAGCGGAGCGCAAAGAAAAAAGGAAGGATTCGTTATGTGTGTTTTAAATCTCTCTGTAGCTGACTCCCTTTCTTTTTCTTTCTTGTCTAGGTCGTGAGTGTACCCAACCTCCAAAGGAGAAGTCCTGCTACCGATGTGGTATGACCGGTCATATCTCTCGTGAATGCCCATCCAGCGGCTCTGGCGATAACAACTACTCCGGCGGTTACTCCGGCGGCTCTGGCGGCCAGGAATGCTATAAGTGCGGTCAGGTTGGCCACATTGCCCGTAACTGCAGTCAGCAGGGCGGCTCCGGATACGGCGGCGGTTACGGCAACAGCGGCAGCGGCTCGTACGGCGGCGGCTACGGTGGCCGTTCGCAGACCTGCTACTCATGCGGCGGCTACGGCCACATGGCCCGTGACTGCACCCAAGGACAGAAGTGCTACAACTGTATGTTCACTTGCCCAACGACTACGCATCTATACTACTGCTAACTCCCTTCAGGTGGTGAGGTTGGCCACGTCTCGAGAGACTGTCCAACTGAGGCCAAGGGTGAGCGTGTCTGCTATAAGTGCAAGCAGGCCGGTCACGTCCAGGCCGCCTGTCCTAACTAAACGACCGAACTAGCCCGTCCCAAAAAAGAAATGTCGTGGAGAAGAAGATAAATACATATTAAGGCACAATTCGCATGCATGCATGCATACATACATACCAACCCCCCTGGCACTTGAAAGTAACCTGAACTTTAAAAAACAGAAAAAAGAATTTGAGCTCGTTTCCCAATGATTAAACCAAACTGCGCCCCTTACCCATCTATCGCCAACCTCCCTTTTACCCTACCCTCGCCTCTTGTCCACGCAATTAAGCTAAAGAAAGGAAATTCCCCTCTGATGTTTGAATGGCCTCAGAGTAAATGAACAACCCAATGTCAGCAGTTTCCTCACCTCGACCGAAAAGCCATTGCTTCGTTGAACAGAGCACAAGCAAGGTGTAGGGTAGGAGACAGCTACAGAGAGGAACGGACGATTTGAAAGTTACGAAGACAAGGAATGGATTGACTGACTGACTGACTGATTGATTGATTTGCTTATCTCTTTGAGGAATAAGGAGAGGAGATATATGAACCAGGAAAAGGAGCCTGTGGGATTTGTGAATATTGCTAGCCCTTTTTCCCTCTTCTTTTTCATGTCTTTTTACGATTGATATTACTGGCCTTTTCCTTCTTTTTCGACTGCATCTCCATTACTATTGTTTCCCCTTGCTACCTACCATTCAAGGATTCCCCCCACCTCCCGTTCTCTTATCTTTCTTGTTAAATACTACAAATTGTGGTGTCTTGAGCCTTTGCATCGGCCTGCCTGGTGATTTCTTCCCTTAATCCCACCCAGTCCTCTCTCATGGCTTTATGACGGCTTTATGTTACGAACTTTGATCCCGGCCTCAGAATGACAGACAAATCACTCCATTCGAAAAGATATATCACTTCTCTACCTCTATTATATCCATTACTCCTCCTTTCCTTAGGCCGACCTGTTTCCTTTTGATCTCATTTTCCCCCCAATATATCAATTCCAAATAAACACCCACAGCCAGCAGCAAGATATACCCGCAAACGCCCCTGAATTACCTATATCAAAAGCTGAAGAGAATAACTTAGGAATCGAGACATAGTTGGCAACGAACGAGGAAGTCATGTTAAAACATCAAATAGAGAGCCAGGTTCAGTTTAACTGTGCCTGGCCTCTCTTCCTCTTGACCTGTTGGTTCGCAATCCTCATTGCCTCCCCTAGGTCCATATCCCCTACGATACTCAGCTTCGTCGGCGGGCCGTTCTCCCTTGGTATCTCGATGACCTCCGGGCCTTGGAAGGAATATCTCATGCCGGGTGAAGGACGGTACCGGACCGACGCACAAGCTTCCTCGTACGTTGGAATTCCTCTGCTGCGCTGAACGGCTTCTTCTTCTTCGTCTCGGTGTTGTTCCGCAGACTCGTTGATAGCTCGCTGCAAGTCACTGTCGAAATCCTCGCCGGCTTCAGCGGCAGCAGCTCGAGCCTGGAACTCTCTACGGGACCTGCGTAAAACATCACGTACGCGATAGTTGGTTGGATCTACGGGGGTAACAAGGAGCATTGAATAGTGTCCAGGGTTGGCGATTCTTCGCCTATCACCGCTGCCAGCCGGAGCAACTGGGCTTCTTGATCTAGGCGATTGTGCAGGCCCAACCGGGGTAGAAGGACTGGTTGGATTTGACGGTCGTGTTGGATTTGAGGCCCGGGTTGTATTGGCACTGGGACGAGATGAGGCTGTGTAAGGGGGAACGGCTCGCTCTGAGTCCTGCCATTCAGGGCTGCTGCGGCCGAAGCTGAAGGCTCGAGATCTCGTAACTGCGTCCCTCATGGCGTCTCTCACCCGGTGAGCACGAGGCCTCACAGCCTGAGCTTCCCTATGCTCCCTCGAAAGTCGAGTTAGCTCCCGAGTTGTTGCCTGACCAGCATTGCCTCCAGCTTCGGCGCCCTGTTCCCGTCGAGGCCTGGGGGTTGTCGAAGGCAAGTCCCTAGACAACCGCTGCAGGTTCCTCCGAGAACCGCGCACATTGCCAGCCACATTTTCCCTCCGCGATTGTTCCACTGTCTGTTGGAAAAGACATAAATTCTCCCTTATCCTTCTTGCTCTGGCCTCCTCCTGCTCCCGCTCACTTGCTTGCATGGCTGTCCGGATTGCTTCTTCTTCCGCCCGGGCCGCCCGCTGCGCTCTCCTGGCTTCTGCCCGAGCCTCCCGGAGAGACTGTCGGCGGACCTCCTCTTCGCGGAGCATGGCCTCCCGTTCAGCTTCCCTGCGCTGCCGCTGACGGTCTTTCTCCAGCCTCAGACTTTCTTCAAAGGCTCGACGGAGTATTTCGTCTTCGTCGTCCTCCCCATAGGCAAGACTGCTAGCGGTTCGGATACTTTCGATTTCACTGCTGGAACCAGAATAGCTCCCTGCATCGCTGCTAATGAAGCCGTCGGCGGGAATGTGTCTGCGGTCCTCGGATCTTCTAGCCCTTTCTGTAGCTCTATGCATGATGTTTTGGTTGGAGCGGGCCCTGCTATTTGTTTGGCTTTTCCCCAAACGGGCATATCAAAGGGAGGGACAAGCCTCTGCTCAAGGTATGGAGCATTTGGTGAGAGACTAGGGAGGCCCATGCTGGAGTTTAAGTAGAGTGATGAAGTCAATTTTTGAAGTCGATGTTCGCATTGAATCTAGGTAAACGTCATGAAGTAAATAGAATTGAATTTGTTCGCCACAGTCAAGGAAGGAGGACATATCATCATATCTACCCGAGGGTCTTCACTGGTCCAGACCCAAACAAGATAAATCAAACTGGGGATAGCAAGGAACTCATGAGCTACAGCTGCACATTGCCATCCTCTTGAATCGGGGTACATCGCCGCAGAATCTCTCCTCTTCTTCCCTGTTGATGCTCCATTCTTCTTGGAATGGGTGGAGGGCCATGTTCATGGTTCGACCTAGAATCTCCCTGTCACCCTGCTTCTCAACACGCTGGATCACTTCATCGAGGATCCACGATCGAGGAATAAACTATGAGAAAGAAAGTAGGTTAGCACTCCTACTTTTGATGTTTTTGATAAAAAAAAAAAGGGTTTGTCTGTCGTTTACCTTTGGATTCACTCCCTTCATGGAGCGTATCCGCTCCTCATCTTCACACCCGGGCCAGTCTTCTACTATTCGCTCTCTCCATGATGAAAGCCACTTAGCAACGCTCTCCCGAGCAGACTCCTCGGTATTTCCGGCGCCGCCAACGCCTTCGTCGTGGAAGAACAAACTGGCCACCTTTTTCCTCTTTTCGTCGCTATCTATCTCCGCCACGGTGAGTCCTGATAACCTTCTAAAGAAGTGATTAAAGTCCAACTCTAGTTTCTCGAGAGTGTCGAGAAGGTTCGAAAACAGTTCATTAAAATCAGATTCCTTTTGCGTTTTAAGCCCCAACCGTGTAGACATGAGGCGTTTGTATTCATTTAGGAAAACCGTTTTAAACTCATCTCCAGCTTGGTCGATGAGTTTCTCAGCTCGAGCAATGACATCGGATGTTTGTTCTTCGCTCAGTCCATTGGATAGGAAGGCTTCGTCGTCAATCTTGTCGCCAATTCCTATTAGTTGGGCGAATGATTCTCCTAGACGCACCAGATTCCACCATATCACTGATGGTTGATTCTTGTATGAGTACCGCAGCATATCGTCATCATGGTTGGGTGTGTAGCTTGGATCAAAGTTGTCCATGAAGGCGAATGGGCCAAAGTCAAGCGACAGGCCAAAAATGGAGGTGTTGTCGGTATTGAGCACGCCGTTCATGAAGCCATATGCCTGCCAGGCGGCTACCGTCTTTGCGTTGCGTCGAACTATTTCTCTATATAGCCTGGCAAACCTGTTCTCTTCTGCACCCTTCTCGCCTTGGATCTCGTCCTTTGGCACTCCCCGAGGAGGGTTGTCTATCAATTCCCCATCGGCAGGTTTGTCCTTTTCCTGAGTAGTGGGCAGGGCAGCCGGGAGTGACTCCCAGCCAGGAAATACATCTTCGGCAACGTAAGTGGCAAGCCGGCGGGTGAGCTTCAAGTCACTTCTAGCACGTAACAAGTCAAATGTGCCTATTCTAATCCACGACTCTGCAAAGCGAGTGACTATAGCACCGGGCTCTAGCCTTTCTCTCCTGACACTACAATTTGGCAGGAGAGTTAGAGACAGAGCGCGGGTAGTTGGGATACCCAGAGCGTTTAGTGCTAGAGAATGGTGAGCCTTTACCGTCAAGCCTGCAGACGCACTGACAGCTACCAACCTTCAGAGACAATAAACTCCCGAATACTGGAGCGGAGGACTGCCTTGCCGTCGGCGAAACGAGAGTATGGGGTTAGACCCGCTCCCTTGAGCTGAATTTCATAGCGTCTGTTTGTTGTCGGATTTATCGATTCGAAGAGAGAAATAGCACGCTTTTCACATGTCAGTACCCATAACTAGACGAAGCTGGAATAATGAAATAGACATACTCCATCACCAAGCTGGCCGGCCCAGGTGCCACTATGTCATTGGTAAGTATATTTTTTTTTGTTTAGTGTATGCCACAAAAACAGGAAAACATACAACTGCCAGCCTAAAAATATGGGATTAGTATATTTCATAGCATAAAAATAAAATATGGTCCTGAATCCAAGGAACAAAGCCTTACCTCCATAGCATTGGGCCCAAGGATAGACGCCTCCATCCGTCTCGTTCCAAAATATCTTGTTTCCTGCAACCATCTCCCTGAAGTCGTCCGTCTTGTCCTCGCCCTCTTTCAAGCCGATGTCCTTCATTGCACGAGGACTCACAGCCAACAGCTCTGGCTCATAAGTGGTCTCTGGCCTGACAAAGGTGTACAGCGCGCCCTTGACTAGCCGAGGACCCAAATGCTCACGGGGCGCATTGTGTGAAGCCAGAGGGGTATCAAAAGCCGCGTCCGGGGGAAGCTTGGAGGTGAAATTGTTTGTCTTTGTGATGTCCGCCAGCGAGACACCCGGAGCATCCGTCGTCGTCGTTGACGAATATAGCTGGTCCTTTTCCTCGCCGGCACCGGCTGTGCTGCTGTGGATGAGATGGGAGGCCATCTGGGACAGGCGAGGATGTAGAGGAGACTGCGGGATCCGGCGGGAGATACTGTTTCGCAAGAGCATGGAACCGGTTGGGTCCCCGTGGGTTAAAGGGAATTGTATCCAATTATCAACAGACCAAGCGAGAGACACATACGAGAGAATGAAATGCGAAGCTGCCGATGGCCAGGTTGATGCTGATGGTCCAGTTACTCAACAGCCGAAAATCCCGTAAAAAAAAGTCGATCCTGTCGAGGTTGAAGTTGAGCCGGGAGATGATGTCATCAGGCACATAGCCGGTCAAGTAACCAATATCACTACGAGAATACGAAGAGCAGAAGAAGACATTATTTGAAAAGACGAGATTATTGCTGTTGATTGCCCCGGGAGAAGCCAACTACTCGAGAGCCGTCAGGATGGCTGCTGTGCCTGCTGTGAAGCTGGAGAACGGGGCCTCAGTGCCAGTGGTAAGCTAGCTAGCCAGCTAACTAACTCTTCGCCCTCGAACTCGGCCAGTCGACAACCGGTTAGTTTACTGACGGAGAGACAGCTTGGATACGGGACAGGCACAGCGTGGTACAAGAGGGCCGGAGCCGAAGACATCGACCGGGAGACCGTTGATGCTGTGGCGACGGCCATCAGAACGGGATACAGACACCTCGATGGCGCAGAGGCCTACGGGACGGAGAAAGAGCTGGGCATAGCCATCAAGGAGAGCAATGTGAAGCGCGAGGACTTCTTCGTCACGGCCAAGGTGAACAAGGGCATCGGTGACATACCAGAGGCCATCGAGAGGACGCTGCGGAACCTGCAGCTGGACTACGTTGACCTGTACGCAGAGCAAGCTACCAGTTATCTGATATCTACATTATGGGAGTGAAGTATGAGTATAACGGCTGACCGCTGGCAACTAACTGAGTAGATATCTGATCCACGAGCCCTTCTTCGCCAAAAGCGACGAGGAGCTGCAGTCCAAATGGGCCGAGATGGAGAAAGTGCAGAAGTCCGGCAAGGCACGCTCGATCGGCGTGTCCAACTTCCTGCAGCCCCATCTGGAGGCGATCACGAAGACCGCGAGCATCAAGCCGGCCGTGAACCAGATAGAATTCCATCCTTACCTGCAGCACGGGGACTTGCTAGCGGTGCATAGACGACTGGGCATCGCGGTGGAAGGGTACTCGCCGCTGACACCTCTGACACGGGCAAAGGGGGGCCCCGTCGACGGAGTTGTCAGTCGGCTGGCGAAGAAGTACGGCGTGAGCGAAGGGAATGTGCTGCTCCGGTGGTCTATCGATCAGGATGTGGTGACGCTCACGACCAGCAGCAAGGAGGAGAGGCTGAAGGAGTTCCTTGACGTGGTGAAGTTTAGGCTGACGGCGGACGAGGTCGATGAGATATCTCGACTGGGCAGGGAGAAGCACTACCGGGCCTTCTGGAAGAGTAAATTTGATCCTGATGATCGATCGTAATAATAGTTAATAGCTAGTTAGTTGGTTGGCTATATCTGCTGAGATGTTAAGAGAGCTGAGATGTGATATAGACCGGGGGAGACGGCTGCATAGTTGGCCAACCAACGAACGGGCTGGATGTTATATTATTATCCAAGTATCAACTGAGCACTGAAGCAGACAGTCTCTGGCCTCGTCAGCCGTCGCACCATCTGACTCCAAGACGTTTGAAGTTGAATGAAAGTCCCTTTCCTTTCCCAGGCCGGATGTATCTGCAGATAGCACCATTCAGCCCAACGGCCACCTGAATACCGTAGAAGACGCATATATATATATATATATATATATATAGAGAGAGAGAGAGAGAGAGAGTCTCATGCTAGACCTCTGCCATCATCCATCTCATCGTCGTGTATTTGATGGATATAAGGGTATCGAGATGGCCGCAGTTGATGCCTGCCAACAGTAGCCTCACGGCCCCGGGACACAGCTAGCAGCCTCAGGCCCGAGTCGACCAGCTAGCAGAGGCCGTCAGTCAGCCAGAGCCTTCACAGACTATGGAGTTTCCATTCCACTTGCCTCTCATCCTGCCCTGTAGACAGACACCGTAACCAGCATCCGCTGCCAAATGATCTCGTCAAGTGCTCAACCGCCAGCAAAAAGCAACGAGAACTGAGCAGCAGTAAGCAAAAAGACCCTGCCGGCCCCGTCTGCCCATCAGCTGGGCTCCTCCAGACGCAGCGGTACCTCTGCGGCCGCCGTCATCTGGCCTGCAGCCGAAGTATCTCGCCGTCGTTCCACCAGCGAGCAGCAGCCAACTAGTCGACTAGTTAACTAGCGGCTTGCTCGACCCATCTCGATCTTCCCACCACCGAAACGACTCCAGCAACGACGACGCCGCCAGCGAAGCCCCAAGACAAAGACGCAAACGGCCGTCGAGCAGCAGGCAGAGAGACCGCAGTCGAGGGCGATGAAGCACCTCGCCGCCGCCGTCCGCCCCGAGCCTTGTCTTCTTCTTCTCCTTCTCCTCTGCTGCCTCCCTCCGCCAGCGATCCGCCCTCCGCCCTCCCGCCGGTGACAGCCAGACGCTGCCCTCTGCCAGCCAGCCAGTCCGTCGAATCGCCTGCCGCTGGCCTCCCGAGCCCGTCTACCGTCGAATCGCGCCTGTCCGGTGGCTACCCGACGCCTGAGGGACGAAGAGCAGAGAAGCGCCCACTCCGTCCGACGGCCAACGCATCTTCGAGGTTGGGTCGACCCAGCACGCACCGCAGCCGGAACGCTGCAGCCAAACGAGCCACCGCAAATTCGCACCTGGGAATCGCTCTCTTGCACATTCTCGCCCAGGGCCAGACGAGAGACGGCCTGCTGCCCTCGCTTTTACGCTCGCTTTTACTGCAGTAGAAGACAGAGAGGGAAACGGCCAAAAAATTATATATAAAAAAAAAAAATAACAACAACACGCCTCTCTGCGCAAAGGAGGATCGCCAGCCACCTGTCTACAGAAGCCCCGGAATACACTGGAAATTATGCGATCGGAGAGATGCTGTGAATGAACGCGGGATCCTTTGCGAGTCTAGACATTCCCATATCCACCGCTGCTGCTGCTGCTGCTGCTGTTGTGTTGCTCTTGTATGCAGTGTGTTCCTGGTGAATGGGCTGGCCTGGCGCATTCAATCAATGCCTCATTCACAACGTCTCGGAGCCCTTTTATTTTGATATCTCGACAGCCTGCAACAGAAAGAAAAGAAAGAAAAGAAGAGGAGCCTGTCTACCTGAAAGAACGTCCTTTCTTCCCGCCTGCAACTCGCTTCTCTCCGGCCTGGATGTTAGCCCTCGATCGCCGCAGTCGATATCCGCTCTCCTCCTTCTCGTCTCGCAGCCGTCCGCCGCTCTCGCAATCCGATTTACACGCTTCTGGTGCTTGCTACTACGCCGTTTGCCATGTCGGCGGACAGTCGCAGCTCGCAACCACGCCCACACGCCGATAACAGACCGTCTAAGCCGTCGCCCGTGTCGTCTGGGAAGAGGTCTTACTCTACGTATCTGAGTGACGTCGACCGCAAGTTCAAGCAGCTCTCCCGGGACGTCCTGCCCGCCCATCCATACATCCTGTCCGTGCCCACCGAGAAGCCGTACCGGCTGGGATCGCGCTTCGTGAGCAACTGGGCTGTAGGAGAGAATACCTTGTTCTCCCCGGAGGAGGAACAGCTGCAGTATATGACCTTCCTCCCCCACCAGGGAGAAGACACGCTGCTGGTCTCGGTTGGAGGCTGGTCGGATGACAAGGGGAATATAGTCCCAGAAGAGGACCAGAGACCACCCTCAAGGGCCGCCAGCATGGCGGCGCCACTTACTACCGCCTCGCAGCAGGACGCCCTGGCCAAGCGGAAGAAGAAAATCACCCTGAGTGACTACAAGAAGAAGGCCCTGGAGACTCCCCCTCCACCACCAACTCCTCCGCTGCCTGGTGCAGCCGATCCGTCCACCAACGGGGCCAATGGAACCAACGGCAACCGCCCGGGGAGCGTAGACTCCGATAAGACACTGCGCAGACCGCAGTCGAATAGCTCCTCTAAGCCAGAGGCCAAACAAAACCACCTCCAGCAGCACCACCCTTCGCAGGCCGCGGCCCCTGCTACCTCCTCGACCTCCTCCGCCCCTGACACCCGGACTGGCAGCAGAAGTAATGATACCAAGCAGAACGGGCAGGACAACCCCTCGATACCTGCCAGCACCGGCCGGGTGGACAAGAATACCAAGCTCCCGCCGTCAAAACCTAGCCTAGCAAAGGACTCTCCGCCGCGCAAGAAGCCACGGCTCTCCATTCAGCCGGAAGAGAGGGAGAAGGAGAAAACTCCTACGAAGAAGGCGGGAAGAGCCCGCCAGATGGTGCCGGAACTGCTCTCTCCAACGCTTCCATTCGACAATGAGAGCTTCAGCCTCTCCCTACCACCTCTACTATCCCCGACCCTCCCGCCAGACATCGAGGAAGAATTGGCCAGACTGCCTGATGACGGGCTAGAGAAGACCTCCCGCTCTCACTCTAGTTCCATATCCAGCATGTCCAACAAGGCTATACCCAGCAAACCCAAGCCTGGCGCAAACTCGTCATCAGCCAAACAGTCGCAGCAATCCTCCCTGGCTGCAGAGAAGAAACCGGCCAGTATATCTTCTTCTACAACCCTCCCACCAAAACCACCAACAGCCTCTTCAAAGCCAGCCACTTCTCAACCAACCCCCAGAATCACGACAACAGCTCCAAGGGAGAAGCTGATCGTCAAACTAAAGTATGGTCGGCAGAACAGGAAGCGAATCGAGGCTCTTCTAAAAATATCATCCAAACGGAAACCTACACCCACACAAACCTCCGCCAAACCAAAGGGGCTGCCAGATTCCATTGTCGTATCCAAGAGTTCTCCACCAAATTCATCGCCCCAACCGGGAAGCTCCACTACCACATCCATGGGTAAACAGCGTGAGCCTAGCTCAGGTTACAAACGACCAAAGGCCATGGATGGAGACGATGTTCAAGAGCCTGCTTTGAAACGGCCACGGAGTTCCAACACACTTGCACCACCCCTATTAGACCAAGCTCCGACACCTAGCATGCAGACTCCTAGATCAACTTCGGCCACTAAGCACCCGCCTGCATCCTCGCAGGACCAATTCCTCACCCCTAAAAAGGAACCAAAAGGAACTGCAATGCGCCGTGTGGGATCCGGTGACAGTGACATGAAGACTCCAAGTGGCAGCGCAACAAGCGTGAAGATGACTCAGTCTCTTTCTGTGGAAAGCCATCCATCTTCCAGCGCACAGCCTTCAGAGCGCCGCGGCTGGCGCGACGAATATCAGAGATTTGTCAACCTGGGCCGTGACCTCAAACATGCCTCACAGCGCAACTCAACCCACAAATACAGCACCAGCCATGATATCCAGGATGACAAGCTAAGCGCCACAATCGCAGTCGAAGCTTTGCTCTGCTTTGTCCTAGCCTTCATTGCTGAACAACGCTTCCAATCTCTCAGTCGACAAGTCGGTAACTCCACCGGTTGGCGCTCTATAATAGCATACTGGCAATCTGTTCTCAATCGAACAACCTCTTATCCGCACCTCCATGGCGTCTGTCTCCTCCTAGGCGCGGTCTGCCATGACTCCATCCATTCTCTCGACCTCGAACGATTAGCAACCACTCCCTTCCCGGACGAACATAGTCCTGCCCCAACTCCCGGCAGTGACGGCAACACCGTAACCAGCGAAGAAACCAAGAAACAGCGACGAGAGTTCGCGGAGCTGAGAACCAGACTTCCCGAATCGTACAAGGTTGCCCGCCGCTTATGGCTTGAAGGATCTCGCGAGCTGTCTGATTCGGTCCTCACACAGCATTATCCCAACACCTGGTCAAAAAGATTGAAAAACTCCGCCGATCGAGGAAGAGAACAGCTTAAACTAGGCGAGTACGGAGGCGACTTTTACCTCCCACTAGGCACCGCATCAACACCCCTTGAAGCAGTACGGTTTGCCTGGGCTTTCCTGAACGAATGGAGTGAGAGAGAAGGAGTCAAGTGGAAGGGTAGATTGGGCCTGTGAAACCCTTTTTCCACTATCCCCCTTTCTAACCGTTTCTCTCTTTCTCTTTTCCTTAACAGCCCCTTTTTTTCAGCATTACTAGAATACTTCTATCCATCTCCCTGAGATTTACGGCATGATACCCCCGTTTCCCCCCGTTCTTCTCCATCCTTTTGATCTTGTCTCGCTTTCCTTGTCCCATTTAGCCTACCTAGCCTTCATCAGCCTACATCTACAGTCATATGTTTCCTATTTACTTTTTAGCCTGCTCCTTCAAACACTCGATACCATTGCTTCGGCCTGCTTACTTTCTCTTCTCCCATTTTTCTTTGCCCTTTCTCCTCTTTAATTAATGACATGATACCAAGAAGGATCACTGCCCTTCAGACCTGCCACTTACTGCTGCCACTGCTTGTTTTACCAGCGCTGTTTTTACTTCCTTTCCTTTTCAACTACTTGCCCCCTTTTTCCTTTTCATCACTCCTACCGTCCTTGACGACTGGTCTCAAATTACTTACTTGCCAATTTATTTACTTCTTCCTTTTTTTTTTTTTTTTTTTTCCTGTTAATTTTGCCTGGAGTATTGCGCAACAGGGCGTGAGGGTGGATGAATGGACGGATGGCTGGGTGCTGGTTTATCTTATCTTCCTGCGAAGAAAGAATGAAAAGGGAACAAAACAAAAACGGTTTCTGCGATGAATTGAATATGCGACCTCAGGGATGATGGTGTTGTCTGTTCTTTTCTTCTTCTGTTGCTCCCTGGAGTGAGTGTATTATTTACCATATGTTGACCTTAGATATGATAATACTTCTTCGATCTCCCTGTTTCTACGTACTTCATTCAACTAACATGCTCGTAGATACATAAGTGGTATCAGCAGTGATAATATGATATGTTTTCAATTTCTCGGTCAATTAATGATGCTAAAAAGACATGGTGGCTGAAGAAAAGAAGCAAAGCTGTATTTACAGGTACTCCCCCGCTCATGCAATGTGAAAACAAGACCATAATCGGAGCAAAGGTAAAGCAAAGTACGGCATGGCAAATAAAAGGATATCCCTAATGATAGCAATAGCATCGACATACCCGTGTCTTTCAAAGACGGGTTTCCAAAAAAAGGGTAGGATGAAGCCTGTGTGCAGGTCGGCGGGCTACAGCCATTAGTCAAACCGCGGTGACCTGTCCTCTATATCCATGCGGTCCGCACTGCCGCCGCCAAATAGATGTCCCGCCTCACGGCAGTAGCGGGCCTCTCGTCGTACACTGCCGACTTCACTCGCCCAGCAAACGACAGCGGCATCGACGACGCCGGCAAGCACTCCTTCCATGGCAGATAGAACGCCCCATCCAATCGTTCCCGCGATCAAACCAACAATGTAGGCGTACAAGCTGCCACGCATGGTAGAACCCTTGCTACCATCTGCACCAGAGACCTGCAGACTACGGGCAGTAGATACCCAGCCCCCGAAACCAAGGGCAAGAGACATCATGAACCGGGTAGCGTGTAGAAGCATCTTGGCCAGACGGTATGGCATTAAAGTGGAAGAGTAATAGTCTGTACGACTTGCGTCGGAGAATGTTCGTGGATGGAATGTCATGGCCGTTGCGGCTGAGGGGGCTAGGAAGACCATCTGGTTGAGGCTGCGCGCTGAAGCGACTAGAGGCTGGGAGTGAATGGCGGCATATGTCAACGTGAGAGGGTTGGTGAGAGCGGCAATTGGCGTGGGTACACAAGAGTAGGCAGCTAGTGAGATCATAGATGATATACGGCGCGGGAGGACGATTAAAGGAATGCGGACAAGAAGGGACAGCAATGTTGAAAGGCATATCGTTCCAAATAGAGTAGTAAGGGCATGAGTGAAGGCAGCACGAATTACGTCGTGAGATGTAGGCGCAGGTGTGGCATTGCGGTGGAAATACCACTGGCTAACGACGGCAGCAGTGGTAGTCCGTTGGATGCCTGCGATAACGCCGAGCGACCAGAGGTAAACGAGAATAAAGTAGACGCCTAGCCACCATGTACCGATATCGATGATGAAGAATCTTTTGCCTCCAGATGCGAGATGCCCGCCGAGGAAGACGCGAGTGAACATGAGTATCCATGCCCAACTCCAGAGCGCAATGAGGGCTATCGTGGCGAATCCTAGGAGAAGCAGTGCCGGGTTCGCGGCTAATATACGACATGAGAACTCTAGGATATCAATTGCCTTGCCGGTTGCATGTCTGCCCTTGACAACGGAGTAGATCCAGGTTGCAGCCATGACCGCAGGCACTATTGACCCCCAGCGCATCACCTTATCCTGGATACTAGATCCATGCCAGGTGCCTTTGAAACTAGAAATGAAAGGGTATAATGAGAAGGAAATAAGGATGACTGGGACCGCAATTAGCATGGTAAAAACCAGAGGCCGAACATAGGACCGCAACAGCGCTAGCCAGAGCAGGGCCACAAATATTGAGATGACGGTATATGTGCCTAGGAGGCCGAAAGAAGAGTGTAGAGTGGCATAGATGGTGTCTCCGAGTAGCGGGAGTTTAGTGGGTGCTGTAGTGTGAAGATATACAATGAACGAGGTAGCGAATAGGCCACTCAAGCAAAGTAAGAACATATGCCCCCAAAACATGTCATGCATTGGAGGTTCAGGGTCTCCACGGGCCATCGACGTAGTAGGCATCTCAGAGGCAATAGAGCTCGGTGGTCTAGTGTTGTTTAACAAGGCCTGCTTGTCGGACTCTCGGTCTATAAATCCAGCACTGGTCTGGAACTCATCATCATCATCACCCAGGTGACTTGACTGATTTTGGAATTGGCGTATCGGTGGTCCACCAGCAGTGAATTCTGGAGGCGGGTCATCGTCGTCATAATCAACGTTCACGGCGTCTGTCTTTACCGAGTCCTCTAGTCGAACCTCGACCATTCTACCCTTCCCGGAGCTGGGGGTCCCTTCGGACACATCTTCCTCGTTTTCTTCCGGCTGTTCTTCCAGTGACTTGGTAGCTGTTTTTCCTGCCGGCCCGATAACAGATGCCTTCCCACGCCACGAGCTTCGTATCCCTGTTCCTCTACTATATTCATCTTCCTGGCCTGTACTGTGTTCCGAGTGTTTACTGTCCTCTCCTTCGTCCCCTTCAGATGACTCTGCTAGCCTGCTTGCGCCAAAATGCCGCCTTGATCTCTGCAGGGCATAAAAATCAGCAGCATCTCGCTCGTCATCTTCCTCGGGAAGGTGCTCGTTATTGCTGTGAAAGAGTGGTGCGTGATGCACGGATGACCGCGGTGAGAATGCAAAAGTCTGAGAAGCTGTCGAGGAATAAGGATTCCCAAGCGCCCGCTGCAGATAAGGCCGTGACGGAGGTGGGCGGGTGGTCTGTCGATCAGGCCTCCGACTTCGATCCCCAAATTCCCGTGGGGGAGAGCTGTCTCCGGGTGCTATTCGGGACTGTGACTGTGAGAGAAAACGGGACGCATCTAGAGTACATATTAGCAAAAATGCTTTAGCAGCAGGTAAGAAGAGAGGTAAAGGAGAGCTATCGCACATTCTGAAAACATGATTCACTCCAGGGGAGGTAGGTAGGCGGCGTGTGGTCGGTGATAATTTGTCTGTGACGTATGAGAGACTACCCAGCTCTTCTATACCAGCAGCTCTTTTTCTTCGCAAACAAGGTTATCTCGTATCATGGATCGCAGATTGACTCATACCAGAGACCATCTATGGCCGAGAAGAGAAGCGTCTGGTCTGGTCGGGAGCTCTCTGTGTGTGTGCGCAGCAGCGGCTGTTTTATGTCATTTACTATTGAGAAGCGCTCGGAAGGTTTTAAGAAGCAATATACAGCAGTAGTTGGCCTCCAGAGCAGGCAGCACAGCACCGCAGACTCCTCCTCCAGCGCAGGGCTCCCTGAAGCCGCAGACAAGGGACACGCTGAGAGTGAAGCCGAGAATCCGACAAGCCAAAGGCCAAAACGACGAAGTTGGGACGTTCGAAGGTCGAAGGTCGAAGTTCGACGAAGCGAAAGCGAAGACGAAGTGACGGTGACGCTATGCTGAGGTAAGCAAGTCTCCGGTCATGTGCCGCTGTCACCTGACACGCACTTTTCGGCGGGAGAAAAAGACGACGGCGAGACAGACGACGGCGACGACGGTGATGATAATGAGGATGACAATGACGATGACAATGGCAACGACAGAACTTGTGCACTCGACATGTGGCCGTGGCTGCTGCCTGGCCGTGGGCAGCGTCAGTCGATGCCTGGAGCGCGAGTCATCAGCCCTGGGTCAGCGGAAGAGCTCGCTAGGCAGTGCTAAGCTAACTGGCAGAGTTACTAACTAGTGAGACGGTCATCCCAACGTCCCTGCTCGAAGCTAAACACAAGTCATATTCGCAGATAACATGGTCTACCAGCTGCCCGAGGGGTTGGAGGAGCGTCAGTAATAATATTAATTAATTCAACGTTATTGAATCCTGCCGTGCAAAAGGGCTGCCGGTCTTTTATTTACACATCGACTGAACGCCCCTCGGACGGCGGCCGAGCCGCCCTCTTCAGCTTCATCGGTGCCTTGATACATCGAGACGGTTCTACGATCGGCCTTCAGACAGGAGCTGCAAGGACTCCGCAGAAGTCAGACAGGTTTCTCCCGCCATCTACGGTTTGCCACCAAGCCCCATTTCTCGCAGCAAGCAGGCAAGCAAGCAAGCAGTAGCAACATGCATTAGTGAGCTGGAATAGACGCGGCATCAACTTCCGAGGAGAAGAAGAAGAAGAAGAAGAGCTGGCCCTTCTTCGCGGTTCACGGATAACTTCAGGGCCCCGGGACGGTAGAGGTGCGAGAGTACGGAGTAGTGCCAGAATAGTTGCTAGGAGAGTCAAGCTTGCCGTCCATCCTGCCTTGTAGGCTGTCCTGAAAAGCAGCTGGCGGACCAAGTATGCCGTATGCCGTGTGAGAGACCTCAGAGCCTCTCTCCCCTCGTATCCCAAGGCTGAACAAGACGACACACCTTTTGTGTCTCTTTCTGCTCCATGTTTTATTCTTATGTTTTCTTCTTCCTGGGAGAGATGACGTTCGGCAGCAGCTTGTTGCAGCCGAAGTACCAGCCAGGTATCCTCCCTGCCGGACGCCGCTGCTGGAGTACATCGCAGTACCTGGTCCAGGACCCCCAGGGCCAGGCCGCAAGGGGGAGGGAGCAAGCCGCCTCATTCTCCTCCTTGCGCCCTCTTTGCTTCCTGTCGCTTCTCTCTCGTGCTCTGCCCAACTTGCTTGCTTCTTCCCCAAAAGACAGACAAATAATACACACACAACAATCGCTTCTTCTTCGCCGGCAGTTTTCTTCTTTCTCCTCTTCCTTTCTTCTGTTTCTTCCTCCATAGATCAAGTCCGCCTTTTTCTTTTCTTTGGCCGGCACTTGTTTCGCCGCTGCCGTCAGTCAGCTGCACGTCAAAGCTCCCTAGGTACCCTATATAAAATAACTACCTCCCTCGCCGAGTTCGATGCCCAATCTTCAACCCAATCTATAGTTGACGCCTCTTTGCTCTCGTTACCCCACGATTTTAACCATAATCTGCCCCTCGGACGGCGTAATAGCCTGCTGGTTTTCTTCCAAGGTCCTGGGTGCTCCTCGGCCTTGTTGTGTTGACGGTTTTATCACAGCAAGAACTCGCCCACCAGCCAACCCTCCCCCCCCCCTTCACGCAAAGGAAAAAGCACCGAGTGGGAGCCTGCTTTCATGTCAAGCCCACCATGGGATTTCATTGCGAAGCTCGTCTGTATTGGTGACTCAGGCACAGGTAAATCAAGTGTGCGCAAGTCCATCTTCCATTCTCGGTCCCTCAATTGCTTTCCCCCCCCCTGGTGCCTCGTGCGTTTGTTGCTGCGGTTGCTAACCTGCTTTGCTTCACAGCTCACTGTTCGCCTGTGCGAGGGCCGCTTTAGCACCACCCACGATGTGACTATCGGGGTAGAGTTCGGCTCGAGGATAGTGCCTGTTGGCCCGCCGGCGTCTGACGAGATAGGGATCAACTTTGACAACACCTCCCTCGCATCGACTCCGTCCGCTCTCTCGCCCTCGGCCTCCTTCACAGGCACCATCAACAGCCATACTACAAATAAGAACGGGAAGCTCACCGGCGACAAATCTGTACCGCCGTCCCCACGGAGCCTCTCGGGACTCCCTCCGCCTCCCACCAAGCCCTCAGAGCCACCGGTCCAGAAACGGATGAAGCTCTCGCTCTGGGACACCGCAGGCCAGGAAACATACAAGTCCATCACGAGGTCTTATTTCCGCGGTGCATCCGGCGCCCTGCTAGTATTCGACATCACTCGGCCCCCGACATTCGCCTCGCTGACCCAATGGCTTCAAGACCTGCGACAAATTGCCGAAGAGCGGATCGTGGTCATACTGGTGGGCAACAAGAGCGATCTCGTCGACTCCAAGGGCAAAGAAAAGGACGCCGATAATCCCGACAATGATAATGCTGATAACGAGAATAATAAGACACAGCGTGTCACCCGCGAAGAAGCCGAAGAATGGTGCAGACAGAATAACGTCGTCAGATATGTCGAGACCAGCGCCAAGTCAGGGGAGAATGTCGAGCGGGCGTTCCGAGAAGTGGCTGAACGAATATACAGGAATATACAGCACGGTAGATACGATTTAAACGACCGGCGGAGCGGAGTCAAGGGCTACGGTGCCTCAGCCGGGCCCGGCAACGGGCGTGTACCGCGGACAGTCAATCTAGGTGTCAACGATGCCATGCGGAGAGGCAATCGTGGATGGACTGGCGGATGCTGTTAAACCAATATACATACTTGCTTTATACCCCCTCCTTTTTTTATGTGCCCTGTCCTTCAGGCTCTTTTTCAGCTCCTTTCTGCCTCTGCTTGTTTTACTATTATATTTTAATTTTATTTACATGCATCTACTTTACTCTACATGACTGGAGAAGCACTTCTTCATCTTCGACGACATAAAAATTCAGACGACCCCCCTAATATAATAATATCTTGTTCTCCATCTCGACACTAGAGGTCTGCTTGCTCATTACTTAGTAGATCCATTCCACGGTCAACTTAAGCTGCATGTGATTGATATACTCCCGTCCCCGTAAGGATATCTATATTCACTGAGCATAGATATTCACCAAGTACCTCTCCGTATAAATATTGATTGAAGTCTCTCTTTCATTCATTTCCAACTCTCTGTATAATTTTATCAAGCCGCTGGGCCTAATTGGCTGGCTGCAGAGAGAGTCGTTAGTTACACCATTTAATATTGATTGACATTCTTTTTATTTCTTTTTTCCGCCACATAACTAACTAACTACACCATCGATGTCCGCTTCACAGCCACACGGTAGCTACCAATCCAGGCCTATTAACTAGAATCGATAGGTTTGGGTATCCAGCATGACATCCGGATCAGTGCGCAAAAATGACGACTGGAAAAGATATTGGCGTACAGAGTAAGAGAACGGGGCTTCCACTGGCTGATCTCCAGTCAAAATGGGATAACATAGATACTGTTCTAAATCGAGGCCCCTTAGCTGGAGACGCAGAAATAGACAACACTGCCCTCGCCGATACTAGAGGTGAATATGGCGTTTCACCGTCATATATAACAGGACTTTGCCGACTCACCAGGAAATACCTTCAAAGCTTTCCTGGCCGAGATACTCCGTCTCCAAACACTATGCTACATCAACAGTGTTCCGATCTTCTTGCTAGGCAAAGAGCATTCACTCCCGGTGCACTTGGCAGGATTGAGTCTGCCCTACAATATCGCATGGGGATGAGCTCTCTGGCTAACCAACTTGTCGTTGGCATCTCCTTACCCCTTCCACAGGGCGTTTCCTGTGACGAGTGGGATGAAGATATCAAATTTAGCTACGGCCAAAAAGAACGGAGCAGTCTCTTTCATAGGTTGCTCTCGTTGTTTCCGTCGGCAAGTCCTAATCAAGGAGTGAAGGGCTGGACCAAACCGTGCTGGTATATCGTCGCTGCTCTGATCGAGGCTGACCTTTCACCGTCCCAGGTTGACCGCAAAATACAGCAGCTCTTTGAAGGTGTGTTATAATGTATGCATAGGGTTGAACCTGTTTGGAACGTCATTGCTAATCGCCTCTAGCTGTTGAGGAAATACGGCAGACACCAGAGGATCGCTGTGCCGACATCATCAAGTCCAAGTAGCTACTGAAGGGTAAGCTGTCAAACCGCTGGGCCAAGAAGGGAAGCCCATTGCTGTGCTGGTTGCAGAGAGAGTCATTATTATAGTTGTCCCTCATCCTGGACGACTACACTGAAGCCCACTTACTGAACATGGCGTCCTCTACTTCCGCACGACGCGCTAGCTCGCCAGCTTGTAGGGCCACGCTGACCTCAAGCATGCCTACTTCTCTATACCCGTCCACCCTGACGACCGGTACATTTTAGCCTTTAATATCACCAAGAGAGACCTCGGCATCTACTGGTCATACAGTTTTAACAAGGTACAACCCCAAGCTGTGACGGCCCTGAAATAAGGATTTGTAGTCCTAAGGAAATACTCTCACCTGTTTAAGAATCCTTCTTCCAGGACTCAGTCCCAGGTGGTTGAAGTGACTTCTAAGTTACGTTTATATCATTGACATAAGATAGCTTTTGGTTGGAAGTTTCAGCGTTAATCATTAAGCTTGCATACTCCCTGCTCCTAGTATAAATATATCATACCAGACATATTATTTTATTACATACAGAGATTGCCCCTTTCAAGCGAAGTTACTCACAAGAAGGGTGACTGGCACCTAAAGCTAAAGATATATTGTCTCCATTATTACCAATAACAGCTTTCCGGGGCAATGTTTTCTCAAGGACAAGGTTACCGAGCGTTTGCACCGCCTGTATCTGATATCTTTATTGGCCCCATTTGGTATTTGCAACCGACCAGCTCAGTTCCATCTGCATCTCTGCCAACTTTGCCCCTTGTTATCACAGTTGCATCAGCCTTCAAACGCCTGTACATCGCACGCCCTTCGCTCCCCCGAGGCCCGGAGAACGCAAACATGCATATTCCTGGAGCTGGGGCACTGGGGGCTCGGGAGTTTAGTTACATCCATATTGGGAGCAATGCAAACACTCAAAAGAGACGAACTAGCCAAATTCCCGACCCTAAAGTCCTCGTATCCAACTCAGTGGATACCTCGATAACGCTTCCTTTTGCCATGAGTCACAGTCTGGGAATCGAGACTGTCTTTAAAGGCCTGCATACACCCCACGTCGAAGCGGTATACTCCCTGACAGTGCCGGCATATCCATGCTGTTCCCCAGCTTCAATCCGCCATTAACCCATTCCCTCCTATTTAACTGTTAACAACTGGACACACCTATTTATACCTTCATCAATTAACCAGTAAACAGCCCCCGAAGAGCTATGGCAGTGACTCCTGCGCCGTCCAAAGGCTCCTGCGAGGAGTTCGGCTCATTGATGCTGGATGTAGACGAGCTGCTCCGCCATCCTTGCTTGCCCCGAGTGCTGAGACTGATAAATTTCGCATTCAGGCGTGATGACGGCGTTGCTGTCAACTCAGACGGTAAAAAGGGCCGGTTTAACTCCCCAGAGCAGATCATTCCGTGGATTGGCAAGCATGGCCGGATAGCCATCCTGTTCAGATACAAGCCGAAAGAGAGCCGGCAGCAGCAGCAACCCAATGGCCACACCAACGGCACAAATGGTCATGCCATCGACAATGGATCCAACGGCATCACTGCTCCAGCCGATCAAGAGGAGCGTGAGGTCGATCTCAACGAACCCATTGCGACGGCGGTGATAAAATTCTTCAAGCCGAATCTCGGCATTCAGCCCATCGAGGGAGAACTAGATGGCGACATCGAGAAGGGCATCGGTATGTTATATCCCCATACTCCGTACTATCACATTTATAAACTGTACCATTGGTCGTGGATTTATAGTTATCCCAAAAGTTGCGATCCCAACTGGCCGTGCCACAGGCAAAAGCAAAGAAGGAAACCCCTGGCTAATTGTTTCCACGCCTTAGGATACGACCCGGAACCTGACGACTTGCTCGCCATAAAACATTGGGAGCCAGCTTGTGTATCTGTCATGCCGTTTGATGACTCGCTGAAGGGTAAAGGGTTGGCTATTCGCTGTGTACAGATGCTAGAGGACGATCTCTTAGAACGGATAGATGCTGCCGCACAACAGCGAGAGCAAGAAACGGGGATGTCCAGGGATACTTCGCCCTTGACCTTCTGGGTCAGAACCAGAACAGATCTTACGGAGGCGTATTGGAAGAGAAGAGGGTATGAGGTTTTGAGCTGCAAATGGTTTCCTGCTGGGTCCTGGGAATATGACCATGATTTCCAGATATCAGTCCTGACAAAGCCGGTTCCTCTGCTGAACCGGAGCAGCATCAAGAACTAGATACGGCTCACGAGAAGATCATATAGGCGCATGGATAGAATTTGAGGTTGGGAGGAATTATTCGTCGATTTTATGATTAGTATTTATTTCATTAGAACCAATTTTTTTTATATAACGAAAAAAGAGAAGCGTTTATTAAAATACAAAAAGTTCCAGTCTTTTACTGCTATATTTTATCGAGCGTGTAGCCATCCATAGCCTCTCTAGAGCAACTTCCCAGTCCCCTGATCCGTTACAATCATAACAAGGCAGCAAAGTTCCGTCTGGAAGATCTTTCATTTCATCTGCTGACGACTTCTTCGCCAGCACTCGTTGGGATAGTTGTGAATTGAAATGTCTTTTTTTCCCTCTATCGGTTGGCAATCTTCCAACTGCTTAACCAATTGAGACTCTTCCACTGCTGGTTTGAGCCTTCCATACCGAAAACGATGTCCTTGAAGACGATAAATAGGCCAATAATAATGACATAGAGGACTGAATAAATGGCCCACTCGACCTTCCGGTTAAGCTTCTGAGTGAACCAGTCAATACAGAAAGCCATGGTCAAGATAGCAAAGTACAAGGCCGGGTAGTAGTGATGGACATAGGTGACACGGGCCATAATCATGAAGGGGAGATAGTGGAGGAACCAGCCCACAACGGGGTAAATGCCGGAATAGTGGATGTGGTCGATCTCGGCCATGCTGAGTTCGGCATAGCCGCGCTGCCAGCGAAGCAGATACCAGAGGACGAGTAGACTGAAAACACCCAAACTCAGGGTACTGCCCCAGTAGACGAATGGGTTTCCAAGGAGGAAGTACTTAACGACATTGTCGTCCCAGGAGCACATTCGGAGTCCAACATTAAGGATTGGCCATTGCCAGAACTTCGATGCTAGGTCATCTTGCTTATCGGGATCTGGGACAAGAGCGTTATTGGAAGTCATCATAGCAACATTCAGGTGGATAAAGTCCTTGAGGAAGGGCGACTTGTAAGTGCCTGGTTCACTTGGAGGAACTGCATATCAGATATGTTAGCATAAAGAGTCCATGATATAAAGTGAGAGACAGGGAGTACATACGCCTCTCATTCACGTGTGACTCGATGTTCCAGTGAGTATACACGTCCCATGGTCGGTTCTCCTTGGTGCAGGTAGTCTCAATCTGCTTGAATCCCCACTGAGGCAAGCTGACACCGCCAGCTCTAAGATAACAACCTAAGACCGTATGGCGCAGGCGGAGGGCAGTGGTAAGAGTTCTGATTTTCGACCTGTCTCTCGACGCAACGTCTTTGACAACCTCGATGGTCCAGTGGTCCTTGGCATCACCAACGGTGGTGTTTCCATAGGCAGACACTTCATATTGAGCCTTGGTGACTGGGGCTGCCACGGTGTGAGAGTGCAAGTTGCGGCCGGTCTGAGCGTGGATAAGGCGGATCACGTCACCATCACCAATAAAGCTAATTGGACCTTCTGGATTATAATCCGGCTGAGAACGGTTCGGATAGATGAACCAGTCGTTGTTAGAGTCCTTATGGTGGTAGCAAGTGATCTGTTGCTGACCCGATCCTTCGGGATAAGTCTGAACGTGAGAGTGTAGTAGACCACCTCCGTATCCCATATTCTTCAGTGTGATTTTGGATCCAATGGCGACCTCAAGAGGGCTGTCCTTGCCAACGTTGGTACCTCTCAAGTTAGCTTGGAACAAAGAGCTCATCTGAGCGTCACCGGTACCAGAGTTCTCAAGTACAAGGAAATGAATGTAGAAGGAGAACATATAGACCAAGAATGGTACGATTATCAGACCGAAAACACGGGCTCCCAAGTGATGAGCAAGAACCGTCTATGCATCATAGTTAGCAACTACAGCATATAACATCAAGGTGAAGGGGGTGAGTGAGTACCTTTGGCATCTTTAGGTCTCCAAACTTGTTCCAAAGATCCTCAGCGGTGTAAAGACCAACTAGTGCAGTGCAGAAGATTCCGACCCATTTTACACTGCAGACACACCCAATGCTCAGGCCAGTGAGGATGAGCCAGAGATACCACTCGGGGGAGAAGCTTTCATGTCGAAGTCGGTGGAATCTTGCCCAGCAGAGGGTAGTGGTGAAGGTGAAGCAGAGAAGCATAGAATCCAAAAGAATAAATCTGGAAATCGTGGCGTAGGAATTCTCGCAAAGCACCATCAGGGTGATAAGCCAGACGGTTGGACGGCGGAATTTCAGTTCTCGCGCAGTATAGTATGCAAGTGGAATGCATACGATACCGAAGAAAGCATTGAAGATACGCATGAAGGTGTAGTTAACTTCCGGAGGGTATTTCTCGCCAGACTTGAATTCGAAAGATCCGTTATAACCAGCCAGGAAACCCGACAATCCAATAAGCATTTTACCCAGCGGAGGGTGGACATCGAAATAGAATTCTCGTTTGATGTAGTATGAACCAAATTTCCCGAAACTAGAGTGACGCAGCAGATATCAATCAGTAACCATCCACCCAAAACTGGTTATAGAAAAAGGATCAATCTCGGTTTCTTACTGAGCTTCATCCCACGTAACGATATCTGAGAGACCAATGCGCCACAAACGAGTGAAGCAAGCCAGAGCAGTGAAGATCAATGGGGCAATGAACACTTCTAGGTCATCGAGAATCTCACAGAAGGAGGGGGACTGTGAAAGAGAACAGGTAGTAGGTTAGCGTACCGTACAAGCAAGTCACTTCAAGGCTCCTAACCAGTTTCAAGAGATTTCCATACCTTCTCCTTCAGTTTCTTCCCGTCGACTTCAATGCTGGGAATTGGGACATTGGCGCTGCTCTTCTCTGCACCAGGCACGTTTCTCCTCCGAACTTCTGTGTTCGGCGAGGTGCCAGAAGCAAACGCTCTATCATCGGCCGCCATGCTTAGGGAGCCAACGAAGAGCCGGTCCGGTCGGTCGGTCGGTCGTGAAAAAAGGTATTAAATTGGGATTAGATAGAAGGGAAACGAAAAAAAAGACCGTGGCCAAGTTATTTAAACGGGATAAAACAGGTAGTGGCTGAAAAGGAAGATGAACCACCGCGACTCGATTAAAACATCCCTCTTAACGAAAGAACGGAAACAAACCCTTCCAGCAAGCTTGCAATGGGAGCGAAGAGAAATGAAGAAGCAGAAGAAGAAGAAGTAGTAGTAGTAAAAGAAGAAGAAGAAGCGAAAGGCGTCTCTGGGTTTCCGGTTGATGGCTGAAGAAAAGTGGCCTGGGATCCCAGACACAGAGTTGCGGCTAAGGCAGAGCTAGAAATAGAAAAAAGGGGCTGATGGGCGGAACTCTAAGGGCGGAGGCTGGATGAGGCCACGTACAGCGTTTAACGCCGTCGCTGAAACGAAAGCGCGCGAAGAAGGCAGCAAGGAGAGAAGACGACGACGAAGAAGAAGAAGAAGAAGAAGTGAAATGATGGCTGATAGAAGGACAGAAAGCTGCAGCGAGGCCACAAAAGCTGCAGGAGAAGAAGAAGCAAGAGTCGACGGTGGCCAGTTGAAGAGTCACGTGATCGGTGATATCAAAGTAGATGGCGAGGACGAGGATGATGGTTATGATGATGATGATGATGGACAGTAGTAGCTAAAGGATGGATACTCTTAGGTGCTTGGATGCTGAGAGACTCAGCGGATAGAAATGAGATCGAGGCATCTTCCATAATATTACAGAGTACTCCGTATTGCACAAGGCATATGCTAGCAACCCAGTCTATACCGATGTACATCCTACCTCCACCCGTCCTTTGAAGCTTGAAACCAGCCCGACTCCTGAACCTGCGACATGGCTGGAAGCTTACCCTTTGCCTCCAGAGCTGTAGAGAATATAGATAAGTATATCCATAATAAGTATGCAGCAAAAGTAGAAAGTGATTCATAGTTGCCCACGTCTATTCGAGTCGCCGTATTATACCACCCCCGATAAGCTCTTCATAAGGACAATTGTGTGGTTGTGTTGTGTGTTTGTGCGTGTGCGCTTATATATGTATGAAGATCATGATCAACCGAAGAAAAACGATGCCGGTGAAGGTGTGCCCCATTTCTGAGATCCAAGAGAAAAGGAGATGATGGTTGATATGGACACAGAAGAAAAGAAAGGAAAGGAAAAGTAAGCATACATTGCAGGCCTCATCCCACGTGAAACCCAGTTTCACGGTGGATGCCGAAAGGCTGGTATAAGAAGAGTTTGCAAAGGGGGGAAACAAGGAGATAAAGGGGGAAATAAAGATAGATGAGATGGTTAGATATCGTGATGATGATTATGACGATTGGATTAAGGGTAGAGGCGAGTGACTCCGCCTTGACAAACGAAAGCAATTTGGTCCAGAGGCATGTGTTCTATTGAGTTTCGATGCAAACGCCTGAAAAGATAAAGATGAGGGGGGGAAATAAAGGGGATCTATAGTTACTCGTCTTCATGCTGTCCGATCTGACGATATTGACTGTGATCACCTCTGTTCCTCTTGTCTTTACCGCGGTTAATAAGACTGGAAATCCATGTCCCAATACCGCCTTCTTTCGACTGGGTCAGCTGTTGTTCACCCTCGGCAGCCTTATCGACCTCACCAGCCATAGAACCAGGTCTGGGAGTAGGTGGGTTGAGATGCAGGTTAGGAATAGATGGTCCACCTGGTTCGTTGCCTCGCCGAATGTCGAATGATGATGGCGACCCAAGGCCTCCCATGAGAGAACCGCGCTCAGCTTGGCTGGCGGGAGTAGGGGCGGCGGACTGAGCATCGTCGAAGATAAGTTCCATGTCCTCGAGGCGAACACCACTAGTTTCAGGGTAAAGGAAGAATACTAAGACGAGTTAGTTATAAGCTTCGTACAGCAGGTGGAGAAGGATAAACTTACCGACAACAAAACTGCAGGCACAGAAAAAGGCATGCATGAGGTAGAGTCTCCAGTGGATCGCCTCCTGTAGCACAGGAGTAAGCTCTCCAACAAGCCAGTTGAATGCCCAGTTCGTTGCGGTACTCAAACTTGCACCCTTTGCACGGATGCTTAGAGGAAGGATCTCTGGAGGGTACAACCATGGGATGGGACCCCACGAGAACCCAAAGGCAGCATTGTATATCATGACAGATATGACAGTCAGGGCTGGGGTGTAGGATATATTGATATGGATAAAGTAGGCCATGGCAGAGAGGGATATGATCATCAATATAGCACCTGATAAGAGAATTGGTCGGCGACCCCATCTATCAACGAGATACCATGGCGGAATTGTGGAGAGCAGATAGGTAATGCCGTTGATTCCGGTCATCAAGATGGCGTCACGGCCAACCCAGCCGGCAGATTCGAACACAAGGGGAGCATAGTATGAGATGACGTTGATACCATTGAGCTGGGCAAAGGCCTGGGCAGACATCGCAATAAAGACACGCCTGTAGTAACGCTTGAACATGTCTTTGTATGTCCGTTCGCCTTCCTGTCGTGTGACGAGAACATTGGTCTTGATCTCACGGTATTCCTGTCTAGCCTTGTCGTTGTGAAGGTCACCCTTACCGTACAGGTTGGCAATGACGACCATACCCTCTTCATCATGGTCATGGTCCAAAAGCCACCTATCCCGCAGATAGTTAGACTAACAGACTGTGCGGACTAAAAAAAAAAAAAAAAAAAAAAAAAAAAAAAAAAAAAAAAAAAACCGAAAGACATCAAGACATACCGAGGAGATTCACAGATGATCAAGCTTCCAAAGCCGAGGAGTGCACCCATAACACACTGAAGGAATAGTGGTAGGCGCCAAGAAAAGTCGCTCCGGATGTAGCTGCAAAAGTAGTCAACCCAGACACTGGCGGCGTACCCACAAATATTCCCCGTAAACTCAATACAGGCGAGTTGACCCCGATTGTGAGGTGGAGAGATTTCAGATTGATAAACAGGAACGATCGTGGAGAGGGCACCAACACCTAGACCAGCTACGATACGGCCTACAAGCATCATAGGAATTCCCGTAGCAAATGTCTGGAAGGCACCACCGACAAAGAAGACCATGGATCCATAGAGAATAGTTCGTCGACGACCGATTATGTCACCGATTTTCCCCACGAGGAGTGAGGATATAAACGCTCCTACTTCGAGAATGGCTACCATGGTGCCGATCTCTGCACGAGTCGGCTGGTTGAAATAATCTTTAAAATATTGACCCCTACGCTTGTCAGTCGATTTTGATGATATTTGAGTGGGAGAGGGCATGACGATGGACATACGTAATAATGCCGGACATAACGCCTTGATCATATCCAAATAAAAAGACGCCTAACGACACGAAAATGCTAGTAAAATACCTTTAATCGTGTCAGCATTGTTTTCCAACACAGTAGTAGCAGTAACAGTAGTAATATTTTAGGGGGAAAAAAATGAAGGGGGGTTAATGACATACAATAACGGCTTCCCAACGAGGCCGTGGGTTTTGGCCCTGCCATCCCGGGGCGACATGATGGAAGCCAGCAGCCTCTCAGCTCTAGAAATGGTTCTGGGACCCGGCTCAGGGATTCGGACGGCCTCCTTTAGGTCTCCGTTGTCGACGAACGGCGTATGCTCCTCCCCAGCTTCGTCTTCCTCGTAACGAACCCGTTTTGGCTGAGCTGCGGATGACGAATTCGGTCGGCCTGACTTCCCAAATACTCGAAGATCGAGGGACCCTCGCAGCCGAAGACGCAAGGGATCCTCCTCGTCGGCGAGCTGGTCTGCGATGTCACCGGAATCCGACCAGACGGAAAAGTTGGACTCTGACGGGGTGGGAGACGGGGTCCGCCGGCTGCCTGGTTTGTCACGATCGGCGTCGAAGAGAGATGAGGACTGTTCAGACGATGGCCGGGATGTCTGTATCGACTGCAGAGGTATGGAAGCGGAGGAGGTGGAGGGTTTGAGTGATGGAGGAATCGTGGCGGTTTAAGACCAGGGCTTGCCCGAGGCAGCCCTACGACTCCGGCTAAAAGGTAAAAGACTGAATTACGGAGTAAAGGGCGTTATGTAACACGGCGGAGACGATAGAGCGGAGGTCAGATCAGGTCAGGGGGGGCGGCTCTGCAGTTCGATGTGGGCATGGAGATGAGAACCCGTTGGTGGTTGATGGCAACGGGGGTTGGAGGTGCATCCGATGACTGAAGGGAAAAGGAAAGCAGAGAAGGGCGAGGCGAGCGTGATCGCTTTTGGCCCAGGTGTTCCACCCTGGGCTTGTCAGGCTGGGGCTGAGACGCTGTGGTTGGCTACGAAGGGACGCTGGATGCCGGCCAACTGGCGGATTGACTCGACTGCTTGGTTCGCTTGGATGCCCTGGGGTTGACTTTTGCGGTGATGCTGGCGCTGCGTCTGCTGGTTGTTCGTCCTTTTTTTGCGGTTGCTTTCGTTTTCCGCTTCTGGGGATGGGAGGATGACGAGGTCATGTGCTGATTAGTCATCCCGCTGACTCCACAGGGCGGGAAGGGACCGTGAGTGGCACGTGATGTGTTACTGCCTGGCATTTCCTCTTTGGCTGACATCGACATCGACATGGACGGAGACGAGGTGGACGACATGGACGACATGGACGACATGGGGAGAAGAAGAGTGGAAGAAAAGACGAACGAGGATGTGAAGACACGGAGAGGCGAGAGGCGAGAGGAACAGCGTCGGAAAAGGAGTGAAAGTGAAGACTTACATAGACCACCAGACCTTGCCTGCCTGACCGATCAGGTAGGAAGTCACCCTACTTACACGCCATGGCCCCGAAGGACGAAATGACGGCTCAGAGGCCTCGCGGCTGAAGATCATTGCTGTCGACCACCGACAACCAGAATAGCGTTCACGTTCTGCATAGTGACAAAATAGAGCCTAAAAAAAAGCTCATAGCGCCAACGCTCGCAACTGAGTGAGCCTATGGTTCCGTTGTCCTGGGATGAGCAGGTGGCTGCAAACCGTCTCCGGACTTGTCCCGTAAGCACAATCCAGTACGAAAAAAATGGCTGAATCCAACAGGCATCCTCCCCTGATGCATACAGACCACGGGCTAAAAATCGGTGGATTAGCAGCCCATTGCCACTGTCGGGCTTCCCTTGAATGCACCAAGAGGCTATCTATGGCTTGAAACAGAAAAACTCCGCAATGTTTGCTGCAGGAAAATACGTACATCTCCATGTATGCGGGCCTCTCCGTCGATTAACCGTTTAGTCGATCATGGTATGTACCCACACTGACGTTATGTCTAACATGTACGACTTTTGCGTCCTCGAATGATATTCTACTTATTGGACCCCTCAATGGGGGCATTCTCGTCTAGTTTACCTGCTTTGTCATGACGTACAGAAGATGGAGCAGGCGGCCAGGATATAGCGGGATAGCTTATTACTATTAACAATTAAATCCAGGATCCGGCGTCAGCTAAGTAGTCGATTAATTAACTATGCGAGAGTTGCCCGCCATGCAGTGTCCCCAGAGAAATGCCGAGGTCCATCCCACACCTGGCGCTGGGAGAAGGGGAGAGGGAAGACGTCCAACTCTCCAGCCATGGGACGTCGCATCTATAACTCTACATCATCATAAAAGCAAAGAGGCAACGACGTAAAGAGGCTGCATGATGGGCTGAGGAGTTGCTCACCAGCAGTCATAGTGAGTCAACCTGATGGAACCATCAGAGTTTGCCCCCCATAGTTTATTTGGGCGACCTACATAAACAGGTTGAGTCCTTCAATTCAGGTCAACTAACAATCCAATTCTCCTAATCAACGGTCCGATAGCTGCATGTACACCGAGCAACCTCCAAGAGACGAGACTTCTATTGACCTACTACCCGCCATGTCTTCTAATTCCCAACCCATTGTCTTCTACGACATTGCAATGCGCCCACCAGTGGAGAAGAACTGCTGCTCTCCAAACCCATGGAAAGCTCGTCTGGCCCTCAATTTCAAAGCTGTCCCTTACACGACCAAATGGGTGCCTCTGCCTGACGTAGCCAAAGTGCGTAGTGGGCTCAAAGTGCCCGCTGTCCGCAAGTTTGCTGATGGGTCAGACTTCTACACGTTGCCCATTATCCAGGACCCCGCCACCAAGACGGATGTCGGCGACTCCTACGATATCGCAGTCTACCTGCAGAAAACCTACCCAGATTCTGGCGCTGGCGACCTCTTCCCGGATCAGAAGCTCGACTACACCTTTACCCCTGATTCTGAGATTTTAGTGCCCCTCTCAGAGGTGCCGCAGAGCGGATTCATTGAATACGCCAAGTTCAACGTCAACGTCGACGCCGCATTCAGCACATATGTGCAGCTTTCGACCCAAGAGTTCCCATTCGACCCAGCCACTGCTGAGATCAGTAAAGCTGAGTTTGTCCGCCGTGCAGGCGTTTCGTCTTGGGATGACTTTGCGCTTGTCGGCGAGGCGCGGGAGAAGGCCAAAGAGGGGCTCCGGAAAACGCTCGGTGAGCTCGCCAAGCTCTTCCTGAAGGACACCAGCGGACCCTTTATTATGGGAACAAGAGCTACCTATGCGGACTTGATCGTTGGTGCATGGTTGCGAATGATGCGTGCGACATTACCGTCAAGTGAGTGGGAGGAATTGAGAAGCTGGCATGATGGTGTATTTGCGAAGTTGCATGATGCCCTGGACGTATATGCAGAGGTCAAATAGGTGACGAGCAAGCAGGTTCCCCTCGCTTTAGGCGATGTTGACCTACGGCGAGGATAAGCTGTTAAATATTGTTCGTTATCAAGGATGATTAGCACTATCTATGAGTAACTAGCTTGCTGAATTAGAGCAAAGAATACGAGCGGCAGATATGCACAGATTGAGACTAGGGCTGAGTCAGTCAGCCTCGAGATCAAGCATGTATATAAACAGACGACCAAACGTATTAGATAGATATGCTACCCTCCCAGCACAAACAAAGTTCTTCATAGCAACAAAAATGTCTTCAAAGCAACAGCTCACTCGCCTGCCATTTAGAGGCACTTTACTTTCGCGCATTCAAGTCCAACCACAGAACCCCCTCCTCCAAATACATCTTCTCCGGCGTTGTCGACCAACGGCAACATCAAAATTCTCTACATACCCAGGACGGTTTAATTCAAAGACTACCAGCAATACATCATCATCAAGACTCGATTCCGATCCAAACAATGATCCGTATCGAACTCCACCCGTGAGCCTGGAATCCCTTGGTATTGGGAAGAATATGAAAATCGTCTTGCTCGCTGTACTCTCTCTTCTCGGAACTATTGAGACGTGGTTTTGGTGCACGGCTATCTGGGCTTGGTGGAAGGGAGGTGAGAAGGACAAAAACGTCGAACAAGGCTGCTAATGACAGTCCTTCAAGTGGTGATATCATTTGTACGATATTTGGGTTTTTAGAGTTACGGCCCGTGTCTTGGCAGGTATAGGCAATTAACACATCTCATCTCAATATGACCTTAAGAATAGGAGAGAACTACTAATTCGTAATTCAGAAATAGTCTACCCTATAGTGAAAGAGAAAGGGCTCTTCTTGTATATCATATTAACTATCTATTTGCTTGATCTATGTCCATGAAATTGCAAGATTTACACAGTAAGATCATCACCAATTCGATCTCATCAAAAAGTAGATCGAAGGCTCTGAATTAACCAGAGCTTTCCCCGAGCATGTCTCGTTCCTTCATATTCCAGAAGATATCTGGGGCTGAAGCTCAGTGGTGAATAAAAAAGAGAGATCTATATGGAGTGTGGTATATAGTAAAAAAGCGCTCGAAAATAAAAGAGAGGAGGAAACCACCCAATATAACCAAGAGAGTTATGTTACTCAAGTAAGGATAATATCGTATCCGTCAAGTTGGATGTGCACAGCATCAGTGGGCACGCCATACTTGCGCCTAACAAGTTCGAAGATGATCAGGCCGGCACTGGTGCTTGGAAGTTGGCGAAGGGTATTCATGAAGAACCCCCCATACAGCCATGTTCGCCAACCACCTATTCGCCGCACCTGGCGTTGACATTTCTTGAATGTCTCCATATATGCGTTGGCACGATGCTCCATCATCTCTCTACCCGAGCGAGAATGACGGACCCGTTTATCAAGGTGGTCTAGGTTCCGGTAATAGATATTTTGCACCAGGCTTAGCGGATGTAGAACGGCTTGCTGGAAGATGGTAGCTGTGATTCCAGCCAGCATGAGGAATGCGGGCTCCAGGGCATAATGCGGCTTGATCACAGGAATTTCACCGGGCTGAGTAGGTGAGGAAAGTTTTTGGATGGAGGTCGCCTGGAGAGAGCCATAGTATCGGGTAATAAAATGGTAATATCCTTGTGCCTTGACAGTTTCGAACAAGCTGAAAAACACTGCCGATCCAAGGCTGTCTTTCAAGAAGGACAGTGTCCAGCCAGAAAATACCCCACGAGCACCGAGCGTTTTGAGTTTATCCCAGCCATAATGCCATGCGCTGCGGTACTGGCCGTTTATCATATCGCTGGTCCTTGACCGGGCTTGTATGGCGTCCAGGGGCGCTGCGACAACGGATTGTATGGCACCTGCAGCGAAGCCCGCAAAGAAGGTGACAGGCGGCGATGGAGGTGGATAAACCCGCTTACCGCCCATCAATGTTGGTTCGTGCATAGCTCCAAGTATCTGTAGATAGGAAGTATACAGTATGGCCCCGACTCTGTATCTTGCATTAGAACGTTACTTCGTTTCATCGGGGGTTAACTAACCCAACATTTGCTATCAGCGGTGGAAGAACCTGGTACGGTATAAAGACCCAACCATGCGTCTGGACAGCATTTGCAAGAAGTCCAGGGGTAGTTGTCTTCCATGACCATCCTCCTGTTGTAGTTTGTGGTCCGATTGCTTTGGCTAGAGCCTATTCGCGACACTTCTTTAGCGGTGGATATGCATGGTCTGAAAAAGTTAACGTCATACCATATAGCTACACATAAATATATTATTAGCATTAGCTTAGACATATGTACACACTGGGGAGCTACCTACTCAACCCTGGTGCGAAAGAATGCCTTCACCGGAGTTCTAAAGTAAAAAGCTACAGCTTGAGCACTTATGGCGCGCATTCCAGCGGCCGAAGCACCCGTAGCCGCATTTGTTCGGGGTTTCCGGCGCCCCGTACCGTCACCATCAGAATCATCGTTCCCTACTTTGGAATGGCTTGCTTTCAGTTGTGCCGGGCTACTGATGGGTACGGACATGGTCGTCGTGTAGGAGGGAGAGGATATCCATCGGCAGGGAGGGTGGCTCAAAGAGAGAACAGTCTTAAGACGAAAAGCATGATGGTCTATCCAAGGAGAATACGCTAAAATATACCGGTCAAATGAATAAAATCAGCCCTCTCACCATCGTCATCTGCCTCTCCTTCTGCTGCTTCGTATCTTCTTCGGCTTCTTGCTTTCGCCTTTTTTTTTTTTTGATGGATGACCTTCGTGTGCAAACAGTGCAAACAGGCTCTCTTTTACGCTAACCAAAAGCGGTTAGATTGCAGACGCGCCTCACGTCGGTTTCTCTAAAGTGAAAAGAGCGAAAAGAAAGTTGAAAAGGTCGAAGACAGACAGAGAGAGGCAAGAATATTGAGCATCCACCGCGCAGCTTGCTCCCGCAGCTCTTCGACATCATCCCCTACAGGCTCACCGATGAGCTAGTGACCCTCTTTTGCTTGGAGAGGGATAAAAAAAAGGAACAGTTCCGCTTCTTTTTGATACCTCGTTCGCGGCTACTTTGGCTACCAAGCTCTAAAGCAAGCTCCTGAAAGCTCAGCCCGTCCTCACTTCACCAGTCCTCCTCGGAGGCACAACGAATAATCATGGGTGACGCTATCAAAATTGATGCCACGGCCTTCTCAACCCGTCTTTCAAGCTTCTATTCAGCATGGAAGGCAGATAAGAGATCGGCAAACCAGGTCTTTGGCGGCGCCTCGTCGATAGTTATCCTCATGGGCAAGACCGAGGACTCCAACTCATTCCAGAAGAACAATGCGATGCATGTGCGTATCCATAACGGCTTCGGGAGTCTAGAAGAAGGCTCTGTTGCAATATTAGGGTTATACTAATATGCCTTATCTATAGTTCTGGCTCCTCGGTTATGAGTTTCCGGCTACGCTCTTCCTGTTCACCATGGAGGCAATGTATGTGGTGACTACAGCAAAGAAGGGTATGTAAACGCTTAATTTTCTCCTTCGTCAAGTGGGGCTATGCTAATCCTTTGATTCTACTCCCAACAGCCAAACACCTCGAACCACTTCAAGGCGGCAAAATTCCAGTCGAACTTTTGATAACCTCCCGCGATGCAGAACAAAAGACAAAAATTTTTGAGAAGTGTTTGGATATAATCAAAAATGCTGGGGTATGCTCCTTCTGTCCATACGAACGCTGGCTTGTCCTTCAGGTCTAACTTGCGAATATAGAAAAAAGTCGGAACTCTACCGAAGGATACTTCGTCTGGTCCATTTGCTGAAGAATGGAAGCGGATGTTCGGAGATATTTCTAAGGATATTGAGGAGGTGGACATTAGCCCCGCCTTATCAGCTCACGCTTTCTCCGTAAAGGGCCCAGAGGAATTGGTCAGTGAAAAGTTCCCTTGATAGGCTGTTATACATATGACTAATTTATCTAATAGACATCGATGCGAAATGCTGCCAGGGCTTGTTCTGGTCTTATGTCTGAATATTTCGTGGATGAGATGTCAGAGCTCCTTGATGAAGAAAAGAAAATGAGCCATAAAACTCTTTCTGGCAAAATTGAGGCTAAAATCGATGATGCTAAGTTTTTTAATAAATTGGCGAAATTGCCAACCGGTTTCGATGCTCAGCAAATCGATTGGGCTTATGGACCTGTTGTTCAGAGTGGTGGAAACTACGATCTCAGATTTTCCGCAACTCCCGATGATAAAAACCTCTCCCCTGGTATCATCATTGCAGGATTTGGGATTCGTTACAAAACTTACGCTGCAGCTATTGCACGAACATTCTTGGTGGATCCCAGCAAATCACAAGAGGCTAACTATGGCTTCCTTCTTGCTATTTATGATGCAGTTGTGAAAGATATTCGGGATGGAACCGTTGTTAAAGATCTGTACAACAAAGCCTTGGGGATGATCAAAGCAAAGAAACCAGAGCTCGAGAAGCACTTTGTACGCCACATTGGTGCTGGAATTGGCATTGAGCTACGTGATGCCAATATGGTCCTTAATGGAAAGAATACCAAGACTCTCAGAAGTGGAATGACGCTTTGTGTGTCCATTGGATTCACTGATGTCACCGACCCAGACCCCCAAGACAAGAAAAACGCTGTCTATTCGATGGTGGTCACTGATACGATCCGCGTCGGTGAGAGTGGGCCACTAGTTTTTACCAAGGATGCAGGAATCGACATGGACTCCGTCTCATTCTACTTTGGTGATGAGGAGGAAACTCAAAAGCCAAAAAAGAGTCAGGGAGAGAGCAACAGAAACAGCACTATTGTCAGCAAGAACATTATTCAGACGAAACTTCGAGCTGAACGTCCAACACAAGTCAGTGATGGTGCTGATGTACGTCGACGTGAGCACCAAAAGGAGCTACATGCGAAGAAGAATAAGGAGGGCCTGGAGCGCTTCGCCGGTACCAAAGGAAACCAAAACGGAGTTGCACAGAAGACCTTCCAACGCTTCGAATCGTATAAACGAGATAGCCAGCTACCTTCTCGCGTTAAGGACTTGATCATTTATGTTGACCATAAAGCTGCCTCAGTTATTGTTCCTATCCTGGGACGCCCAGTTCCATTCCATATTAACACTATCAAGAACGCAAGCAAGAGTGACGAAGGAGAATATGCCTATCTCCGTATCAACTTCTTGTCCCCTGGTCAGGGTGTTGGAAGGAAAGATGATCAGCCATTCGAGGATGCATCTGCACATTTTGTGCGAAACCTTACCCTTAGGTCCAAAGACCATGATCGTTTTGCTCAGATTGCAAAGGATATAACTGAGCTTAGGAAAAATGCCCTAAGGCGAGAGCAGGTGAAGAAACAGATGGAGGACGTTGTGGAGCAGGACAAGCTCATTGAAATAAGAAGTATGTCCGCTCATCTTCTTTTCATCATTTGATAGTTGGTATACTGACAGTTTTATTAGATCGCCGACCAATTAAGCTGCCAGACGTCTACCTCCGTCCACAGTTGGATGGTAAACGTGTGCCTGGAGAAGTTGAAATTCACCAAAACGGTCTACGTTACCTGTCCCCTCTCAGAAGCGACAATGTTGATGTTCTGTTCAACAACGTCAAACATTTGTTTTTCCAACCCTGTCAGCACGAATTGACCGTTATTATTCATGTACATCTCAAGACACCGATCATGATTGGGAAGCGCACTACTAGGGATGTTCAATTCTACCGTGAGGCTACAGACATGCAATTCGATGAAACTGGCAACAGACGACGAAAACACCGATATGGAGATGAAGAAGAATTTGAAGCTGAACAAGAGGAAAGAAGACGCAGAGCTGCTTTGGATAAAGAATTCAAGGCCTTTGCAGAGAAGATCTCTGACGCCGGAAAGGACGAAGGCGTCGATGTTGATATCCCATTCAGAGAAATCGGTTTCACCGGTGTTCCTCACACTTACCGTTCCAATGTTTTGATCCAACCAACTACTGACGCGATTGCTCAGCTAACTGAGCCTCCTTTCCTTGCCCTAACACTAAGCGAAATTGAAGTTGCGCACTTGGAGAGAGTACAGGTAAGAATAATCCTTAAACAAAAGCGGAAAATTTGGACGCTAACATGTGTATAGTTCGGCCTTAAAAACTTTGATCTTGTCTTTGTTTTCAAAGACTTCCATCGTCCACCAATGCACATCAACACCATTCCAATGGAGAATCTTGAAGGAGTCAAGGATTGGCTCGACTCTGTTGATATTCCTTTCAGCGAAGGTCCTCTCAATCTCAGCTGGGGTGCCATCATGAAGACTGTTACCAGCGATCCATATGGCTTCTTCCAGGATGGTGGTTGGTCGTTCCTGGGCGGTGACTCCGACTCCGAGGGAGAGGATGAAGAAGAGGAGTCTGCATTTGAGGTATCTGACTCCGAAATTGCTGCGGATGAAAGCTCGGAGGAGGAGAGTGGCTATGACGATGACAACGCTAGTGATGAGAGCGAAGCTGCCAGTGAGGACGAGAGTGATGAGGGTGCTGACTGGGATGAATTGGAAAAGGAAGCTATTAGGAAAGACAAGGAGGCTGCTCGAGGAGGGCATGATGATGGAGACAAGCCAAGGAAGAGAAAGCGCTAAAGGCCTTGATTTCCACCACCTTTCCCTCCCAATGGTGTCCGGTCCATGTTTATGCCCCCAAATTTTATCTACGATTTGTCTTCTTTTCCTTTGCGATATGTATTTTGTTCTTTAATTTTCTACTTGAACGCTGTAAAAACATAGGGACGGGAATGGGCAAAAAGAGCTTTATTCATTTTAGGCCATCAATACTTCAATGCCGATACAGCAAACTGCGATATTCCGATACTACCGCTTTCATGGGAAAAGATATTGAGAACCGTAGCGATAGACCCATCATCATCATACATACATGAACGGACAATTTCGAACGCTTTAAAGGTATTATGAATATATATATACCTGAAAGGAAAGACCATTGTACTACCGTGAAGTGTACGAGACTACCGTGTACTTCAAGTGCTTTAATCATACGTGGATCAATCAAGAAAAGCCTAGAGATAGTGAATAAACGCCAAAAATAATCTCACACACATAAGGGCAACACAACAGCCCAGTTAAGTTCATTCCCCCTCATATCCACCCTGGTGAACAAAAAGCAAAGGAAAGAAAACAATTGATACGGAAAAACGGGGGCAAAAAGAAGAAGTGGTATAAAGTGAATTGAATCCAAGGCAGTTTTTCTTTAAGCTTGAGGTATCAGGGTAGTGATAAAACAGTAGCATGGTTGCTGCTTCTAAGATGGCAGGCTGAAAAACAAGTAAAGAAAAAACAAAAACAAAGGTAAGTAAGAGACATAACTGAGACGCCGATGAGTTTACATAAATACATAACAGCTTATAAGGTAGGAGCGTGGAGGAGCAGTAACGGGAATATCAGCTTAACCTCGTCGTCGAAAATTGAAGAACGATTTTGGTGTGGTTGATGCCCCCGTTGCTACACCTGTACCGTCATGCTCGCTGTTCCAAGTGAGATAGCGATGATCACCGAGTTTTCTTTGAAGCTCGTTAGCCACGTACTGGAATAAATAGGGGATAAGAATGAGGGCGTGTTGACATACCTTGGTTTTACCAAATGGACAAAGGTGAAGATTGTTCCGAGGACAATGCAGATTCCACCAACAACGACGTATGCAATTCCCAGGAATGGGTTCTTGCCACCCATCACGCTTCGTGTAGTGAGGACGATAGATTTGGTGCCACCGAAGATATCGACCTTGAAGTCTGTCTGCTTGTTAGTAACAGGATGGCGCGGCAAGTGTAAACATATCTCGGAAGATCAAACATACTGTCCTGGATATCAATCTGATAGGATCCGGCAAGCATTCGGTCACCGTCATTTCGTCTTGCTAATTTGCTGAATGTTGGCAGACCGGCGGTACGCATCCAAACCTGCAATTCTTCCCACTCCTGAACGTTTGGTGGCGGGTTCTTCTCCGTGTATCCGTCTGGATATCTCTTTATCCAGTTCGGGGGCGGCGAGACTTGGTCGTAGGAATATTTCGTGGGCTTGTAAAGGTCCTTATCGGACGACCAGGAGATGCCCTTGTTAGTCATTGGGTAGGTCTGGTTTCCATCATTACCACCACCAATACGTCTGGGTTCCAATATCGTATCATTAAACACGGAGTTCGCAATCAAGCCGCATGGATAGTATGCCTTGCCCTTGGGGTCAAGCCTTAGAGGGTCACAAGTGCTGGTTCCAATAGTGGCGTTTGGTACGGCAACACCTTTCAACTGGTCTAGATCCAGAGATTTGACGTATCGACGGTGGTTTTGGTAGAAGTTGGTAAGGCGGTAGTAGAGGTATACTGGCGCGCCGATGTCATTCGGTATGTCGAAAATGAGGGAGCAGACGGTTGTATTGATGTGCACGCCATTGTCAAGTGTGACGTCGACATCGTCATTCTTATACCACTGATAAGGGGTATCACCCTTCGACTGTGTTTTGAACGAGGCTCGAACGTTGGCCCTGGCATCTTTGGCGTTGTCCTTGCCAACAGGCGCGTCTTTGCAATTGGAGTAATCGAATATTAACTCTTCGACCTGTGCTTTTGTCAATGCCGTAATCCCTCTTTACAGATATGCGGTCGCAAAGTGCAAACATACCTGCGAACTAGCATATATCAACAATCCTCCTATCGGCGCGAATATGATGCCCATAATGAAGAAGAGCGGCAGGACGGTTTTGGGGGTTAAAATCGGCCTATAGTCACGGCGTGCGTAAGCTCCACTGCTTTAGAATACCGCTTCTCTCTAGTTGTTCATTCCTCGCAATCCGAGAAATCACTTACTGCCATGCTTTCAATCGCTGTTGACGAAAAGCCGTATCTGTAAAGCAGCAAGGCCGCGCGCATCCGGTCAGCCCATCCTACTCCTCATTTCACTAATATAAAATAGCAAAAAGGTGTTGCTATGGTTATAACGCACTTGCGGGCCGTCTGCTCTTCTGTTTCTTCTCATTCTTATGAATATTTGGATCCTGCGCCTCGAGCGAGTCCGTATGTGTTAGAGTCGGCGCCATCACGGCCGCTTTGGACTATACGCCACGTCGAGAAATTTGTAGGCCCCGTTGAGGAGTCAAGATATCGATCTTTCGTCAAATGCCGGACTGTAGGCAGTCTAACAGCAAGTTGTCAAGACGTCCTTTTACCCCCTGTCCCGTCTCCTTTTCGATGTTCGTCGTCGCTGGCTTTTGTTGAATCGTCAGCCTGCAGTCAGTCGCTCCAAAGGTTTGTTCCCAAGGGGCGCCGCACTCGCCAAGGGAAGGACGACGAACCCGGTCATGTTTGCACTGTTTGCTTCCTCATGTCCAGTCACTTGCTAAGCCTTGGATTACGTGTGTAAGTTGCTTATGTAATACCGAGGCTATATCTATTAATAGACGCACTCCAGGGCGAAGTTGAAGGCGAGACAGAACGAGGCGATTCGACGAGGCTAGAATTGAGTCTGTGGAAGGATGGGAAAAGTCTGTGGCTTATTAGGCTGGCTGCGTAGGTTTATGGGTATATGCTGAGCCGTTTAGTCGCCGTTTTCAAGTGGTATTTTTTTCTGCATTGCAGATCAATAAGTGCATCTCCGTATGTACTCTGAACAGGAAGACGTCTTATGCAGAAATGCCCCGGTTGTCAATGGGATGATTGGATCTTTGGTGATCACCCATTGTTGTTATTGTTGGCAAGGGTAAATAGACTAGTTGAACATAGAATGCGCCGCTTGTGGTTATTGATTGTGTGTATTGTATGGAGAATTGTATTATTATATGGAGCAAACAGTTTAACAATGCAATGCCCTAGATAATGACCTGAAGAGGAAGGGGAAGGAAATATGAAAAGTTATGTCAAATGAAAGGAAAATAGTAATTCTTGTCTTGTCTTGTCTTGCTTGCTTGCTATGTGATGATAATTCGATGGATAATTGATAAAACAAAACGCAAAAAAAAAGGGGGGGAGAGACAAACAAAGGGGGAATGAAAAGGCTAGAAAAGCAAATAGCAACCACCCAATACCAGACCACCGATCCGATTCCCGTATCTTCCTCCCAATGAGAATGATATGATGCTAGTTCCCCGTTTGCCATTGCAATGCGTGTGTTAAAAGAAGCGCGAAAAATAAAAACAAGGAAGAACGTGGTATTCTGTGTTGTAAGTGCTGTGCTGGAAAGTAGAGCCGACGACCAAAGCAACAGGAAAGATGGCTACATGATGTTAAAAGAAAACCTCCTGGCATGAAATGGCCAGGCATGAGGATCACAGTCAAGGAGATAGGAAAAGCAGGGACGCCATGGGAAGAAGATGAGACAAGCGATGACCCGGTGTGTGGTGACTAGTTTCATCGACGTTGATATCTCAACACCGGAGGCTGTTGTGCGTGACCCCGAGTGTACGAAGAGTAGCAAGCGGTTGTCGTCGTCGTCGATGTAAGGTTGGTAAAGGTCGTCGGACGGGAGCAAGGTGGGTCGGGGAAACGTTAGTCCAGCTAAGGCCATCCCCCCAGAGCCGCACACCGGGTCAAGAAGGGAAAAAAAACTTTAACGCAACATCTCATCTTCATCTTCGAGCTGCGCATCGCGAATAAAAAGCAAGGAGAACACAGGCAAGCCAAACGCCGTTGGGTCATGATTGGAAGTCATTCTGGTATTAAAAGGGGAATAAGTGCAGGATGAAGAAAGAGAAGAGCGGGCAATAAAAGGCGCTGTCGCCGGGTCGTGAAATAGTAAGTAGCAAAAACGCGCGATGAATGAATGGGGTATTGGATGTGTTCAATTTCGTGTCTCAAAACCGATCAAAATGCTGAATAGGACGCAAAAAATAAACAGGCTGAATCAGTCAGAGGTCAATCTGAAGAAAGTGGCAAGCAAGTCAAGTCCAAGTTCGTTATGTCATGTTGTTGCAGTTGCTATTGCGCGCCTTAGACGTACTGGCGGAAATGCTCTTCGGCCAACCACCCAACTCTCTCGTACGCAGTCCAGAGCTTGCTGGCCTTGTTGACGTCAATCTTACAGGCCTGCTGAGCGTCGGTTTTGCGGAACTCTTTGCCGGCTCTCAAAGCGTTGACTCTTGCCTCAAAGATGCGACGCTTACTAGCGAGGTAGCTAGCGCAGGAGAGACGTAGAGTAGAGGCAAGGCTGATCTCAGCGGGATCAAGAGCGTCACGATCAGGGTCTGCCGAGAGATCGAGCAATTGGCCCTTCCAGTCGGCCTTAAGACCCTTGGTGTTGCCGCGGAGAGTCTCAATGGGTGGACAGAAGTTGGGCAGCATTCGGTAGTCTGTCTCATCACGGTTGGCGCCGATTACACGGGTAGGCTTGGGCAGAGGATCGAATGAGTCCCGGGCTTTGGTCTTAGGAGTCGACTTAGGGCTGCGTCTGGCCCGCGGCGGACGAACAGGCCTGGATACCTCGTTGGAAGAAGGGGAGGAACTGCTGCTAGGCCTGCGTCTTGTTGCAGGAGCAGGAGCCAAGGTCTTGAGTTTTGACTGAGTCGATGGCCGTGCAATGGGTCGGTATTGTTTCATCTCGGACATCTGGCGATCTAAACGGGCACGCTCGTCCCTGGCATATGCTGCTGGGTTTGAATTGTACTGGGTGGTGACCCAGGACCAGAAGTAGAGATACTCTCGACGGCTGGGCAGGTTTTCCTTGGAGACCTTGAGTTTGTATGAGCTGGCGGCGATGTGCTGGTCGATATCTGCAACGGTGGCCTCGTCCGAAGCGAAGAGTGGCTCATCATTGGGGATGGCGGTAGAACTCTCGTCTGAGCGAGGGAAGAGGACGGGATCCCGGTTATTGATGCTGCTGCCGACCGTGCCACCCTGTCTATCAACCGGCTCATCATCGTTTGTTCGCTGCTTCTTGCTCTCGACATAAGGTGTGACGGGTGGCGATGGCAGATCCATCATCTCGGACTGCTTTCTTTTGCGATCGTCTGAGATTGGAGGTAGTTTGTTATCTCTGTCGAAGGAGGATTGTTGTGGGACGGAGGGAGAGAGGGTTCGGCTGAAGGAGTCGTGGGGCTTTGCCTCTGGAGGAGACATCAGGCTGGCGACAGAGGGTAAGCGATTCATGTTGTGCATGCCCTTGTTCTGCATGCGTCGATTCGGTTGCTGCCTGCGGTGCTCGACTATGGTGATGTTGCCTAGTTCGAATGGACAACGAATCGACTCGTTTATATTCGATGGTGTGTCTGCTGATGGATGCGGACGATGGTGGATGGAGGACGGTGGATGGAGGAGCGAAGGAGAGATGCGCAAGAGATGGAGAGAGAGCGAGATGTAGATTATATTATATGCCTCCTCCCCCAACGGTCAGATGGACGGCAGCCCGACCCAGGGCAGGTGGAAGTCAATGGAAAAGGTTTGCTTGGCAGTGACGGAAGGCGAGGATTTGTCAGATGGCGCTAGTCCCCTTTCGGACGGGTCTCGTGTGGTCGTGGCGAGGGCGTTACGGGGATAAGCTGGCTGTAAAGTCCGGGCCTGCGCAGTCGCTCTTCGACGGGACAGGGTGAACAGCAGGAGAAGGACTGAGGAGAAAGAGAGGAGGCTAAGCGGCAGACGGTGCGAGGGAGACGGAGAACGGAGACTTTATAACCAGCTGGGACTTTTGTCGACCCAGCGAGTGACCAGTGACTGGTGACCTTTGATGAAGATGACTGATGACTGGGTGGGGAGCGCAGCGCAGCGCAGGCGAAGGCCGCCGTATTGCAAAATTACAAGGGTGCCGTATTTGCAATACAGAGGCTTAGCCTCCTTTCTTTGCTTTTTCTGTGACGAACACAGGTAAAATAACAGAAAGCAGAGCAGCGAAGCCAGCGACAAGACAGCGACAGCCTTGCTTCTGTTCTCTTCGCTGAGGTGGGAGATTTGCTTCTTTTGTCGTTCGCCGGCCGTGGGAGATGGGTTCGTGTTTGCTAGCGGGAGAGCAGCGGGTGAATTGGCTGGGAGTTTTGCGGGTTTGATCAGACGGTCGCGCAGTCAGTCGTTATTGATACGGCGTAGAAAGGCTGTTTTTCCTTGCTGCCTAGCCGAGCGAATTGAAGGCAACAGAAGACGGTGAGTCAACTGGAGAGAACGGTACGGTGAGCGAGAAGGTGAGAAAGGTGAGAGGGGGCAGAAGGGATGAGGAAGAGGCTTGGGAGGGCGGAAAGTGGCTGGTTTAAATAGCCGGTAGAGCCCTTCCTTTATTTATTGAGAGATCTGGTTCTCCCATTGAGGCAAACCGTGGATTCCTTGATACTCTCTCATTGACTGGTTCTCCTAGCCATATATGACACCATTGACTTGTCCCCGTCCTGCGTATTGATCCAGAGTATTATTATTATAGGCACTCTTGCTTATCCGTAATATGGCATAGCATAACTAGTTCGAACGAGCTACCACTACGACGGTCCCAGGCGGCTAAATCGCAACTCATCACCAACCTCTCACTGGCCCGTCTGCATGCTAACACTGCCTAAAAACAGGAAGGAAAAAGAAAAGAAAGGGAGCAATCCCCCAGACGGAACGCCATACTCCGGCCAGCCGTACCATTAACAGATAGACTAACATACAAGGCAGAGCGAAGAGGAGGAGGAGGAATCAGCAGAGCGCAGAGCTAGGCTACCGTCAATTTCGCTAGTGTTTGCGCTTCCCCTCTGTTGCACTCTTGTAACCTGTCTGGGGGTGGAAAAATGTGTTGTGGCCTGATTGATCAATTGAACCAAGCCAGCCAGCCATTGACTCTGCCCATTGACGTCAATGACTTGACTCCTCCCTGACTGCCCATTGACTGCCTTATTCTCCCTCCCTTTGTGCTGGGCTTCAATGCGCACACTAATGAAACTCCCTTATTTTATTTTCAGCAAAATAAAAAAAAAAAGGGATAACAGTGTGAAGCGAAGCAGAGTAACAGTAACACGCTGGCCCCCCCTGAGAGTCTTATACACACTTACAAAAAAGGAATAAAAAAGGGCGCCCTCCCCCCTGTCAAATGTCTTATTTGTCCCGTTGGTCGACCCACACCCACCTGTATTCTTTTATTTTTGCTTCAGCTGGAAGGGGGAGCCTAGCCTGCGAATGCGGCTGACGGGGGTTGTAGTTGTTGTGGTTATCCAGCAGCCTGGCCGTGGGCTTATCATCGATCACGATGACTTCGTTTGCTTCGTCGCAATCGATTTCAGGCAGCCATATCTGGCCAATGTACCCCCGTAGAAAGGGTCAATTGGACCTGAGGGAGACCAACCCAACAACAAGAATTAAGCACTGTAAATGATGGGGATCGGCCATCTTCCTCCTCTTCTCCCTCTCCTCTCCCCCATCCTTCCGACCCCATGTCAGTCACAAGCCGGTGGAGAATGACTTGATAAGCGAATTAACTTTTGCCCTTATCGGTCAGACCTTCATCACTTGGTGAGGAGGACGGAGTAAATATAACTCTATGGAGTTAGAGTAAGATATGATGGGGAATAACATCTCAACCCATCGGCAGTTTAGTTAGTTAGTCGGTTTCTCTCCCTGCTTGGCCCCCTTTTTCTCCTCTTTTCTGCTGGCCCTCATCCTTTCTCCCTGGCTGCCGTGTGGGTAAGGAAAGATGGAAGGGATGTCGCAGATATTAGAGAGAATCCATCGAGACCTAACTGCTGCCCAACGGGTAAGAAAAAAAAAAGAGGAGTAGAGGGACTCCATCTCCCATCTCTTGTTCGTCATTGTCCGTCAATTGACTCTAAGTCATAATCGTCATCTCGTCATCTCGTCATCCATCGATCGTCAGGCTACAAGTATCTCTCGCTCGACTGCCGTCCAACGGTTCTGCACTCTCGCCATCATGGCTGACCCGACCGTGTGATGTGCTCGTCGCCTCTTTCTCGTCTCGACCGCCCTTCGGAATTGTCATCTCGCTGCCATTATTGGCCAGGCTGCCTTGGGGGGCGCACAGAAGAGAGGCCAGAGTTTCCATGCATGCATGCGCCCGCCCCGCAGCGAACATGTACACACACACAGAGAGAGAGAGAGAGAGTCTCTCCCTCCCTCTCTCTCTATGCTCTCGTCAACACTCTCAAATCGTCTCTTCTTTGCTTTTTCCCTGTCTCGTTTCTTTTTCGTCATCTTCTTGTCTCTCGCTGTTCTCCTCTGCAGAAGGTCCTTTCGCAAACTGGAACCATGGAAACGCGTTTGTATTTTACCGTATCGTCCAATACAGTTTCACGTGACTCATCAGCCAGAAAGTAAACCCAAAAAGAAGAAAAACAACGTCATTGACTTGTGGCTGGAAAAACCTGTAAAATTCATCGCAAGTCAACAATAACAGTCGTCAGCAGGGACAGGCGGCGTCGCGGCGGAGGACGCAAGCGGCATCCGGCTCTCCCATCGCTGGCTCCCTCGCTGGCTCCCTTCTTCTCTCCTGGGCTTATCTGGCATGGCCCGAGTTACAGGTTGAGTTTTGCGGGGTGCATCAGGAAACAAAAAGGAAAGGCTCCAAGAAAAAGGAATAATAGCAAAAAAGGAGCGGACCATCCCTAGTGCGCTTTCGTCCATCCTGCTCGCCCCCCTGGAAAGCGGCCACCTTATTTCGTTTTGGGTTATCGATAACAGATAAGCAGGCGGCTTATCGATAACAGCGTCAGCAACTTCACACTTCCATATCGTCAAGCGTCACGACGTCGTTCTTTACATTTACACAACTGAGGAGTGCAGAAGCTGAAACACACGAGGTTAAATGGCAGCAATGGGTAGAGATCATGGAGATATGATGACTAGATACCTGAATAATCACTCTACATAGCCCTCTCTGACTACTCTGGCCTTCTAATCAACTTGAGAAGACCAGCGTAGGGGAGGGCTTTTTGATGAATAACGACATAACATAGCTTCTATCAGCAAGCTATAAAGCATGTCACTTCTTCGTTGCGATAATTCCCATCTCTCAGATCAACTGTTATCCTAGCTAAGGGGCAGTTGGAAGCAAAAAAAGACGACGAAGACCAAAAGTCAGAAGATGCATCTCCTCTCTCTTCTAGTGGTGTCGATGGCAGCTGTGGGACTTGCAAGGCCTAGGCCAGATGATCCAGAGGGTACGGGAGAGACTGGATTTTATAGAGGACTGGTATGATGCTCATCTAGTTGATATGTCATAGTCTGAAAGGAGCTAACATTCTACGGTAGACACCATTCGCTAAATTGCACGCAGGTCACATCAACTGTGCTGATGGAGGCGACCTTAGCCTGATACCCTTCGGCGAAAGTGACTCGGAGTGTACCGTTCTCAGTGTCAAAACTGGTAACAAGTGAGTACGGGCGTATATATAGAGTCAGCTGTTATATACTAACGAAAAAAAAAAAACCAACAGTGACAATTCCCTCTCCACCAGCATTGACATGGCCTGCATAACTTATAAGTATATCATCTCCTTGTACCTCCACATGTTGCATTCGACTGACTCGTCAACAGTGATGAGAATTGCAACGAGAAAGTCGACACGCTGATCATGAAGCCCTCGTCCTGCTGGAACCTCTCCAACTCCGTCAAGTCGTTCAAGTGCTTCATCTAAGTACGTACGGCTTATACCTAGCAACGACATGGATCCTTACTAGCTGTATCTATATCACATTACTCCTCTCTAGAGACAAGTTAATCTATTTGTCAATGCTATCAATCAAGATTGTGCACCCCCCGTGATAAAAATAGAGGACGGTTGTGACACCCTATTCCACGTTTGTTTCTCTCCGTTCTTGAACCGGGCACAAAGCGAGCTTGTACTCTGTACCGGCGCTAAGCTGCAGTGCAAGGATCCCTCTGACTAGACCATGATCTACGAACCGCAGCGCAGGCCAGGCCGAGAGAGAGGGGGGCTGTAACTAAGACTGTTTCTCACTCACTCAATTCCCATGCCATGCCCTACTTCGCTTGCCAACCGACATACATAGCCTGCGCATCTTCGTCTCTCCGCCTGCTCTGGCCTCCGTCAGGTAAATCCGTCTGCCTGGCTGGCGAAATAACTAACTAGCCACTTCACATGTCCTGGCATTCTCTCTTGGTAGCGACCATTGACTAATCACATGAACCCGTACAACATACATGCACACCTTGTTCCTGATCCAAGATTCCAGATTCCAGCTCTCAATCACGTCTCACAGCAACCCAACTCGTAAAAAGCAAATAACGCATCCCCTTGACTATCCCCCCCACCACCCTCCATCATCCAGGCAATCCCGCCAGCCAATAATGGCATCCTAAGGGACCGCTTGTTCGCTACTCGCCGTCTCGTGAATGAGTCAGGCGCTAGGCTGATCCCCTCATCTTCTCTCTGCTGTGCCTCCCGAACGAGACATCGAAAGTGTCAGTCGGACTCGCCCGCCCCCGGCAAGACTCCGCATGGACAGTCGAGATTAACTCGATGGTACGACGGCATACGGGCGCGGATGACCATGATGATAACCACTCGCGCCATCACTGCAGGGAGTAGTAACTAACTAAGTAACCCATCAGCTACAGCAACAGCAATCTAACCAGCTAGCTAACTAGTAGTTAAGGTAACTAACTATGCGGATGGGCCATGGTTGGTGGCGTATCAGTCGTATCACGCATCCACGCTCGAACCCAGGGGCCCATCCATCCACCCATCTTCCCCTCAGCAGTTGTTTGGTTTCTCCGTTTGTATTGGCTCTTCCTGCTATCATAGAAGAGAGATACTAAAGATACCGACGACGTTTTGCAAAAACAGCGGACCAAGGACAAGGTCGAAACGCTTTGATGGCTGGCGGGCGTAAGTAAGTAACAAACAAGACCGTCAACTGGTTGACTGAAACTCTATCACTCATCCTGAGTCACGCCAGAAGAAGCCGAATTGCTTGCTCTGCCTCCAATGTTCTCCATTATCAAGTCAATCGTAAGTTAATATCGTTTGATGCTGCCTAACTGATGAACTAATCAGTCGACAGGAAGCAGGTCGTTTCGTCCGGTATTACCGGAGCCCAGCGAATCGCATTGAGAGGAAGACGTCATCTCGCAGCTGCTAGTTCCCTCAACTAACAAGAAGGAACAAGGACGGACGATGGAGTCTTTTTGGGTTCCTGCGAAGGTGGCTTGTCAGTCCCGACTGCTTCTCGACGGATCGAGGCTTGCCCGTGTGCTCGGGGATAAGAGCGCGCGATGGCGATGAAGGTTGCTCCGGCAGTCGGGCCAGCTGGGCTGATTTACAGTCCGATGCGCCGCAAATGGATTCTTTCCTTTAATTCCATTACATTCCACCCCAGGCACTCTCGCATTGCCATGTCGTTTTCGACTCACAAACTGGCCCTTCAATTGAGAAAAATTGCTGCCTATCGGACGTAATTTGTCATCAGTCCGATCGAATGTTCTTGTTCGTCCGGGTGGTGTGAGTCAATTGGGTCTCGGAGTCCCCCCTTGGGCCTGACGTTTGCAGGCAAGGGGGGCAGAGCCAGAGAGGAGGAGGGGTCGCCTTCAGCGCATTTCGACTAAAAAAAATGAAACAAACATATGTCAAATTGACAGGTGGCGCATCTTCAAGGCAGACACGATTCTCAAACCTGGCTTACTTACTTACAGAGCGAGGGAAAAAAATTCTCAACTTGTCACGGTCTGGGCTGGACGTGGACCAGGATGTTCTGGGCTGATGTATAGTGAGTAGTAATATAATAAGCACAGGATTCCATTTAGTTATTCCTGAAAATTGAAATACCCGGAGAGAGCCAAGCGGAGGGTGGGGATGATATGCCATCCATTAGGTATTTTATAATCTATTTATTATACATTGGCGATTGCAGTGGAAATTTTCCAGGCTACGATAGCCCAATTGCAGTTCTGACTTGCCTCATCGTAATTGCTGCGTTGGCAGAGGCTTCTTCTGCTCCCTTACGAGCCACCATTCCCAAATAGCTTTCTTTTTCTGACGAGCCAGACGCCACCACTTTTGCGTCTTCCTCCATGATTTCAACATACCGTTCTCGAATTGAGCCTAACATCTCAATCAACTTAGAGGATAGATCCTGCTTGAGAGCCTTGAAGCTGCTGTTCTCATACTCCAATGCTATTTCAGTCGGGCTCCGGCCGGTGGTGCCTGAGGGGCCAGACGTCAGGGCCTCGGCATGACTGAACATTTCAAGCAGATTAGAGACACCTGGCCTCTTCTCGGGGTCATATGTGATGGTTGACCCTGCATCTGTCAGTGCGAGACGGATCTTGTGGTGGATCTCCATTGGCGTATCGGTGATGAGGATTCTGGACCTGATGTCCGCGTCGGATTTGGACATCTTCTGCTTTGGATTCTTAAGTGACATCACTCGTTTGGCGGGTGCTTTTAATTGTCCTAAATTAGCATTCCTGTGCGAATTGGAGCATCTTATGGTGAAAACTTACATATCATTGCTTCCGGAACAGTAAGAACGGGCCCGTGTAAGTGATTGAAACCATTGGCCACTTCGCGCGCAAATTCAATATGCTGCTTCTGATCTTCCCCGACGGGTATGTAATTTGCCCTGTTCTCCCAGTCAATGGTCAATTGCTATTTTCTCTCGAGGAATTAAATGGTATATTGAGCTACGGACCGGTGGACAAGCACATCAGCAGCTTGTAAAACAGGGTATGAGAAGAGGCCGAGCTTCAGTCGATTCCGCGCAGCGAGATCGAATTTCGCATTCTCGGGTAGATTCAATTTACTCTGTCATGACAACGGCGTTAGATCTTCCACCCACCATAGCTTAGGGGTTCATTACTTACCTTCCACTGTGTCATCCTCGATAGATATCCTGTCGATGCGTTTACGCTTAATATCCACATCAATTCCGAATGCGCCGGCACCTATACCCTCCTCAAACAGCACATTATCAGTAACATTCTCCCGAAAGCCATTTTCAATTTATGCACTGTGCAATTATCACACGAACATCGGATTGGTAGAACAACGTAGCCCTCTCTGGCTTTATTCCTATCGCCAACAGCACGGCGAGAGCTTCTTTCCGCCATCGTCGCAAGTCCTCTGCAGGTTTCGGTAATGTGAGCGCATGCAGATCGACGATCGAATATATCAGTTTCGTATCTGGCGAGGAGGTATTCTGTAGGTCTACCCAGGCGCGTAATGCTCCGAGGTAGTTACCGAGATGTGGAATGCCCGTGGGCTGTATACCGGAGAAAACGACTGTCTCCTTTGGCGGTGCAGGTTCGGTCGTCGTGGAGCTGTACCGAAGCCATTGGCGGTTATATTTTGCGCCTATTGAGTATTTTGATGGTATATATCGTCTGCAACATCTCAGAAGAGATTTCTGAGACGCCGGGGTGAACATCCTGAAGCTTTGTGTCGGTTTTCAATGTTTGCAGCCGCTGAAAGCTTTGGAAGAGAGCTTCATGCGTCACGTGGTAGGTCACAGCTAAATTTAGACAATAAAGCACTTCGACTGGTGTCAATTGATAACTTTTCTAGTTAACCTCTTGCTAGGGAATATCTCCATAGAGTGCCCTGTTTCCTCTGACTACGGATGAAGAATGCATGGTGGCCAAGAAAGGTGGTTTGATAAGTATACAGGTCCTGATAAATGATCTAAAAAAAACAGCCAGCTAGAAACACAGCATCCATCCTATATCAAGTGTCATATGGTACAGATTAAAAATGAAGCAAAGGCAAGCAAATAGGGTAGAAACATGCATATCAACCCTTTCGCCCCTCTGTGAGTGGTGCAGCTGTTCTCGTCTGTGTTTCTCTTTCCAGCATTGAAGCGAGGGACTCTGGGAACTCGGCGCCCTTCTTTGCTCCAAAATGCGCAAGTTCCTCGTCAAGAGCCTTCTCAAGGCTTTTAGCTGCTGTATCCATTTCCTTTCCAACATCTATAATTACAGTATTAGTACCAATCAACCACTTTTAAACCCAATATGCTAGAGACAATGACATACCTAGAGAAGCATGCTCAAATACGTTTGCCTTCATACCAACACCGTGGAAGGCGTGCTTTCTCAAAAAGGCTAACCACGCTTGGACGGCTTCCGGATGGCCATCCTGAAGCTGTATCAGCCTTCGACAAGTTATACGTTCAAAGTTCTCCTTGCTCTTCTTGTGTACGAAGGGACTTCGAATGACGGTCCATCTCTCAACTATACGCGGTAGTGGTACTGGTCCGGAAGCGGGGATATTAAGGTAGTACGCAGCACGGAGCGCGAAATCAGCAAAAAATTCGACGTGGCGTGCGCTGTACGAGCGGAGCTGTAGGTTGCAAACCGGTAGACCATATTCCGGTTTCCGCTTTAAAGGTTTCATGTACGCAGCCTGGATGGCCTTAGGCAAGCGGAACTTTTCCTTGTAGACTTCTAATCGGTCATTCCTGCAAGGTTAGGATGTCAGGTCAGCCGGGCTCAGGTGCGTTTGGAAAATTGAACGGAAAGCGCAAATGTTTGGTGCCGTGTTATTGAACCCGGAGCAAACAATCTTACCATTCCTGTGGTTTACTATCTGGTTCGGGCTCGGTAAAGACTTCTCGCCTGTAGGGATTGCTGGTTAGATATGATATTTCTTTGATGCGGGCTTTGCAAAAAGGTAGAATCTCGCCGGCCGTCAATCTCACTTTATTTCAGGAGTTCCAGAACTTGATTCCCCATTGCCTTTCTGTATAGCTGATAGAATCTCTGGAGGTATGTCGGAGGAGGAGGAAGAAGAAGAAGAAGGAGAAGAAGTTGAGAGAGGACGGAAGAGATTGGTGACCTGTTGAAATGCTGCAGTTAGCCATTGAGCTCCCATAACATCTGCAAAGAAGACGAGACCCACCTTGATTCGTTTGGTAGCTCCCAGCACGGAGCGGAAATAGGACGGCGAGAACATTGTGAGCGTGCTGGCTGTGTGTTTGCTGCTATCTCGTTGCTCATCGCTTTGTCCAATTCGACTTTCTGCTTCAACTGCGATTTTTCTTCTTGAAATATTACATAATCACATTTTAACATCAGCCAATGGGGATCAAGCCCTGCGTCTAGGAAGTACCATTTTGCCCTGCGGGGAGCTCCGTTTTAAAAATCGTTTCACCTAGGTTCATGCTGGAATTAATATATATATATAAACCGCTGTTGCCCTCTTCACTGGAAGAGGAAGAAGTTTATCTTGTTAGTGTATTGGATTTCACACTTGGAAAGAGACACGCTCTGTTTGGATCGTACAAAAGAACCTGCAGAACGCCAACATATACGCATAATTTGACTCGTGACTTTTGGCAAAGAATTATAAAAGGGACAGCAGATAAATATGGCAGAAGCTTCTGTTTTTGAACAGGCACAGGCTGCTGTAGAATATCTCAGACCCCAGTTACCGGAGGCTTTCCAAAGACCTAGAGTTGCTATTATTTGTGGCTCTGGCCTTGGTGGACTTGCTGATACCATAGATCCAAAGACGAAGTGCGAATTTGATTATGGCTCCATCCCGAATTTTCCCAGGTCTACAGGTAAGGGATGTCTGGATCCGTTTAGGATGTTCTATCTGACATCGTGGTACTTTACTAGTTCCCGGACATCTGGGAAAATTGGTATTTGGATATCTAGGGTCTAAGGTCCCAGCCGTGTTGATGGTTGGAAGAGCCCAGTAAGAGGCCTATTTGATTTGAAGATGAGTACGATGTTGACGAAGACCACAGTTTTTACGAGGGGCATTCAATGCAAAAGGTGACGCTGCCAGTGCGCATATTCAAGCTCCTTGGAGTTGAGACGGTAGTTGGTAAGGGTGTTTCTAAAAAAGGAAATTGTTATTGCGAATAGTGAAGAATTGGGCTAGCTGACAGGGAATAGTAACAAATGCATGCGGAGGGCTGAATCCTGACTATGTTGTGGGAGACGTGGTCATACTCAACGACGTACGTCTCTTCCACAACTCCAGGCAACTTTGGAATCTGTTACTAAAAGTCGCTTTCCACTGCAGCATTTATTCCTTGCAGGAGTTTCAGGAGCTCACCCCCTGCGTGGGCCAAATGCCGAAGAGTTTGGGACTCGCTTTCCGCCACTGTCCGACGCATACGATTTAGAACTGCGCCGGACAGCACACCGAGCTTGGAAAAAAGTTGTGCCCGCAGAGTCAAAGCGACGCATCCATGAGGGAGTATATGCGTACTGTTCTGGCCCAAGGTGAGGCTAAGCCCTTGAGAATTGGAAAAGGTATCATCACGTGCCTGCAGAGAACTAGAGGGCTAATAACACTGCAAAAAACAATGTAGCTTCGAGACTCGAGCTGAGTGTCGGATGATGAGAATGTTGGGTGCCGATACAGTTGGTATGTCGACTGTACCGGAAATCATTGTGGCACGGCACTGTGGCATGAAGGTACTTGCACTGAGCCTGGTGACGAATAACTGCGTCTTGTCACCGGCTCCTCGTGGCGATGACCATCTGCTTCAGAAGTCGACGGCAGAAGAGCTCAACGTGATCGTCGATGAAGGCAAGGCCAACCATGAGGAAGTGCTGGAAGCTGGTCGAGAGGCTGCGTCAGACATGCAGGTACGCAGCACACCGAATCTATGGATACCTAAGCAAGCCCAATGATATGATAGCTAACCTTGTTGCCCAACCACATAGAAACTTGTCTCGCAAGCTGTTGAGGACATGTTTGCTCAATGATTGGGCGAACACAGAGATCTGGCGTAGTGATATCACCCCGCTTGACTCGACAGCAGACAAGCCCCATCACATCTTAGGGCCATCAATGTAATAGAGAGTTAGATATACAATCAGTCCCCAGGGGCAATGCAATCATTTCATTGGCCTGGCCCGCTTTGCCTTTAATTTCTTGTAATATGCCTTCTTCCCGCTGGTCTTGGCTTCCTGAATTTCAGCATACTTGCGCTTGAAGCGGCCGCTCTCCTTCTCTGCAGCCATTATTTCTTCTGCAAAATTGTTCTTGCGCTCTTTCTTTGTGATACGGGCACTGAAGAATTCGGTGGGTCCTTCAATGATGGTACCAACCTGGGAGTACTCTGGTATCTTCGCCTTGCCGTTCTCCTTCTTGTAGTGGCGGTGAGGATCAAGTACGGATCTCATGCGGAGAATCTGAAGATCCCGCTTTAATTCGGGAGTAACTACTGTCTTGGGTAGATTGAACCACTTTGGCCCCGACGTTGGTTTTTCCTTGTTCTGGCGACTTATTAGCATGGTGTCCAACTAGATGTGTCGTTTTATAGTAATGGGTGAGATCAAATTGCAAAAGGGTCGAGTATTGTTCAGAGTAACTATGATTAAAAGAAACTTTCATGGGAGCAGCATAGTCCAAGACGGACTACAAACCTGCGTCAAGAGCACAAGGCTTGGGATAATTTTTCCTCATAACGGACCCGGGGAGATAGTGTGAATGGAAAAAAAAAAAGGAGGTTGTATTATGGGCTTACCTTGACAAGCGGTTGTTCCACGGTGTGAATGGTCTCAGCAAGCTTCTTTGCCGACTCCGGGACCAGTCTGGATTTGTCGATAGTAGCAATGCTATTGGACTGCCGCACATACGGCTGGACTGTTTGCTTATGGTTTAAATTCGGGATTCTGCAGGGTATATCAGTATGAAAGTGCATGTAAGTTGAAAAAAAAAAGAGGTGCAGAAGAAAGTACACACTTTGGCCGCGAGGCAGAGTCGCCAACCTCCCGTCCGGTAGCGAGGGAGACGACTCCGTCTTGCTTGATAGAGCTGCCAGAAGCCTTCTTCAACCTTGTTTCAGCTTCGAGCAAGAGACTCTGGATCTGCTCTTCGGAGAGCTCCTCATCCTCGTCCTTCTCCATTTTGGAAGCTGGACTCACGGACACCACTTCAACAGACATGGTTTCCGAATGAAACGTCCCTTGTGCAGCTCGAGAAGGAGATTCAAGTGGCTCGACAGGCCATCGCACTGCCCTTATTCACCCTCTTTTATGCGTCTTTCTTCTCTTCTGTTGACATTCAAAAAATGAAAAAAGAAGAAAAAACCCGAAATTTTTTTTTTTCCTTCTTGTGCGCGTAAAGTTAAATATGATAGCATCACTCACGTGATATGGCTATTGCGAAGGGGAGTGGAATTGCCCAATTAGGATAAAGGAACTACATTTTTCTGTTTGTTTTTTCCTCCTTTTTTTTTTTCTTCGTATTTATCATTCTTGAGGGATGGTACGGAGTAGGGGGATGTTTTCTTCTTTTGAGAGATACAGACAGACAGACAGGCAGACGACAGCACAGAGAGAGACAGGTAGACGGGGAATGACGCTCGCAGAATATGTAGCTCGACGAACCCGCCGTAGACGACCGAAGCGACCACGCCACCTGATTGCCCAGCTGCAATGCAGGCCAGATCCTCCTTTGCGCCCAACTGTCCCAATGACAACAACGCATAGAACCCCAAGGGGGGGCCCAAGGGACGGCCGGACGTCGAAATACACGCGACGCCGCACACGATTGGAGACCAGCTGCGAGCGAGGGGAGGCCCTTTGGGGCGTCAAGCAACGCTTCGCTGGTGCTTCATTGGCGCCCAATCTTGGGCGGATAGGGCTGCCAAGGGGGGGTCCGACAGCGCATCCGATTCGAGGACCAGCTGCTGCTGCCGGAGACGGTGTTCCAATCCTTGACCGGCTTCGCAGCCCATGATTGGGGCGCTGGGAGGTGATTGTTTGGTGAGCGGCCGCTGTCTCATGGCTTGTCTGGCTGCTGGTTGGTGTATGGAGAGAGCCCGTTGCTGGCGTGCCCGTCATCGTCTGGATGCGCGCTGTGCCCTCTGGAGCATGGATGGAGATGTCATCGAGGGATCGGGTGCCCGGTTACACCGAGAAGCAGGTACCTGCGAGACGGCGATGGGCGCAGAGACAAGCACGTCCGTCTATAGTCGAGTAGTTATTATATATATACACACTGGAGTTATCGTCCGCAGTAGTTTATATTGGACGCTGCCCTCAAGGACCAGCTCTCTTATTTTTCCCTCCAAGCTAGCTACCAAAAAACAAGAACGGAGAGAGAAGGCTCTTCTTCTGCCTGCTCGTCTTTCGCCTTCGTCTCTCTCTCTCTGTCTTCTTCCCCCTAAACTCGACCTAATCCTTGCCATCGCGACGGAAGAGCGTCCTGGAAGAAGAAAAGAAAAAGAACAGTAGCTCGCCATCCTCAGCTCTAAGGCGCACTCCCGTCTGGCTGCTGCGAGACCTGTCGTCCTGCCTGCCCATATAAGTATAATAATAACAACATCTCGCTCGCGGGCGCAGCATCCCGTCTCGTCTCTCTGCTCTTCGCTGCTCCGGCCTCACCTCCCCACCCAACACGGTAACACTTTTAGGCCTCTTTTCTCGCGGCCCTTTTTCACCGCCACTCGACCAGCAGCTCTTCACGACTTCGATCCGGCCTGCCGTCCTCCTTCGCCCTCCGCCGTCTCGACCAGGTAGCCAGCATCGCCGCATCTCGCATCGGACGACGACGGACTGAAGGCGTCAACAGACAACTCGCACCCAGCGACAGCCAGACAGACACACACTTATGGAGCAACAAAACCAGGCTGCGGGCCAGCCATCGCAATCCGCTCGTCAGAACCTCATGCACCACCAGCCAGCGTCGTCGCAGCCGCAGTCACAGCAGTCGCAGCCGGTATATGACACTCGGAATGGGGGCCATTATGGTTCGTTCAGCTGTTTCTCCTGCTCTTCCTCTTACTGTTTTTGCTACAAAATAACACCAAAATAATATATATATGCTAACATCACGGCTCTCTCTCCTCCAGGCGCAAGCGCAGCGGTATGTCTAAATAAGAGAATTATACTCCCTCTTCTCCTCCCCACACATACACTCGTTTGATCAGCAGTAATCCTCTCTCCATAGAGATGGTTCGATGCTTGACCTATAGATATAGATACATATATATACGAGAGGCCGGACACTAATTGGTTGTTTTTGATGGACCAGCTCTCTGCACAAGGATACGCGCCGGTTCCAGAGCTATATGCAGGTACATGGGCAAATGTATGGAGTCGCATAACCCATCTTTTACCCTCACCATTCTGGAAGCACGCGCGCTAACCATTGAATCATGGCGGAACAGGTCAATCAGGGCCTCCAGGGCTCTGCGCGTGATATCTTGACGACATACTGGCAGCACACCATCAACCACCTCGAGTCCGATAACCATGACTACAAAATCCACCAATTACCGCTGGCACGCATCAAAAAGGTGATGAAAGCCGACCCGGAAGTGAAGATGATTTCAGCCGAAGCGCCCATCCTGTTCGCCAAAGGCTGCGACGTATTCATAACCGAATTGACCATGCGTGCCTGGATACATGCCGAAGACAACAAACGACGCACCTTGCAGCGATCAGACATTGCAGCTGCCCTGGCAAAGTCAGACATGTTTGATTTCCTGATCGATATCGTTCCCAGGGAAGAAGCTACTTCTCATACCAAACGGTCAGCTCCCCAGGCCCCCGGTGCCCCCCAGGCGCCAGGACCGGGCCAGCTACCACCCCAGCCACCAGGTGTACCTCAGCAGCACCCCATGGGCCCTCCAGAGTACGGCGCCATGGGACAGCATCCTCTCGGCCAGGAACAGGACTACAGACAGCAGCCTCCCATGTACGGTGGGGCAGTACAGTCAGACCCTGCCTACGGCCACCCCCAACCCCAGATGTTTGGCGAGATGTACGGATATTCTCAATTACCCCCTCAGCAGGTGAGTTGTACTCCGCGCGTACGATACCGGTTTTGTTTCCAAGGTTCCCTCCCTTATGCATCGATGCCCTAACCTTTCCACCTTACAGTGATCAAAGTTGAAAGCAGCCGATTGAGCTCCGGATGTCGGTGCGAGCGACCCTGAAATTTTTCTTTCTAATTCATATGTTACATACCAAGTCGGTGCACTATCAAAGTAGAATCCCAAAAAGGGCGACTCGACAATCGCTCTCTAGGGATTAATGGGCAAGAAAAACGGAGCTCCTGGTGGGACGAAACCTTAATTATATACATTTTTATTATTCTTATGACCTGTCATTCTAAGCTCTCTCACCTCCGTTGCCCTTTTCAAACCATTTCTTGATACCTTCTCTCTTCTCCCCCCTTTTCCCTCATTCTTGGTGGCCGTCGAGACTCAGAGATGTGGGTTGTTATTAAGTATTGATTGTCGTTTGCTGGGTGCTATCATTATCATTACTGCCTGCCTACCCCTACCACTGCTTATCCCGCTGCTGTCCTGTCTGTTCACCCGTCTCTCCCGTTCCCTTACATGAAAAGAATTTGGTATCATCAAACCGTGCATCTTCCTCCTTGCCTCGCCCCTTATTTCAATTTATCCTGTTCCATTCCCAAGACTTCTCTTGTACAGTTTTCAACATCTCGCAATGGGGCATATTAATAAGAATGCAAGGCGGGGAGGCGTCTGAAGGTAGCTTCAACCGTGGCGGGTATATATAGTACATAACGACGTGTATATTTTCAAAGAAAGAACCCCCCTCCGTTGTTCTTGGAGACATGACATCGCGCTCGGCTCAGCTCAATACTTCTTTCCAAACCGATTTGACAGGCTGAATTTACTGTCTGGCTTGGATGGACTTTGTACCGCTCGAGAAAGCCTATGCAAATGTTAATGTGAGTCGTTTGGCTAGTTCTCTGTTTTCAAGATACTGTAAGATAACGATTAAAGTGGGTAGGCAGAAACTTACTTTTCAAGCAAGACTGGTCCGTTCATAGGATCAACGCGTCCGTACTTCTTGTTTCTCACCGCAATGTCGTAATACTCATCGGTGTTCTCGGCCATCATCAATTGGACAGTTTGTTGCAATTCATCAAGGTTTTCTCGTAGGATGGGGACTTCCAAACTATCCACGAATTTCGACAGGTAGTCTGCATCTCGGGCTAATGCGGCAACCCCATTAGGATTGATGATTTTAACCTCAGGATCGAGTGGGAGGGCCTGGGTGATTGAAGTGTTAGACAAGTACAACCTGCATCAAGTTGGAAGCAAAAGACCACACATACTATAACCCTATTAGCAACATGGCTGAGGGCATCGAAATAGATAAGCTCCTTGATCTCCGTTGGCAGGCCAAGAAGCGTAGAGTTCATGATGTTCGACAAGAATCTGGTCAGCGTCTGCATGTAATTGCTTGGTTCCATCTGTAGCTTAGGCGCATTCCAGTCATATTCAGCTGTTTCGATAAGGTCGTCGATCTTCGAGTTGACGACCTCGAAAATCCGTTTCTCAGCTGCCTTCTTGTTCATGCGGAACTTCTCCGTAGCATTAAGGGCGATAGGACCCTCGCCGGAGTTGGATGATCGGGCAGCTGCCAGAAGAACCTCGAGTTCCTGGCATGCAATTTCGAAGTGCTCCAGGTTGATGAGAATTTGGACTATTTGGCCAAGGTATTGCGAACCGAGGCGCTCCGTGAGCATTTCACATACTTTGTTGCAGAGGAGCTCGTCCAGAGACTGTAATAATAAAATTTAGTAACTGAAGCGATGAACTCAAATTAATTGTGGAGGGAAGTTCGAATAACCGGAGGGAGCCATAAAACGTACACTTCGAACGGTTTCATCTATAACGGCTGGATGATTAAAGTTGTCCCCTGAGAAATAGTAGAACTGGTTTAAAAGGTTTCTGATATCGATGCAGCACAAAGGATACATCTGTGAGAACGGGAGAACACAAGGATATCTACATTGCCGTTAGAAAAATCATATATATTAAGGGGCATATGGCAATATCTTACGTTTGTTCTTCTCGAGGTTTCTCAGGAGTATACCAGCTGACATTCAGGACCTTGTCATACTCCTCGTCACTCCGGATGGGCATGGGCATGTAGTCATCTGTTTGAACGATCTGATACAAAGTAAGCAACTAGCAATACAGAAACAGAAGATAAGCGCTCACCTCTTGGAAATCATCACTAAATCTCCTTTTTAGTAGTTCGGTATATTTTTCGAATAATGTAAGAAGAAGTCTATCAAACGGGCCAACAGAGAATGACTTGAAAACAAACTAAGTTAGCAGTCTATAGGCGGTAGTTGGGAGAAGAGGTAGACGTACGCTCATGGTTTGCATAAAAAGAGTAATGAGATTCTTTATCTTAAGGATATCTTCCGAGTTATCAACTGTCGGCAGCGCCTTTGAAATCAATCCGACGGCAGTCTGAGACATTGAATCCCATAATTCTTCAACCTGTTTACAAGGGTATAATTAGTTTATTGCTTAATGCATGAATGAATGACGGCCACTTACATCTACAGGAGACCTCAACTCGGGGACTCTCTTCATTGTAGCTCGCTCAACCAAGGCAAAGCCAGCAATCTCTTCTAGTAGAGTATGCAGACTCGAGCCGTCTTCTGACAGTAAAGTGATGGAAGTAGGTAGTAGGAGATCCTTTTGCTGTCTTCTTGTCGTCGCATACTCAACCTGGAACTTGTCCATCTGGCCAAGGGACTGATGTATATGCATACACTCGAGCAAGGGCGAGAAGTCCACTTGCAGGTCGTCATTATAAAGTAAATCAAACTCCTCCATCTCATCAGACACCAGTTCTATAGCTGAATTAAGTTTAAACCGCGACAGGTAGGGTATCTTCTCACTACGCTCTGCTAGCCTCTCCTTTCGCTTATCCGTGTGGAATAGTGATAGTTCACCTAGATACTGCGACATTTCACGAATGCGGTATAACCACGTATTCAAATCGTCCATGACCGCATCCGCAATCGCCTTCTGCGTCATTGGCACGGATCGCTGTATAACTTCTGCAATCTTATACTGCGTGACGCCCTTGAGATGAACATTCTGCAACTCATCCAGAGCTCTGAGCGCGGCATAATGGTTCTTCTTAGCAAGCAGTTCGTGAACTTGGTTTGCAAGACGGAGAACCTCCAAACAATCCTGTAAGGCCTTAGAGGTCTCATCAATATTCTGGCGATGACTGCGTGATTCAACCAGGGCCTTCTTTTGTTCGGCTAGGCGCTTTGTGCTGGCGAGGATGGATTGGTTGAGGCCGAGAATCTCTTGGGTGAGGTTGACGGTACCCTCACGGACTTGAAGGAGTTGGTTGACCGAAGAGACAAAGTCTTGGTGTGTCGAGTTGCATATGCTTTCAATCTTCGCTTCCCGGTCGTCTGCGAATTTGGTAAGGGAGTGTAGGAGCTGTGTGGTTCGGTTTCCATGGCTATATTCGCGGATAGAAGGAATGAGTTGGTCGAGGTAGTCAGTGTCTGAGGAGGATAGGACGATCTATCACAGTATTTTTTTAGTTAGCCGGAGTAGCAAAATATCAAGCGGCTCATTATTGACTTACCTGGTTCAGGACGGAGGAGAGGTCATTACGATGCGATATTTGGGCAGGCATCTTGATTAATTGATGTAGTTTGAGACGAGGTAATAAGAAAAGAAAACGTTGTGCATTGTTCTTCTAATTAGGAGGATGTAGTATTAGAGACTCGAGATAATGCGCTGTTGCCCTTGCTCAGGGGTTATCAGCTAGCAAACAACCACCCCGTCGCATCGTCCATCGCTATCGCGAGATTTTGATATCTACTCTAAACGGGAGCATCTCAATGATGTATTTGATTATATAAGCATTTAGTTTATCTATCACGTGATATGGTAAGGGCCAAGCCAAAACTGTTTGGAAAAAAAAAAAGATATAAAAGAGCTTTGTATAGCCAGCTAATGAAAGGATGATGACATGAATCAAGTAAACGGCTATGCATGTGCTATATTTAGTCTGATCTATGGCAAAAAGTGCGGTGAGAACGGGGACCAAAGTTAGACTAGCGGCCAAGGGCGCACTCAGTTTTCTTATCCTGACTTCTGTGAACACCCAAGTACCATCCCTCTTCGATCAGCTCAGTTTCGGTATCTTGCCAGTACTGGAGTTTGCCCCCGTCCTCACTCTTGAAGTCAAGATCACCCAGGCGAAGCTCAAGGGGTTCATTATGTTTCCGTGGAACCTACAAAAAACCCGTCAGGTACGGTATACACATATATGTTGGTGAAAGAGGAAGATGACACCGATGAGACATATTGTATTTCTAGTCCTGTATGCATGGAACCCTACCTTGACAAACATCGTGCAGTCTCTCAGCGTCATAGAGATAGCTCTCTCCTCTGGTGACGCATGGATACCTTCTAGCCCAACAGCGTTCATTTGGCGCTGCTTATCTCGAAGTTTGAGCAGCGTTGGGTTTTGGTATATGAAGGCAGCTATTCGACGAGCATCGTCGGGGCTATCAATGATCACCGACACCGCAGACATGATGTCCTCGAGCCTGTTTGAGACCAAATCAAGCGGACAAAATGATCTTTTGACTTGAAGCTGTTCAGCTTTCTTGTCCATGGTTGCTCCCCGACTGGTTGTAAATTGCCTCTTTTCCCGTAGAGCACAGGTGCGGCACCGGCGAGAGTCTTGGGGCGCAGAGGGAGACTGGACGAGCCATTTGGGCTTGAACTCCCAGAGCGTTGCACCTGAGCCAGGGGAAGCAGTCATGTCCTTGATGAGAAGGCCGAATGGCTCATCGGTGCAGAGATAGACACCTCGCCGCTTCATGGGCCGACGGTCCTGCGCTTCATCGTCTCTCAGACGCTCATTGCAGGCCGCGATGAAGCCTTCTGGTAGCCTGACAAGTTCCTGCGAGACGAGCTCCTCGTCTTGGAACAGGGAGCGGACCTGCGAGTTGAATCTGCTGGTAATCTCTAGGTAAGGTGTTCCCGAGTCGATCTTCTTCCTCAGACGAAGCAGTTTGCCCGGATACGCAGCTTGAGCTTGACCCAACTCTGCTCGTGGCTTGGTGCCTGAGACGTCTGGAGCTCTGGCGGGAGCAGTTGAGGGATGGGGGCCAGAGGAGATACTGTAGACTATGTTGGCGGCACCCTCTGCCAGATAGGTCAACTTGACGCCGGCCGTAAGTTCCAGCATGAGTGTCGACGCTGGGACAGGCTCCCAGGATGCCTCGCGATGCCTGCAAATCTCATATGCAAGGTGCTTCTATTATTATTTTCATTGTTGACTCCACCAGCTTTATTTTTGCGCTTTTGGTTCTTTTTTTTTTTTTTTCTTCCGATTCGAGGCCGCGGGATGTCACGTGGAGACATGATTAAGTAATCCCAACGTCAACCTCAAGACAACAAGCAAAGACGAGGATTAGAGAGATGGAGATGAACAAGAGACCTCGAGATACCAGGCGGGCAAGGGAGACCTGGAGTCATGGACAAGTAGAGTAGAAGAAGCAGAAGCAGCAGAAGGAGAAGATAGCAAAAAACAGTAAGAAAAGGCCAAAAGTGAAGGTGACTGCCGCCCTTCACTGACCCGCGTGTCTTTCAAAGGCCAGATGAGAGCCAGCCATGGAAATAAGATACCCAGATACCTCCAAAGAGCCAGCAACAGAAAGAAGCAGAAGAGGAAGAAGAAGTGAAGTGAATATGGTGGAATTGGCCCTAGAAGTGATGCAAGGCTTTCTAGCCTTATTATACCTCTTCCTTGCCCTATAAAAATACCCCCTTTTCACTCTTCGTTTCTTCTTTCTTTCTTTCTTTCTCTGCACAGCTTTAAATATATATATAAGTATACCTTATGATATGTAAATGTCTTGGAGTGTATACTTTTGGATATATATAGCTGTACCTATCTTATCCTATATATTTGATATCATCTATATATCAATAGTTAATATGGATAATAACAGATGATACACATATATCCTCTCTAGTGTGTCTAGCCACTAGATCCCTGGCATATACAGTGACTGTCTGGGCCTCTGTCACTCCTAGAAAGTAAGTCTCTTCTTCTTCTCCTCCACCATCTCCTTCTTCCTCTCCCTCTCCCTCTTCTTCCGCTTCCACTGTCTTCTGTCTGCGTCCTCGCTGTCCCTGCCCTGTCTCCGCCCTTCTGTGTTCCTCCTCCTCCTCCTCCTCCCCCTCCTCCTTGCTGACTTAATGAGTGACAGCAGCAACTCCTAGCAGACAAGCCAGACTATCGGCCCGCCCGATGCTGGCAGTGGCAGTCCAGCCTGTGCAGCAGCTGTCGCACCTTGTGCCTACACAGTGCCTGGTAAGCAGACACTTCCTGCACTCTCCTTGCACTCTCTTCTTCTTCTTCTTCTTCTTCTTCTTCTTCTCCTCTTCTCCTCCTCTTTCCTGCTCAAAAAGGAGGGGCTGGCAGCTGGCAGAAAAAAAGAGGGGTTCGACGTCTGCTTCCGCCTTTGCTCGCCGCCCTCCTCCCAGCCTCCTCCCGCCGTCAAGTCTACTTAAACCCCCTCGTCGTCCTTCTTCCGTCCTCTTTTTCCTCTTCTTCTTCTCTTCACCCTCATCCTCATCTTCCTCTTCGCCTCCAGAAGCTGTTCAGTCGCTCTGTCCAGCGCAATTCCTCTGCCAGTTCCTCTGTTGCTATCTCTACTCCGTCCGTTTCAGCTATTTTCTACCCACAGCTATCCTCTATCCGCCATTTCTCACTTTTCTCCCGTTTCTCCCTATCTTCAGCTCTGCGGTCCAGCTCAATTGACAGCCAGGTAGGCCTTCAGACCAAGACACCCTCGTATATATCATATCCTGACTGGTGACAGGAGTCAAGACGAAATGTCGAAACTCGCAAGCAGTCCTCGGTCTTCCGAGCAGGCCAATTCTCGCAATGGCTCGCCAGAGACGAGACTCACTGCGTTTTCTCCAGAGCATTCTCGTTCCCAGCAGTTTGCTCCCGCTTCTTCCGAGTTGCCTCTTCGTTCCTCTCTGAGGCGCTCCATCTTTCAGCAGTAAGTCACTTTATAAATCAATTTTTTTCCTTTCTTTCCTTTCTTTCCTTCAACTTATTCATTTTCCTCGGTTTCTTCGGTTTCTTCTTTTTGCTCGGATTTTTCTGACTTGGTATTCAGAGAGGCACAAAATCCGTTTATTACTGTTCCTCCTCCTGGCTTCTCTTCCGGCCGTATTCAGCTCTCCCCCACTGCATCCAGCTTCACTCCTGGCAGTTTTGACAGGAACGCATCGTCTGGCCCCATGTCTTCTCCTACCTTCATCCAGGACCAAAATCCTGCCAATCTTGCTGATCTAACTAAAACTTCTGTTCCTGATACTCCCGGCCTTGTCAGTGCCTTCACTCCTCGTGGCTCTGTTGATTTTGGTCCAATTGGCGGCGCCAGAGTCTCTCCTCCTTCTTCGGCCAGCTCCAAATACATTCCCGGTCCCTATGTCATGTACTACCAGCAAGGCCATTTTGATGCTGAGAACAGAAATCGTGCATTTGTCATCGAGGGTGTCCCAGTGGACATGCCTTACCATGATATTGCTGCAATCTTCAATGTAAGAAATTCTTGCATCTTTTCTCCTCGTTTAGCTTCTCTTCATTTTCTTTGTTTGTTTCGCTACTAACACATTCTTAGCATCGTGAATTCAATACAGTCAAGGGACCCGTCCTGTCTGAGCTTGCTTCTCATGGCAGAATCTACGTTGGTTTCACCGACATCTACGAAGCAAAGATGGCTGCCGTCAAAGCAAAGTCCTTCTTCCCCAATTGGCGTTTCCATGCCTTGACTGCAAAGGAGTTCACCCAAAAGTTTGAGCCTTCGCTTGCCCCAACCACCTCCGACTATGAAGGTCAAATATTTGCTACTGTCTACTACAACAGTGGCCCTGAAGAGACAGATGGCCGTATCATCTCTCACTCTTTCAAGACCTTGCTCTCCACCTACGGTGAAATCAAAGCCTTCCACAGCATCCCAACTGATCACAACAACATCGTCAACTTCCATGTTGAATTCAGCGATACTCGTGCTGCTGACAACGTCGTTTCTGGCCTCAATGGCTCTTCTCTTCCTGTAAGTCATCTTTCCCTACTTCTCCCATTTTCTTCTTTTGCTCATACATCATTCCACAGGAGTGTGTCATCGATGTCAAGTACTTCAAACCTGATGTCACTTATCATGCACATGCCCATCACCCAGTTGAGGAGCCTGCCCCTCGCACTTCTCCAATCATCATGCACGATCGCGCTATTCCCATGGCTCGTCGTCGAAGCTTTGCCTCCCCTAACCCTTACATGGAGCTCAGCCCAACCGGCCGTTCTACCATCCCCATTGGTGATCCTGCAGTTGCAACTTGGAACCGCAGATCTGATGAGTGCCACAACTTCCGTTCTCGTCATGGCTCCGGACGTAACCGCAACAGTACTCATAACAACATGAACCAAAACCACGTTGACATTGAACGCATTCGTCTTGGTCTCGACGTCCGCACTACAGTTAGTATCTTCCTCTTTCCCTTCCCAATGCATTGTCTAACTTTTGACTTATACAGATCATGCTCCGCAACATCCCAAACAAAATTGATCAAGCTATGCTTAAGGATATCGTGGATGAGACTAGCCATGGCAAATACGACTTCATGTATCTTCGCATCGGTAAGAAGCCTATTTTCCTTTCGCCTTCAGTCTACATCAGCTGACCTTTTGTAGATTTTGCCAACAACTGCAAGTCAGTTTACACTGCCCCTGATAATCATATCATGAGTTTGCTCCTAATCATCTAATAGCGTTGGCTATGCATTCATCAATTTTGAAGATGTAAGCCGCCTTCCTATCGTCTGTCTACCTGAAATTCGATGCTAACTTGCCATATAGCCAATTGACATTATTGATGTGAGTTCCACGTCTATATGTCAACCAACTAAAAGCACCTACTAACGGCGGCATACAGTTTGCCAAAGCCCGTGCTGGTCGTTCTTGGTATTCCATCCTTATATCCATCCGCTCAACCCACAGTTGCTAATATTCCCAATAGGAACTGCTTCAACAGTGACAAAGTTGCTGAGATTTCCTATGCCAGTAAGCGTTTTCTCTTTCTTAATTTGTCATATCTATATATACTAACATGGTACCAGCCATTCAAGGAAAAGACTGCCTTGTTCAAAAGTTCCGCAACAGTTCTGTTATGCTCGAACATCCCTCATTCCGTCCAAAGGTAAGTATATCACCAATATATCATCCTCCTCTCATTTAACTGCCTCACTAACAACTACTAGATCTTTCACACTGGCACTGGCCCAATGGCTGGCACCGAAGACCACTTCCCTGGCCCTGACAACCCATCCAAGATGCGCCGCAGTGTTGAAAATGCCGAGCATGTCGGTATGCATATCATTGCCCATCGTTATATTCATGCAGTATCTGACTCTCCTTACAGGCTTGTTCGCTCCCAGAGTTGGTCAGCAATACCGTGATGAGCAACGTCGCCGTCGCTCTCAGTTCGACCGTGGCACTACCGCAGCTGAGCGTGAATCTCACTGGACTCGTGACTGGCCAGCCCACTCCGATAGGATGGAACAGATGCGTCCCAGCATTATGAGTCCTTGGTATGAGCCAACTGGTGGCAGTCGCCATCATCACCATCTCTCTGGATAATTCTTCCTCATACTTACCCATCTTTCATGCCATCATGAATTTGAACTTCTCCGGTTCAACTAACATGATACACATCGTCGATCTCGATGTTTTTTTTTTTTGTTCTTTGCCTCTTCTCCTTATCTTCAATTATCTTTCAGGCAATCTTTCCACTCTTTTAGCATTTTTTTCTTCTTCGTTACATGTATTATCTTTTCCATTTTTCCATCTTTCCTTCTACTTCCCTGCTTTCTGTCTTTTGCCTTACATACCCCATATACCCCGAAAACACAGGTCAAATCAGGCTAGCACGGAGCTTGGGCAGACCCGTCCATATCCACAGGAGCATCCCCGTCAAACACTGGTTCAACATATTTATCTGCCTGGCTTCGCCTTTGCAGATTTGGGTATCAAGGCTATTGCCGCCCTGTTCAACTACCAGGTTTCTTTGACTCCAATCTTGCCTTTTTTGTTCTTCCTACTCCTGAGTCTTGCATTGCCTTGAAATTGTTTTGCAAAGGACCATTGACTCGACCATTCATCACCTTGGGAGAACAGAATCAGGACATCCTGGGCCTGCCTGCCTGCACTCGATACCCTACACACCTACCTTTTCACCCCCCCTTCTGTCATTCACTTCTGTTTTACTGATATCCTTTGCGATATGCTCCAACTTCTAACACTCATTCATCTTCTGTATTTAACTCACTTTGGTATTTTCTCCTTTTCTCCTTGTTTTGTTTTTCTCTTCTCAAGCATGTATTATCACCAACGCGGCAATTTGCACATTTCGTGGCGTCAAGGATGGGACTTACGATGACCACGACCATGACCATGTCACGGAGCGAAGAAGGGACGTTTGTTTGTTTTTGTTTTTCTTTCGTTTCATCGTTATTATAATTATTACTTGCTTGTTCTTTAACACGGCGCAACAGACGGCAGCGAAGGGAGGGGTGGCATCGCTCAAAGGCGCATTTGCTTTTCAAGTTGCGAAAAACACAATGTACTTTAGTTGACAAAGCGCACTTTATGCGGCTTCAGATCAAATCGAAGACAAGTATGCTTCTTTTTGACATGGCTCTTCCCCCGTAAAGAATGTATCAAACTACTGAAGCCAAACTAACTATCATCGTACTCCCTTCTACCGAAAACAACGTAGACAGTAAACCCAGCCAGATGCATTCTCACTCATTTGCACCCCAACCTCTAGCATGATCAAACTCACTCCTCAGCTCGGACACGCCCCTAGCTATACCAATAACAGAATCCATAAACGATCCATTCCCGCTGTTCAGCCTTGCTCTCCTATCTCTTTCGGCTGCAGATTCCTCCCGTCGACCATTGAGAGCCGCATCATTAGCCCGCTGCACATCAGCTGTGGTAACAATTTCATCCTTCCTTCTATTTAGCGCTGCCGCACTAATAGCACGAGCGAACAGCTTTGTCCATTCAACTTCTCCTTTGAAAGGAGGGTTGTACTCTGAATCCCGGCGGACGTAGTATTGGGCCTTAACGGGCTCATACCGTCTCTCAAGCAAGATGATGATAGGCCAAGTAATTATCCAGAGCTGAAGAATAACAACTACCCACCAGACGAATCTGTTGGTTCGAAGCTTGTTTATCCAGTGTGGTGAATAGATAGTTAGTGCTGTGTGGGTTGTTACCTGGTTAACGGAGATAGTGCCACGGTAGTTTGTCGAGCGGATGATGGAGGTGATTTCATTTTTGATAATAGCCATATTGAGCTCTTCAACTGTGCTGCGTAGCGTAAATCTGTGAAAGAGTGGTTAGTATACTGGTAACTTTATCTGCGGTTTGATTGTTTTTTACTTACGATTTCACTCCGCTTTTGTCTTCGCAGTATCGAGTGCACCATTCCTGTAGCATACTCTCGAGACTCGTCTCGGCCTCGGTCTGTTCGCCATCCATAACTGCTTGCTCCAGATCACCAGCTCCAGTGGGTTTATACTTCTTGTTTGCTTTGCTCCTAAACCGTCCTCCACGGTAAGCTGACTGTCCGTCATTGTCTCGCACGACGTTTAGTTCGCGGTAGAAATCGAATAAAGGACGTCGAGTCAGATCGTATGAAGACAATGGCAATATAGTTCCTCGAGTCTCAATTCGAAAATCAAAGTCCGTAACCTTGGAGCTGGAGTCCTTTTTTCCATCCCGCTGCTTGACCGTGTGGGTTCCCGTGACAGAGATGAGAACTGTAGGAGCAACACAAGCTTGGTCGAATATGGCATTGTATAGAGCACTTGGCGTGTTCGTGTATTCAGGATGGACAGAAACGAGGTATGATTCATGTCCTGAAAATGTTTTGACAACACGACTTCCAGTAACCTCTTGGTATGGGTTGACATAGGCGCCAGGAGTTGATAGATCAGGGAGACTAACTTGTACCTGGCTTGAGCTTCCTGGGATTGCATCTGTATAAGCTGGCGGCTCGTCACTGGGTTCGTCCGTGTACGGCTCGACTGGCTGCTGATAGTGCAGACTAATCGCTGAACGTTTGGAGGCCAGGCCCCGTTTGCCGCCCGCAGTGGTAAAACCCATTGGTATAGATGGTTTCTTCTAGCGCCACTTCAACAGTGATAATATTCAAGGAGACGTCCTTGAATATTTCAAAAGGGAAAAGGAGGAAGAGGAACTCGTCCGAAGGGAGAGTTTCCTTTTATATAGGTGTCATATCCATGTAGCGGAGTGGATGTCTCAGGGCACAGCTCCAGGCACCAACGTCGGCGGTTGCCCCTTAACGGGCTCCGGCCGCCAATATTTCGACATGGGTGAAACCCTCCGGGGGGTGCTGCACCAACCTGCAATTGGAAGGCTACATTTGAGCCTCAATCCTTCAGCTTCTCCTCGTCTGCTTGTTGGGCGAGAGGAGGAAGAGTTCGTCTATTTGACTTCTCGTATTTGAAGGAGGTTGCAAGCGAACTTCGATAAAACGTATAACTATAGAGTGGAGCTGACTAAGCCGTTTAAGAAGATTTTGTTGCTTTTTCTCGGAGTTTGATATCCTCGAAGACCTTGGAATTTATGCAGACTTGACTTTCAAAACGACCGCGAGCCAGAGCTGGTGGACGGGACGTGAGGAGGCTAAGGAAGAAAGAGGAAGACGAAGTCAGCTATCCGGCGTAAATGTCTGCCCAATTGACTGAATCATTGCCGTTTACAGCCTCTAGTGACGTCCGATCAATCCACCGAACACTGCATCTGCTCTACCACCACAACAAGAATCAGCATCGCTGCACGAAATGGTGGAAATGGCTGAGCATGCTGAGGCGATGGACGTTGAATCTTGCGTGTGAAATCGAAAAGATTGAGAAGTTCGAGGATGTCCTGGGCGCAGATGGCAGTGACGAGCACCCTTTTGCTCCAGTGTGGAAGATAATGAGGTATCTTCACGATGAGCTCATTCCGCGGTGTTACAGGTTAGTCGATCTGAGGAGCAGCGTCCATGTTGAATGTTAATTCATGACTGACTTCTCTGGGCAGGGCGTTTTCTACTGTGGTTGCAGATATACAGTTCTGTTCCTTAGGGATTACTCTACTAGCTACGCTTGCTGAAGTATTCAAGGTCGTCCAAATTAATAAGGGCGAGCTGTCAAATATTGCTCGTGAGCTTGGAGATGAGAAGACCCTGGAGACCATTCCCAGGTCGGCCAGTAACGTTACTGTGGCTGAAGATTTTGGTGAGGTGATCAGACGGTCTGAGGTTGGCTCTCATATCAAAACGACAGTCGACTCGACTGTGTCTACAGACGGTGAAGCCGGAACGAAGAAAAAGAGAAAGTCATGCCTTGATGAGAGCATGAAACGAAAAGTTGACTATGATACCGCTATGACTACCAGCTTGGGCGTGGCCGACAGCTCTAAGGAGAAAAAGAAGAAAAAGAAACGGAAAGTCAATGCGATAGATGATATATTTGCTGGCCTATAATATGCAATGGGAAATCGCATAAAGAATATTATATCTTTGAAAAGTAAAATTAAGAAGCAATTCTCACATCAAAAGGGGAAAACGTCTAATTGTATAACCATCGCAGCAAATGCTCTCCGAATAGAATATTAATGATGATATGTTGGGCCAGCGTCCATGCCATGCTGTAAAGAAACTTGGGGGAAAACACAGTCCATATAAACAGATGCGTTCGAAGGGCAGTACAAGCTATCATCACAGCTAACAGGCTCGTAGCAACGAACAAGGTCAAGAGCTGGATATGCTTGTTTGGCTGGTTCTGGCGTGCAGAGCGAGTAATGCTCAACAAGTGGTGAGTAGCAGATACCCACCAGATAGGACCAGCCCAGTTACTGATAAAGGTCAGTATGCCTACTACGCCAACATTATACCCACTCACACCGTTGTAGGCATTAGACAAGTCGACCGAGGAAATAGCATTAGAGCCACCGAGAGCGAAAAAGCTTGCGTACTGAAACAGGAGGGACGTGACAGTGATTTCTGTGGTAGACAGTGACATGGAGCTGAGAACCTGTTGCTGGATACGGAAGAGAGCGAACAGAGGTATATTGGTTGCTCGAGATTGAGTGATGAGGAATAAACTGAGCAAAGTATGGAAGGTTCCTCGAATGTCTGGTTGATAAAATGTTAGTACGGATATTTTATTCCAAGCCGGAACATTTATGGGTTTGATTCACCTCTTCTTGCACCAGTTCGATTGCTGTTTCTGGTAGCTCTCAAGTATATCGCGTACAGGGAGCATACCAAGACTCCTATAAGAACAACCCGGGCCTGGAAAACAAGGGACAGTCCTCGCACACCTCTGATCAAGAATGGGAGGAAAGGGATATTCCGTATAAGCTCTGGTGCATCAGCATCTGTGAATACCACCTTGAATATGAACGAGAAACTAGTCAGAGGGAGATATAGTAGCGACAATAGCTTATTTGTCGGATCTGCTATGGACGTGTTTGGCAGTAGCCTTTGATAGAGGTCAGTATATGTGAAGAGAATCAGTAGCCACATCACGTTGGGATGGTCCCTGAAGAAGGTGTTGGCAATATCTGGTTCTCCCGCGAACTTTTGACCAGTCTGGTTCCAACGTCTCATAATTCGTGTCAATGTGGCAAGCACAAATGCGCCAACATAGCCCGACTTGACTTTGTGGTTGTTGGAGCTAGCGGAACAAGCGATTAGTCTTGAACGTAATGATATAGGGAAAGGCCAGGTCTAACGTACGATTTCCAGTAGATGTAGAATATCCAGCCGGAAGCCATCCAGTACCAAAAATGCTGCTCTTCCTCAACGTAGCTACTTGCAAACATTAGGGCTCCGTATCCGAGAAGGACTAGGAACATGTATCCCATAGCTGCAGTCCCATTACGGCCCTTTTGCATGCATGAATAGAGAGAGAGCAAAAAGGCGATCCCCGAGAATGCTATGCCCTGATATAGTCTTGACAGGTTGTAATTGCTTGCCGTGCTAGACATCATGGTTTGTGCAGTACGTAGGAAGTCTATAAGGGGTTGTTCTATGTCCAGGGAGAGAGTGGTATCTTCAGCAGGCTGAGAAATCATTCGCTGTGCCCTCTGCCATTTGCATTCGAGCTCTGCTATCTCGGAGTTTGGACTGCCGTCACAATGGGTCAACTGGGCAGTAGTAGAGTCGAACTTGTAGCCTGGATATGTTTGCTTGACGATTTTTATGATCTGTTGAGCATTTTCTTGGAGAAGTTGTAGCCGTTCCTCGCCTGTGACGTCGTATTAGCCTTTATTTCTGACTACGATAGACAAAGACGAAGCAATTTGAGAAACGGACCTTTTTTCCATAGCGGGAGAAACTGGGGGATAAAAACTCCAAGGTTGTTCAGGGGAACTGGAAAGCCGAGCAGACCACCCAGAGTAGGAGCTATATCTGATTGGTCTATTATGTCGTAGAAATCGAATTCCCCGGGCGAAGGCTTGAGGGGCGCCTTTACAAGTCCCATGTCTTGAAATTTAGGGGATATGAAGGTAAGAGCCGGGGAGGTCTCTCCTGCCGATGCACCGCCATGATTACCACCGTCGTTCATACCGTGGTCACCGCATAGAATAAGAAGTGCGGAAGACAAATGGGCCTCCTTTTCCATGGAACTGTATATTTGTTTGACTATGGAATCCATCTCCTTCTGCTTGGGTATCATATGGGGACTGCCACAAAGTTAGGTTCCCTTTATCATAAATATTTAGTCCATATGATAGTTTCATTAGCTCACCTTCTAGGACCGGCTTTGTGGCCAATATGGTCAAGGCCTAGATAATGCATTATCATGGCATTCCAGTCAGCATTACCCATTTCCTCAGGTATATGCCGGGTGACATTGTTGTCGACTTCAGTAAAATCCTTTGCTCAGGGTCAGATGATTGATCCAACAAGAAGGGAAGATTGGATGTTCTTACAGAGACAAAGAAGCTTGTAGTCCCATCATGTCTGTAGAACATGCCAGGAAACAGCTTCAGCCACGTATCGTCTCCGTACATGACCAGTCGACCGCCGGGCTTAACTCTCAGCTGGGCTAGCCAGGTATCCTGGTGAGCGAGAGTCGAGGTGGTATCTGATTCTGCAAAGTTAAGGATCACATCAACGAAAGATGGGACAGATCCTGTTGTAATTGCCTTTACCCGAGGCATGGTGATAGTCGGCGAGCTTGCATGAGCGGTAAACGGTACTGCTGCACCAGACTTGATCAATCTACCCACAAATTAGAATGACCAGATTTGATAATGCCCTGCTGGGGCATAGGATATTTCTTTACTGACTTTTGGGTGAATTGAAATCCGGAGTGGTTTCCATACACAAAGTCGCTGTACATGGGGGTTAGCTGGCGCGGGAAATATGGAAAAGACAATAAGAGGATTAAGCCACCTTCGCAACGCATCTACCACCATGAAGATGACCCGGTCAAAGACGGGAGATGGCCGACTGCCATATTCACTTTCATCGAAAGTTGCCAGCCCTGGTATGAACGGCTTGTACGGGAAGAACCCGCTGGCGAAGATGAGCAGCGCCAGGGGAAAGAGAATAAAGGAGACCAGCGTGGCCGCATTGGAAGTGATGAAGCGCATCCTTGAAAGAGAGGCTGTCTAAACGAGTGTCATTAACTAAGAACCATAACTCCTCCGCTGTGGTCTCCTACTCGCTGTCTATATCGTCTCCATCATCTTCGCCGTGGTAGATGTTGTTGTGTTTACGCCTTTGATGCCTTCGTCTTCCCTCAAGGTCTTGCGATAAGATAAGGAAAAAAAAAAAAAAAAAAAAAAAGAAGCCGTTCGTGCCTGCGCCCGCAATTCTGATTAGCGATAGCTGGAGCAACTAACTAAAGTATTTTTGCGCCATGGATCAATTGACTAAAGGAGATGGCGGATTCTACGTTGGCTAACAGGTTGGAAGATCAGGTTGTTTAGCAGGTCAAGTTAGGAGCTGTAGAGTCTATGGAAGACTAATGTCAACCTCTGATATCACTCGTCTTATATAGTCGTTAGTTAGACAGAAGAAAAGACCAAAAGAAAATCCCGTATCAATAGCCATTAGAACTCCGCTTAACTCCTGATCCCTTTTTTATGTTGAGATGCAATATTGAAAAGAGACTCCGTCCGCAGTCTAAACTGAAATCAGACAGTGCAAACATTCAGCCGGAAGATCATAACACATCATCGCTTCTTGTTCCCATTGAGTCTCTTCACTTTCCCCGGGTGAGGAGCAAACGTTATGGTGTTACGCGGTTTTCTGCGTGTGCGCTTCTCCACTCGGCCGGTCTTGCGAGAAAGTCCGCCCTCGATCTTGAGAGGGGTGGGCTCGTCATCTATCGTAGTTATCTAGTATTAGAGCAGGTTCCAAATGTAGCCTGTGGCCACGGAGACTAAGGCAAAATTGAAAGAAAAGTGACGAGGATATACGATGTTGACTCGGGCAGTCGTTACCTTTCACTATATCAGTTTTGGATTTCTCTGCAGCAGCATCTAAGAGACCGGTCTGTTAGCATCGACAATATAGCCCCTGGCAGCGTCCATATTCCATATCGGGGCTACACACCTGCATTACTCGGGTCTGCATCTGTCATGTCCGCATCCCTCTTGGAGGTCCCTGCGAGCTCTTGCAGTTTAGCAGAGAGGCGCTCTGTTCTCGCATCTGCTACTGGCCCAAAGACTTTCTCGCGCAACAGGGCCTTGTTGTGCTTCTTGACGCTCGATCTGAGTCCCTTCGCCATGGCTTCGCAGATGTAGTTAATCCGAGCTCGAAATGCACAGTAAAAGAGAATCCCAGCTGGTTAATTAAATATATCAACCTCGCTGCCTTTGCATTCCTGCTTTCACCAAAAAGATAAAAAAAAAAAAAAAAGACTCGACCTCGCTTACATCATCAAGTACAAGATTACTAAGCCATCGTCCTATCCGCAACTTTCTTTTTAGATCCGATCGTGGGCGAGAACAGCGAAAGGCAGCAGAAAGAAGCACCCGGACGCTGCGACGGTGACCCTCGAACGGAGGACTGGAGCGAGCGCACAAACAGTCGCTGAGGTTGACAGAAGATATACCATGGTAGAACTGCTTCAGGCTTGAGCAGTCGCCCCTCGAGATCCCCCGAACACCTCACCTACAGCCCGCCGTTCAGGCCAGGGAGACCAGCGAGCCTCGAGAACCACCAGTGAAGCGGCCAAGATGGCGCCCCCGGCGCTGAACCAAGAGGTCGAGCGTGTCAGGGAGACGCTGTATAAGCTTATCATCACCCAGTTGAAGGCGATCCTCAAGAGTGAGGGCCTACCGGTCTCGGGGGTCAAGCTAACACTACAGGCGAGGCTTATAGGCCGTGAGTTCTCTCGATAACTACCTTATATATACATAATACGTTTAGTAACGCACATTCCTTGCTACAGGCCTCAACTACTATGCGTATGGCGAGTGGGCGAACCAAGACCGGCTGAATAGTCTCATTGCGCGGATATACGCAGTCGCTCGAGGCCAACCGTCACCTCCGCCCTTGACTCCATTATCACCGCATTACCCCCCGGCTCCCCAGCCGCAGTCTTCGCATACATTACCACAATACCGGACAACAGTCCCTCTCCCTCCTCCGAGTCCTATGGGTGCGTTGGTGTCGATCCCTTTATAACAAGAGCCTGGCTGATGGGGTTATATAGGCCGCTTGACCTTCAAGAAAAGCCCGTTTTATACCATTCTAGAACCTTTGACTTCGGTTATGGAATGTCAAGGTACGATACTACAAAATAATACCCGTAAAACTATAAGCTGCAGAATAAGACAACGAGTGTCTGACTTACTTCTAAAGCTCGAGATTCCTCTCGAGATACAGTTTGCTTGAGAGTTGTTCTCACCTCTGAAACTGCCTCACGGCTTTTATCAAATCCAAACCTCCGGATCATGGTTTATGGTGCTGCAGATAATGGCCTTACGCATTATTCTCCGAGTGACATTGCTTTCCCACATCAAGTGGAACTCAAAGTCAATCATGACGACGTCAAAGCAAACCTACGCGGTCTAAAAAACAAGCCAGGTACAACCAGACCCGCTGATATAACGAACTTCATCCGGAAGAAAGTAGGCTATGTGAACACTGTGACGATGACATATGCTCTGACCCAGAAGGTTGTTCCCCACTCTTTCATGCAAATCGCAGTCAAACAGCTAACATAAACACAAGAAATTCTTTATCGTCGTCAACCTTGTACAAAAGCATCCTGTGGAAGAATTGGTTACCCAGCTCCAGGTCAGAAAAACAATTTCTGCTGAGCAAGTGGTTAGGGAGAGTAAGTTCTACCCAAGTTGTTTGTTTATCTCTCAAAGTATGCCGCCAGAATCTTACAACGGTTTATAGTGCAGACCAGGGCCCAGGATGCGGATATTGTGACAACGTCAGCCATAATGTCACTGAAATGTCCGCTCTCAACTCTCCGGATTTCGGTTCCATGTCGTACCTCACTTTGCACACATAACCAGTGCTTCGATGCAACATCTTTCCTCCAACTACAGGAACAGGCGCCAACGTGGAGTTGTCCTATCTGCTATAAAGCAACCAGCTTTGAAGCTTTACAGGTTGACCAGTAAGTCTTCAACAACCCTGAGCATTCCAGTGTCTAGCAACTAACATGCCCTAGATATGTTGACAACATACTACGTGCAACGCCACAGTCAGTTGATCAAGTGACAATTGAGCAGAACGGGGAGTGGTCAAACCCGAATGACGCTCCTGAAGCCGCACCGGATAGTAATGGTGTTGAAAATGGAGACAATGACGACCTTGATCTAGTAGAGGTAGACAGTTGTGGCGTGCCAACTGTCAAGAGGGAATTTGACTCCCAGTCCTATATCAACCACACAACCCCCACTCCATCTAGGGAAGCCTCCTCAGTTGCATCGGCTCCTCGACCTTCAACCGGTAAAAGGGCCATTAGTCAAGTCATTGATTTGACCGGCAGTGATGACGAGGAGGAGCCCCCTCGTCCCGCTAAGCGGCTCGCATTCCACCTACCAAATGGAACTCATCAGCAACCTTTCGACCCGCTTAGGCTCTCCGCTTCGAATTCGCCGGTTCCAGGCTCATATCACTACGACAGATAGAGAACCTCCAGGGGCTCAATATTTTTTTTTTTTGGTTTTTTTTTTTTTTTTTTTTTTTTTTTTTTTTTTTTTTTTTTTTTTTTTTTTTTTTGTTTTCTTGGCCACAGATAAAAGTCGTTTCCGCATTTTCAGGAAGCAGCTTGCTTGTTTTCTCTCATAATATTATTTCCGACCCTTTTTTCCCCTTTTCCTATTAGATCATTTGAGGAGTTTGCCTATGCTCATTTATTCTGCGGGTTTATACCAATCGTCATCATTTATGGGCCGAGGATGGGAAACGGACAAACGGGGCATAACGGAGGCGTGGAGTTTTTCGACGGTATTTTTACCCTCTTGGTTTCTTTCTTTCTTTCTTTTACAGTACATCCATCTTTGTCTTCATCAGGATAAGAACTAGGGTGGACTGCTTGTCGATAGGTTTAAAAAGACTACCACGGCATCTATCAGCGTCATTGAATAAGGACGATTTTCTACGGAACAATTGGTCTACACAGCTAAAGCAAAGGGAACACTGATAGCTAGTCTGAGGAAAGAAGTGGTTATTATTTATATTAAAATGGCATAAGATAGATAACCAAGTTCTAAATGATTGATTCCCTATTTCCCCAAATGAAATATAGTACATGGCTGCCCAAGTTTTGAAGCATGTACCACACAAATCAGCAAAGACCGAAGCCGCACATATGTACTCCGTACAAACAAACACATAATATATATTCCATGAACCAAATCGCCGTTCATTAAAATTATCACCGCGTCAAATGCTCGTCAAATTCTTTTAGTTCGCTGCCATCACCATGGTAGCCAATGGAGTCCCGGTTGTCATCGATGACTCGACCATATTCAAGAAGAAGCCGGTACATATATGCTTCAATATCTTCATTCCGAAGAACTTTCTCAGCCCATTCGCGACCTTGCCTGGCCAAATTCTGCGCAGCCTTATCATGACGGGCAACATGGGGGTTGCTAGAGGTAGTGTTACTTGTCCCCGTCCCGATGAAATAAGTCATAAGGGCATAGAAGTCATCGTATCGGTTGTCCAGGGGCACGAAATGTCTCCATGCAAAGAGGCGCGAGTCGTGCCATTCACGGAATATGGTGGCTTTTATACCTAGGGACTTGCTAAGGAGGAACGCACGCCACCTGCCAGAGAAGCTGTGTCCGTCTATATCCACCAGGTATTTGTTCACGAACTGATGTGAAAGGGGGATCTTCTCCTTGTACGTGTAGGTGTCATTGTAGAATTCGCAGTTGGCTGGCACACAAGCCATGGGGTCCGTGAATCCGAAATCAAAATGCTCGTTGGCGAAATCGGTTGGTTGGAAATTCGACGACGCGGAATCGCCTGAGCTCAAAGATTGGTCGTTGCATGGCAGGACTCGCTCTGTTTTGCCAATGAGTTTTGTCCCATTCATCTTGAACTCCAGTCGCTGACGATGCATTCGAGACCAATTATCAGCTGTTTGGATACCGCCAGAAGTGGCTCCTCTCCAGAAGAGCGTATCGTTTTTCATCTTCCAGTCAATATCTTCAGCGCCGTTGTAGGTATATCGTTCATCATCCTTCCAGTACATATTGGCCGGGAAGAGGATATCATTATTGACGTTGACCTTACATTCGCTAAAGATCGGTATAAGGGCATCTGAGTGGCTAATACTCGACGACGAAAATAGGAATCCGTGGAGATTCTTTATGGCTGGCCCGACAACGCATAGATCACTGGACGTGTTGAAATTTGACACCAGGCCGGCACCGGGTATTTTGTAACGGCTATCAGCCTCTTGAATACTCAGGATTGGATTCCGGGCTGGAGATTCAGGAGGACAGGCAGTCGCCGCAATCTCCATGTACTGCTTGGAAGGGATTCCAGCCCATTTGATCTTGTCTTCCTCTGTCACGTTGTTTTTGCTCGTCAGCGAGACAAATCCTTCCATATTCTTTGTAAACGAATAGGTGGCATCAGGAGGAGTAGCACGGGATGCTATCTCCTTGTTGAGCATGGCCTGCATGTCCTCCCACTTGGTTACGAGTCGAGGTTGGTCCAGCGTATTCATGGCAATGTCCATGTCCGGTAGCTTCTGCGCAAACCGCGCAACTAGCGACTTCAGAGTATCTATCCGCCATCCATCGCCAGTGATGTTCGCAATAGCCCCATCCCTTATGTGGATCGCCGCGATCGAGTTTCCGCTATGATCCTGGCAAGCTGCAGCTACTCTCCGCCGGATGGTTTTTGGCTCCGCTGACCAGAACGGCCGGAGGTCGTCGTTTATCTGATCGAAGTCGTCCACATTTCGGACGTCGTTCTCTCGGGCAAATATATACCACTACGTATAGTCCGTAAATTAGTTATATGCTCCCCCTTTTCCCCCGAATTGGTCCAGTGTAGTTAAGGGGCCGAGGAGGAGAACCGGCAGTGGCACGAAGCCAGCGCAAAAGTACAAAGACAGTGAAACGCATAGCTATACAACGCGAGGACTCACCTCCTTAAACCCAGGCGGCGGATGGCGACCATACCGCACCCGATACTCGACAACAGCGTCGCTGAAGGTCATCGACCGGGCAGAGTCGTACTTGCGCCATGCATTGTCCGCCTTGTCCAACAATGCCTTTATTGGATCATTGCCCATGCAAATCTCTTCGATCTCCTCAGGTTCTTCATGCACCGTACCGCCATGTTTAGGTACAACACCCAGCCTGTGTCGGTATACGGTGCCAAAGTAATATATGAACAGCAGGACGAATGCGCCGCTGGTGAGAAGCAGCAGCCGTCGGTGGAAGGAATGCGAGACCGGCATGGTAGCTAGTCAGTGATATCGACAAAGCGGCCCTGTCGCAGGCCTGAGGTTGTGCTTTATAGAATTCTCATCGCATCAGTCGGATCTGGGCCGCGCAAGGCTCTCCTGACGTCCCTTTGAACGATATAATGCTGATCCAAAGATTCTCCAGAGCCAAGGGGTTTGCGGATATACGAGATTTCGTCCATTTGAAATAAAATGTACGCCCCAGCCTGCCGCTCCACCAATCCCGGATTGCCGTTGCTTATGTGTGCGTTCTAGGTCCATTTTTGAGGCCTTCCTAGTGGTTTACGGGGTTGGGATTAACCCAAATCCTATTTTCTGGGGGCGAGCCACGGTGGCTCACGCTGGCGGACGCTCTTGATACGGCCATGATTTCCAGGAGTAACTCGTTACTATTAACCAGGAAGCAGTATAAAAGTGACTGGCCTCCAGGGGCCGCTGATGTCTGTCCGTCTATCTGGAAAACTACTCTGCGCAGGATCCGTCAAGCGTTCAATCGGTGCCATTACCAGCCACACGCTGCCTGCTATCCACGCAAGTGACACCTGGTTGTGCTGTTTCATACTCAATCCTTCAAACTACGGAGTACCTAGGGCGCATTGTAGGACCGAAGCTGGTAGACTCTGTGGGCTTTTGCTATGTGAAAGTATGTCGGTAACTAGGGCGTGGATCAAAGACAGGGCCTGTAGGTAGCTGGCCCGAAGCTCATGAAGGCAATCTGCTGCCATTATCTGTAGTGACACGATTCAGTCCCATAGCTCGTGACTGCTCATCAGGACATGATAATATCCAGACATGTGTAACCAAGTACTTCAACGCATGTCGTCTTATCCAGAGCTGAACTACTCGAACGCTAACTAGGTAGGGACATTAGTTATGCAAGTAAGACGGCCCGTTGAGAATCCCTTATTTAGCAGTTAAAGTATCTCGAAAGCCGAAGACAGACCCTTGACTAGGCAGCAATGGGCCTCCAGTGCCGTGGAGCGCCTCAAAGACAACAATCCCCTATCAATCACTAGACGTAGAACGGGGTGGACACGCACAGTTGTATTTCTGGACATTGAATTCTTGCAGCTCGAGATAAGTTAAAGACTATGATTACATAATAATACAAATCAGCGACCTAACTAGCTGGTTGGTTAGTCTGACGGCGACTTCGAGCTCGAGCAACACCAACAACCGCCAGGAAAGACAAAGGTCAATCAAAACTGTCGCATAAGGCTTTTCAATTTTAATACTTTATACACGAACGTACCCTCCACTCGACTTCATCCACAAGGGCCGACGGAATCAGACCCCATTACCGCCTCCCCACAAGCTAAAGCGAACCGCAGCAATGTCCTTCGACACACCTACACCCCCCTTCAGCGCTTCCGATCCTCACGCCCGTTTCCTAAACGCATCATGCCTGGATCTATTATTAATCGAGCTGGTACCTATGGCGGAACGAATAGTACAAGAACTCGAGCTCGGAGAAAAGGATTCCCCAGTCAAGCAAGACGAAGCACTAGATATACAAAATAAGGAAAGAGAGAAAGAAAAAGAGAAGGATAGCAAGTCGTCTGTGGCCGTTATGGATGACGAAGAGTATCGCGAGGCTATATATTTTAGACTGGAGTCATTGGGGTATAGAGTCGGTCTGGGATTGGGAGAAAGGTAATCCTGACCACAACCGCTACTGGTATACCCACACGAAGGCACAGGAAAGATGCTGACGTATACCAATTTTCTTTGCAGATTCTCCAGAGATAGGCCCCGGTTTGCTGATAATCTCGATGTGATTAAATTTTTATGCAAAGATCTTTGGACAATTCTGTTCAGGAAACAGGTGGATAACCTGAAGACAAATCATAGGGTGTGTTTTCATGTCTAAGGCCTACAATATCTATATCGGTTGCCCCCTTAGCTTACCCAAATTTGACACAGGGAGTATATGTTTTAACCGATAATGCTTTCCGGCCATTTATCCGCATGAGCATGTCTGTTAGAAGTGAGGCAGTTATGCGTGCACAGACAGTACGGGATACCTCACTTAAACACCCCCCCATTTTACCCTTTACCCTTTAGTTAATCGATGCAAGCTAACGTTGACTGAAGTATCTTTGGTTCCCTTGCGGTATAATCCGCGGCACCCTCGCAAGCGTGGGGATTGAGGCTACGGTCCAGGCTGAAAGCTCGGATCTCCCGCTAGCTACCTTTCAGATCAAGACTATCAATAGCACAGTTACTGCCAATGCCGGTGGCTCTGGTACACCAGTAGTAACTTGATGATAGGTTTATGCTAGTAAATGCATTGCTTATATACCTACCAGGCAAAGCATATCTCTCGTGTATTTGTTTCGTTATCTTCTCTATGCTGTACAGATACCCCTACAATATACTATTTCCCTTTGGTGTTCCCTTTTTGACCCGACGGCTAGTCCTCATTTACTTCGAATGGCAGAGAGTTACAGACAGGTGAAGTAGGGGAATGCTAGAAGGTGTAACCCTATTTTTATTCATTTGTTTGCTGTCATCTAAAAACTATTCGTTCCTCAATCTCAGGAGAAATGTGAGGGCAATATTTTCTGTTCTGGCTAGGGAAAAGGGATATATTAACATAAAAGAATGGGAGGTATGGATGGGCAAACTAATTTTTGCAATCTCCTAGCAGCGAATGCATCCTTGCCATCGTTCTTGAGAATGAATGAAAAGAAAACCAGTGCTTCTTCGACCATTCAGAGCTTATGTATGTATTCTCCTGACCTACAGCCTATATGCGCAGAAACAGGATGTTTGGTTAGTAACAATTCGCTATTAGGCTGTGAGCCGTGATCGAATGAAAGATGCAACCCGTGAAGGCCACGGTAAAACGGATTGATGGGAAGAAGCAACAGACGACCAAGGATGATCCGATAAACACGACACCAGAGGATGGAAGGCAGACGCTTCGGGGGCAGCTGGAAGTGAGGTGGGTGTTTTTACTTTTGTGGAGGGTTCTGAACAAAGCTGATTCCCTTAGCAATGTTGCCCTGGAGGCCGGTCTTGCAAACCTCAAGGAGGGCCTTCTCCCTCTCGTTGACCTCGGGGAGGATGTTGATGATGTTCTCAGCACCAGATGGCTATATCAAATTGTTAGCTGTAGCAGTGGGAAGAGGTATGAAGGGATTCGAGGCATGGATATACTCACTCCGAGTTCCACTGGCATGGAGAAATATTCAAGACCGGTCTCCTTAGCGATGACATCGCCGCCGTTGATGCCGCTAAGGTGAACAAAAGTAGGCTCAACAATACCCTTCTCACCCTTGGCAGCCTTCATGACGCTCAAAGCAAAGCTGCAATCATCATGTCAGTCGGCTTGAATCTCTAATGATTCCTGGAAGCGAAAAGAAAGGAATGGAGATTTACCGGTAACCAGCATAAGCCATGGACAAGGTGGCAGAGCCAGCACCGTCTTTGGCCTTAACAACCTCGTCACCGCCAAACTGGACACCTGCCGTGATGAGCTCACGTTAGTGCTTAACTATAAGCAACTAGAGAAGGAAAGCGAGTGGCAATTGTGTACTCACGCTTAATGATCTCGGAGTACTCGCTCTCTGGGATCTCAGCAGCTGGCTTAGCCAAGCTGTAAACTGGGACAATAGTCTCGCCAGAGTGTCCTCCAATGACGTGGATGGTAGCATCAGATGGGTTCTTCTCCCCAGTGTATTTTTGGGCGAAGGTCTCTGCACGGAGGATGTCAAGGGTAGTGACACCGAAAAGACGCTTGGCATCGAAGACGCCTGCCTTCTTGAGCACCTCGGCAGCAATTGGGACGGTAGAGTTAACTGGGTTGGAGATAATGAGGACAAACGCCTTGGGGCAGAACTCAGCAACTCCCTGGACGAGGTCTCTCACAATGCCAGCATTGACGGTGAAGAGGTCGTCACGGGTCATTCCAGGCTTGCCTTTTGCCGGGTTGTTAGCAACAAATACAAGGCGAAACAAAACGCCAAAAAACAGGGGGGAAGGGGAAGTGTCAGCATGTTTGGGATTACGTACGAGGAATTCCAGCTGGGATGAGGACGAGTTCACAGCCTGTGAGGGCATTTTTCAAACCTTCATCCTTTGGCAGGTAGCCAGAGGTTTTCTGATAACGATGCAAGTTAGTCCAGGGGAGCCATAGATGCCACTAATTCATACCAAGAGGGTAACTTACGGCGGCAGTAGAGATGTGAGAGAGATCGGCGGTAACACCGGGGCTGTTAACGACATCATAAAGAACAAGCTCGTCGACGAGAGGACAGATCTTCAACAGAAGAGATAGAGGCTGTATACCCGAGGGTTCACCTGGTCAGCACACTCGCCCCTCCTCCAAGACAAACAGGAGTCTCCCATCCAACAGGACTACCAACCTGGCCAATGCCACCAGAAGCACCGAGAACAGCTATTCAGCATAAAATATATGGTTAGAAACACCTTCGATGTCATGGTTATACTCTCTGAAGCATTGGGTCAGGAACTGGAATCTCACCTGCTTTAACCATGGTTGCTCGGACGGAAGCGGGGAACTATGACGAGCAAGCTGCAGAGGACAATTAGCAAGTAGAAAGGCGGGCACTTAGTCCCAACACACACTCACGAAACGAGGCTGGTCGTGGAGCTGGAGAGACTGAAGCTGGAGAAGAGAATGAAGCTGAAGCTGGAGTTGAAGTTGAAGTTGGAGGAGGAGAAGAAGAAGAAGAAGAAGACGAAGAAGAGAAAAGGTCTCAAGTTTCCTTTTGCGGAGTTTATCAGCCCGCGGCTAAAGTCACATGCAGCTGACTCAGCTGATAAGGGAGTTTCTTTATGTTCGTTTTCTTCTTCTCCAGCTTCAACTTCCAGCTTTTTGCTTCTTCCACTGCCCTGCCTACCTTAGCCTTTGCAGATGCCTTGCTCCCCCTGCCGGGCCGCTGCCTTCTGCTCACCCGACGCCTCTGCTGCTCAACTACGCGAGACCACGGGCGGCGTGCAAGGAGCTCTGCACATCTACCCAATCGCCATCACGTGAGTCCAGGTATCGTCCCTCCGGTTCGGTTGCTGTACATCCCGCTTGGCGGGTTGGGATGATTGCCTTTTCTCTGGCAGCGGGAGCGATGTCGAGTCAAGAACACGGCCTGTCCGGCGGCGGCGACAATCCATCCGCCGCCGAGGGAGAAGTCGGACGCTCTCCAGCTTCTCTGAATATCATCGTCATCGTCATCGTCGATGGGTTCGACGTCGGATGCATGCCAGGCCCCACTCTCGAGCTCCAGGAACGCGGCGCGGGAAAGCTTGAATCGAAGCCATAGAAAAAAGCAATTGTCCGCATAGTCGCCCTCTCTCCATGGACTAGCACTCCGTATTGCCCTCTAGCCACGTCTCTAGAGAGCTATTTATCGAGAAACATAAAATGATACCATATTATCAACCGACATGCGTTGACGGAGGCGCCTTCATTCGTCTTTCAGGAACTCTACCGAGGCATAAGAAGACGCTTGTCAACCCACCCTGACACGGAATGAATCGTTACGGATTATTCCGATCCTTCTTCGACGGAGGCAGGGCGAGTGCGCTTCTACGGAGTAAGCCACGTTACCATGCATGGTTAGGTTTCTCGAAGGTACAGTGGGGGTTCAGCGAGCTACAAGAATAGCTTTAACCTGGCCCTGCTCTCACGGAAACCGTCCGATACAGTATTTCGAGGGTGCGAGCGGCGAGGCCAGAAGTAAATATAGACGTCATTATTGGGCAGCTTTCGCCTCGAGTTAAGCCTGCGGATGTTCCAAGATAATTATAGAAAAGATCATGACAAATTGTAATTCCACAAGGTCATGAATGTAAACAGGGTGGAAAGCGGAAGAGAACTCTCATAATATGGTATCAATACGCAGCCATGATTCGTATTTATTCTTTTTGATTTAATTATGTCATGCCCCTGACTATGGAAGTATAGCTCAGGCCGACTGGGAGACAGTTGGAAAACGATATCTCCAGAGTTCACAGCAACACACTTCCAGCTTCCCTCAACTCCCAACTTTCACCGACACATCTAAGCATCCTTCTCAGCAGCGGCCTTTCGGGCCTTGGCACCTCTGAGCTTCTTCTCAGGGCTGTCCTTCTTTGGTCGTTGGGATAGTCGGATAGCACTGGCACGGGAAACGGCCTCAGCGCGGAGGTCGGCTCGGTATCCACCGCTTACAGCTCGGCTGGCAACAGCCTTGTATACCCTGGACAGAAACATATATGTTTAGCAGGATGCTCAGTAAAAGTGGGCTCTACCATCTCTCTCTTGGACTACCTCCATAGAGTATAGAAAATAGGCAGCTGGTGCGGAATTTTTGGGGCTTATCCTTACTTGCGGTTGGAGGAGCCAGAGCCGTGGGTAGCAATGTAGGTGTTGGAGCCTGGCTTGTTGCAGTTGTTTGGTCTCTTGGAGATGACGGCGACACCACCGTTCTCAGCGGCTTGGACACCGATAGCCTATTATAACCAGTAAAATTCCCCGTCAGAAAATTGTAATCACTCCATCGATGTGCATTCTGCGCTGCAGAGCCCTTCCTAAATTCCTCCTCTTTCTCTTCTATTTTAAACCTCCTGGTTTCATTCCTTTTGTGGCGCAAAGAAAAAAAAATATCGCTAGGATGTGAGTGGACGAAATACCTTGGAGTTGGCAAAACCGGCATACTATAGTAGAAATAACTAGTCAGTATAGCCATTCTAATCATGTCCCTATGTGCACATCTTCGAGAGAATAACCAACCTTTCTGGAGTGCTTGTTGACCAAGTTCAATGGGTCACGGGAGAACTGAACACCACCACCACATTTCCGCTTAACCAGGAAAGAGTTCTGGGTTCCTAATCATTCGAAAAACAACCACTTATCAGCTTCATCCATACGTCTGACCGCGCGCGTCTTCAGTTGCAACATGTTTGCCTATTGCAGCACATTCAAGGTCCAGATAAGAGACGGGGATAGGAATTCGTACTGGCAATGGCCCAGACCAAGTCATCAGACACGTTAGAACGGGCGGAGGCAGCCATGGCGTCTAGCGAAGGAGAAACCGGAGGTTTGGTGAAGGGAGACGGAGGGGTTGGTTGTTGGTTGTTTGCGTGAACTTGATATCCCTTTCTTCCCTTTCTTCTGCTCTCAATTTACGACTAATTTTTGTTGTGTGTATTTTTCTAGACGCCCAGCCAATATGGTCTTGGCACGCGGCTAACCTTCCTCTCCGGGACGTCCTCGCTAACTTGGCCCGTTTTAGACTAGAGGATGATTCATGTATTAGTAATACAAAACCACGTGTTTGATTATATAATCTCCCCAGGCTAAACGCTTAAACCTTGATAGAGAAGAAAAGAGACGACGAAGAAGATATTAACGACGACAACAATCATATCAAGCAAGTGGAAGAAATATCGAGGGGGCAGCGCCACTCGTACACTCGTTCTTATTTGTTCTATACCGGTCTACCTCTCTATAGTAGACTGTGCTTTGCGGCAGCCACCTAAGGACCCTCGAAACAGACTTAGTCTTTCTTACCCACGGCCTGACGCAAGATCCCTGATCTGCCTAATATATCGGCGTCATGGGCTACTTTTACTATTCTCTCACCTTTTTTGCCTTTTTAGCTGTTGCAGGTAAGATGGAGACGTTTTCTATCTCCCATTTCTTCCCATCATTATAATTTTACTCCCCTTGGATGCCACCGGAGTTGACCTCCATGCTAATATTACCTTGTGCAGCGGCGTACTTTACCCGTGAACGCTGGCTTCCTCATCTCCCCCTACCGGACCACCTCTATACCAAACTGCCTACAAGTTTCCGAGGCGATGCTGAAGCAGGCTTGTCCTCTGCTGACTTTAATCTCGCGGACAACATTGTGGAAGGTGACTCGCGTGCTGGCCTAGATAAGCGCGGCAAGTCAGAGGTTCTCCGCATAATGAGGAGTAAAAAGGTCGATTTCAATGAAGCAAGGCGGATATATACTGAACAACGATTTGCGAAGAATAATATCGGCCCCGATGGGAGACCGCGGGATCCGAAATTTGTGTCATTCTCATGACGGGCGGGCTATTGTCGAATTTGCGCAAGCCCTCGGGGGAATAATACCTCTCTGCCTTTCCTAAACACTCGTTTATAGTCATTTCTTTAATCTCCTTCGGATTGGAGCACAGGAGCACGGTGTTTTGCATTTCGTTCTAATTTCCTACTTTGATTTCACTTGCATGTGCTATGGACATGCACCGGCTATCCACTACTTCTCTTCACTATTCCTGACCGGGCCTATCTCTTTTGGTCTATTCTATTCCAGCGTTGATCGTTTGTATCATCTTTCCTTCGTTTGTTTTTCTGCCGTTATTGTATTAATAGCCATCCTTCATATATTTCACTTGCAATATTTTTGCGTATAGCCACAAAAAGAGGGCTCGTGACACACTCTCTCTATTCTACTCACAGACACCGCTTCGGATACAGCGAATGGAGAGCTTAAACTTTAGAGAAGCCTCAGAGGCAAGAGGCGTAGCTGGGACGCTTCCGTGTGTAAAGGCGCTTCGGAGGTTGCAACTTTCCTCCCATGACGTATAATTCTTTTACAGCTTCTTGGATTATTTTGCAAATTCAACGGCCACGACCATAACCTTGTTGCTGGAACCCAGGCGGGAGCTGTCCTGGCGGACCACCAGGACCGGGAGGACCTCCTGCTGGTGGTGGAGCAAAACCTGCAGGCGGAGGCTGGCCAAATCGAGGTGCCTGGGGGGGAAAGCCTGGGTGAGGTCCGCCATACCCAGCTTGCGATGGCGGGGGACGGGCAGGAAGTCCGGCAGGAGGAGTAACAAGCGGCTGAGGAGGATGAGTTGGTGGGTGAGGTGTGTGAGGTGCATGCGGCGCGCGATGGTGTGGGAGTGGGCCGGCCATGTTCATATTCGGATATCCGCCGTTCATAACGGGGGGCATGCCTCTGCCTGCGCCGAAGTCCGGTGGTGCTGGTCCAACATTGATCGGCGGTCGTTGTTGCTCGGCATCCATCCCCGCTGCCACCGGCACGGCAGAAGGTACGTTCTGTACACCGGCATTCATAGCACCGCCGGGAGCAGTGGGCGCACCGCCGGCGAATTGAGGCGGTATTGGTTGTTGTGGCTGTGGTTGGACATTGTGTTTCCGGGCCTGGGCGGCGAGCATTCTCTCCGCTTGATCACCGTGTCTCTCTCCCTTGCCGTCTTTCTTGTAGGCATATTGCACAGATATCTCTTTGTTCATAAGGTACTGTCCGTTCATATTGGCAATAGCATCATCCGAAGCTTCAAAGTTTGAGAACGATATGAATCCATAACCCTTGGACAAGTTTGAATCATCTCGAGCAACCTAGAGTCCACATGATTAGTAGCAGACTTACATGAAGACCTGTTATACAGTGAAAAACTAACCTTAGGGAGAGATATCAAAGATCCAAATCGGCTAAAGGTATCATAGAGCACCTGCTCTGTGACCATGGGATCCAGATTGCCAACGAATAGCTCTGCGCCAACTTCGACAGCTTTCTGCTTATCGGCCGACGCCTTATTGACTCGAATGGGTTTCCCGTACAGACGGACTTGGTTCATAATCCTGGATGCATATTCTGCATCTTCTTCACTGTTAAACTCGACGAAGCCGTAGCCCTGGTGTGTTTGGGTGACGCGGTCTTTCGGGAGGTGTACGTTAACAATCCGGCCAGCCTGGAGCATCAACTCCCATACCAGCTTATCTGTAACCCGCTCATCGAGGTTACCAATATACACGGTGGCCTCCTTATCTTGTTCCCTAAGACACCTCGTAGTTAGCTCTCTGTCCGAACCGCACCCAAGCAAATGTGCTGCTCACCAATGCCTTGCGCCAGACATGACTGCCGCTTAAATTGGTAAATACGCAAGATGAGGGTTTGTATAACACGCGCGACAGCTGCAAAACTCCTTTTCCCTCCTGTTGCCGAGTCCCTCGGGGTCTTTTTCAATGTGTCGGTTGTTCAAATATTGTTTGGAGGTTGAGAGCAAAGACGGAAAAAAGAACAAAGTTGAACGCCAAGAAAGCAAGCTAAGTTAAGTAATTTTTTTCCAGACCTTTCAATCTCTCGATGCTTCTTCAGCGACGCAGAAAAAGGACGAACTTCTGTATTCCAGCCAAATAATACAGCGAACCCTGCTGAAGCCTTTCCTTGCATAATTTGATTACGATAACATCGGAAGAAAAGACAAGATGATGCAGTTTTCGGAAGAGACAAAGGTAAACACATCTCTTGTCGCGGCTGATCTGGCTTGGTCTGACATGAGTATAGGAGCGCATCTCCAAGGTCATCGATATTTCGCGAGTTGCTATTCACTAGTATGTGGAAAATATGCTCCTTATGACACCTTCAATGTGCTATTACTGTCTGGTTCCGTTGAGACAGCAATCCGGAGGGCTAACCTCTGCTATCTGATGGCTCTACAGTGGATATCTTCCATTGATTGTCTACCTTGGTAAGCGACGAGCAGGCTAATATCAAAATGCTAAAACGGTATCAATTGGCTAACATCTTGCCAGGATACACATATAGTGAGCCACGACCGGCTCTTCTCAAGTAGGATATTGAGCTTCGAATTACTTTTAACCTCTCAAACTTACGCGGCTCCTCATTAGACTCCTCTCTCCTCTCGCATAAACCTCTACGACGAATATTTTAAGGACGGCATGGAAAGGCGTACGACTATACGGATGGTGGTGTTTTATACGAACGACTGGAAATAATACACTTTCGACAACACAGGCTTGAGGCCATGTGCAAACTCGATTATGTTCCTCCTCTCGATTGACCGGCCAGTATACCTACTCAGACTGAAACCACGCTGCAATTCTACCGCATCTGCTTTTACGGCTACTGGGGAGGTTGATTACCGTCTCTTCTACTGCGGAATATCTCTGTTTCCCTTCTTCATGTATTACTATAGTTTCTCAATCGAGCACAGCATCTTTAATGTCCGCCCCAGTCACATCCCATCATGATCAACAAAGGCACCAAATTAAAGAGAGCGTCAGTCATGCCCTAGTCCTCGAATTTCTGTACTTTGAACTGCTGTTGGTTATGAGTGGGTTTTCCTTGTGTACAGCCGATGATCCGGTGTTCCCAAAAGTTCGTAGAATCCTCGTGTATGAGGACCAGGAGAGATCCAACTACCTGAATACACTCTCGATGTCTCATTGACAACTCTCTCAGCCAGGGAACGGGGAATCTTTAAACGTAATAAAACCGGAATAAGCAACCGAATATCTTCGGCCAAAGAAGCTCAGCCACTCGGCAAAAGAGGCCAAAAAAAAGAAAATTTTTAACTAGCTAACAGTTATCAATCTCTGCTTCAAGATGACAACGACGCTGGACTACCGCACTATATCACAACGATAAACCAAGCAACATCAAGAAACTCCTAGCTACAAGGGTTCATGAATGACAAAAATGGTCTTTCCCCGTCGTTGGTCGAAACGATAGCTGGATTTACTGCCGGCGTTTGCTCAACTCTCGTCGTCCATCCGCTTGATATTGTCAAGACACGGCTCCAAGGTATGGAATGTCAACCCAATTACTGAAGAGCCCAGTGCTAATATTGCTTCACTCGTTCGATTATAGTGGACCGGTTTTCTTCCTCGAGGATTGGCAGTTCACTCCGTATCATCCGTGGAATTTCCCGCAATGAAGGTGGAATACAGGCGTTCTACCGAGGGCTCACGCCCAACCTTGTCGGAAACTCCGTGAGTTGGGGACTATATTTCCTATGGTACGGCGAGATTAAGGAGCTTTTAAGCGTTTCTCGTGGGTCTGGTGGTCTTACTTCGTTGGATTATTTCGTGGCATCCGGGGCATCTGGTATGTTGAGATAACACATGGCTAAGACCTCCATATACACTAACATTTATATTCTTTCAGGAGTGCTAACAACCATTCTCACCAATCCAATATGGGTTATCAAAACGCGAATGCTCTCCACAGGCGCTCATGTGCCAGGTGCCTACCGGTCAATGATGTCTGGATTCCAGCAAATATACCGTATGGAGGGCTTCACTGGATTCTACCAAGGTTTAATACCAGCTATGTTCGGAGTGTGCCACGGTGCTCTACAATTCATGGCCTACGAGCAGCTTAAGAGGTATCGCACACGGATGACTCAAGCTTCTTCCTCGGACCGACTCTCAGCAACAAATGATACCCCTTCAACGCAGCTGAAGACCCTGAGCAATATGGACTATCTCCTTCTTTCAGGAACCTCAAAAATTTTTGCCGGCGGCGTGACGTATCCATACCAAGTTCTTCGAGCCCGCCTGCAAACATATGATGCCAGGGGTACCTATAAGGGCGTACGAGATGCGTTTGTACAGATATTACGAACGGAAGGATTGTCGGGATTCTATAAAGGCCTAGGGCCGAACCTGGTCCGCGTTTTGCCCAGTACGTGGGTTACTTTCCTTGTATATGAGAATGCCAGGGTATATCTCATGGTAGATAAATGATGGTTATTATTTTATTAACTCCCGTGAGACATCCCTCCTCAGCCCATACATATAAGGAACAAGGGGCTATATTAATATACACCATTAAAGGGTAACAAACGCTTCTAAAGCTTGTGTTGGATCAAGACAGAGTTTGATATTCTGCAGTCGTCCGCCGAAGTAATGGTATATAATGAATGAGATATAAGCTAGCATTCATTACTTCGGCTGATCGACCCTCCATGATCATTAATATGGCACCGTGGTGGATGTGGCACAGCGTCCGCTTTCCTTGTCTCAGCGAAATAATTCCCAATTAAGCTATTACCAGGGATGTCCCGGTCCGACAACGGCTAGCGGCTATTGATATGGTTAATTCCTCCCGTAATTATCTAGGTATTCGGAAGCACCGCAAACTATATAGACAAAATGGCAGGAAGGCTATCATTCGAATAGAGAACTAACAGGTTTTGACTACAACGTAGGTAGAGAATCGGTAGAACGTATGGAATCGAAAGGGCTAATTGAGGATAGAGGCCGAAACGGGAGTCTTGACAAATACAGAACGCCGGGAAGTGACGGTGAGACGCAAGAGGAATTTAGTAAATACAGTTGACGCAAGTAGCTTTGATTGATAGGATTGGGTTGGTATAAAGGTAACAAAACAGATTGGTATAATGGTATGAAACTACAGCCAGACAAGTATCTCGAGCACAGAAAGCAAAGAAGACAAGTAAAGAAAACATGAAGGGAGATAATAAAGGTCGAGGTATGCTAGCTGCTCATGCTTTATATTGAAAAGAAAGAGGCCATTGAAAGGGGAAAAAGGAAAGGAAAGGGAAGAGATAAAACGCAGGTCCCCTCCATAAACGATGCAACAGAGCAGAATGGTTAGTAGTAGCAGGAATGTAGTAGAAAGATATGGAATTAAGCAATTATTCCTCTCACTGTTGGGTGGGAATGTAAGAATAGGAACGCGTTTGTCCTTCCCTTTTGCTGGCATGAACAAAAGAAGAAAAAGAAAAGGGAAGAGTTGGCAGAGCCGAGTGCTTTTTCATCGTATTTTTTTTTTGGTGCGGTAATACTTCCGCCAAATGCTCCAAACCCTCCTTTATGTACTCCAGATACCCATAACTGTGCTCGGTTTCTGTCCCTTTTTTTGGTTTTTATAGTGGTATAATATTAATAGTTTTGAGTCATCGAACTGGAGTTGGCAGACGAGGTGCTGTTCACTAATTTATCCTTCCTTCAGGAGCCCAGTCAGTGCGCGCCTCGTTGATATATTTGTTCATGAAATTCAACATCATCACTGCTGGGTGTCCCAAGGTAAGTACCACGATGGTAGCTTCGCTCTCGCATCAGCTTTGCCTCTTCTTCGCTGCCAAGAGGGAGCTGGTGGGCGGGCATTCTGCTACTTGAGGGGGCCGCGGGAGTAGGAGCAGGAGCAGAACTGATGATATTATTGGCAGCAGCATCTGAGGTGGTCGTCTTGGTAGAATTCGCGCGGGTTTTGGCAGTTGACGAAACGCGACGGTCCTTGCCACGGCCTTTGATTCCCTTGTTGCTGTTTTTATAGAGCATGGCAAAGTACTCCCATAGCTCGGCATCCTGCGGGCTCATTCTGTCAGGTTCAGTTATCATAGCAAAGCGCACGGTGAGGTTCCTCAGAGTCTGCGCATGGAACTTGTTCTGGTGAGACTATTATGATGTTAGTGTCGGGGTTAATTTTCTCGGTTATCCTTGTTTCCAGTCAGGGAATGAAAAAATGCATACCTTGAGGTTTCCTAGTTGAGTGAATTGCTTTCCACAGTCATCGAGCCTGCAAGTAAACGGCTTTGCTTGGTCATGGGTAATCTTGTGGGCGCGAACATTCCCTCGCTGAGCAAAACGCTTGTGGCAGATATCACAGGAATAAGGCTTTTCTCCTGTGTGTCGCCGTTCGTGAGTCTAGATAAGAAAGTCAGCTTAGCTGAATTCAATAATGTCAGATCCGGGTTGTCGCCAATTACCTTCAGATTTCCTAATTGAGAGAATCGTTGGCCACAGCCGGGCTCGCTGCAGAGCTATATGCATTACCGGAGTCAGTAGGCCGACTTCAAAAAGGTTGATGAGATAGCGTGACGGGGTTTACATACGAATGGTTTATCACCGGTATGAGCTCGCATGTGAATGTCCAAATGGGTCTTCTGGGTGAAATTCTTGCGACAGTCGGGAAGAGTACATTCATATTTGCGTCGCGACTTTTGCTTCGAAGCACCACGAGTTTGCTGATGAGGGGCATAGCCAGGCTGTTGTATTTGTTGGGCCTGTTCCTGAGACATGGGAGCCCCATAGTTTGGTTGAGCCCATTCGGGAGCCCCTCCGTGCATGGCAACATTACTCGACGCAGATGTGCCATTGTTGAACTTTTGGAGTGGCGGTAGTTGTAGCTGAGTTTGCGACGTGGTTCGTGGCTTTGATTGAATTGCTCTCATAAGAGTATCGATTTCGGTAGAGAACTCAACCTCCGGCTTGCTACCTGGTGGTGACGGCAGCTTGCTGATTTCAGCACTCCGAGGTGGTTGATCAATAGGGGCGCGCGCAGGCTGCGTTTCCTCTACCCGTGTGGCCGGTGTCCCAACCATGCGAGAGACGCCATTCTTTGCGTGCCGAGGCTCCTGGATTGGCTGTTGCAGAGTAGTTGGTTGGTTTGGTGGCAACCGTGACTGCGAAGGTGGCAAGTGCGGCTGAGGTTGCGTCTGCGGTTGTTGATGCTGCTGTTGCTGTTGCTGTTGTGGGTGAGGATGATGCTGTGGGTGCTGGGGATGTTGCGCGTGCGGAGGCGGCGGCGGTGGTGGTTGCTGCTGCGGGTGGTGCGGATGGGGTTGATGCTGTTGCTGCTGGTGCGGTTGATGCGGCTGATGCGATGGGTGAGGTTGGTGAGATGGGTGAGGCTGATGCGGTGGGTGCTGCTGGTGCTGCGGATGTGGTGGATGGGGCTGATGAGGGTGCTGCGGTTGGTGTTGTGGATGGTGTTGCGGATGGTGTTGTGGGTGATGCTGTGGATGATGCGGGTGCTGCTGCTGTTGCTGCTGCTGCTGCTGTGGCGGCGGTGGTTGCTGCTGCGAATGGTTCTGTCCAAAGAATCCGTGGTAGGATGCCGCCGGATGCTGGTTGGTATTCAGAATATGGCCGAAGTCGAGCGAGGAGGACTGGATCGGAGCTGCGTATGAAAGCGCCGGGTTCGAGTAGTAAGTGATGTTTTGCTCGTGGTGAGGTGCCATCATGCGTCGATGAGTGACATTAGCCAGATCATGGCTAGAAAAAGTACACGGAACAGGCACTGCGGTCTCCATTTTGGATCACAATGATATCGATGCTCCAAGTGCGGTGGCCGAACCACATCCCCGGGCAGGAGCGAGATTCGAAGGCAGTCGACGATGTGTTTTGGACGTCAACAGAAGTAGCTGGCTGTCCACTGCTGAAGGAACAAACAACGATCCAACGGCCTGGGGTTAAGAGACAACGAGCGTAATTATTTGTTTTTGCCTGCTGGATGCTTTTTCTCTTATGTTTCTTTTTCGGAGTCGTGCTGCTCGGTGAATATTTTCTTTTTCTTTTTCTTTTTTTTCCCTTTTTTTTTTTTTTTTTTTTTATTTCCTTCTTATCCTCTTCACTTGTCGATGCTCTTTTTCAAGGTCCTCTTTTGCTATGTTCACGCGGGTATTCGCTGGTTGATATGAAGATATCTGCTGTTAATCTGGCTTTCTACCTGGCTTATGTGGTGTTGACGAAAGTCGACGTGAGAAGTCGAGAGAACAAAAAGTGAGAGAGAAACACGTCGTCAGCGACGGAGAACGGATCTAGCAGGCGATACAGTCTAGGGAGCGTCGCGAGAAGACGTCAATGGAGCGAGAAGGCAAGGACGCTGCGGTGAGAAGCAGACGTTGTTGATGCTGTGCTGTCCTCTTCCTTGGTTGATGCCAGACAAGCCAGAAAACCAGGCGGTGACTTGGTCGTTAAGGAAAAAAAAAAAAAAAAAGGAAGAAGAGGTCGCTTGCTGGGCTGAGGCGAAGGGGGGAAAAAAGTTGGCTCGACGATCCTGCACGGCGATTGGCTGTCGGCGCGGCGAGGCAACAGGCAACAAAGACCGTGGCCAACACCAAGTAGTGTTTCTTGTCCGATGCTAGGGGTTTCGTTTCCCTGAGGATGTGGGCAAGAAGTCTCGCAAAAGGGAAGGTTGGGAGGGAGAAAAGGAGCTTATGTATAAATTATATATCGGCGGCAGAAGGAAAAATTAAGCATAAATCATTGGTATGATTTTTGGTCGCGGGGAGAGGAGGGAAAAGAAAAAGGAAAAGGGAAAAGAAAGAGATAAATCGAGTGAACGATATAAATGGAGCAAATGACCACTCTCTCAAGGTGAAATCGTCGGGGATGTAATCCGCAGTGTTATAATACGGAACGAATGTAAAAAAAACTCTCTTCCGATAGCTTAAACTCTCCCTTGAAGCTTGGTCGCGGAAACTTGACGTTAGCGAAGCTGCAGAGTGGGGTTTAACAGCCCGGCTCTCACTTCAATAGGATTGCCAGGGGGAGTCAAGCTCGAGATGAAGATGGTGAGATGCTGCTTGATAACAGTGCGCAGCGCAGGCGTGCGAGAAGTGCATGTATATGTAGATCGCGATTCATCGAACGTGAGATGCAGAAGCGAGTCTATTTGGCGGTTGGATGCTGGGTGGATGCCTTCCTGTGGGTCATATGCTCCAAGAGATGGAGAGGTTTCGATATGTAAGGAAGCGTAATAAAAAAAGAGGTTGTTCGGCTTGTTCGTTTTGGGCGGTACCGCGGAGATTCTGGTTCTCTCTGTCTGACGGTATGTCACTCCCCTATCTTCTGGGTGGGTTTGCCGGCTCGCCTGCTTGCCTTTCTCTGCTGGCTCTTTAGTGTTGGCTTTCTGTCTCTCCCTGCAACACTGAAAAGAGAACGGATCCTGAGTAATTTATCGTCATGGCAGAGGGATGGTCTAACGTTTCCGACGAATGAGCTAGGGATCGCACGGATTCAAACACCTAAAAAAAATACCAGATGGGTAGCACAAGAGAAGATTAAAAAAAAGAGAGAGGGAGGGAGGGAGGGCGAAGAAGAAAAAAAAAGTGGATATTTTAGGGGCAGAAGGGAGAAGGGGTGTGGACGAAAGCAAGCTCAGATGCAGGATTGTGATCTGGCGGCCGGCATCCATGTTTGGACAGGAAAAGCGGGCTTGAGTTCAAGTCTATGGAGACTCTGTATGCAGCCGAGAGCACCTAAATCGAGCCTAAGGCTTGGTTAGGCTAAGGCTGAAATGGTGGCAGAGCCCATTGTTGTGGTGGGCGGTCGAGGGAGAAAAAGGAAGCCTGGCAAGAGCAGAAAAAGCAAAAGGCCAAATCCCACTGGCCAGAGGTGGTCCATTCGAGGGTCAGGTCTGGAGTAGTACAGGCAAGGGTAGTGGAGTACCACTAGTCGCCCAAAATTGGTAGACCATTGACGCTCAATTCGGAATGCCCAAAAGCCCCATCCACAGTATCGAAATATAATACACGGAGGGCACGGAGCTTTTAGCGTAATAGCGTAATGCAGCAGTCGAGGGGGGGGGGGGAGGGTCGGTCCTGGGAATATCGATGATCAAGGGACTTGTTTTCCACCCTCTCTCCCTTCCCCATGTCCTCTAGCTGTCTCGGGGCTCTTGTTGGGTTGGGCCATGCACTGTTCATGAGGATGACAGACAGGTTCATCCCCCGAAACCAAGTGTTCTCCCTCGCCATGCCTTGCTTCCGAGGGTAGGGAAGCCAAATGGTGACAGGCGATCGGCACAGCGACCAGACCAAAGAAGCCTCTCTGTTCGCCGTCGAGAAAGCGGAGCAGGCGTTATAGTTGCACGCCGAGAAATACGGCACAATTTCTGAGAATGAGAGGTGAACTCTCCATCAAAACACGGTCAGCCGACAACCAAAGCCAAGAACTGCCTTGGCTCTTTGAAACTTCGCCCACCCCCAGGTCTAGCTCCTTCGAGTGATGGATGGACAGCCCAACCTTGGTTCCCGTCCAGAGCGTGCTGATTATCTGGCAAATTCTCGATCGATACCCCGTAGCAGAGTTAGCATTTCGTGAGAGCCACGGCAATTCAATCAATCATATCAATCCTGACTCTGGAGACCGACTGATGGGGTACGCAACCCTGTCCACTTTGGATGGGCCACCAGTTACGGAGTACATCCTTAGTGCGTACCCCAATCGTGAGTGCGTACAGAGTACGATGACACCCTCCCATCCATACATAAAATAGGTAGTACTCCGTGGTGTCTTCGTCCCGTACGCTGTCAGGTTGTTGGTAGCGCACTCCCCTTGACCTCTCATTATTTAGGTTATGTACCGTAACTCCGGGCTATGGAGTCGCTCATTGTTCCAAAGTGGCGAGCTCCCAGACTATTGTTTGCTAGCTGCTGATTGTTGGGCCAGGGTGGCTGACGCCTGATTGGAGAGCCTGCCCGTCCACCCATCTCCTCCAACTGTCGCTTTCTCACTTGTCCCCAGACCAGCAACCGCTCTTATTGGCCTGACATCCGTAAAGATCCGGCAGAGGCACGAGACCTGCCGCCAATCGCGGAAGATTTCAAGAACATCCGGCCTGAGGAGAGGCATTTTATTTTATTTTATTTTTTTTTCGTTCTTTTGCTCCGCTAAGCGCTGCAAGGGTTGGTGCGTACGGTCCCAAATGACGGGAATTCATGTGGGTCGGTATCCCTGGGAAATGGACGAGAAACGGATGGGATGAAATCGTGGTGGTCGGATCGAGGCTGATATATCAATAAGGCTAGTCATCAACTGTGGCTCAGCCGGCTGAACCACTGCCACGTACCCTCTTTTCATGATCTCCCACGCCCATCTGATACGTCTCACCAGCGCCGGCGTCCAGTGTGTCGAGGTTGGTTGACGTTTGGAAGCGGACGTCGAAAGGATGTGACGTCGGAGTTTTTGTATCAGGCGAAGAAGAAGCTCGTGAGCTTTCCTCTTTCGGCGGCTGAGGTAAGCCGATGACGCAGGCGATTGGTTCCTGGTAGCGCATTTTGATTGGCCGATAAAGGGTCTTTGTGGTCGCAGCGGGCCAATGAAAAACGGCCAATGGCTGAGCTTACTAACTAACTAAACCACAAGCGAGTCGCGACACCTCCTGCGGCCACCGAAAGCGACTTCGACTCTTTTCAACGTCAACTTTTCTTCTTCAGCGTTTTGCGAGCTCCCATCTCCACTGCGGATGCTATTTTAATCTGGATACTCCATCGATGAGATGCATGAAATCTTCAGCACAAGGACTCTTAGAACGTCGAAAAACTGGATGTATCGGCTTGTTTTCAGCACAGGCACTCCCGGCAAAAGGGAAAGCCGATCGGTGGCTTGTCCAGGCGGAGCCCTCATCGTGGATTCGAACAGCCAATATCAGCGTCCTACTAGCAACAGAAACGGTGTAGCCTCAAGTTGGATTTACAACGAGAATCAAAAACTTGCTTTTGGTATGTCTGCTTTTCCTAGCTGACGTCTCGGCTCCCTCTCCCTTGGGATCCCATGTGGAGCGGCGATATCTGTATGTAAGTTGTGCATATATCTGGGAAAGGCTGAAGGAAAAGTAAACATCATCCTGAAACCCGAGGCGTTTCTGCAGTTTTCCCTTTCTCGCCAGGCAGGAAGCATTAAACCGAAAAACAAATGCCCCTACTCCGTACAGTCCGATGTCCAAGAGCGAACAGTACATCTTGTGCTCGAATCTTGATGAACATAATGACGTACGGAGAACACCAGGGACCTTTCAGAGCTTGCATGCCACGCGACTCGCAACACGAAGCGTTCTCTACGTGGATGAATATCTATCTATGAAAGGGGGGAGGAAAATTATGATAAATATAACTTCATACGGCTGGCATGACTTCAATATCAACCGACAGCCGCCACCCCAACCCGAGAATTCGTGTTGTTTCCCTGGGTTATACTCCGTAAGGATAGTTTAAATCTTCTCCATGGCCAGCTTCCTACTACTTACAACCAGCCCTCCAGCTTCAAGGTTATGAGAGCGCGGTGACCGTGTTGAACAGCCGACCGCTCCGCACTTTGTAGAGCAGACGTCATGGATCGACCTATGCAGCTCGAGGTACAAGCAGAGCACGTTTCTTTTCTACATACTGTCTCAACATAGGGAGGAGCCTATGCCTCCTACTCTATCCTTGGATATCAGCGAAGAAGAGGCCAAACATTCAATATCTCATCGACCCAGGAAAAAGCAGCCGCTAACTTCTCGGACCCCTATTTAGCTCCCGGCTAACCTTGATCACGGAACGTGGCAGCAAAAAGAAATAAACTACAACGACTGAAAAGAAAAGAGAGAAAAGAAAACAAACCAAGAAGGAAAAAAAAAAAAAAAAAGAAGAAGGGGAAAAAGTAATGGGAGGCGGCAAAAGAAAACAACGAAAATATGCAAGGCTAAATTGTCATATCGTCCCTCGAGGGCCTCCAAGGCATGCTGTCAGAAGGGCACGTATTCAACGATCATCTATCCAATGAAGAAGACCAAGGTGAAATTGAAAGCCATCCCACACGAAAATAATCGCCAGGAACGGACATCTGAGACGCCCTCGCTTTTCAGCTCACTTCTTGCCTCCCCCTTTTTTTAGATGTGCTGGGATCATAAAAATAGCTTTCAGTTTTGCTGGCCTCCTCCTGCCACTCTCCTAGCTCCTCCACAGATTCCAAATGCGTTTATGTCCCTTCGGCTGCCCACAACGCGCCAAACGAGAGGAAATGGGGCGCAAAACAAAAGGGGAGAACTAAAATAAACATCCTTGCGATTCAACGCAGGCCCTTGCCTGGCCTCTCGTTTAGGCCCGTGCTTTTGCGGACGGGAAGGGCTTGCTTTTTTTTTTTTCCTTTTGCTTTTTCATCCCAGAATCTCTCCAGCCTGCCGGCACTCTCTGTCAAGCTGGAGGCTTAGTGCGTTACAAGGCATACTCACGGCTATCACTATATCTTGACACCTTGAAGGAATGATCTTGACAAGCGCCTAATCCGACTCGTCCGTTCAAGCCGAACCTCCTACTGGCAACGGCATCTAACGTCTCTTGCAATGCCGCTCGCTCGCTATCCTTCGCTATCCGACTCTTTACGCATATTACGAGTGCATGAAGTAGCTCCATCTCAGTCGATGGATAATACTTTACGCCGAGCTTACTTTTATCATTTACACTGTACTCCGTATGCAAACAATTATCCTTGCTGCCTATACATAGCAATATTACTTCGACAACACGTAATATGGAGTTGGTGGATTCCTGATCAAACCCTTGCAGCAATATTGGACAGGGGAGGCATGGCGCGCAAGAGCAACGCAACGACACACAGAAATCTTTCCATACCCAACTGCTCGGGATGACTTCGACCTTCTTTCCCCTCTTATATTACTTTTTCAATCTTAAAATCACACAAAAAGCAATAACCATCAGCCTGGCACGTTCAAAGTAACTTTCTCTCTTGCCCCGTGCACGGTAACTACCCTGAAAAGACTGACAGACTCGAACACCACCCAGGTGGAATTACTTGTCGATGGATCGCAGGATGTGGGTTCAACGATGAATGTGAAAAAAAAGAAAGGCTTTCAAAAAGGGGCGCCACCTATCCTAGGATCAAGAGACAGAGTATCTCCGCGTGACTGATCTTCCCCTTCCACTTCCCCAGCGGCGCTTCCAGCTTCCCAATTATGGTATAGGGGCTCGCTGCTTAATCTGATACAAGGAGTCCCCCCCCCCTTTTAAGATTTACTAGCTGTATTTTTCCCGCAGACTACTTGACTTACCTTGCTGTTATGGATATCTTGCTAAGGCGTACTTCGCCGAACAACCCCGTTTAATCTTTTCAGCGCAAAATCGAGTTGTCATAACCGCAAAAGCAAAACGGAAATGATCAACCACTTGGTCTCGGCATAGTGGGAAGGAAGAGACGATTCACAGTCGCTGGCCCTTCTTGCCTCTCCTCCCTCCGAATGCTCTCAAATCAAGACAAGGGCACTGTGGCCACAAGGCCTAGAGTGTCATCGATTTGGACTGCTTTGATGAGTGCAAATAGTTTTGTGATTGGTCAAGATATGGAATGACTTCTCAGCATGTCAAACAGAATAAAGGGGTAAACCCTTGGATCATCCAAAAAGGTCTCCACGATAAATCCCCTACATGCATAGCTAACTGGAAGAACTACTATCGATTGTCTATCGACAGCTATCGATTGACAACAAAAATCGATGTGTCTATTTCGCGCCCCCCTTACGGAGTACATTTTTTACAATGAGCAAAGGAGAAGCCCAAGTAAGCAAGACACGGCTAAAGTGGCCAGAAAATACCACACTATCCGTTGCCGCATCACCGCCAGCGGCAGGCACTTACCATAAGTGTTTCTTACCTGATACCATACCTGACGCTAAAACTGTCCCATCTTGAACTTTGAAAAGCAGGAGACGGAGCACTGGCTGAGTCCACGAAGCACGCTGTGCAGCAGACATGCACCGTATGGTTTCGATTATACGTCGTCCTTCCACGGCGTATATTCTCCGTCACACAGGAAAGGGCGTCCTGAGCGCGGATAGGATATCAATTAGGCCAAAAAGAAATTACGCGGAAGAACTCATGTCTGTCTCGAACACTAAAGAGGAACGCAGGCCAGCTTGAAACAGGAACGAACCGTGGGACTCGCTTTCAGTTTCTCTCCCGCACTCGGCCTCATTTTTGCCTTCCCTGTTTAGTTATGAGGGGGCGCGCAAAACAAAAGTGAGGCTTTGTATGAAAGGGAAATGCTGGCACGTTAACTGGCCCACCCAATCAATGATTTTAGAGAGATGTACAAGGTGGCGTTTCCTGGATACCCTTTCATCAACTTTGCCTCTAGATCGGGGTACTAAGATCGATGATCTTCACCTAAATACCAAGGCGAGAGAGGTCATCGTCTGCAAGGCTTCACATTAGGCGCTGATATCTTATGCGGATGATGCAAATGTGCTCCCCCATCTCGGCTTCAGCTTCTCACACTTGAAATTGAATACGAAACTGTGTTCCCATGAAAAGGACATGATCATGAATTCCCTTTTGTAAATCCTTTTGTTTCCGCTTGTATTTGCGCGGGATTCGCCCTCAATATACGAAGGAGACAAACGGGATACATTCACCGGCTGCATGCATGTTGCATGTTCTCCTGCCATCCAAAGGGCTGGTTTGCATTTTTTTTTAGCTTCCTTGAAGTAAGAAGAAACCACAAGCCGACGTTCAACAGTGTGCTTCGGCTATTTGGTGAAGGAACAAGCTAGCCTGCTTCCTTTTTTTTTTTTTTTTTTTTTTTTTTTTTTTTTTTTCCCCTCGTCTATGCGGGATGGCATCCAGCTTGTAATATCCGCTTCGTTGGGCAGGGAAATGGGGTATTTTTCGGCATTGTCCCCCGTCACTTGCGGAGATACTAACAATTGCAGATGAGTAGGGAGTCTATGCTCTCTCCATTGTGTTGTTATTTTATTGGAGCGTCTCCGGTGTTACAATCCACAAATTTTGGCCGAGCATGTGTAGGAGAGAACTGCCTTTATTCACTTCATCATAACCATCATCCGGAGCAACCCCAAGAGTTGTCAATAAGTATACCAGAATGAAAGGCACAGGTCATGGGTGATATCATGTTGTGATACCTGTTGTACCCCGTCTACAGCCAGAATGATAGGTCGGAATCCTTTTCATCCTATCTCCGCCCATCCCTTTCCATTAGAGTCAAGCTTCGTTGTCTTGACTAACGACTTGCGGTTGGTTATCGGGGACCTGCTTCTCAGTTATCCGTATGGGTGGTATCTGATATATTCTATCGACCATAGTCTCCGTCACATCAAAATCTCTAGCTGTGTGCGCGTTGGATTTGGCAAGGCAAATTCGTCCCACGTAGTAACCTGATGAGAATCCCGCTGAAAAGTCACTTGGAGGCGTGAGAAGGGACACGAGGATACGTACTGCCTGTGACTGGCCGTTGTTCTCCCCCTAGTCGAAGTCACACTACATTTATTCGTTTACAGGCATGCAGAAACTATTCCGCTCTGGTGGCCTCGACATGGGTATGACAACCCGCATACCAACTTCAATAAATCAGGATACTGTGCCTCTCACCCATTTGACAGTGGCGGGAAAATTAAGGAACCCTCTAGCGAGCAACGGCTAACTGACATCCACCTAGGGAAGCATTAGCCAGCCGTCTCATGGGAGGTATTCTGTCCGTGAGTAGGCGAGTGAATATTCATATATGCGATGCCAGAGCACAGCGAATACCATAGAACACTACTCCGTATATAGTTAAATATTCTCAAAACCAGGATATCTTTCTTCTACCAGCTAATTATCAGTCCACAGGACCAGAATGGCGGCCGGTTCGGAATCTCATGTACAGCTGAGGGTTGAGCCGACAAGTATCGTATAACCTCGGGTCCGGTCCGAATTCCTAGACCCTCCTCCCACGGTCTACTTGTGGCTCTGTATGCCCGGTTTCTAGCCTAGAAAACGACAACCTCCAAGGTGTGGACATGGTCGAGGCTTTATGGGGGTCAATAAACCTGGCCACGCAATAATGAGAATATCCAGCAAGAAAAATAAATCGCAGCTTCATAAAGGCCCCGACTTCCTCCACGTATGTACATTAGGCGTTTAGATGCGGGATCCTCTGGATGTAATAGGGCGAACTGCATTCGAAACTGGTCCGGGTCTGGTTTCCTTTACACAGGGCCCCTTGCACAGCAAAATGAAACCAATAGGTGCTCACGGCCCCCGTAACAAAAGTCCAGCCAATTTCAAACATGGAGAGAGCGAAGTTGATTGAAAATGATAGATAAACATGGAGTCAAGCCGTGTATCGGTCTAGATATCAACCCATTGGTACTCCGTATATACACACCAAATGAAACAAGCTCTTGCTGTTCCATTTTTGTGGAGGGATTTAATCGACTTGCCATTCAGGCTGAGTTTCGTCAGCTGCCCGTTATCGTTATGAGTAACCGCATGGATTTATCAGGTATCAGGTATAAATATGGAGACTGGGCGTAGATGTTCCTTGTTCTTCTCCTTGGAATAGTTCATGCAAGGAGAGCAATAGTTTACTTCTCCCGTGACAGTAGTCAAACGGCATGGCCTCAGACAGGTCCCCAATTTAGCAACAGTCCAGGAACTAATCTTGTCCAAGGAAATTAATAATGGGATGTCTGAGATGGGGGTTGGTTTCTCATAGCCCTGCGTCCGAAGTAAGCCGGAGCGGAGCTGGGGTACGCAATAACTAATGGCGCCAAATTGGAGTTGAACGATGGATGGCTGGTGTAGGCCAGTATTTAGCAGATGGACGGACCACTTCTTCCGCCTCACTGATAACATATCATAGAGCATGCACAATAAGGGGTGGACAGTACTCCGTACAGGGGCTAACTAAATTGTAGAAGTGGGCAATTTAATGGCCGAACAACCAACCCGCCATCCTAATCATGTGTAGCTTGTAGGTAGGTATGTAGTGGCTGCCTACCTAAACGGAACCCTTTGGTAAATAGTTTCTGGTCAATTTTACGTTCCGTCGACTTTGATAGCTCTTACGGGAGAGCCAGGCTCGCATGCAGGAAGAGAATAGACGAGAGACTCTGATATTACCCGAAAAAAGCACAACGGACACAAGATAACACACAAAGTACATGATAACTAAAAAAAACGTAGAGAAGGACAAAAGAAGACATGAGGTCCACAAGCATATCAAGAACCCACCGCCGCACCATGGTCATCGTGATATCATCTTAGTGGGCCAATTACTCCCTCCAGCCCGGGCAAATCTTTGTTTCCTTCTGCCTCCTCTGAAATGCAATTGAGAGCAGCCAATGTAGAGAAGGAGAGTTGATCGAATACAGTTAGTGACGAAACACTCAACTCGAGGTACGTACAAAGTGGTAAGAGCAGCAAGGGAGGGATTAGCCAGATATTGGTGTAAAACTGCAGGAGCTTTCTTTTTTTTTTGGGCAGACTTTGAAGCTGCAGGCAAGAGCATGGATATTATACCCGTGGTTTCAGGACGGGAGGGTGCATAGCCAAAGGGCAGAGGGAGCAATGAGTACAGAGGCATTGCGGAACGATAACGGGAACGGTGAAATAGAACGGAATACAGGAGAACTCAGATCGAGGCACAAACAAAATATAAAGGTAAAAAAAAAGTATTCATTTTGCATATAGTTTTTTTCTTCATTTCCGTTTGTCGTTGAGGCACATTGATAAGCACACAAACAGAACGAGACTGGTAGAAATGTGGGCGAAAAACACAATAAGCTGACAGGCAAGAAGGAACAGGGAAGAGGAAGTAAAATTGCGCCATTATTTCTAAAGATGTAAGTAGTTAAAAGCATTGCTAAGGAGTGGCGGTGTGAAAAGAAGCTGGATGGGGATGTGAGTGACAATAGATTTATCGGCGGTTCCATGTCGAGTAGCTAAGTATAACAATGGTTAGCGAAGGGTTACTGACCGAATTTAATAAGGGATAACGGGGATTTGTACTAACCTCCAGATTCTGGCACGCATGTCTCCACTTCCAGTTGCGAATAGCTGGCCAGTTGGGCTCGGGGCAACAGAGATAACTATAAGTAGTAAATAGGTCAGTCATAATCTAGAGCACGAAACATGTTAGAGGAATGGCAGGAGGACATACCCGAGTTTTTGTGACCCTGAAGCATCATCTGAGCGTGGCCTGTAGCAGGATCCCAGAATTGAACACCTCTATCTTTCGAACCGCTCATCACCCAGTGACCGTCAGGTGTCAGACAGACACTAAGCACAAAGTCCTGTAAATAGATGGTTAGCCAGGAAAACACGTCCAAGATAATATGGCGATCGCTCCGGGGTTGGCATACCTTGTGTCCTTCGAAAGTGCGTACACACTTTCCTCCCTTTGGTCCTGTTCCGGGTACCATTCCTCTTGGGGGTGTGAGCTCCCACATCTTGATAGTCTTGTCCAAACTGCCGCTAACAAGGTCTCTGCCATTTGGTGCAAAAGCAACACTGTAAACACTGTCTCTATGGCCATCAGGGCTCTCAAGACGCTCAACAAGGTATCCAGTGGTGGTATCCCAGACACGGACGCTCTTATCAAGAGACCCAGCAGCCACATAGCGACCGTCTGGGGAGATGGCAACGGTGGTGACGCCGTCCTCGATGCTGAGGATGAGTTCCTGCTTGCCATCAACGATATCCCAGAGACGGACGGTCTTATCGCCACTTCCTGAGGCGATATAACGGCCATTTCGGGCAAAATCAAGGGAGTAGATATCTTGCTCGTGCCCAGAGAAGATGTTCTTGATTGTGCGGCTAGCAATATCCCAGACCTAGTGGAGACAGTTAGCCAAAGAAATTTGGTACAATTATATATTGTTAACAATGAAACAGAGGCGGAAAGCATGAGAACCTACCCTAATCTGCTTATCTTCAGCACCAGTAGCAAGGTATCTGCCATCAGGGCTGAAACAGACGCTTCGAATGTAGAGGTCACCGTCCTTATCAACGGAGTCATCCTGGAGAGTGCTAACTAGCAAGCCAGTGCTCACTTCGAAAATCTGTGCAGAGCGGTTACATCCAGTGGCTACGTGCTTACCATCGGCACTGAAGCGGACACAGCACACAACACTGTCGTGGATAAGGTTGTGAACCAGGTCGACATCCAGGACACGAGGAATGTCCGGATTAAAGACAGCGTACCAGTCGCTGCTTTCCTTCTTCTGGCTGGGTGGGAGCTTATCTGGGTCGAGCTCTGCAAGAGTATTACCAACAGTGCGGTAAGGGGGCCCTCCCTGTGGGTTTGCAGCGGTCTGGAGGGGCATCTGGGGGGATGGGCGAGCATCAGAGAAGGCCATCTGCTGGCTTTGCTGGGGGGTTGCAGGGCCGGCTGGAGCACGGGCATTACGGCCTTTTCCGGGACCTGGAGAGGCAGTAGGAGCTGGAGGACCAAATGCTAATTAGAAGAGTATGGTTAATACACAGTGTACATGTACGTCTGTGTACGACAAGGCATTTCTGGTGACATACCTGAGCCATTAACGGCAGAACCCTGCTGGTAACCGCCAAAGGCGCCTTGAGGAGGTTGTGGAGGTCCCTGGGCGTTGGGAGGATTCTGTAGTGAGTGTTGAGCGCCCTGTTGCTGGTCTTGCGGCGGAGGTGGGGGAGCAAGAGCTGGCGCACCGCCGCCCTGGTTAGCCATAATGCCTCCGAAGAGGTTGCTGGGGCCGTGTCCAAGGGCTGGAGGGGGTGCCTGGGAGGGGCCTCCGTGTGGTGGTGGACCGCCGACGTGAGATGGGGGAACGTGGATACCGCGAGATTCGAGCTCCATGCGTAGTGTGCGTATTTCAGCCTCGTAGCTAGTACAGCATGTTAGAGATAGCATTGTGCCGGTAGAAATAAAAAGAGGACGTACTCTTGTTTCATCTTGAGCTGAGCCTGCTCCAACTGGTAGACCTTTTGCCGGATCATCTCCATCTCCTGGAGCTGGCCGGTCACTACAAATGTCAGTCAGACTAGGTATTGTACATCGCAAAAACGGGAGGGGAATCATACGCTGATGTTCGAACTCGCCGGTGCTGCGCGACTGGTTATCGAACTCTTGTCGTAGCTGGTCGAGCAGCTCGGTCAGGCGCGTGTTTGGCGGCGCGGTGACCATGGCTCGATGAGACCCATACATGGCGGCGGTGCTGCTGTTTCGTGTATCTCGTGAAGCCGAAGCGTGGTTAATGGGAGAAGAAGGAAGCGAACAGCGCCCTGGGAAAGCGGGAACAAGAGCGTCAGCGTTGTACTTTTTGCAATATATATTAATTTATATAACCCAAACTGGTCGTTTTGTTATGGACCCGCACGGACTTTTTGGCGACAGGGGGATGAGGCTGAAGTCTGGCGCAACAAGAGACCAACAGGGCAAAGGGGAAAGCTAGGGGAGCTGTATATACCGGGAGAACAATCGCGTGTTCAGGCTTTGGGAGAACCTCGAGCCGAAGTCAGCGAGAGAAACGGGCGTGGTGGGTGTTGCTTTTTTGGTGATGCGATTGCGCCAAATTGAACGGTGACGGCGGCAACAACCGCAGCAGCCACAGCAAAAGGGTTGAAAAAGAAAGGCAAACGAAAGAGGAGGAGGAGAAGTAAAGGCGAACTCGGTCAGGATAGAGAGTTGAAGCCCAAGAGCTGCCGGCGTGGTGGGTGATCGCAGGGAGGTTGGCTTGAATTGGGCGAGTTTGAAGGTTGAAGGGAGAAGAAGTTGAAGAAGGATGAAGAGCGAGGAAGAAGAAAAGAAGAAAGTTTCCTAGTGGATGCTTGGGAGATGCTTCTGGGGTTTCAGGCCCAAAACCTCGCTCTGCTTCTCCTGACGTTTGCCTCGTCTTCTCCGTTCGCTTGTCCGAGCTGTTTTCTGCGTAGTTTTCGACGCTGAAGTCGCTGAGGTCGTCAGATTAGGCGTTGCTGCGTCTATTTATCCAGTTTCCTCGTCCCTTTCAGTCCATCTTATGCTCCTGTTCTGCCTGTTTTTGGAAGTGCCAAGACAGTTGTACATGCATAAATCATCGCTTAGATAACCAGCCACCCGGCTTAGTCATAGAGCACAGACCATGCTGAATAAGGAACTCAATTGGGACTAGCGGGGTTTTCTGTTTGTCTTACTAAGCAGTTCTTTATCTGATCCAGATGGGGTTGCTTTTTCGGGTTAGTCACTTTCTTTATTCGGCGCCCTTTTTCCCTCGCGATTTCAAATCCTCCCGTCGACTGCGACGTCGTCGATATCTGCGATCCTCAGATTCCTCCTCAACTTCCGTCCATCCCTCCTCTCCCTACCTGAGCTCAGGGCGACGCTCGCTGATACCTCGGCGCATTGCTTTTTCAGGCCAGCTTTTCGTCGACGCACCAGTCAACAAGCTCAAACTTCGAGAAACTTTTTTTTTTTTTAAGCTTGGCCTTAGTGACTATCTATCAATCAGATATCAGCAGCGCCCAATTGGTAACAGGCAAGCAGATACACACACGGCGCCCGCCATGGATATCGTTTTAGAAGTCTTCGATACACTCGTGTTCGACTACTTGTATGCCTGTGCGCTGCCTCTTTCTGCGCCGTCCAGTGATATCATCTCCAACGTTTTTAACGGCGTCAACTCGACCACTGCCTCAACCATCGCACAAGTCAACGGGATCGGCAATGGCTTTGTCTACACTCCTGCTACCAAGTATTTCTCTTTGGAGCCATTCGAGTATGCCTACCAGTCGTCTCTGCCTCGAGATAACGGCTTCCGTCAAGTCCTCAGTCTTTTCTTGATTACATGGTGAGTGTTCTCCAGTGTAGTTACTCTATGCCTCCCAATCAACTATGTATCTAATTTCAACCACAGGGTCTTTGGTTTAGTACTCTACTTCACTGTTGCCTCGCTTTCCTATGTTTTCGTTTTCGATAAAACCGCCTTCAACCATCCAAAGTACCTCAAGAACCAAATATCTCTTGAAATCGGCCAGGCCATGAGTTCAATGCCTGTCATGGCCCTCCTTACAGCTCCCATCTTTCTCACCGAGGTCAAGGGCTACTCCAAGATATACGACACCATTGAAGAGGCTCCCTTCCCCATGTACAATATCTTGCAGTTCCCGCTTTTCCTCCTTTTTACCGACTTCTGCATTTACTGGATTCACCGTGGCCTGCATCACCCTCTCGTCTACAAGAATATCCACAAACCACATCATAAATGGATCATGCCCACTCCCTATGCAAGCCACGCCTTCCACCCCTTAGATGGATGGAGCCAGGGCCTCCCATACCATATCTTCCCATTCATCTTTCCGCTCCAGAAGTTTGCCTATGTCCTGCTCTTCGTCGCTATCAATATTTGGACCGTCATGATCCACGATGGCGAATATGTGGCCAACAGTCCCATTATCAATGGTGCAGCATGCCACACCATGCACCATCTTTACTTCAATTACAATTACGGCCAGTTCACTACCCTCTGGGATAGACTAGGTAAAAGCTACCGTAAGCCCAATGACGAACTATTCCGTCGCGAGACCAAGATGGGACAAGCCGAATGGAATCGACAGGCTAAGGAGATGGAAAAGATGGTCAAAGAAGTCGAAGGCTGCGATGATCGCACGTACGAAGGCACTGAGGCCAAGAAGAACATTTGAGTTCGGACTCAACTGTCTCTGCCGTCTGCTTCTTCTCCATTCTATCCTTCTACCCGAACTGACTGCGTCTGCCGGTCAGATATCATAGTCAATTTTTTTTTTGGTCTACCGTTTCAATTTTGCATTTATTGGCTAATAACTAACGAGTAAATATGCCCCCACGCTCCCACGCTCCCACGCTTTGGGAGCTCTGCATATATGCTACTTTTCGTGCCCCCCCCCCCCCCCCCCCCCCATTGCACCCAGCCTACTTACGTTTCTAATTGTTGAATTTCCACGTCTATCAACTGATTTGTTGATATATCTGTCTTCTTTCAATGTCACCTTATTTTCACCCTGCACAAAGTACAAATCCCTATTTCTTATGCCCCCCACGTTACCCATGGCACAGAGACCACTGAAGAGTCTAGAAGAGAAATATTATAAATCGGTGGAGATTTTCGGTCAATAATTGTGATACTAATATTTCGCTTCCCAGGCTTTACTGGTCAGCTTTTGATAGAGTTGTCCAGACCTTAGTTAATATACACTCTTAGGTCTATAAAAACATTCAAAATTTAATTGACTAAAACTTAGTACATTGAGCTAGAACCTGAATATTAACACATAACCTGAACTCAAACATTGGAAGGATTGAAAATCAAGTGAAAGTGAACCAGAAAGAGAACATAAAGTACACATCAAGATACAGAGCATGGAAAGCAGCGGTTAGATAGGGGTATGAATGAGTGAGAAAAGGCCATGGTCTAGCCTAGTCAATCTCTGCAGTGTCGTGCATTTCTTCGACATCCATAGCCGGTTCCTCGAGTGTCTTGCTTTCCTCGGTTTTCTCGTCAATTCCCAGCGGTGGTGCAGGAGGAGCCATGGTTCCAAGAGCCGGAGCGGAGGTCATTGCCTCATCAATAAACGCTCTCTCAACTGCAACCTTGCGTCTAAAGACGTTCAACCATCTGCTTCCCCACTGCTGGATCATCACATTTTCAGGCTGGAGTGAGTCGTCCTCCGTCCGCTCCATCATGCCATCACTATAGCCACCAGCTACGGGGACTAGTGTATCTTCGATCAGCTGGAACATAGAAAGCATATCCGCCTTCTCTTTCTTGAGCGTTTCATCTAGAATGCTGAGCTGCGGTTCATATAGCGTTGGCTGAGTTCTGGCTGCCACAATCTGGCGCATTCGGTTTGTCACCTTCCGCATAGTGGCAGATATCATTTCGAAAATATGTGGTTTTGCCAACGTTGAACCCGCGGCGAGGTTGTCAACTAGGGCCCATTCGAGGACAGAGAGAGGAGTGAGAATGGTATAATTCAATAGCTTGTCGATGATGTTGATGCCGATTCCGGGTTGGTCGACCCAGTATTCCATGACTGAGTTGATTATTTGACGGCGTGCAGCATCAGACTTTGGACCGATGGCGAGAAGTCGGTCCTTGCAGCGCTCGATGCAGGAGAGGAAGTGTGAGAGAGATTTGGATCCCACGTAGCAAATGGAAGTCATATAGACGTCAGTAGAAGCAATAAGAGGATCAGTCAGCCCGTGAGTTTTGGCTTGTTCTTCGATTGAAGTAATGACAGCTTCGATTTCTTCATCTGACGACTTCTGGCGGATGAGTTTCATCAATTCTTGTCCCTCCTTTGAATACGGAGTTGCTATCCTTAAGTCAGCGCTTGTTTTCTTCCATCAGTTTCACAGTATTAAACTTAAACGTACTCTCCTGGGAAAATTTGAAGTCCGGCGTGTCCTTCTCTTTGCCTTCAGTGATTAGCTCATGGTAAGGCTCTGGAAGGGTTCCTTTTATTCTCTGTGCAAAGCTCAGTCGAATCTCCTTGTCTATGGCTCCAATGATAAATGCCTTCTTGGGGTGGACGTCTGGTAACTCAAGGTCGGCAACCCTGTAAAAACGTTATTAGCAGCTGGGTTTATTTATCTCTCTTTTGGCGACCTTACCATTCAGTCCACTTCCATGTGAAACCGAAGTTGCTCAGGTGGTGGGAGAACCAATCCAAGAATCTATAAGCAAGTGAAAGGTCCAGCTTATCAATATTTCGGTATACGAATCGAATTGCACGCCCCAAACTAGGAGCGACTGCGGCAGGAGCGATCTTGCAGGATTCCGTAAGCACTGAATGGTAATATACCAGTTTATGCTCCGGGAATGGCAACCGCAGGAGCTGAGAAAAGGCAGCGTCAACAGCAACATCTTCTGGTTTCCAGGTTGATTTCTGAGGAGATGGAGAGTCACGCAGTTGGTCTAAAGGAACAGCTCGTTTAACAAAGGTATCTGGTGCAAAGTAGCAGTCCACATCGATCAGGAATTTGGCCGTTG